CCAACCCCAACCCCAACCCCAACCCCAACCCCAACCCCAACCCCAACCCCAACCCCAACCCCAACCCCAACCCCAACCCCAACCCCAACCCCAACCCCAACCCCAACCCCAACCCCAACCCCAACCCCAACCCCAACCCCAACCCCAACCCCAACCCCAACCCCAACCCCAACCCCAACCCCAACCCCAACCCCAACCCCAACCCCAACCCCAACCCCAACCCCAACCCCAACCCCAACCCCAACCCCAACCCCAACCCCAACCCCAACCCCAACCCCAACCCCAACCCCAACCCCAACCCCAACCCCAACCCCAACCCCAACCCCAACCCCAACCCCAACCCCAACCCCAACCCCAACCCCAACCCCAACCCCAACCCCAACCCCAACCCCAACCCCAACCCCAACCCCAACCCCAACCCCAACCCCAACCCCAACCCCAAGTTATTTAATTTTAATCAAAAAGCAAATAAAAAATAATGAAGAAAGTTTAAATTAATTTCATAAAATAAACTTTGAATTGAAAAAAATTTTAAAAATAAAAAATAGAAAATGATATTTTATTTTTAGGTATTTCTTACCAACCACTTAATTAAAATTAGTAAAAATTAATTTAAATATTCTAAACAAATTTAAACAAAAAACCTTAATTTTTTTAAATTAAATAAATTTATTTAGCCAATCAAGCAAACACACATAGAAGTAATTATTAAAAAATACAGATAAATTACTTTTACTTAACTAGTAAAAATGTTTGCAATACTTTAGAGAGAAATAATGTTTTATAAAATATTTACTTTTCATGAAAAAAACATTTTTGGCAGAAAGAAAGAATTAAAGGAATAATTTTATACTTTTTTAGTGTAAAACTTAAAGATAAAACACAATTTTTCAATCTAATAAGAGTCAAGGATATTCAAATCAGATTAAAACATTTTTTTTAAAAATTTTAAGGCACAATTAAAAAATTCATTTTAATAAAAAAACTATTTATTTTAACAAAAAAAAATAAAAAACACAAAACATAATTATTTTATTTTTATGTTGTTGCAAAAATCAGTATTCTATTCACTCAAACCTTTTCTAAAAATATTTAATATTAATGTCATTCTTCCAAGATCAATTTTTTAGTCAAAAGTATAAATAGATGTTTGTAAAAAAAGAAACTACCTAATTAATATTGTATGTTAAACTTAATATTATTTTTAACATAAATAAAATCTTAAAATTATTTTATAAAAAAAATATAAATTTCTGTAAAAAGGTTTAATTAAACCTCAAACAACCTAATTCAAACGAGTTAATTTATTTATTAAAAAATAGTTAACTTTTTATTTTAATTATTTTTAAGTATAAAATTTTAAATATTAAAATTCCATTTTTTATAACAAAACGTTAATAGTTGTTAAAATAGAAGCTTTAAAAATAGCAATAATTAATTGATCGAAAAAATAATAATGATATAAATACATATTAACCAACATATTTACCAGTCTACCAACCTCATTAACTAACTTACTAACTAAATAACTAACTAACTAACTAACTAACTTTTGATTTATTAATTTTCAATTGAATAGTTAAAATTAAATAACATATCGTATAATTTTATTAAATGATATTTAGATTAATAATTGAAATCAACTCTTCTTTCTTTATTTCTTTGTTTCTTTTTTTTTTGTATTGAATTTTGTTTTTTCGTTTAAATAATATAAAGATATATATATATACATGAATTAATTAGTAAAAATATATTTTTGAAGTATTAGATTGCTAATTAAGCTAACAAAGAGAAGTAAAAAATAAATAAATATAATAATAAAAATAGAGTAGAATAAGTAAGTAAGTAAGTAAGTAAGTAGGTTTAAAATAAATATTAAAATAATAATGAAAGATATAAAAAAGAAATTAGCTTAACATTCTAAGAACAAGCGAATATCTAAGAAAATTCTTAAAAATGATCTCATAAAAGATAAATTCACAGTTTATCTTTCAAATTTTTACTTATTTATTCAAGTAGAAGATAATTCGAGGTCATTACCTTAGCAATACTTTAAGATACTTGTTTTTATTTATTTCTTTTAGTTGTTTGGGATTTGCACCTCAATTCCACCTTTAAATTAGATCTTTTCAGACACATTTTAATTTGCCATCCAATTCTCATAGTAAAATTACTATTTCCATTTAAGTAGACTAAGTAGAACAATTAGCTATTAAATTATCAAAATAGGTTTTTTAGGGTTTCTGCAGCGTTAGCTTATTGGGAAAATGACTACTAAATGATAATTTGGATGGTATTACTGCTGATCTAAGATATTTACTTTATCTACTGCTCCTTTGTGCTTGGTAAATAAATTAAATTGAATTACTCCTCATATTTAATAATTGTTTAATAGGCATTAAAAGCACTAAAGATAGCACCAATAATTTTAAAAAGTAATCAATAAAGATAAAGTATGTTTTAATACAACTTGACATGCTTAAATGGGTTATGTTGATTATAAAAATGGATTTCGTCTTTGGTTGGTTTAACTGTTATAATGAATGGACAAATACTAATAGCTAAAATACTATATCGCATCGATGTATAATTTAATTATTATTTAAATCAATTTCAAATTATAATATAACTACATACATTCAAAAGTGTAAATAATTTATTAATTATCTAGCAAATCTATCAATTTATCTACTTATCTACAATATAAAGCTTAAAATAAATCATCATTTTTCATTTAAATTTTTGAATAACATTTACCTCAGCTCACTCATAGAATACCACTAAGGCAACAAACAAACAAACAAACAAACAAACAAACAAACAAGGAAATAAGCAAGCAAATATTTTTTTGTTTTGTTTCAAAAATAAATTAAAAATGAATTTTAAATTCTAAAATAAATTTAAAACATTTTTTTTAATGAGTAGAATTGATTTAAAAAATATAAAAATATATTTATAATTTTTTAGTAAATGCGAAATTTTTTATGCTATCAATATAAATTCATATATACCTAACTACCCTACCTTACTAAAAAATAAAAAATTGGTTAAGTTTATTGAATGTTAGTTGTATTATTCAATAGTAATTTGTTATAAAAATAAATAAATTATATTTTAATACAAAGGTTTGATGTTACCAAGACTTCCTAAGGATTTAAATTAAATTGGATTTTTAGTAATATCAGCAGTCTTATTATTAACAAGTGTAATGATAATATTTGTTAGCATATTTATTTATAACTCAGCGGATTTGGTGAATAAGAATAATTTAAAAACACCTTTCTCATATACAAAAATAATAGAGTATATTGGTATAATAATTTTAGTTGCTATTAGTTATTCTGAATCATAGTTATTTATGATTATCGCTACTCTTATATTTGTTTTTTTACTAGTTGTAAATTTAATAAGATATTTTCCCTATCCTTCTCGAGAAATATCATTATTTTACTTAAATGCTATCAGCATATTAATTATAAATCTCTCTATGTACATATTCTACACATTTAGTCCAAGGACTAATTAACAAAACTATTTTTTTACATCTATCATACTATGTACTTTATCAATAGTTTTCAACGAGACTATCTGGAATTTCATCATTCAAAGTATTAATAGGTATAACATTGTTTTTAGCAAGAAAAAAGATCTAAGCAAACAACTTCTCTTCTTTACTACTGTACTAGAACTCATTAAAAAATCTTAAAAAAATGAAGATGCATACATCAAGTTGTAGGGTTTGATGAACTAGCATTAAATAGAATGCAAAGATATAAATTGCCCTTGTATTTCTAAATTATATGAATAGAAATATAAATCTGATACTCAGAGATAGCTAGAATTATAATTAGAGAAACAAGCCCTGACTTCTATTGCTATTTAAGAAGATCAGAGATTAATTAAGTCAAAAGCGAGAGGCATTTATTTATATGAACTATCTCAAAACAAAGAAAATTACATCTAGTGGATCTTAGAATTTATAGATTACTAATTTACTCTCTGCATTAAATTTTAAAAGCAAAGTCATGAACTTGAAGAGTTTTGTTTAAAATTTTGGTATTTTTAGTGTAAAGTGAAAAACAATTAAATTAAATGTCTCTACTTAGTTAAACATCATACCTAAATGTTCTAAGAAAAATCCATATTCTTTAAGATAGTTGAAATTGCAATGACTCAGTTCATAGAAAATAGAATTAAAGAAAAGGACAAATCACTTAGATACTCTTACAGGTAATAAATACATACTTAAATAAACAAAAAGATAGATAGATATTGCTATTTTTACATCAATAGAAAGAATAATTTAACTTTTAAAATTTAAAATAGTTTTATTTAAACTAAACAATAGCAATTTAAAAATTTTTATTAATTATTTACTTATTTGGTATTTTTTGAAATAAAAAGACTTAAAGATACTTAAGAAGCAATTATGTATGAAAGATTTGAAAATTTCGTGCTTTGTGAAGAAAAGAAAGTGATGATAAAGTAAGAAGTAATTGATTTGATACAAAAGAAGATATAGTATAATGAAAAACTTGTAGAAGGATATAATACAATTAGTGAGCTATACAAAGATATAATGAATCTCATGGCTGGGATAAACAGGATAGAAAGAATTCTTTTGCATGAGCTCAGATAATCAAAAGAAAATATACACTTTATGAGAATGCTTTCGTTGATCAAATTTAGACTTATTAATGACCCTATTTTTACAGAAAAGTTAGAAACTTAATTAAATGAGCTGTATAGAAGAGATGAGTTTTAAGATAAAAATATTGTTCACTCTCTTACTGTCTTAAAGGGTAATGTGGTTACTATTATAGCCTCTTTTGGTGGAAAAGAAAAAGGTTTGATTCTCAACTACTCAGAAAGAACTCCTTAATTTTTTGGATATAAATCAAATGAATTTTACTAAATTAACTCTGTTAAAATGTTAATGCCTTACTGTGTCTCTAAAGAGCATGATTACTTTATTCAAAGATTAATAGAATAAGGTATTTTAAATTAATTAAGTTTTATTTTTCTTGATTTAAATAATAATTAAAATCTTTAGTTGAGGCATATAATTATCAGATAATTAAATTATTTCATATTTTTTCAAAAAACATTAGCCAAGTATTTTTTTTTTTAAGAATTAAAATGAATTTTTAATTCAATTTAAAAATAAAAAATTTTAAAATTATTTTTAATTTATTTTTTTTTAATTAAAATTGATTTTAAAACAAACATTTAGAGTTTGATATTTCTAAAATTTAAATTTTATTATATTTTTTAAATTTTATATTTTGACAAATTAATTTCTAAAATTTTATATTTTGGCAAATTAATTATTTTCTAAATTTTATATTTTGAAAAACTATTTTACTTGATTAGTAAAAAATTTAAAGTAAAATATTGATTAGATAATTTTAAATAATGAATTAGGAACTCATAATATTTTAAGATCTTACAGACCAACATTAGCAAAAAAGAAAGATGGATTTTTGTTTCCTATAAAAATTTATGTGAATTACTATTTTGGAATATAGAATGAATTGTGCTTCAGTAGTTTAGTTTTAAAAGTATAGACTAATTCTCATTATGTATTGATTGACAAGCAAGGGTACATTTAAGGTGTGTCTGAAAATTTCTATAAACCTATTTTATCTGAGTTATATGAATATGAATGTGAAAATCTAGACATTATTAAATCAAACATTAGGCTATTTTGTCCAACTGTATATTAATTAATTGAAAACTACACTTCTAAGTAGGATTTAAGTAATATTAGATGTGAGTTCTTCTTTCCAAAAAGTAAACATGTTTATTTAAACAAAAATGGTAGATTACTATATTTTTCTTTTACAAATACCATTAGGATTCTAGGATATACTCAAAAATTTCTAGTAGGAATGCCATATTTTTTAGAGCTAAATTGAAAAATCTGAATATGGGAACAAAAATTAGAGAGACAGCAACGAAAAATTTAAATAATTCCTGAACGACTTTCTTAAGAAGAATAAAAATTTATATGAAAATACTCTTTCATATGAATTATCCTTGAATTTGGAATAAGAACACATTCGATTAATTGACGGGAGAAGTTTAATTTTGTATGTAGTCGAAATTACCACTTTTACTATGAATGATAAAGACTTAACTTCTACTTTAGGTACTACTTAAGTAACAAAAACTACAGTTTTCTAGAAAATTTATAATGGATTGAATGAAAATACCACTCATTTAGCTTCAAAATCTAAAGAGCCTTTTATAGAATCAAGTTAAAATATTTTAATCAACTAATCTCCTTAAAATCATTTGAATATTATGGCATCTTAGTTCACAGTCAAGAATGAAGGCAATCATAAAAATGACAGCTAAGAAATTTAAGATACTTTTGAAGACTTAAAATAAGATACAGAACAAGAAATAGATATATTTTAATCAAACAGATAGCTTCCTTAACACCAAATCATATCCTCAAGGACAAATATTATGGGTTAAGATGGAAAGTTGAAGGTAGCTTCAAATTTAGCATGTGTTGAGAGTTCAACCACGTAGTATTATAATAATATTAACTTATTAAAGGTTTATGAATCTTTAGATAAATAAAGAGATGAAATTTTGAAATAGCTCCAGAAAGAAGAGAAAGAAAGAGAAAAGCTAGAAACTAATGAAAACGATGAAAGTAATGAAAAAATAGAATCAAAAGATAGCTAATCACAAAAATCACCCATTTAAATATGCAGAGATAGGAAAAAAAGCTTTAAAAGGTAAAATAGCGAAAAGTTAATAGCTGAAATTCTAACTAAAGGACCAGATGAATTTTAAGAGTATAAAATTTCAAATGTAGATCTTTTCGAAGATTAGGTATAGAAAGATACCAGAGCTTAAATGCTTGTTACCGATTTAGATAAATTAGATGTATCTACTTCAATCCAATAAGCTTTAAGTAGTGGTGTTTATGCAAAAAATTAACATGAAGGGTAATAAGTTTTTCCAGTTTAATAAGTCAATCCATCGTTAAAATAAAGCATTAGACCAATGATGCTTTAAACTTCTGCACGAAAGTATAGTTTGTAGGTAAATCCTTTAATTTCTTTTACCTTGTAGAAGTAAAATACACTACAATCACCTCACAGTGCTTATGTAGTAGCAGAAAAAAATGATAAAGTGCTTGTCTCTGATAATTAATTACAAACACATGCTATAGAAGCTACTTAAGAAAATGACCGCTCCCAGTAAAATATCAACGAAAGTCAAATGCTTTTTAAATCAAACTAGGGAGTTAATTTGAATTACCTAGAATAAGTATAGGAAGCAGAAATTTAAGTCAATAATGAAGAATTCACTGACGACACTAAAAATATTCATGAATATATATCTGAAGACGATAAAAACATGAATGGTGGTGATTAAAGTAATTCATTGAAAAATCAATTAATATTTTTTCATTCTTCCATTTATTTATTTATTTATTTATTTATTTATTCATTCATTCATCTTTGATTGATTTTATTTTTGAAATACTCAAAATTTTCCTCAAAATTAAAAATATATTAAAATATTTTTTATATTTATTTATTTATTGACTATTTGTCTAATTTCTATTTAATTAAAATATTTTAAATTAAAAGATTAATCTCAAAAAAGTCGCAGTAAAGCCAAAGCAAATTAAATGTAGATATAAGAGAGGAATTAATAAGCTAGTATAAATAGCAGTGAAGTGAGATCCACTATAAATACTCAGATCAAGTAAATTCACTAGAATGCGTGCAGCAACTAATCACCTTTATTTCTAAAGATTCTATTTAGCATATTTGTAATTTAGTGGTTTTTGTTTATCATTATGGTAACAATACAAACATTAATTATATTCTAATATTTCGATACTATATAGTAGAATTTAGATAGAATATTACTGTTTCCTTAAGCAATTATTCCACTATCAAAAAGTATTCTATCACTGAATTTCTAAGTATTTGCTAATGAAAACCGTATTAACATGACTGGCCTTTACAATATTGCTTAAGAATAAAACTACTTTCACTCTGTGGTTGAAGATTCATTTAGCCTTTTTTAATAAAATTCAATTGAAGCATTTTAAAGAAATATTTTATTTAACTATTAAAAAGATATTTTAAATTTAGAAAGTAAAATGATACTCACTCAAAATGATATTAAAAATAATTATTTCTTAACAATCACTGACATGCTTAATTTAGCAAGCCAAATTATTTATACATTTTCATTGCAAAACAATTATAACACTATAAATTCATAAAATTCTGACTTTGATTAGCTTTAGGATAACTTTTCAACGATTTGCAGCTCTTTCAGTTAGATTAATTCTGAAATTTACAACTCTTTATTTTCTACTTTTTCATCTTTCCAGTGTAAATTTTTTAATTAATTAATTAATTAATTAAATTAGACTAAGTTATTTCTATTTTTATATCAAATCAGCATTTAACGGAATTAATTTTGGGGTCTCTTTAGTGATTATAGTATCAAGCTATATATTTGTTTTACCTAGCTTTCAGCAAGTCAACAAAAGACTTTAAGATATTTTAAAACTAATTTGTAGAATTACAGAGAAAGAAGCATTTGATGATATTCATATGCTTACCATCTTCTAAGAATAATTAGAGTCTTCTTATGAAGAATACTTAGTTTGCTCAGTAGTAGTTAATCTCCTCGAAACAAATTTATCAAAATAAAAATCACTAGCCACTAACAATAACTAAAAGAAGTAAAGAAAAATTGGCTAATACCTTTGTGATAGAATTAAAGAACAAACCATTTCATAGACTTCTTTCTGTTTGCTTCTCTTATTGCTATTTTTGATTTGCTCAGTTTTTTTCATAGCTGTAATAATTGATTAATAAATTAATTCTATAAATTTATTTAATCAAAAATATTCTTTTAAAAATATTTTGGAGAAAAAAAACAATTTGATAAAAATTATTTTTAAAAATAGGAATTTATTCTTTTGAAGATTTTCATAGAAAATACTTAACCTCCAAGCTAAACTTTTTATGATTTTTATGTCTCTACTACAAGTTTATCTACTTCAGCTGCAGCTCATAATTTGCTATTTAAGCACTAAATTTACTCCAAACTTCTAGGCTCTCCATACTTATCTTAAGAGGTTTACCAAAACACAACAAATCTCTTCAATGATCAATTCACAACAGCTTAAAATTTTTTTAGCAGCGAATTCTTAAAATTTAAAGACAATCTAAGCTAAATGCCCTAATCATTTTAAAATTAGATCACATTCTTATAAACAAATACTCCGTGCTCTAACAATACATATAATATCTTATCTACTTTAGAATAATAAATATGTCTAAACGCGCTATCTGGAAATGTCAATAAGGGTTTGTCAGCCTCTCTCTAGACTGTGTTTGCTTATATGTATTAAATGAAGGTAGATAATACATTCGATTACGGGTATGGCATTTAATTTATCAACACAACTGCCTATAAAGAAAATATTTAGGTAGCTATTTTAAATATTAATATCCTGCAAAATTTAATAATTTAATTCTAAAATAATATTTAATCAATGATAAACAATTTTACACGTTTAATCATTATCGTATTTGTTGTGGGCTCAGTAATATATTCAATCTTTTTCTTTAATATACTTATCAAATTCCTAGAAAACCTGTTTTAAAACTACAAACTTGTGAGAAAAGGAATAATGCTTATACCATTTAAAAGGGTATGCGAAGATAATAACACTCTTTCCCTGATTAAAAAATATATTTGAATTAAAATTAATTATTGTTAAATATTTTTATTTTATTCATTATTTTTATATAAATTAAAACTAACAGATTTAAATAAATACTTTTATTTTTATATGTTTATGTAAAATATACTCCCTTTTTAGTTATTTTCATTTTTAAATTTTACATCTTCTCATACACTTTAAGATCATTTATTTATTTCATTTGAGATGATATTTTTTATTTCATTCAAGTCTTAACTAAAATTTTTTGTTAAAAAACTGAATGTTTAAAGGATTTTATATAAGACATAAATATTTAATGTGACTTGCAAAAATTTGGAAACAGTAAAATTTTTTATGAATATTGAGTCAGATATTTTGTTTATTTTCAAAAATTTTACAAAAATTTTTTAAAGTTTAAAAAATGTTTTTTGTATTTTAAAAATATTTGATATGCAAAAATGAATATAAAGAAAATAGTAAGAAGACACCAATTCATTTAATAAAAAAATCTTTTGAATTCAGAGAAAGTTGAATACTTAAACAAATTCAATTGAAAAAAATAAACAAATTTTGCTATTTTTAGATAATTTAATATGATTTAAGAATGAGAAAAATTATTTAATTAATTTTGATATTTATTTCTAATTTGTAGATAAATAAAATATTATTAAAAATATTAAAAAATAAGTTTGAGTGCTTGTTTGAAGAAATTTGTTTTAGCTAAAAGAATTTATCAAATAACAAACAAATATGAAATTTTTTGATAAAACAATTAGTTTAGCATTCATTATTAATTCTTGTTAATGTAACGAACTAAAACACTAAAGGGGAGAGTTTTAATGTTAAGCCAGAAAAGTTCTAGCATATTTCCAAAAATATCTTTAGTACTTGCTCTAGTGAGATCAACAATCTTGCAATTGGGGAATTCTTTATTAATAACTGAGTAATATGTACCAATTTCATCAACTAGTCTTTATATTTTTATAAATTTTTAACATAATTAATGATGCATATTAGTTAATGTTAGAATTAATTATTACCCATATTCTACAGCTTTTTTTCCATTATAAATTTCACCTTAAAGCAAATCGTTTTAATATAATTCAGGTTGCATTTTTACTTTAGGTTTTCTTAATCCCTCAAAAGTCTAAATTACTTAATCCTAAAGATGACTGTTGAATTATCTGAAGAATTCTTCATTGTCTTCTTTTTGTTTGCTCAAAGAGTCAGCTCTATGAGAGAATGCAATGCTTTTATTTAACAAATAAATTATATAATTAAATAATGTTTTTCTTTTATGCTTGGTAATTTAATGAAATCATAAAATTTTATTGAATTCAAATTAAATTCCTAAGTTCAACAACTCACTCACAATTTTGAAATTATGTAAAATTAAAGAATATTTTAAGTTTTTTATAGAAATTTAAAACTGTTTTACTCAGAGGTGTGGAAATCATTTATAGTGAAATCAAGGGTTTTAGTAACTAATTTTTCAATATTGGTGTGTGTATAGTTAACTCCTAAATTTCCAACAAGTGATGTGTTATCAACAAATGACTTTTAACCTTTTGTCGTTAAATAAAAATAAGTAAGCACATCATGTTAAGTTATATTTTTTTAGTAAATATAAAATCATATTAAAGATATTTAAATAAATGTCTAGTTATATCTTTTATCTTTTTTTTGCTTATAATTTAAAATCTATTTATTTATTTATTTAAAGTCCTAAGTAAGTAAATAAGTATATTGAATGAATAATCTATCGTATCAATCAATCAACTCAATTTTTTTTTGATAAATAAATATCTTTTTTGATTTTTGATCGATTTAAAGGAATTAAAATATTTTCTACCAGCACATAAGATCAAATAACCTCCACTGAAGACTTATTCTTCTCCAAAAGTATAAACAGGAATTTTAGTGTTTTTTTAAAAGATTTAGATTTGCTTGATTATGTTGTAGGCTTGAGCATAAGACGAGGCTTTACAATAAATTAATAAATAAAAATTAGAAATTGTATTGCAATACTAACAATTGAATATCTAAAAATAGCTTATAATTTACAATCAGCAGAAATAACCAAAGCAACGGCTGCATTTTTATGCTTAGCAGCTTTATTAAGAACTCTCTAGACATTAAAAGTCCTGTTAAATATTTTAAAAAAACAATATTTTTTTCTGGTTTGCATGATAAATCCATAGTTGAGTCTTAAAGAATATGATAGAATACAATTAAAGATCTGTCAAATAAACAATAAATTTATAATTTAATCACGTTTATGCGTTAATACGATGAATACGACATACTGCTACTGCCTATTTAGAAATTTCTCTGCTAACAGGATTATCTTAAAATAAAAATGTCTTTAACTTATTGAGATATTAATTCATTCTATTATTCCTGATTTTTTTTTTTTGAAACACTACTGATTTGATTGATATTCTTAATAAAGAAAATCTTTTCTCTTTGGTATTTATTTATTTGATAAATAATAAAAAAAATAAATTAATATATAGATAGATAGATATTTTACTTTATTAAAATATCTTTACAGCCATCAAGAAACTACAAATCAATTAATCAATCAATCAGTTCTTATTTTTTGCTCATCTAAATAAATAACAAAATATTTTTTTACTTCTTGATAAAACATTACTGTTTGATGCCTTCATTTAATTATAAATAAATTATATTATTGCAAAATATATTTAATAGCTTTATTTAAATATTTTATACCATTTAAGATCTATGTACTTGCGATTGATAATCTATTTATTTTTTTATTTTATTTGGTATTTCTTAGAATACTTAGTTTTGTTAAATAGAATTCATTTTTGATTAAATAAAAATATATTTTTATTTAATTCGTTTACTTTTTAAATTTTAACAAATCTTTTTTTGATAATTTGATAATTAATAAGCAAGCACAATATAATACAAACTAATTTTAGAAAAAGATGATGAACTTATTTAATAAATATGGAAGGGTAGGCTGCTTAAATAATTTAAGATATCACTCATAATAAATTAGCCAATAAAAAAATGTTAATACTTAGTATGTTGGGAGGTTAAATTATCTCTAAAGCTTCCATTTCAGTTTGGAAAAAAAGAAGTAATAAGAAAAAATTAGTAGAATGATGCAAGAGAGCATGCAAAAAAAGCAATAAGAATTGTAAAAAAATTACAAAAAAGAGGGATTACTTTACCCTGAAGCTGCTAAAGAATATTCCCAATTGAACGAGTAACCAATTTAAGAGACTCCAGAAGAATTATGGAAATCACTTATTTTACTTTAGTTACCACAAGTTTATTATCTATTTTAATCATGCACTTCAGAATACTTTTCCTTTAATTTCTCGAACAGTCTCTCACTTGTTATTGACTCCGCTTCATTTAACATGGCAATATTCGGAGGAATGTATTTTGCATATGCAATGCTCAAGAAAGAATCTTACAACATTTTTTTGACTCCATTTACTTTAGGTTGTTTAGCTGTTTCAATGCACTTAGCTTACGATCTGAATGTTTACTGCTTTTTACCTATTTATGCTTGCTAACTTATATAAATTCTTGCTGACTACTAAGGGAGTGAATCTAAAAGATATCCTAGCTTTATGCTTTCTACAAAGGCAAGATATTTTATGATAAATTTCTTTATAACTTTGATAAGTTTCTTCTTGATGTAAGGTTTCTAAAACTATCAGACAAAAATGAATAAGTTAAAGAAACAATATGAAGATTAGAGTAAAGAACTTTCATAGTAATAAAATTTATAAAATGGGCCTTAATAAACTCAAAAAAAATGAAAAAATAAAAATGTTCTTATTTATATTTAAATCTATCAAATTAATTCTTATTATTTATGTATTTATTATATTATTTTCAAAATATAAAATATTTTTCAAATCTTACATAAAATTCAACAACAACAACAACTCTAAAGCTAATTCCTTCATTAATTAGTAATATTTTATGAAATTCATTTTATTAAGGAAGTAAATAAATTGATTGATAAATAGTTATTTATAATATATAAATTCTAAGTAATAAAATATATTCATTTCTATTTATTTTTTAAATATGTTTTTGTTTATTAATGTATTATAAATAAAAAGAAATTTAAGTAATCAAGCTTTTTTTTGATACATAAAAATTATTTTATGAGAAAAGAGGAATTTATTTAGATTGATTATGCTTTTGTCTAAAAATTATTAATATAATATAATAGTTGTTTGGATTGAAAATCATTAAAATTATAGAAAATTCATATAAATTTTTGTTTAAATTATTAATTTCTGTTTATTGGTTTAGCATTTTTTGCTTTTTATTTTAAAGATTACCAAATATATTGAAATTTATCTTTGTTTTTTTTATAGTAAAAACTGTTTTTTAAGAGATGAGTTTAGATTATGTATGAATTAGTTTAAAAAAACAATCAAAAAACTCATACTGAATATTGAAAATAATTATATTTAAGATATATATTGATTTATTAATTGATAGATATCTAGATAGGCATGCCAATCATAAAAACTATTTTACGAGGGGACTTTAGATTAATTATGGTTTGAAAGTACAATTACTTAATTCTTCTTAGATATTTTTTTATCTTAATTACTGAATTTCGATATTAGTCTTTTCTTGTTAGTAACTCAAAAGAGAAGCCAGATCTATTTTTTTTATTTGAGGTTCTTTCTAGATTATTTCTTCTATTAGTTTTTATCTCTTCTTTTAAGCAAAATACTCACTATTTTAACTGATTAACTTAGGACTCTTTGATCTATTTTAAGTTTCGCTAGATTATTGATTTATTTATTGTTAATCTTACAATTAACTTGGTTTCTTTGTTGACAATCTATTGTTGTACAATATTTAATACTTTTAATGAATATTATACACTTCTTGCTAACTCAAACTAATATTCCCAATTTCATCAAAAGTAATTTCTTGCTAAACACTCTAGAATCTGTTAGTTTTATCCAGCGACTAGGAGTCTGAACTTAAATTATATTAAGATTTACTATTTGTCTCGCTTAAATTAGAGAATACTGAGTTTTGCATTTGAAAATCTTCTATTATTTTAATGTCAGAGGTTTACTTTTGATTGCTGATATGGTTTTATAACACATTTGAAATACTATCTGTTTACAATTTTGGAATAAGGCCTTTTTTATCATATATATTCATTACAGCTAATAAAAACAGCTATAAATTTCTTTTCAAAATGTATCCCTTTAAATCTCCCTTTAAATAGTTCCAAATTTAAATGCACATATCAGTATCTATTTATATTAAATATTTTGAATATACTAAATAAGTTTATTTAATGGATGCCCATTAAATTTTGTTAAATATTTGTTAAAAATTTTAATTTAGAATTAAAAGAAGTTTTTAAAATAGTGTGATGAAGGGGGAGAAAATAAAATGAAATTTACATTGCTTATTAGTTTCATAGGTAGAAACGGTAATAAATCTCAAAATCTTGAGAATTTAAATCATTTCAACGAATAATAATGTTTTTGGACTTTCTAATCCAGTTAAATTTTCATTTTAGTTAAAGTTAAAGGAACTCTCAAATTCTTTCAAGAAACCAAGTATGAGATTACTTTAACTTTAAGCTTATATTTTTGTGGCAAATAAGTTTGGCTACACTTAATAAACAGAACTACTGCTCTATGATGATTTGCTAATACTCCTATTATTTTATTATTCTTAATATCTTTATCTTCTTTATGCGTCTTCATAAAGCAATACATCTACTCTTTGATTTCTTTAAATATTATGAGCTCTTTCAGAAATGGAAGGTTGGAAGTTAAACTAATCATCTTTGCTAAAATTTTATTCTTAGTTGCAATTTTCTTTACTTTTTTCTCTTTGGATTTAGGGAGTCTTTCTTTATTTGATTGGAGTTGGTCTCTGTTTATTAGGTGTTGTTCTTTGCGATTAATACAAACTACTTTCGTAAAGTCTCTCTATGACATTCTAATTTTCCTTATTCACTTCTTTTGCTAATATTTGGCTCTTTTTATTAAGCGTTGGCTTGCTCTTTATAGTTGATTATATCTTTAAATCTTCCTATTCTTTCATGAATTTTTATTGTTATTCATATTTCTTTTATATAACATCTTGCTTCTTTATAAATTCCTAAAACTGTTCCTTTGGATAAAAAGATTAAGTAGTATAAGGATTTGTATCTAAATATTTTGAACTAGATCTGCTAGATTTAAGATTGGGCTTGAATGTACATTCCTTCATTTCGCATCTAATTTATTTATCTCTTAAACGCTGCTTACTTTCTTATATAGCAAAATGCTCATATGCCAATCTATCAATTCTAGCAGAGAGTATTTAATTAGAAGGAGTTTAAGATAAATAATATTAATTAGTGTTATTACTAAATACTTTAAAATTCTACCTAGAATTAGTTTCATTTTACTCGACTCTAATTGTAGATGAAAAGTTATTTAGAATATTTTATTTTTAGCTTTAATTAGAATTGGAAAAGCAGCTGCTGCTGTTGTTGTTGTTTTAATTTTAGGAATGAGATGAAGGCCTTCTTAATAATTCCATGTACTGCAAATCTAAAGTCTATTTTTAAGGTGAAAATACCCCTCTTGAAGTTTTACTGTTGGATTTTTAAGAAAATAAAGTTTTCTGCAGCAACTCATAGGCAACTCTTGTTTCTTATGAAACTGAATTCTAAATACTCTTCATAATATTCTCTTAGGAGTTGTAATTTTTTTAAATACTACTATTATGTGTTTGCAATCTATCAAGATATATTATGCTTTATTGACTGCTATAGTTTTCTTCTGTTTCCTACTTTTCTTTTAATACTTAACACTTTTTTAAGCTTGTGCCTCCATTTTTATCTTAGCTTTTAGTATAATTTTATTACTTTGGCAAAATCTAATTCTCTTTTCCTGACTTTAAGAATCCACCGTTTTCATTTATATTTAATCTGCTATCAATTTTTGAACAATTTTCTATCTTTAAAGTTAAAAAATGAGCTTTAGTTTGATTGAATATTTCACATCTTAATACTTACATTTATAAATTAGTTGAACCTCTACTCTTAAGGACTGAGTGCATTTTCAATATAATTTTCATTTGATTCTAGTTATAAATTCAAAGAAATTTTAATATATATATTTTTTTAAGACTAAACGTAGTGTTACTGAAATTATATTTCATTAAAAATATTGAAATAAATATCATCTTTTATATAAATAATAGTAATAATCATTTTTATAAAGCTTGTCTTTTACTATTATCCAAGTTGTATTATTAAAATTTGACAATCTAATAATTATTTATTGAGAATATTAATATAAAATTTACTTAAAGTCTGGTTAAAACATCGAGAAAAAGTGTCTGTTAATTACAAATTGAGATTCTGGTTTTTAGGTTAAAGAATTTTTTGAAGAGTTGGACTTGATTATATTTCTTCTACTATGATTTCCTTATTTTATTGAACTAAATTATTATTTTAGTTAGAGGAAAAGAAGGGCTCTTGTAACTCCATTTTCTAAGAACTAATCGAAGGAGATTGATTTTATATCCTATTATCTGCAAATTAATTAAATGTAAGGTCTAATTTTTGAGCTTAATTTTTCTCATTTTCTTCATTCACAGATATTCTTTTAGATGCAATTATTTAGTTAGTCTCCAATATGTGGGGCTCTGAAGATATTCTATCTTAAGAAGAAGATCTTATCTTAAAAATAGGATCCAAACTGTCTTCAATAATAATAGGATTGTAGCTACTTTCTATGTTAGTTTTTTCTAAGCTTAACTTAAAGAGATCTCTTGAACTCATCGAAATTTAGTCAACCATAATTTTATGTTTAAATTATAATGTATATTCTTTTTGATTAAACTTTTGATAGATCTCTTTTTATAGTCAGATAGATTGATTTCTATTTAATAATTCTTTTTAATAAATATTGATAAATTAAAGGCAAATAGTAATGCAAATTAATTAATCGCCAAAGTAGAATTTTAAATAGAAGGTAAAATAAAATTTGATTAATTAATGAATTTATGAATGATCGGACATACAAACAAGCAAATGAATTAATGAATGAATGAATAAACAGATATAGAATATTATTATCAACAATAAAAACAAAAATTTCAGTTAAAAAGTGAAGTGATTAATTTAATAAATTAATTAATTAGACTGTTAAATTATAATATACAAATGTATTTATAATCATAACAATTTTATAAGTAAGTAAGTAAATAAATAAATAAATAAATAATTTTGTTTACAATTAATATATATTCTTTATTTATTTTTAAGCTGTTTCTTTATTTATTTATTAAAATCAGCGAAAAACTATTTTTTTTTTAATTATTTTTTACATTAATTTTTATTAAAACGAATTTAGTTACTATGTTTTACCAGTTTATTAATTATAAAGAGAAATCTTTAGTTATTTGAATATATTTTTTACTTTTTTGAGTCTGGAAAATTATTTACTTTTAAAATGAAATTGGTTGGTTGGATTCAATTAATTTGATTTGTTGAATCTACAGCGCGTTTCTTTTTTTATTTTCTCCTTACTTCAGTTATTCCTATAACTTTTCTGTATTTTCCTTAGTTATTGTTATTGTTTCCACTTTCAAGTTAGTATATATTTTAAATTTCCTTTAATTATTTATTATTTTCTAAGTAAGAATCAAGTTATTTTTGTAATAAATTAATTACCTGTCTACACAAGTAGCAGCATCCATTCTTTTTGCAAACATCTTTAGCACAGTCTGCACATATTCCTAAATAAATTGTAAAAATAAAAGTTTATGAAGGTTTTCTACATAAATTTAAAAATTTAAAAGGCAACAAGATCGTTTTTTTTAATGTCAGATAAGAATATTTATGAGACTTTAAATTAAAATGTTTTTTTAACTCTTGATTTAATTAGGTTTAAAATTTACCTCCATGGCCGCATGGCATTAGAACGGAATTTGGCTAATTTACAAAGCAAACAAGACAAGTTTGTTACTCTTTGTCTGAGTTAAATGATTTAACAGAAGGGCAGTATATTTAATTTTAATCGCTTTTAACACTATTTCTTTATTACCCTACCCTATTATTAGGCAATTAAGCATGTCTAGTTTGGTTAAATGTCTTTTATTAATATATCATATCTTTTTTTGGAGAATTAATTAGATTTTCTAATCTCTCTATTGGTAAACCGTTAAGGTTACTTTCGTTTTAGTTGCTTAAATGATTCATAAGCATATTCCTTGATGCTAAAGATTGATCTTTTTACCTATCTGTAATTGTCTCTTTTTCTTTCATATTAGCTATTTCTTATATTTGATTTAAAGAATGAGCTTAAACTACATATTAATTAATTATATTACCTCTCAATTACCTCTAGGTATTTCCAATTCTGTTAGTATCAATAATTTCGTTTTATTAATTCTCTATATCTTTTTTTATTTAATCTACCTACCTGAAGTAAGTTGTTGAGTTCTAAACCTAATTTATATATATATATATATTTTCATTTTTAATTTAAAACGAAAATTTTATGCTCAAAAAAAATACCATAAAAAGAGGGATGTTAAAATTTCTGGATTTTATATTGCTTTATAAGTACTTCTTTTTTATCTTTTAGTTATTTTATTAAACTTCCTCGATATTCGAATGCGTTGATCCTGATTATCTAATTATATTTTATATATTATTTTCTATGTTTCTCCTAATTTCCTCTTAGTTTTATTGTAGTTATTCTTCTCTTAATTTTTCTCTATTCTATTCAAATATATACTTTCTATTTAAAATTATAATAAATAAAATAATTATTGCAGGTATTTAAACATACTTAATCCTTTCCCTAAACAAGATATCAAACAACAATAGACAAAAGTTCATTATAATATATAATAGCATAGTCTTTTAAATTTAAACTTTTTATAAAAAATAATTTATATAAATTTAAAATTAATAAATTATAAATAAAATAAAAATAAGTTAAAATAGTTAGTTAGTTAGTTAGTTATTCATCAATTATAATTGTAGTAAGTATTGTTAAAAGTATTATATTAAACAATATTGATTGAGTGGTAAAGTTAATTCATTAATAAAAAATATTATTAAGTATCATTAAAAATATGATACTAAATGAAGTAATGCTGGCTCATTCCTATTCTTAAAATAACTGAAAATAGGTAAAGTTACTTACTAACTTTAATTCTAAAAAGCTTTTTTTTCTTAAAATAATTACTTGATTAGAAAATTCTGAATTTCTGTTGAAAGAGGTTTAATAAAAATGACAATAATTGTCGATTATTTCTTTTTGAATTAAAAGCTTTTTAATCATTAAAAATTTGATATTGAATATTGTAATGACCATTCTTAATCTAACTGAAAATAGATAGAGTGGTCAACTTTTATTTTAAAAAACTGTTATTTTCTTAAAATAATAAATTTCTATTGAAAAATCTTTAATTAAAATTGCAATAACTGTCTATCCATTTTATTTGAATAAAAAAAATAATTTCTAATTTCTTTTAAAAATATCAAAAGTTTTTAAATTAAGTATAATTAATTAATTAATTAATTAATTTATTACCATAACCCTGATTGTCAAAATATTGCATTAGAGAAACAGTTCCAAAATAGAAACATACAGCATAAATAGTAAAAGAAATCATGCCCCACAGGAATCCAAATGCTTTTAATTTAAAATATTATATTAATTAATTAATTTATATTGGAGTTGTATTTAAATTTAATTTACCATCAGTAGAAGAAGCTTGTCCCCTTAAAAAGTTGATGTAATACCAAACTGTCAATATAAAAATTTGAATAAAATAAAAGATAAATCCAACTAGCAGCAACCAGCAAGGTATGAAGACTACAAGCCAATCCCATTATATAAATTTATCATATCTCAATGCGATGATAAAGCATTATATAAATACAAATATTCTGAAAAAGAGTTGAATCTAATTTTTAAAATGATATTTTTGTAATCAGGTTATTTAATTTAAACAAAAGGTGAGTTACATTAGTAATAAAGCTACTAGAATTTGATCTTTTCATGACTGATCTCCACCAAAATATGTGTATAAATGGAGTATAAATTAAAACTAGAGTCGATGAATAGTGAAAGTTTTGAACTACTATATATAGAGCCACAAATAATAAAAATAAGCTACACGTTTCTACCAACTAAAATTTATCCTGCACATTTAAAATCTTGATGCGGCTTTTATTTAAAATAAATAATATTAAAAATTATCTTAAAATGATTAGTTAATTTCAGAAAATAAACATTTATTCAAAAGCTGTTTGTCTTAAAATTTAAAAATAAATTGGGTGGTAATTAGCTATCCATTTTTATTGGTAATACTAACTCGTTAATTTAAAATTAAATGACTTCGAACAAAATTACTATTAATAATTAGATAGCAAACAGAACAGCTCCCCACCACAAAATATATTAATTATTGGTATTATGAAAATGTAAATATTTAAAGAAAAATATTATATGAATATTGATTCATTAAAAATAAAATAATAAATAATATTTATTTATTTACTTATAAACTCTGATGGCAATAATTCCCTTGTAAAAAAATATCATAAAAATGATAAGTGAGACGAAGATAAAGATATTGTTGATCACTTTTTCATCAAAAAAAACTAGAAATCCCAAAACTGATAAAATACACAACTTAAGCTATACTATCAAGGTTTTTTAGAATATTTAGTTGCTTAAATTGTTTTCAAATTGGCTTTCATCATTATTATTTTAATTCATATTGCTTTCGTCAGTTCCATTTTAAACATTTCTATGCTCATTTTAATTATCTCTCTTTCGTTTTAACTAAATATTTTCTTCATTTACTTAACGGTTAGCTTCTTCATTTGCATTATTATTTTAATTTCCTATTGAAATTTATTGCTATTACTGTTATTATTATTGTTTTTTAAGTTGCTCTTCTTGAATTCTTGCTCTTATAGCTTATCTTTTTTGCTCCTATTTTTCTATCTCCTCAACATTAATCTGTAAATTGAGTTATCTCTACCTCATCTTATACTTATTGGTCACTTATCTTTCTGTTGTGCTCGTTAATCCAATATGTGTTGAACCGATAGCATTATTTGTCGATTCAGGAACATTATCACAGAGCTTTTTATTTAGCTCCTAGCTTGTTGCTATGTTCATATTCTTAAGATTTATACTATTTCCTATATTGTTAAATTAAGATTGATCGAGCTAATTCTAAAATGTTTGCATATTTTAGTCAAAATCATGGTTATTGAGAGGAACGTGAGTATTATCATTTATCCTTTGCAGCGCTGATATATCTTTTTCTTGATCTTCATTGATGAAAGTTGCATCTCTACGAGTATTAGATGAAAAATCATGTACAATAAATCTAGAAGTGTTTGAATCTATTCCTATCATTGATTAGTTTGCTGAGTTTAATTTAGAATGATCATTCATATTAATATAACTCCTATCAAATTCTATATGGCTCTTATCAAAATTTTGAAGTTTCATATCAGTTTCAGAAACCATTTTCTTGTGCTAGTTTTAATTATTACAATTTTCTATCATTTTATCCTAATTATGCTAAATAGAAGATACTGCTTAAGCAATTATTTTCATTTCTTCAATATTATCAAAATCAATTAACTAATTTTCGCCTTATACTTCTTTTTAATCTTGCTGCTACTCTTCTATATTACCGAAGCTGGCTTCTTCATTAATTTCATTTTATTATTCTTAATCTTCTTTTATTGATTCACTCTTTATTATGTTAATCTTAGGCTTATCTATTTATGTTTAAGTGCGTACAACACTATTACTTGTAATATTATTATTGATTTAATCTAAATTATCTCTACTATGAATATCAGAAAGATCCTCAATAATGTTACAATTGTTGCTATCAATATCATTTAATTTATTTAATTATCCTTCCTGCTTCATGTATTTAGATACTGAGTTTAATTCAAATTCCCCTACATTTTGCTTTTGTTAAGATATAGAATCATCGATTGCAATTATACCCTATTCATTCAAAATAATTAAGTTATTAAAACCTAAGAAAAGTAATTATAGTATCTCAATCAAAATAAACAAAAAATTTATTTTCGACTTGATTTCTAGCTAGTTTTCTGAGAAATATTTTATAGAATATTATTCAAAACTTGCAAAAATAAGTAAAATTACTTACGCTTTTGTTGACTTAGTAGCTACTCTCATCCTTTTTTATTTAACTTTGCTATGGAATCTAGTGTGAAGAGTCATTAACAGCCACGACTATATTTTCCATTTAGCTAATCAAAAGTTAATATAAATATATAATTCTTATGTTTGTTTGTTTGATATTAATTTTTTTAATTAACTTAATTTGTAAATTCTTTAAATTAATTACTAGTTTTTTTTCTTCTTACATCATTCTTTTAAGAAAGCAGTAAAGTTAAATATGCAAAAAAAAAAAAATCAAACAAACATACAAATAAATAAATCAATCAATCAATTAATTTTTTGTTTGTTTGCTTTTAAAGATTCGATTGATAATGCAATTTGTATAATCATATTTTTTTTAACTTCTATCAATTAATTTATCTATAACCTTATTCGAAAAATTTAAACAGCCAAATAAATGTAATGTATAATGATATATTTTGTTGTAATCTTACTGTGAATAAATATTGATTGCAAAATATTTATTTATAAATGATTACTCTACTCTCTTAATAAACTTATATGTTCAGTAAATTTAATTAGATAAATAATATTGCATTAATAAAAAGAAAGAAAAAGAGTTAAGATTTTGAGATTTCATTTAAGATTAATTTGTCTCTATTTTTAGATTTAAGTATTTCTATAAAAATAATTTTTTATCTTGAAAATGAAAATAAATTTATACATTAATTATAATCCTGTTTAAAACTAATCGTTTATGGGTTTAACCTTTACAAATTTGAACTTAAAAAAGACACTCACCTTATTACATTTGAATTAATTAGTTTTCATTTGAATTTTACAAACTTTAATAAATACTTTCAGATTTAGTTACTTTAAAAATCAATAAAATTATCTTTATCCAATATCTACATATCAATGAAAACTTAAAAAAGTAATAGCTAATTACTTAAATTTTACCTAAAATTTTAAATATTATTTTCATGATATAAAAAAGTAACTATAACGAAATTTGTTGAATAAGTTTTATTTGTTCAAATTTTTCAACTTAATAAAGAATCTATTTTTTTTATTAAATTATTTGTTCATTAGTTAGTTTGTTATCAACGGATTTATTTTTACAAATCAATTTTATTAATCAAAGACGTTTGAAATTTGCCAATTTATTGTTTTTAGTAAGTTGATTTCTGGAATAAATTTAGAAATTAAGAAATAAAATTTCTACAAAATCTATTTTAAGATTTATTTTATTTAAAATACATTTAGTTTATTTTATATCTTTTTATGAGTTTTACTAGAAATATTTCAATTTATTTTTTAGTTCTTAAAAAAAGTATTTTTTTATTCCAAAAATAAAAAATAATTTTCAAAATGAATAAAAAATGAATAAATTAATTTGAATAATATCTTTTCTATCTAAATAAATTTATTGTTGTGATTTATTTTAAAATATTTTCATTTTTTTTTCATTATTAAAATTAAATTCTACATTCGTTTGCTTTTGATAAATTTTTTAGTTTTGGTATCTAATAAGTAAGAACAGTATCCAAGCTACAAAAAATCATTTGTAAATAAATTGAAAATAAAATTAAGCTAACAAATAAGTTCTGAATTATTTTTATTAAAATTAAAAAATTTGATAAAAATAAGAAAAAGAAAAAAAATGGATTAATCACAACAAAAGGATTTCTAAGCTTATTTGGAAATAATAAAGAATAAATAATTAAGATGTCAATGGATAAGGCTTGATAGATTGTAACAGATAATTAAATTCAAAGTAAATCCATCTTAACTAAAGAGCAGCAATTACTTCTTTTATGACAAAACAAAAAATGCTGTAAAAGTCAAATATCCTTATGAAACAATTTCTAACTTACAGTCCCTAATTGAATATTTTGACTCTAATAGATGCGGAGTGGTTGCTAACTTGGAATTCTTACTAGCTTATGAGAAGATTTCTGAAGATCTATCAATTTTAGAAAAAAAAATGTGGATTTTTTCATTCTATGAGAAAGACGAGAACAAGCAGCTTAACAAAATATATTTAGTAAACGATATTAATTTTAAAAAAGAATAATCTGTAGACATAAAACAAGATGTTCCATAAAATTTTCAATACTAAAACAACCCTTCTTTCTTTAAGAAGAGAATAGATATGAATGAAATGCTTTTAGTTGAGTTAGATCCTAAAAAAAATTTAAAAAGTGAATAAAAATCTAAATTAAACTTTCAAATAAAAAATGATCACGTTTAATAAGAAGACAATAAAGTTTATAATGTATTCATTTAGGCTCTTAAATAATTTAATTTATGAGGCCAAATTTTACTTTGTTAATATAAGTAAAAAAAATATTATTAATTTTTTTAAAATTATTTTAAAATAAATCAACATTCGCTTATCAATAAAAAAATATGCTCATGTTAAATAATTTTATTTCGACTATTTTATTTACTCTCTGAATAAAATAAAGCTATTGTAATTTACATAAACACACATACACATATATATATTAAATAAAAACACTTAAAACCAAAGAATAGATAAGTATTTTAGATTATTAATAAAATCATTCATTTATTATCAGGATTTGTATCTATGTATATAATACTTGCTATTTCTTAATACTTTTTATTGCTTTAAGTATCCTTTACTCTTATTATTTATTTAATTGGCTATTTATTTAAAATAAACAATTGATTTATTTATTTAAATAAATAATATATCAAATATTATTATTCAAATTAAAAAACATGTCCATATTTTGATTGACTTAATTTGCATAAAATATGAGCTTATTTAAAATATATCAATTAACTAATTAATTAATTAATAATTTATTTACCTCTCTACACAAAAAACACATGCCTGTCTTTATAGAAATATCAAGAGCACACTACTTGCAAATTCCTATTTTTAAAAAAATCAACAAGCAAATTATTAATTTTTTAAATGTTTTAATATAAAAATCACCTCCATGCCCACAATTCATAAAGACTGAATTCGGAGGATTTTCAAAACAGACTACACATGTTACTTCGCTTCGTTTATTTTTTTACCCTTCTGCTGATTTGCTTAAATCATTATTATTTGTATTTATAGAGGTTTAATTGTTTAATGATTCATTTTTGTTTTCTGAAATTTTTAAATTGTCGTTGTTGCTTTCGCTTTTGCTGCTGCTGCTGCAATCAACAGAAATTTCATTAATTTTATTTTCTTTTTATAAATTATTTTAATTGAGATTAAATTATTTAATTTGTAAATTAGCTTAAGAATTTTGATTTTGATTTTTGAAAGTGAGTTAAGTAAGAGATTTAAATTTATGTATATTTGAATTTTTAAATAAAATATGTTCACTATCTTTCTGTTCTTGTCTATCAATTTAGCTCTCACTTTAAATCTTATTTATTAATATTTTCTTTTACTTTTGTTCAATTTTTTATTTTTATTTTTTAATTTCCTTTTCTTATTCCTTTTACTTTTTTTTGTCCTAGAGCAATTAGTTTTTATCCTGGAAAGTAATTTTAAAATACGTTTGGGACATTTTAATCTATTTTATTTAAAAGTTTAATAATGTTTTAATAAGAATTGATTTAGTTTTCATTGTACCAAATATGAAGGAGGTCTCTGAGCAATTTTGGAAAAAAATTGAGAAATCTAATTTATGACTTGATGAGATTTTTAAGGGTTACTTTCATTTAATTAATCATTTTGCATATTTTGATTAATTTGAGGTTACTCAATTTCGTTAGATTGATTTTCTACATTTTACTAATTTTACTATTAAACTTTTAAAGTATTTAGATTTTTAATCATTTCTTATGGAGTCGGGCAATCAGACATAAAATATCTAATTAATTAATTAAATATAAAAAGAAATAATAAAAAGCAAAAATTTTTTATTAAGATTTATTTTACATTAAATCCAAAGAATGCTTTTTAGAAAAGATTATCATGATAAAGCCAACAATTGCATTTGTAACTAAGCTAGCAAGAATCATATCTTTTTAATAAGTTATGGTTAGATATTTAAATTTTTCTAAAAAATTACTTTAGAAATTTGATTAAAGCAAGAGTAAAACTCCAATTAACAAAATCCAACTACAAGCATATGTAGATATAAGTAATCCAGTCTCCCACTATAGGCCTATATCTATAAAATTTATTATTAGAAGAAATTCAAACTTAAATCAAAGCTTACTATTGACTATAGGATTTTTTTTCCTTATATTTTTTAGCAAATAATAAAAAGTCTATATGCAAATTATGGTTGTGAGCACAAGAATAATAATAGTAGGAACAAAAATAGAAACCCAGTTGAACTGAACAAATGAATCTATTTTAAGTAGAATCATCAAAGCCTACACAAATATTAAGCAACGAAGTCCAAATATTAACTAATTATAAATGAATAAAAGCATATCAAATAAATAAATAAGTAATAAATCTTCATAAAATTTATTTATCACATTAATTTCAATAATTTAAATATTTTATTTCTTTTAATCTTGAAGAAATATTTCACTTGCTTTTTATATTTCAAATTTATTTTCAGATTAATTTCTATTTTTTTAAATCACATTTAAATATTTTATTTTTTATAAGTTTTCAGATACATTTCATGTGCTTTTTAGCATTTTTTTTTCTTTCATAACTTTATTTTAAAATGGGTGGTTAATGAAAAAAAAAAATATTTTCCTCTATAAACATGGTAGAATGAATACTTTTAATCAAGTATCACAAAAATAATTTAAGCTTTAAGATCATAAAAAATAATAAAAATGCCTATTTTAACATTTTTATTTGCTTTAAAAAGTAAGTAAACTTTTTATTTTAAATCATTTTTTATTGATAATTTATTCATAAATCTAAATTAAGTTAATTTACGTAAATGACTTAATAGTCATCTTCTTCTGAGTCATTGTCAACTTTTATATTTCTTTAAATCCATCCCATTATGTGGACGAAAGGCCAATAAAAAATAAGCATCAAGTTAGGAAATTTTTTGATTTATGTATTTAAGTATAAAGCCTAAAAGAATAAACTCATAAAAATAATTTCTGCTATTAAGTAATTCGAGCAGAGTTTTTAGGTTTTTCTAATTTGATAGATTATTAAAATAAATAAATAAATGAGAATAAATATTAATTGTAAAAAGAATACATGTAGGCTGCGCTCAATAATAAGATAGTTCCTAAGATGATTAAATTATTTTAATTTATTATCTAAACTACAAAACTTAAGATGAATAGAATATTGATAGCAACTATTATTGTCATAATAATCAGGATTATTTTAAATATATTTCTTGAGTAATCTTATCTTTTCAGTTGCTCTAAAGAGTATAGATGATAAATACCAATTTGTTGTTGTAAATTTTAAGATGGACCTTTATCTTAATTTTAATTTTATACTTACTCTGATTATTGCATGTTACTTACTTAAAAATTAAAGTTCTACTATTGCAAATTTAAAGGCTAACTGTTGTTTTCATTGCTAAATTAAAACTATAAATCTCTCATTTATTACTATTGATCTAAAATCTCCCTATTTTGTAAATACTGATTATTCCTGCAATTACTTCTTGATGTATATTACTAAATTTAATTTTCTACATCATTTAATATATTGTCTACATCTATGTTGTTGATTTATCTCTCTGTATTCTAACTTACGTTGAACCTTTGTGACAGAAAAAAGTTAATAGATCGTTCTCTACCGTCAGGGCTCATTAACATTTATGAATGAGGAGATAGGACAGATCTCTTTTTTTAAAAGAAAGGAATTAAATTATTTATGATTAAATCCAATCTTACATTTATTTAGAAACTTGGATTGACTGAGCTAGAAGCCTCCATTAGCATAAAAACAATATTTTCAAGATTAAAAAATTAGTAGAATTAAATTAAATGATTATTCTAAAAAATTTAATTTGGTAGAAAGAAGAATAAATAAATAACTAAAATAAGGTAATAAATTTTTTGATATATTTAATTATAAGCTAATTAATTAGTATAAAACATAAATGTTCGATCATAAATTTAACTATACTAATTCTTATTTAATTTAAGTAATTTTTATTTTTCTTAACTATATAGTTTATAATAAATTTTTTACTATATAAAATAATATAAAATAGCATAATTTTATCATAACAAACAATAATTGGCAAATATTACAAACAAATAATAAATAATATTAACAATTTTAAAGTAAGAGTAACATAATGTTTTTTATATAAATATTTTTATTTAACTGATCCTTCATTAATTTTTACTTTCATATTAAAGTGTATGCATGTATGGTGTTCATTTGCAATAATTTAAAAATTAAAATAATATTTTCTTTGTACTTAAAATGACTTACAATATTTTTTTACACAAATTTTATTCTTCTTTGGTAGAATAATTTATGAAAATATAATAAATAATAAATTGTAAATATATAATTAAATTTTACTTACCATATATAAAATAATATTAATTAATTAATTATTTGTTAAAATTAATAATTGTATTAATTTATTGAAATTTATAATTAATTAATTGAATTAAATATTTTTATTAGCTTTTTGCTTGCTAAATTTTACATGCTACCTTAAAATATTTGGCATATTTAAGGTAAATTATATTACGACTAACATACATAAATAAATAGAATGATATATATATTCATAGAAATATCTGAATATTGATTTTATAAATGGAATTTAATTAGAGAATCTGATCAACCAACAAAGAAAAGAAAAAAATAGATATTAAATAATCCCATCAAAATCAATGTTGCTGACAAGCTTTCTTTTTTTGTTTGATTATTTGCGGATTATCAATTAATTCAATAGAATACAATATAATAAATAAATTAATTTTGAGTATAATTTTGATATAAAAGATATAGCAGAAAATAAGCAAAGTGAATAAAATGGTATATTAATTCAAGCAGCATAAATCTAGAAAAAAACATTATTTCAAATAAATAGGCTGAACATTCAAGTTTCAACGCAGTTAACAATGTCGAAGTAGTTTGTGGTATGGCAATTCCTCCAATTAAAACTAAAGTTTAAGGACCTGCTGCCACTATTCCATAATAGGATGTAATTGATATTATTGATGAAGCTATCAAGTTTTTCAGACCCAATTTATTATTTAAAAATTATGAAATAAAAGGTAAATAAATAAAAAAGGAATTTAGTATTATAATAAAACGATTTAAGTAATAAATTTTAATTTATTTTAATTTAATATTAAGGTCCTGGAGATGTTTTCATTATTTACATGACTGTATTCATCACATAATGCTTAAGAAAGATTGCTAACGAGTAAAATAAATAATGCAATAATTTTAGTTTAATTGCTCCTTTTATTACTTAAAATAGGGAAAAAGAAGCTAATGCTTTAAGGATGCTTATTGAAATGGCCAGATTACCCGTACCCAAGCCTAACGAAGCTGGTTTCTTTATGAGAGGTATTGCCAAAGATCCCACAAGTAATGCTGAAGGTGAAAAGTTTAGTGCCTATTTAAAGCAAGCAAAAGAAGAACTTGTTAATAGATTGATTAAAGTGTAAGAACTTAAATTATTGAAAAAACTATTTAAATATAATTGATATATTTATTTATAAAAGTCATGTTGCTTGCTTAATTCATGCTTGCTAGTGATTTCTAATTAAAAAGAAATTAAATTCTTATTTGAAATATTTTAAAGAATGACTATTTATTAACATATTTTATTTTTTAATATCCAATAATAATAGCCTATACAAAGACGGTGTTAAGTCATGGGATCATAAGTTCTGGGTTGGACTTTCCAAGAAGAATTTCATGAACCTTAAATTCTGAAAATATATACAAATTTTAACCTTTAAATTATAAAAAAATAATAATAAATAAATAAACAAACTAACAAACAAATAAACCAATAAATTGTTAAAAATAATGCTTTTTTATGTGTAATAAACAACATTTTAGAATAACCTAAATTTATATTTTATTTCTTTGAAAAATTGTTTTTGATTTTAGCAAAGTAAGTTTAATCTTTTTAGAAAAGTATTTGAAAATAGTTTTTTGCTAAAAAATTAATTGCTTAAAAAATGTTAAGCATTTATTTCAATACAGAAAATTTATCTCGAAACCAATTAAATACTCAAAAATATAAAAACTTGTTCACGAATAAAATCTTTTGTTTGTGAGAAGATCTAAGATCTTTACTAAGTTTTAAATTAGATAATACAAAATAAATATTATTATTAAATTCTAAGCTTTATATAGTTTATAATATTTATTTTATTAATTATGAAGAAAGTTTTATATCTTAAAATAAAACAAAAACTTAAAATTTATTTATTATATTTGTTAGAGTTAGCTGAATTTGCTTATATTTTTTTCAAGTTAAAATAATTTAAGGATTCAGAAATTAATCCAAATTTATTAATTAAAAAGTAAATAAATAAAATAATTAAATTTATAACAATAAATAGATGCTGCTTAATTTTTATAATTTTATAATATAGATGCTGCAATTTAATATTGACATAAACTTGCTGAACTATTTAAAATATAAATAAATACTTTATAATTTAAATCATTTTATTTTACTTAATATAGATATTAAATGTAATATCTATTTTTAATACTTTTTTTTATTTCTTAAAAATGACCTAAAAAATAAGTTGACTTTTCATATCTTTCATTAAAACCAGAGAATTTCATATAAATTAATATTTAGTAGATATTAGTGGTCTCAATCAATATAATCAAGTAAAAGTATATGAAAATTCTATTTAAAAAATTGAAGCCTAAACAAATAAAGAAGAAAAGATTAAATAAATATGGAGATGGAGCATATTTAATGGCTTATTAGTTTTTTGTTTGTTTGTTTGTTTGTTTGTTAGTTAGTTAGCTTTTGCAAAAAAAGAAAACAGAAAAATTAATTTATAATTTTTGAAATAAGATGAGAGAAAGCGAAATAAAAAGGAATAAAAAATATTAAAACTTACATAGGTAATAAATAAATAATGAAAGAATGAATGAATGAGTCATTAAAAAATGAATGAATAAATGAATTAATCAGTCAGTCAATCAATCAATTAGTTAATTAATAAACAGATATTTACTTTTCAATGATTTTGAAATAATCAATAATAATTAAAAGAAAGAATAATTAATATTGAAAGGTGAAAAAAGAAGAAACATTAAATAAGTTATAAATGGATTGGATTAATAGATTAGAGAATATTTAAAACAAGATAAAGTTCTAGTTACACGCAAAGAAAATAGATGATTTGGAGTCATTATACAGATTGATGGCTGAGTTCGATTTAGATAACTCAGGCAGACTTGAAAAGGACGAGTTTTTGAAGTTACTCAGCAAATTAGGAGTATTTTTAACAACTTAGGAACTCCGTGCAGTTTATGACACATACGACACCAATAGAGACGAATAGATCTCTTATGCTGAATTTGTTTAAATGATTAGAACTACTATTTCCGAAAAACGTTTAGCTGTTGTCAAGCATGCCTTCTAATTCCTTGATAGAAGGTTTTATTTTATTTGCATATTTAACTTATAATTTATTCATCAATTGACTATTTTAGTTAAGCAATCCTAATTCTATTTATATTTATCATAATGATATTTTATTCAAGAGCATTACAGAATTAACAACTTTAATCAAATGTGATTTTATTTTGTTAAAATTTTATTTTATTAATATTTTAGAGGCAATGGTAAGCTCGCTATCTAAGATTTAGTCTAATAATACAGATCTGAAGCTCATCCTAGAGTTAGAACTCGCCATAAAACTGCTGAATAAGTTAAGGCTGAATTCGTTAATGCTATCAGCAAGAAGAGTTAAGATGGTAATTTATTGCATTGCTAAACGATTATTGAATTTGAACCAAATTTAAAATATGTTTGTTTAGTTGATAATAAATCTCGATAAAAGAAAAGTTGATTTTTGTTAATAAAATAAATAAAAATAAGAAAAAAGATATAGATGATTGATTATGAAACTTACTTATTCAATTAAAATCCAAACATAAATAACTAATTCTAATATATCAATTTAATTATTTAAATATTTATTATTTTATTCAATCTAGGCTAAACTATCAATGAAAACGAGTTTTTGGAGTACTATGCTGATGTCAATGCTACTTTACCTAAAGAAAAGGAAGAATACTTTATTGATATTATTTTAAGCACTTGGGGTATTACTTCTTCTGTTGATTATGTTTCTCCGGAAAGACTCAATGATTTGGAATTAATCTTATATGAAAAAATCAGACAAAAAACTCTCCCTGGAGAAGATGAAGGCAGAACTGTTTATCGTGCTTTCAAATACTTTGATATTGCTGAAAAGGGAGTCATCGACATTTCTTAATTCAAGGCAGCTTTAGAAAAGTTTGGATGCGTTTTCGATGATAAAGAAATCCATGCCCTTTTCAGTAAATTCGATGTCAACCGTTCTGGAAAAATGTAAAAAAATAAATAGCAATCAAATAAATAAGCTTTTTAAATTTTATACATTGTTTATTTTTACTGACTTAAATTAACAATTAAATAAAATTAATATATAGATGCTATGACGAATTCTGTGGAAACTTCGCTAGATTGGGAAGTGGAAACAATCCTAATGTTAACCCTGTCTTTAAGCTAGCTAGAGAAGTACCTTCTCCTATCATCAATAAATTAAATGCAGACCTTAAAAAGCAAGGACCTTTTGCATTCAGATCTCTCTCCAAAGCTTGTTAGAAGGCTGATACTTTCTTGAATGGCTCTCTTTCCCATGATGAATTCAAATGGGTCATTAAAGAAATTGGTTTCTCACTTACAAAAACCGAATTCGATAACTTATTTAAATTCTTTGACAAAAATTATGAAGGAAAAGTTATTTATTCTGTCTTCATTGACTTAGTAAGAGGTAATTATTATTTAAAAAAGAATAAATAGGATAAAAATATTATTTTATTAATAAATATTAGGACAATAATCTGAAATAATTACCTAATCTTTAAGCTAAGGTTATGATGCTTTAGCATCCAATAACGGTGGAAAAGTTACTGTTGAATCAATAGTTTAAAGATATAATCCCCTTGCAATTTAAATTATATATCCTACAAGAAAAATTGCATAGGATCTCCAAAGAGAGTTTGTTGCTGAATGGGGTGGAAATCTATAATAATAAGTAAATATTAAATATATCTTAAATTTTTTTAAAGCATTCTTTTTTTTAGGTTAATAAAAACGCTTTCGTAGAGTTCTTTAGCGATGTTAGAGCCTTCTGTGATAGTGAAAGCAAATTCCATCAATATTTTTCTAATGCTTTCGGATTGTGAAATTATTGATAGTTATATAAATATTCAATTCAATATAAAATTACTTGATATTAAAATTATTCTTTTATATATTCAACTTACTCTTATTTTGTTTATTTTAACATAATAATACAAATCTTTCTTTCAAATTAATGAAGTACTTCAATATTTCAAATAATATATATATATATAATATCTATATTCAACATTATAAAAATAATTATTTCTTTTATAATTCAAAAATAAATTTTTATTTTAATTAAATAATAAATAATTAAATTAATTTATGAAATTAGAGTTAATATTATTATTAATATATATTTAATAAAATTAAGTTAATACATTAATTTTAAAATAAAAACTTAAAATGATACTATTTAAGTATTGTCTTGAATTTACATATTAAAAATATAAAAATTAATTTTTACATAAATATAAGTAAAAAGCTTTTGATATTTAACAAAATAAATTTTGATTTCATTATTAAATCCTAAAAAAAATAATTAAATGAATGGATAAATTACAAAAAAAAAAATGAAAAATAAATAATTAATTTTTATATTAAAATCTAATTTATTTTTTGATTTATTACAATTATTTTAAAAGCTTCATAAATATCTTAATGTTTTTTCATAAGAAGTTTATATTTCTTCAAAAATTATTGATTAAATAGAAAAATAATACATAAATCTACTAGTTTTATAATTATAAAAACTAATTGATAGCTATAAAATGACTTGCTATCTCTTATTTATTGCCCAGCCTTTTCAATAGTAAATTTTATTTTAAGCCAAAAGATTACTACTCTTTAACTTAGAAAATATAATCTAACAGAAAAATTAGCAAATAAATTTTAATATTTAGCTAAAATTATTGTTAAATTAATTGCTTATTTTAATTAAAAAATTAATTAAAATAAATGAAGATGGATTATTCTTTATTTAAATATTGATTAAAAATAATTAATTTTAACTTAAAAAAATGTATTTTACATATTTAAATTCATTTATGAATAAAGTGAAAAACTATTAATAAAGAAAATTTTTTTATTTTTAATCTAGTTTTGAACATAAAAATACAAAAAACTGAATTAATATATCATTCTAAGAGTAAGTTAAATATCAGATTATATAAAAATTTCTTTTATAAAAATAGATAGATATAAGTCAGTTTTCATCAAAAAAAGATTATTTAAAATTTTTATCAAATTGCAAAATTAAAAATAAACAAAATGCTTAAATTTATAAATAAATAATGAGTTGATCTATCACTAAAATGTAAGTTTAATTTAAGATTATATAAATTTTTCTTTTATAATAATCTATAAAAATTTTTCTAAATATTAAATTAAATTTATTATTTATTTATAAGGGAAAAGATGACTAATTAATATTAAAAATAAACAATCAAACATATGGATTTAGTTAATGAATGAATTGTTTAATTTTTTTATTTTTGATAAAAAAAGTATCAACTTAACTTCAATTACTCTTCAAAAATAGTCAGCCATAATTTATTTTTTAAGAACAAGATAAAATCACATCAATTTTGACCTTTTATTTACATTTTAGTTCTTGCTTTACAAATTTATTTCTTTTATTAATTAATAGCTTAATGAATTTCATTTTGTAATTTAAAAGTGATTGACGTATTTTAGCTAATTTCCAAAATTGGAGTTATTATAATTTAGTGTAAACGAGTCTTCAAATAATTATTGATCAATATTTTTCTACTTCCATAAAAAAAAAATGTCTTTCTCCACCTTTAATTATTAATTTTTTTATTTAATTTTTATTTTTTATTAATAAATTCTGGTTAAAATTAAATATTTTAAGAAGTGAAAAAAGAATAAGTATGATATTTAAATTTTTAAAGCAATTGTCAATGGAAAAGATTAAACTCTCAGTTATACTTTGGTTATTTGTTTAGAAGAAAATTACAAAAACTCATTGAATGCCTTAAAAATATGTTAAAGTACATGAATATAGCTGATTACCGCTCTTACCAATAATTTCATATTAGCTATTAATATAGTAATTAAGAAAAATAATGCTTAAAAGAAATAAAGAAATGATGAAGTAATTGTGACTGACTTGAATAAAAAGTGTATTTGTGGAAATAGAAAATAATTAAAATAAATAATTGAGTAAATTTTCAAGCAATCAATTCTTCTAATTTATTTAATTGTGAAATTTTCCGAAAATTTTATCAGATTTGTATTCTTAAGATCGATTGTGAGTATTTGGGTAACAAACAATTTTTATATTTGGATCCACAAATTTAAAAACGATAGATAGATATCACGTATGCAACTAATTCCTTCAACTTATTATGTAGTTGAAATAAATAAATAAATTATTTCTGTAAGATTATAACTAATTTTTGTGAAATTAATTCTAAAAAATAAAAAATAATAAAAGCTGCTTGTTTATTAAAAGATCAGCAAATACTATTCAATCTTTATGCTTTACAAACATTAAAAATGTCCATTAGTAATTTAGAATAGAAATAGTCCATAATTGAGGGTGAGCAACAAATGAGCCTTCAACCATTAATTTAAGAAGCAAAGATTAGTTTAATTTAGTCTGAAGGATTGATTTATCCTGCTTCTTCAGATGATGACATTAAAATTGAAGAAGAACCAAAGAGTACTGTCTTTGTAGCTACAGCATAAACCCTAAAAAGTGGAATAGGTTCTGGAGTACTCTTCCTCCCTAGCACATTCCAAGCTTGCGGTATCACATTGAGTTCCATATTCATGGTGTTATGTGCTATTGTTTGCTACTTTTGCTGGTCACTTATCAGTTAAATAATTAGATTTTAAGAAAGTACTGACACTAAAGATCCAACAAATAAGCATCTCACTTTGGATGAAGCTGGTGGAAAATTATTTGGGAAAGGATTCAAAATTTTCATATAAGTATGTACATATATTTATTCCTATTCTACTTGCTTCGGATACGCCATATTTATCTACTAATCAACAGAAGACACTATTCCAAATCACATGGTTACTATGGCCATCATGTATGCCATATATCTTCCTTTTTCCATGTATAAAAGAATTGACAGGCTCTATTTATTAACATATATTGCTTTGGCTGCAAATATAATCACTTTAGTATTCATAGTTGGCAAGTCAAGTTACATTATTGGTACAACGAATGTAAACTTTCCTAAGTTAACTCAATTCAATTTCTCATAATTACCTTTATAATTTGGAGTTTTTTCTTTTGCTTATGACATAAATGGTGTTTACACTGAAATTCATGCTTCTATGAAAAATAAAAACCAATTCGATAAGGTCTTGCAATATTATTTGACAATTTTCACAATTATGGGCATCCTTGTTGGTTTATTGGGATATGTTGCTTTTGGAGAAGACACTGAAGCTGTCATTTTTAACAATATTGGCTCTATGGATGGTGTAGGTACAGGATTAGCATTCTTATACAGCTTAGCAGAATTAGCCAGCATTTTACTTTATGTTTTTTGTGTGGTGAAATTCTTTGATAAAACTATAAATAAATACGTATTAAAAAATGCAACAAAATGTATGACTTTCTTCTAAGAATTTTTTGTAAGGTCTGTACTTTTTTTCTCGTTCGCTTTTCTAGGTCTGTATGTCACTCAAATTAACGCTGTTTTTAACATTATGGGTTGTGTCTTTTGTACAATTTTGACATATGCATGTCCTATTTTCCTTTACCACAAAGCCAGAAAAATCTAAGACAGAATATTGAATTCAAATTAGGTTCAAGATTGTGAAAAGGGCGAAAGCTGTGAAAAACCAAGTATAATTTTATTGAATAAAAGTAATTGGATCTATGTTCTTAGCATTTTCTGTCTTATTTTTGGTTTACTAGGAGGCATTTCTGGGCTTGTTAGCACAATAATTTCCTTATAACAATCTGGTTTTTGAAAAATTTTATAAAAAAATTAATAAAATATAAAATAATAAAAATATTTGTAAAAATATGAAATTCATAGTATTAAATCTACTTTTATATTTATTTATATCAAATTTGTTTAAATTTTGAAGTTTGATTGTATTTATTTTATTCATTAATTTATTCATATTTTTACTAAGTTAAATGTTATTATTTAGTCATTTTAATTAATTTTTGGCTTTATTTTAATTTTTTATAAGTAATTAAACTAAAAGTTTAACCCAAATTTACTGTCTACCTACCTTCAAACATTTTTATTATATAAGAGGAAAAGTGAGGTTTGGCGAATAATTTTTTACACCCAATTTTTAAAATCAATTTTTTAGTTAAAAAATTGATTTTAAAAATTGGGTGTAAAAAATTATTCGCCAAACCTCACTTTTCCTCTTATATTTTATTCTTTAAATTTTAAATTAGTTGTTTTTTAGATCATAAGAAATAGAGTTACATGAAATTAATTTAAATAAACTATTTATTTTATTTTTAAAAATAATTTGATTTAGAGTTTCACAAAAAAATTGTTTTAATTATTTTTAAGTAAAAGTTTTGAAAGAAAAAAAAAAAACTTTTACATTTTTATTAGAAAATTTAATTTAAAAAATAGATATAATAAAATAAGTAGTTTAGATTTATTTAAAATGAGTCTTTTATTTAAACTTTAAAAGGATTAGTAGACTTTTTTAAATTTTAGCGAATAAGTTAAATCCTAATTAATTAAGCTCCAATTAATTAAAAAAAATAAACACCAAAAATTTTCATTTTTTTTATTAAGATTACATTCATAAATAGCTCATATAATAAAAACAAACTGTAAATGTTTTTATTAATTAGTTTTTTCCAAGTTGTTTGTTCTTAATATATGAAAAGTTAGTTACAGTATGTTATAAAATTCTTATTCAAATATAGTTTAATATTTTTTTTATTAATTTATCAATTTTATATTTTCAAAAAGGTAAATACTGTCTGTCTAAATTAATTAAATTTTTTTATTTTAGATCGATTTAATGATAATAATATTATTTAAGAATGATAATAAATTGACATTTTTTCTTATTTTTTGAAATTTTTCTAAAAATATGAAAATTTAATTTCTTAATTATTGGACACAAATAAGAATTTTATTACTTTTTAACAGACATACATTCAGACAGTTTTAATTATTCAAAATTTAGTTAAAGCTTTTTTTTGAGTTTAGCTTGAGTTGGGTAACCATTTATTTTCACTTAAAATCAAATATTCCATGATTTATTTCTCTTTAATACTAAATAAAAACAGATTATTTTTTTTAGATAACCATACTACTCCTTAAGCATAAAGATTTTTCAAGAGATTCAATTTTTTTTACAATTTAATGTGTTTTACTTGCCTCCTCTTAAACTTAAAACAAGATGCAAAACATAATTTTGAGAGACATTGTATTCTGAAAGAGTTCTCAAATTTTCAAGAGATTTTCCACCAAAAATAAGTCGTTATTAATCAAATGAGATACCCTCATTGTGTTGGATTTTATATTTAATATTTTCTATGGTATCTGACTCAGATACATCTAAAGTAATAGTATACCCTGTTAAAGTCTTAATATATATTTGCATTCCACCTTTTAAGCAAAATACTAAATTCAAAGTATCCTCATTTTAGATGTCATAGTCTTTAAGAGTTTTTTGATCTAACAAACCCTATTTTTGTGTTAAGAGCTTTTATTATTCTATTGGAATACCTTCTAAATCAAATATTCTAGCCTTTATATTTTGAATTGTATCAGACTCACAGACATCAAGTGTAATTATTTTACCAAATACAGTTTTAACAAATATTTACATTTTACCTTTCAATCAAAAATTAATTGTAATTAGTGCAATTTTCTTTAGATTATTTTTTATAAAGTTTTCTATTTTTATGTTATTATAAATTTAAAATAGCTGTAAAGATTGTAAATTAATTAATTAATTTAATTAAAAAAATCAAAACGAATTAGATTAAATCCGATTGTGGTTCTTTACATAATTTATATTATTATCTCTACATTTTATAAGTACAATTTTTTTATGATAAGATGATAAAAAGATTTTGAGAAGATAAAATATAAATTATTTTCTTCTATTTTATTTCATAATTAAATAAGCGAGTATCTTAGTAAAGTGAATAGGCATCCGAAATGAGTTTTAATAAAATAAATAGTAGGTTATTTATACTATTTATTTATAATTATAAAACTTTATAAAGTTCAATCCTTTAATTTGTGATTTTAAAATATTATTTATTTTTAAATTTTAAATAAATAAATAAATCAATTAAAAGTTTAAAAGTAAACAAAGTACCCAAACAAGGAAAAGATCGAAAATTATCTGAAATTTTAATTTTTCATATTTGGAATTCATATTTTTTAAAATAAAAATTTATAATATTCAGTGTTCGCAATTTTATTAGAGAAACAAACATTCAGCAATGTTGAATAAATTGCCTAATATATACAAATAATAATATCTTATCTTATATAGCTATTTAAGAAAAATATATTTAGTGTTAGTGTATAAATCTAATAATATATAAATATTACAAAAGTTATTGTCCTTTCAAAATTATTTATTCAATTACTATCAAAATTGAAATTTTATTAGCTTAAAAAATATATTTTACTTAAAAATAATATACTTATTTAAACAAACCCACTCTAGTTTTTGCAAGCCAACCTTTTTATTTTATATTTTATGTTAATAAAAAAATCATAATTTAAATTTAAAGTGAGATATTGATATTTATTTATTTATTATCATCTTTATAAAAATTAATAAAATTGAAATTTGTAAACTTATATTAATTTTTAAAACAAGCAAGATTTTTAAAAGTTAAATACCCCAGCTAGCTCTGCTCTGTTTTTATTTTTTAATAAATATTATTTTTAATTTTTTTAATTTGTTAGAAAAAAAATACAAAAAATAATTTTAATTTTGTTTAAATTATCAAACTGAGTAAAATCTTTTTGGCTGTATTTTATAATAGATGGTTTGTTGAATTAAAAATTTAATCGCCTATCAACTTTCTTATTATTTTTTCAAACTATTTATAAATTCCTAATTTATTTATTTCTAAATAGGTTATTGATCTGAATGTGGTACTTTTTAAATTTGTATGTTTTACTTTTATTTAGATTTTAAATATTAAATTGATTGATAATAGGATTTTTTACCATAAATGTATTTTAAGGTTCATTCATGAAGTTAGTGAATGAGCTTTAATCAATTTTTGATTAATTATCTGAGAAAAAATTGATAAAAAACACAGCTGGCCCACTAACTCATTTATAATCATAAAAAAATTCTAAGAAAAAAATAGTTTCCTAAGGAAACAGAAAATTGATTGATACTTTAATGAGATATTAATCAAAAGCAAAAATATGCTGTAAAAAAAAAAAATTTAATTTTCTAATATAAAAGATAACAATTAATAACAACAATCTGAATATTTAAAAAGGCCAAATTTGTAAAAAATTATTATTTACTTTTTTATAGAAAAAACTAAAAAAAAGTTGATATAGTAGAAAGATTAGATTATGTATAAACAAAAGGAAAAAAATTAATTAGTAAATTAAATAATGATTCATCTACTTCTTTCTAAATGTTATTTTAATACAAAAGTTCTAGTATTTATGCTCTCTGATAAATCTATAACATTAAAAAATGAGTAGTCGTATATATTTTTCAATTTTCTAATTATTATGATATTTTATAGTCTTTGTTTTAACAATTTTATTTTGTTGTTTGGCAATTACAAAACCATCTAAATCTAAGAATTGCTTTAATGTTTAATTTTATCAATTTATATCCATTTATTGAATTTTGTATGGTATTATTTTAAATTCATGAACTTTAATGATGATATATATTATTATTGAATATATGATATCATTTGTTATTTATTTCAATAAATCACATTAAAATTCAAATTTATTTGCTGCGATAAACTAAACTGTCCAAATCTCCCCAAAGTAAAAGTATTGAAACCCTAAAATATTAAAAATGGCTTAGTTAAATAATTTTAGAGAATACTTTAGCAAATTTTGAGAACAGGAGCGAAAGTATTTTAAAAAAATCGCTATTTGGTTATTTTAGATTCATTTTTGTTAATTTTTCATAGGGCCACTGTGAAATCAATCAAAATTATAAATTAAAACTGTCTTGCTTGGTTTTTAAATTATTTGTCAAACTGATATAATTCATGTATAACCCTGATTTTATTAATTTCTTTTATAATTTACTAGAAAAGATGTAGTATTAAATGAATCACATTTTTACTAAAATAAAAATGAAATTTTCTTAACAACTAATGAACGTCTCCTCTTTACATTTTTAATTATGTAAAAAAAATACTTTAAATTACATGCCACCATTTAACTCTAAAAATATTATTAATTTTTAAAGAAATCGCAACCAAATTAAAACTTTGATCATACTTAGTAAAAAAAAACTACAAAATTGCTATTCATTTTTTGACAAAAATATAAAAAAGTTCTTCAGCAAGAGCATTATATTTATTTAAGCTGCATCGAAAATTTCTCACAATTGTAAAAATACCATCGAAGTAATAAAATCATGATTGTTAATTATTTAAATAAATTACAAGGAAAAATTCAAAATTGTAAATTAAAATCATTTATATGTCTTTTGAATCTACAATTCATTTTAATCAAATTATTGAATTTCTTACAAATTGTCTAAAAATACAGAATTTTCTTAACTAAAGACTCATTTTTATTGGTAATAGAATATTATTTTTAGAAAATTTCAGAAAAATATATTACTAAATAAATAAAATCAAAAAGCCAAATCTTTCAAAAATCCAAAAAAGCTCCAATTAGAAAAACTTTTGGCAGTAAAAGATTTAATTTTACAATTTTAAATAGTGTAATAAAGTGACATATTGAGTCAATTTAGCAAGGCTAATGATTAATTATTGTTATTACGTGAAATAAAATACATCGCTTTTTGAATGAAGGATTGATAATTGTCTTTAATTTGCCTACGTATGATCTTTGATTATTACATTTTAATTTAACTTTTGTTATATTCCGGTGCATAAATACTTATCATTGTAAACAGCTTCCAATAATATCAATAATTTTAATTCTTTTATATTTGTTGATGAATGACGAAAAGTAAAATGACAAAATACAATTTTAAAAGTAGATTGAGCTTAATATAATACGAGAACAATAATTGCAGATCCTAAAATTATGACGTTAAAATTGGCTGACTTTATAAATAGCTAGCTGTCACTATATTTAGAAAGTTAAATAAACCAGATTTAAAAAAATACAGTTTTAAGAATAGAAAGCATGATAGTGAGTAAGAAAAAAATATTGCTAAGATAGCTAGTTTGTAGGCTTTTGGGTATTTATTAATATTTAATGATGACGTAAATCTTTAATTAAAATTTCAAATAAAATAATAATAAAGATTTTAAAAAGCAAATTATTCAGACAATTTTTTAGTTTCATGCTAGAATTTCTCTACTCCCTCCATCCCTTCTTGTTTGTATTGATTAATTTAATTTATTATATCAAATAGTGAGTATAACCTAAATTAAAATATGAAAATAACAACGTAAATCAATAATTAAATAATATTGTTCTACTTGATTTAAGAAGAAAGACTGACTGACTGGTTCCAAAATATAAATTTAGAAATTTGGTTTACAAAATATGTTATAAATTAATTTAATTTATCTCTATTATTATTAGCCTCTCTTATAATCAATTTATTTTTCGTTTATGGCCCGCTCAATTATTTGAAAATTTATAAATTCTATTTGAGAGGCTGCTCTTTTTTTATGGAGTAGTAAACTATATAGCAAGCAATTAAGCAAATGAATGAATCATTTAATATTTAATTCATAAATAAACAATTTATAAATATATTAATTAGTTTTAGAGCAACAACGAGCGCCTCTGAATTAATTAATTAATTTTTAGATTTGATGCATTGATAAATAAATTGATAGACGATAGTTAGATAGATATAGTTAAGTTCTAGTAGTTCCTCATCTAACAATTAAATACTTTTTTGTAAGGTATATCCACAAATTTTAATTCCTAATAAATTTCATTCAGCAAATAACCGCTTGCTACTAATGCGAGAATTAATAATTCCCAAAATCTATAAAAATTTAATTAAGTCATAAATTCTTTAATCATCGATTTATTAAAAAGTTCATACGCAATAATTTCAAAAAAGATAAGCCATACTTAACTTGCCTTAACTTGAAAAATCTAAAATGTCAAATCCTTAATTGGAAATGCAGTAGTCCTAGCCTGCATTAGAATCTCCAAATCTTCAACAATAAGCATCTAAAACTTAAATGATTACAGAAAATGGCATTTCTGAAGATAAATAATTAAAAGACAAGCCATATCCAACTGGTTTGGCTTAGTCAGAAGCTATCACTCGCTATGCTTCAGAAGCTGAAATTAAGAATGAAGAAGTACCTAAAGGTACTATTTTAGGCGCTACTGCATAAATTCTAAAGAGTGGTGTCGGTACTGGTATTCTTTTCCTTCCTAGTACTTTCTAGGCTTGCGGTATCGGTTTAAGTATACTTTTCATGGTTGTCTGTTCTATTGTTTGCTATTATTGTTGGATTCTTATCACAAAAATTATCAGATTCTAAGAAAGTACTGATACCAAAGATCCAACTAACAGAAACCTTACTCTCGAAGCTTGCGGTGGTAAGCTCTATGGTGAAGGCTTTAAAATATTTTTATAAGTTTGCACATATATCTATTCATACTCTACTTGTTTCGGTTATGCTATTTTCATTTACCAATCACTCGAACCCACATTCCCTAACCATATGATAACTATGGCAATAATGCTTGCTCTCTATCTCCCACTATCTATGTACAAAAGAATTGACAAGCTCTCATTTTTCACATACATTGCTTTAGCTGCTACTGTAGTAACTTTATTTGTCATTGTTGGTAAATCTGCATACGTGATCAATACTACAGATATATAATACTCAAAACTTACTCAATGGGATTTCAGCTAACTCCCATTATAATTTGGTGTTTTCTCATTTGCTTACGATGTCAATGGTGTTTACACAGAAGTTCATGCTTCTATGAAAAATAAAAAATAATTTGACTATGTCTTATTATACTATTTAATTATCTTCACCAGCTTAGGTATTCTAGTTGGCGCTATTGGATAAGTTGCTTTTGGAGCCGATACTTAAGCTGTTATTTTCGATAACATTGGATCTATGAAAGGTGTAGGTACTGCTTTAGCTTTCTTATACAGTTTAGCTGAGTTAGCAAGCATTTTACTTTACATTTTTTGTGTTGTTAAATTCTTTGATCGTATAATTAACAAATATGTTATTAAGGATGCCACTAAATGCATGAGCTTCTTCTAAGAATTTACCACTAGAGCTGTTATTTTCTTTTCTTTCACTTTCTTGGCTCTCTATGTTACATAAATTAATGCAGTTTTCAATATCACTGGATGCGTTTTCTGTACTGTCCTCACTTATGGCTGTCCAATTTTCCTTTACTTCAAAGCAAGAAAAGTCTAAGATAAAATTTTAAATTCAGTCTAAAATGGTGATGTTGAAAAAGCAACAGAATAAGCAAAACCAAATATTGAGTTCCTCAGCACCAATATTTGGATTTATATCATCAGTGGAGTTTGTTTAATATTTGGTTTACTTGGAGGAATTTCTGGCCTAGTTAGCTCAATTATTTAATTATAACAAACTGGTTTATCTTGAAATAAACAATTAAACAAAAATAATTCATTTATTTTATAAATAAATAAAAAAAATAATTTCATCAATATTAAATTGAAAATAAATCCTTTCCTACTTACTTAACTTAAAATAAATATACTATAAATTAAAAGCTATCTATTAACTATTATTATTTATCAATGTAATATATATATATATATAATCAATTTTGTTTGTAACTAATTTTAAATCTTTAAAGACTAACTGATTACCTAAAACTAATGTATTTATTTATTTATTAAGTTTTTAATAAAAAAATAATTAACTTTATTCTTTTTCTTTTTATAACAATATTTTTAGTTAAAATCTTTAAAAAATAATTTTATACCTAATTAAAATTCATATTAAATGATAATTAAGAATATTTATTCTATTAGAAATATAATTCTTTTGCAACTTGATTAATTCAGCATGATTTTTCAGAAAAATTAATTTTTTATTGTTCTAAAACAAAGTAATTTTTAAATATATTTTTTTATTTATTTATTTATTTATTTATTTATTTATTTATTTATTGAGTAGACAGATAACTTTCTTTATATGAATGCTCTTTTAAAAGTTTTTTCAATAACATGATTGATATTTATTAATTTTCTTAATTAAGTCCTTTAAATAAATGATGTAAAGTGGAAATTAAATTTATTTTACACAAAATTAATTTTGAGATGTTTTGTTAAAAAAGTTTTGTAAATATTTATTTAATAAAGTAAATTACTTTAAATAATGAACTACTCCAAAAATATTAATATTTATAATAAATAAAATGGTATTTACAAATTATTTTTTACAAGTTTTAAATAATTTTAGATGAATAGCTCTAAATAATTTACTCATTTTTAATGTAATTTGCTTATAAAATGCATCAAAAAATCCGCTAATAAAGAATTTCTTTATAAATAAAGTATATTTTATTTTAGATTTTTTATAGATTTTTATAATATTTAGTTTGTTATATTGTACATTCAAATTAAAATAGACATTATAAATTCTCCTAGCATTTTTATGACTTAAACCTAATTATTTGAATTCCCATAATTTAAAAATCTCTTTCCTGTATTAGTGTTGCTACTACCTCCACTGTTAGTACCAGATGAAGAAGAATTCGAAGAATTATTATTACTTTTTGTAACAACATCTACATTATTTGATAGCTTTTTTGTAATGCCAGTAATATTAAGTATTAAAAGAGTGACTATCGCAATGAATATTAATACAATTAAGCATATAAGTATTTTATCTGTATATATATTCCTTAAGAATTATCTAATAAATCTTTAAGTTCTTTTTAATTCAGATTCTGTATCTTTGGCTATCGCATTTACTTGATCTAGCTTCCTTATTTAATCATCGAGTTATGCATTTATATTATCTGCCATTTCATTAAATCTTTCTACATGTCCTTATATTCCAAGGAGAGCTTCTATATCATTTTCTTATGTTTCTTTTAATCTTTGAATAACTTCTTCTGTTTGCATTTCAGAAGGGTCTCTATCGTCCATCTTTTTAATTCCTCTAAATAATCTCTCTCTATCAGTGCCCGCAATTTTCTTTTACTCAAAAGACTTTTTTAAATTTTCATATTTTGCATTTAGTTATTTTAATGATTCTTAATATTTTTATGCTTGCTTTACAGAAACTGATAAAACTTCTGTTTCATACTACTTAAGATCGCTTTCTACCTCCTTAACAAAATCATTTAACTTTTTAATACTTTTATTCCTTGAAACTGGATCTTTAGAGTCCAATCTACCTATTTCCTTTTCTAATTTTTCTAATTGAGAGACTAAACCTGCTCTCAAATCTTCTATATCAGCCATAAAAAATAATAATTTACTGATATCTTTTTTTGAATAAATAAATTGACTTTTAATTAAAAAATATATTGATTTGTTAATTATTTATTATCTAAATTCAAATCCTTACTAATATTATCTAGTTAAAATAGTTAATATAGACAAACAAAAATACAAATAAACAAATTATTTGATATATTCTGCTATCATATATTCAAATTTTTGATAGAATTTGTAAAAAAATATAATAGAATTTAGCTTTTTTAATAAATTATGACCAAAACAATTTTTCCACAAAGCTTTTAATTAAAAATAGATATTAAAAAGAAACATTAATTAATTTATTTTAATATTTTTAATTTAAAAAGAAAAGTAGGATTTTAACTACGATTTTTATTAACAAAAAAGTTTGTAAAAATATAAAAAAATTTACATTATAAAAAAATTTTAGTAAAATTTAATTCAATCTACCAAAAATTATTATTTTTTGGACTAATAAACAGTAACATTTGTATCTTTTGCCAAACAATTTATTTAAATTATTTTATATTTTAAATTTAAATCTTGTTTTTTTTTTATATATAATTAACAAACATTTAAAAAGAAAATGAAAACCAAATCATTTTTAACTATCTGTTTTTAAGTAAGTAAGTATGTAAGTAATTGAATTAATTAAGTATGATATTTTAATGGAAAAATAAATAAATTTATAATCAAATTATTTTAAATATTAATAAAAATTAAATTAAACTTAAAAAAATTAAATTTTTTAACTAAAATCATAAAAAAAAGTGTAATAATGATAACAAAATTCATAATTTTATCTCATTAAATTTTAAATTATCTTAAAAGTGATTATAAAAAGCAAGAATAATTTTAATTTAATTCTAAAAATTTTTAGATTTTCAATATTTTATTATTATTTTTTAAAGAAAAAAAATATTTAAAAGTTGATTTAAGTACGAATTTGCTTGCATTGGTTAATGTTAAGAAAAAAAAATATAAAAAGATAATTCAAATAATTATTTATTATTATTTTAAAAATAATTTTATATATATGCAAGCATATATATGCTTTCTTTTAACTCTACTTAGTTTATAAGAAATAGTTTCTTAAATATAAATTTATTTAGGAATTTCTTACATAAATATATGAATTAAAAAATATTTATTGATTTATTTGCATATTATTCTTTATTATATCTAAGAGTTTATTTATCTTTATTAAATTGTTAATTAATCTAAAAATAATAAATACATTTAAAATAAACAAATTCAAGCAAATTTAATAGTAGAAATGGCATACAAACCAAAAGTTTTAAAATCCCTAAAAAGTCCTGGGTTTTTTATGAACACAAGAAAAGGAACTTTATACCAACTTACTAATCATAATTCAGAACCTTTAAATTTGAATCACTTGATTGTGTCTCAAAGTGACTTTATGCATTGCGAAAAGCTATTTGAAGTGTTAAAAGAACAAAATTAGTCTTTCAAGAGCTATATAGGTTTCTCAAAAGAAGAAGAGCCTAAGAAATTTATATATTTATCTCCTATCGATTACTATAAGCCTTAATAAACAATGGAAGCCACTTCAAAATCAGATACTATTAAACTTTATACTACAAGAGGAGGTTATTTCGAAGTTTCTGATGAATAGTATTACAAAATTTCAAAAATGATTAACCCTGATATTATTGTCTCCCTTACTGAAATTCCTACAGGAAAAGGCAAAAAATCTCATAAAAGATCAGTTGAAAAAACAATCGGCTTCTTAGACAAAGCTATTTCTATTTTCAGACCCAAGTCTAATGGAAACAGCGATGAAAATGAAAATCACACAGATAAGGTAGATTGCTTACAATACTAAACTTAACAATTAATTTATTTTTAATTAGAGCTAAAATTTACTGCTTTATTAAACTGTCTACATGCATACATAATATATAATATCACAAATATCTTTTCTTTCCCAACTCTTTAGACATGTAAACAATCTATAAGATTATCCGCTTAAATTTTTGTATAAAAATTGGCAATCACAAGATTCATAGATGCAATAAAACTATAACATAATTTTAGTGGAAATATTCAAAATAGAAAAAAATAATGATTTTCTCTTGAATATTTTAAGTTAAAGAAAAACAAATAAAAATACACTAAATATTTTTTAGTTAAAATTAATAAAATTTATTATAAATAATATAGTAATTTGATAAAAAAATAAATTCTTTTTTCAAATCATTCTTTTTAGAATTAATCAACTTTTTTTAATAAAGTCCACTTTGATATTTGGATCAATTGAAGGAGGACAATTTGACGAGTAAAGAAAAGAATGTGTTTAAAAGACTCTTGAAAGAGATATTGATGGAGTGGTTCTTCATGGTACTGAAAGTGCTGAAACTATTGAAGAAAAAGCTAGATAGATTGCTTTGACTATGGAATATTTAGGTGAACATAAAGAGAGTTTATATACAGTATATTCATCTAAGGGAACTATCTAAGATATCCTCTTGGGTGTTTCTCATGGTATAGATTATTTTGAAGTCGATTATCCCAATTAATTAGCACATTCTCACCAAGCTCTCAACTTAGATTTTGATAATAAAAACTATGCAGAAACCTAGTCTCTCTCAAACGAAGAAATTTTAAATGCATTAAAAGTAAAGCAACCCAAAATTTTCAACATGACTGAATACGAAAAGTATAAAGAAAGTTTAATTGGATTCACTGATGGATGTTAATGCTATTCTTGTTAAAATCACACACAAGCTTATGTTGCTCACCTTATTAAATGCAAAGAATTAACAGGAACTATCCTCATTACCATTCATAACATCCATCAATATAACATTCTATTTTAACAATTGCAGGAAGCTGCTGAAAACTAGAAGTTATCTAACTACATTTCTTGGTTCATTAAAACTAATCTTATTTGAATATATGTACTTACTTTTTATATAATATTTTTATATTGCAAACAAAATTTCGATCAACATTCAGATTGAATGTTAATAAGTAAATGTTTTAAAAAGACAAAATATAAAAAAAATCATAAAATTAAAAATACTTTCTTTTAAATAATTCAAGTAAATAAATATAAATAAAAATAAATGAATCGAGAGCAGAAAAATCTGATTAAAATTTGGTATTTTGTTAATTAGAATCTACTTCTATTTAATTAAAAGATATTCAACTTAGAATAAGATTACATAGAATTTTTTTTATAATTAAAATCAATTTTAGCTTTTTTTAGAAAGAACTTCAGCCACTTGTTCATTTATTAGTTTAGTTATCATCAAATAAAATCCAGGATCTTGCTTGCTTTCTAAATTATAGGAAAGACATACGTTTATTTTGTTTTTTTTACCTATTCGCAAATATTAATTTATAAAAATCTAAATAAATTCTCAAATAGTTAATTTATAAGATTACATAAAGATCTAGCTAGAGTTTATATGTATTGTTCATCTTATCTACCTTAATCATCTTTTATACAAGTAGCCGTTGGAAAATCTTCCTATATAAAATAAAATGTAAAAAATAATAACTAAATCTACTACCGCCATATTAATTAAATTTACATATTTTGTCTACATAGCCATATGAATATTTGTCAAATTAAGCTCTCTATCAGTTACTACTAAAATAATTTATTCCTATAACAAAGTAAAGTGTAAAAGAATATCCATATTCTCTACTTTAATAAATTTAGTGACTGTTTCAATCATTCTTTCCTTAAATATTTTATATCTTTAAATCTGTTAATTTTTTAATAAAATTTTGGCAATTTTTAAGAATTTTTGGTGAAAAATAAATCTTTATTAAAATTTACAAAATTCAATACATAAATATATATTTTTGCAATTAAAAGGCAATGACTTTAAAAATAACAATAAACTATGAAATGTTTCAAACAAATATTTATGAAAAAGAGAGAATAAAATAAAAATTATAATAGAAATTAGAATTTATTCTATTTTTAAATAAAAATAATATTTGAGATAAAATTGCTATTATAAATATTTTAGATAAATATAAAACAACATTTTTATGTGTTAGTTAAATAGAAATTCTAAAATATTCTTTTGTAAAAAAAAGTTAATACTTTATTGGAGTAGGAATTTAATAAGATAAATTTTTCAAACTAAAATTAAATTTAAATAGAAGTATAGCAAATATTATGAGCAGCAGTTTACAATTTGGTTAAGACTATAAATAAAATGTCTTATAACAAGCCTATTAATTGCCTACAAAATTTGATTAAAATTATTTAAAACCTATTAAGTTAAATAATGGAGCAAAATTAACAAACCCATATAGTAAAATACAACATAACTTTTACAATCTCAATCAAATCAGTAATAATAAACATTGATAATTTTCATTAAAATATAAAAGAAAGAGTGACAGGAATAGAAAATAATTGTGCATTGAAGGCAGCTTTTGCTGCAGGTGGTGGTTGGGTTATGGGCTTTGGTATGGCGATGTTTATGAATGCAGTTGAAATGAGAGATATTGAATAAATTGGAAGTGGAAGAGTATCTACTAAAATGACTATTGCTGTATTGTTAATTATTTAACTTTCCTTTTAATTATTTTTTCATAGAAATATTATGATGTTTTTTATAGTTATATTTGCATTATTAAAATAAGTCTTTGTTCAGCTTTCATTATCAAATAAACACAAAAACAAACAAATTTTATTTATTTATTTGTTTATTTATTAGCTAGCATTTTAAATAAATTATGTATGATAAATCTAAAAAAATTTTCAAATCATTTTTTATATTAAATAGAAAGATTTAAGAAAAATTAAAGGCACTGCAAGATCTTTGGCTATATTTGGTACATTCTTCTCTGTTTTTGAATGCTAAGTTGAAAAGGTAAGCAATTAAGCATATATTAATTAATAAATTAGTAGATTAATTTATCTAAATAATTTTATTTTTTTGGGATGCATAACTATATCAAGTGCTAAAAATAGTAAGAAAAAATACAAGGGGGTTTTTCATAGATATAAAACATGATGGACCACTCATATGAATAATATTTTTTACTTTCAAATTTTTTAAGTCTGATATGAATATCCCCTCTTTTTTGTTTATTTATTTAACTTTAATAAATGATAAAATTCTCTAATAAGTTAAAAATCAATGCATTTTTATTATTGCTAAAATAATAATTTGATTTTGTTTTAAAACTTAAATAGTTAAGAATTAGAGATGATCCTATTAATGGCTTTTATTCTGGAGCCTGCACATCGATGATTATTTCTATGAATTGTAATAAATCTTAGATTTTAATTTATTTAATTAATTTTTTAAATTAAAAATAACCCTAGGGGTATTTTAAAGATTTAATTTATATTGAAAGAGAAAGAAAGAAAGAAAATTTAAAATTTAAAAATATAAATAATAATATATCTATTTTATTTAAATTTAATATTTTTAACATCAAAGTACTGAGAGGCAAAAGCTTATTGTGGGCTGGATTTACAGGAGGTATTATGGGTATAGGATTTTATTACATAGGATTTTTGATGATGCATTGAATTGACTGACTGACTGTGTTAGCTAGGAAGACTGTATTTATATATAACTAAATTTAAAAGAAAATTTCAAAGAAGAAGTAGAAGAATAAATACTTCTAAATTAATTTAATTTAAAAGAAAAAACAACAATTAGATCAGAGGAAAGGAGTTATTATGTTTAATTAAATTATAAATGTTTGTGATGACTACTATAAAATAATACATATTTGTTTTGTTATTTTTTTCTATTTTTTATTTTTGAAAATTAAAAACCTTAAATAATTAATCATTATTTATTTATTAGAGTATTCATTCACATTTACAGTTTAGAAAATTTAATTTATCAATTTTTTTATATTTTTTAGTTGAAATTTCTAACAATTCTTTACAAAATTTAAGTTATTTAATTCATTCATTTATTTATTGAGTTTTCTAATTATGATTTCACTGATGTAAAACTAATTAAACGCATTGAATACCATCATATGATTGATAAATCTTTAAAAGTTGATTAAGTATTAAAAGTAGTGCCATCATATTAATCATTTATAGTTAACTCATTGCTTTTTAAGTTTAAAATATTACTTTCCAGTTATTTATTACTGATAAAAAAGTAACAACATAAGTGTCTTTTTTCCAAAAAAATAAGTTAAAGATGTTTTCTTATTTCCTTTAATTATATTTTTTTACAGTCAAATTCAAGCTTCTGTTAGTATTTTAAAAATTTCTATTTTATATTTTTTATTTCATTTCACTGATGTAATTTTTAAATATCAAACATCTTTAAAATAATCCCATATTTTTATTTTTATTCTGAAATCTTATTTTAAAATAATTAACAAAAATAAATTAATTTTTTAATATATGAAATATTATTATTATTTTTAAATTTATATGTCTATTGACCTTCATTTTAAATCTTTTATCGGTTTGTTTTTTGACAATATACAATCTATAATTTTTTGATTATTTTTCTATAAGGTTTTACTTAACTATACGCACAAATAAAATGAAGTCTATTATTTGTAGTAGCACTTAAAATTATTTATTTATTTATCTATTTATTCTTTCATTCTTTTAAAATTTATTTTGTTACAATCCTTGATAAAAAAAAGTAAAGTAGTAAAATTTTGATGTTGATTAAGTAGGTATTTAAATTTCAAAATTATGTTATTCATTTATTTTCCTACCATTACAAAATTTTGTCTATTTAAATATTTAATTTTGGTAATTTTATTGATTAAATTTATTTCATATCAAATTAATAGTTTTATTAAGCTAAAATATTTTGGCAATTTTAAATGAATTTTAAAATATATTTTTTTAATTAAAGATTTCAAAATATTTTATTGAATATTAATTTTTTAAACAACAAAAGAATATAAAAAATAATTTTATGCAAATATTTAATCAAACCATAGGGTTTGGTAAGCTATAATAAACAGATTTTAGTTAAGTATACTCAAGCAAACCTTCTTCACCGTTGTCTTTTCCAAAGCCAGATTCTTTATATCCTCCAAAAGGCATTTGGTGAGCACTTAAAGCTCCTTAATTAATATAAAAGGAGCCAGCCTTAACTTCTCTCACGAATTTTTCAACATTTCCTGCATTTTAAGTGACTGCATATGCAGCTAGTCCGTAGTTAGTATCATTAGCTCTCTTGATGACCTCATCGAATGTCTTCCATGGTTTCAAGACGACCAAAACAGGTCCAAATATCTCTTCTCTAGCAAGCTTAGAATTATCATCAACATTTATGAAAATGGTTGGTTTGATAAAGTAGCCCTTGTTTCCCCATCTTTCTCCTCCCATAAAGCATTGTAGCTTTTCAACTTCTTTTGCATGAGTAATATAACTCATAACTCTATCAAATTGCAATTTGCTAACTAATGGACCATGATTAGAGTTTTATACTTCGAATGAGTCTCCAATCACAACATTCTATTCATATTCTTTAAGCTTTTAGAGAAGTTTATCATAGACATCTTCATGAACGAACAAACGAGTACCTGCATCACAAGATTAACCCATGTTGAACATGCAACCATACCAGGCAACTTCTGCTGCTTTGTCAAGATCAGCATCAGGGAAAACTACTACTGGACTCTTCCCTCCTAATTCTAAAACGACTTTTTTTAAATTTGTCTATGAACTTGCTTCTAGAATCTTTCTTCCAACAAATGAAGAACCTGTGAAAGATATTTTACTTATTCTTTTGCTATGAGTAATAGCAACTCCAGCAACATGTCCATAACCAGGGACAACGTTGAAAACTCCAGGTGGAAATCCAGCTTCGTTAACAAGTTCGCAGAGTCTTAAAACAGTTAAAGGAGTAACTTCAGAGGGCTTGAGGACAATGCAATTTCCAGCAGCCAAAGCTGGTGCATATTTCCATTCAGCCATCATCAAAGGGAAATTCCAAGGTGAAATAAGTCCGACAACACCATATGGTTCTCTTCTAGTGTAAAAGATCTATTGATCAAGAGAGCTAAATGATTTACCAGTTATTTTGTCAGCCCATCCTGCATAATATCTTAAATGGCCAATTACATCATTAATATCAAAAGTTGCTCCTTCCAAAGGCTTTCCATTATCTAATGACTCCAAGGCAATGAATTCTTCTTTGTTGGCTTCTAGTAAACTTGCTAATTTCAATAAGTATTCAGTACGATCCCTTTAAGGAAGCTTAGACCAAATAGGAAAAGATGCTTCAGCGGCATCTATGGCTAATTCTACATCCTACTCAGTAGCTTCAGCTATTTCACAAATTAGCTCTTCAGTAGCAGGGTTAATGACAGGAATTGTTTTCTTCAAGGCGCCATCAACGAACTTTCCATTAATAAAGAGTTTAGTCTAGAATTTAGTAGGCTTTTGGTAAACTTTGCTCATAATATCTTGTGATGTAAAATAACAACTTTTATAAATTTGATTTTTTTTCTACCTTTAATAAAAAGTATGCTTTGAATTGATATAATATCTAAAAGTATTAAAAATTTTATGATAATATTCAACTATTTATAGGATTTAGCTAAGCAAGATAAGGGAAGATTCTTTCTATTCAAAGTATTTTTAAACTCATAAGTATTTACATAAAATGTAAAGAGATAATTCCTATTAAATACTTTAAAAACAACATTATAAAATTTTGCTTCCCACGTACAATTATCTGTTCATTCCTCGTTAATTTATGACTATTATTGATGACATTTTTGTTGTTTTATTTATTGAAATTATTTAATTGATTATATTAAAAATAATAATAAAAGAATTTCTTTTATTTAGCCAAGTAGATTTCAATATAAAACAATAGAAAAAATTTTATTTCATAGCCTTAAAATGTTGATGAATCAAACAATCCTTTTAATTTATTTAAATTGTTTTAAAAAAATTTTTAATTTATAAATATGAAATATTACACCACCTTCATAACTTTAATATATGCATGTTAAAAAATAGAAAATTTCTAGAGTCTATCAAAAGAAACAAAAAATAACGTATTTAAATAATAAATTATTCTTTTATTAACATAAAATTAGAAAGCTGGTAAAACAAAAATTGGAACAGCACTAACTTAATTAGAAACTTTTGATTAACAATTGTAATTAGGAGCATTAATAAGAAATTTATAAGCCTTTAGGCGAATAAATATTATTTAGAATACTTACCCCTTAATAAATTAATCAATCAATAATGAATTTTTAATCTATTTTTTTCTTTGTCAGACAATTTTTGTTATAGAAAGCAGGCTTTTATTTATTTGCTTATTTATTTAGTAGTACTATTTTTTCTTTCTTTTTTGTTTATATTTTTTTATTTTCAAGTTTTTACCCACCAACCTATTTTTTGATAGAAGGAAGTAGAAATTAACATAAAATTGTTTGTTTGTTTGATTAATAATTCCTACCCTTTTTTAATGAGTTTTCCAGCCAGTTTTAATTTAAATACTTCTATCATAGTTAAAAAACTAGATAATTAATTTAAGTACAAAAAAAAAAAAATAATAAGAACAACATTTTAAACAACAAAATAGAGTTTCTCACTTATAAAAATCAAGCACTCATGCAAGCATCAGGAAGTCAATTAGGATTTATTGTTGAAAATATAGATTGCAATAAAGCTACTCCCGAGGATATAGAAAAAATTAAAGCAGCCTTATGGGAACACGGAACCATTTGCTTAAAAAACTAAAATCTTGATGCTGGATAGCAGGTAGAATTTGCATAAAAGTTTGGTTCCATAATTGTCCGTCCTCCTTACTATGCTCCTGACTTCAGAGAACCTGGTCATCCCGCAATTATAAGAGTTGGAAATGTAGGCGTTGGTGGTGTGCCTCTTCAAAAGCCTCAAGACGCCGAACTCTGGCATAAAGATGGCTCCTTCGAACAACCAGGAAAGAATTTCCTTCTTAGCTTCTTGCACCCAAAGATTATAACCCAGATCGGAGGTTAAACTGGCTTTGTTGACTGCGAAGACACTTATAATAAATTGCCTTCTGAAATCAAAGAACAATTGGAAGGTGCAACTGTTCTTGAAACAAGCAAAACGAACTCCTTTTTCAATAACATTATGGAAGAGCAACACTTTGAGGACTCTCATCATAAGATATTCTAAATCCATCCAATTTCAAAGAGACCTATTCACTTCTTGACTCATAGAAACTATGAAATTACCCTTAAAAACGGAGAAAAGGTAGACTCAACTCCTTTCGTAGATGAGTTCGAAAAGTACTACAACATCTACTCCCACAAATGGAGTCCAGGTGATTTAGTTATCTGGGATAATTATAGAGTCATACATAAATCTATGGGAGGTTATGGCAACTCTTAAAGACTTTTCTTCAGAGTATAATGTAGAGTTGAGCCTCCATATTGATTACTTACTTACTTACTTCATTACAAACTAACTACTTAATACCAAACAAGTTAATAATTGAACAATAAACTAAAATATCCAGTTAGTTCATTTTAATTACATGTAAAATGTATTTGAAAATGTTAATAAATTAATGTTTGTTAAAGGAAATTACATAAAAAATAATTTTATCAAGTTAGAAATAATAGATTTCAATTTATTTTGGTTTTCACAAAAAACTATTCATTATTTTTTTGATTTTTAATGCTATTTTCTTTCTTTATTATTTTCTATTTAAAATTATTTAAAAATTTTATTTTTAAAGAAAGATAAATTTTTCATCATTATCATCACAAAAATAAGCACAAAAGTCCTACTTTTTTTATGAACAATATGCCTCTTTTCTTTTATAATAATTTATTCCAGTCAAAAAATTATTTATTGATTCATTAAACTAAAAAATCAGCCGATTTAATTATAAAAATTTTTTTAATAATTAATATTAATTAATTAATTAACTTAATTTTTATTTTTTTATTAATAATTAAATCTGCTGTTTATAAAAACCATGAAACATCAAAAAGTTAGTTACTTAATAATAAATTATTTTTATAATCAATAAAATAAATGCTTTCTTTCGATTATTTTTTAGTTCTAAATTTTTTTTCAAATATTCTAAAATTAAATTCATAGTTGTAAAATTTTTTATTTCAATTAATTAACATTTTTAATTCTTATTAAATCTAAAATGTCAAATTCCTCTTTTATTATATAATCAAATTACAATAAAAATAAACAAGCTCATATGGCACTTGATTATTTTATGTCCTAAATTTAATTGAGTAGAATATTTAAATTCCCCAATCAATTTTTATCTTATTTACAATTTTAGACAGAAAATTAGACTTTTCTTATTAAAAGAAAATGAATTTCTAATAAATTATTTTATCTTAGTTTGAGTGACCATTTTTTTATTAAACTGGTTTTAATTAACTAGAGTGAGTGGCATCTTTTTAATATAAAATAAAATAGGCTAAAATATTCTATTGAAACCTACATAAAATCATATATACCTTAGATTAATTTTTTATAAATTTAGATAACATGGTTTTTTTAATCTATTGTAAGAATAACTGATCTACTTATGTTTTTTAATTTTTTTTAATGTAGGCTTTACCTTTTATTTTAAATACTAATCTTCTCTATGTATATTAATACTATTATCAATATGAAAACTTTTAGTTTTTTTTTTGGTAGATAAAAGAGGGAAAAATGTTATAAAATCTAATAAAAAATTATATTTTATTTATTATAAAATCAATATTTTGAAATTATTTAGAAAAAGATTTTAAAATTATTTATTTTTAATAATTATTAAGCATTTAAATATTTATTTAAAGCAAATACAATAATCAAAATAAATATAAAAACCTTTAATTTATTTATTCATTAATTTTAAATTAGTTTTTATTAGGAAGAATTCTTCCAATTTTTTCAAAAAAGGATCAAAAGTAAAAGCAAATTCTATATATATATATATATATATATGTATTCGAACAGCTTATTCTAAAATTTTTTAAAGCTGTGTAAGCATAAATAAATATCTGTGATAGTTAATTTTCAAATAAATAAGGCTTATTTCCCTAAAGCTTTTTGCAATTATTAAATTTTAGGAATAACTTAAAAATTAAGCATATTCTTACCAAATTTATTTTACTTTGATGCTTGATAAAATAAGAAAATAAATCCTCACATACATATTTATATTATCTACTCTTTATTTTTCTTTTATTTCCCCATACAGGTACTATCAATTTGTTAACTCAATCAAATAATTCACAATATTTTAAGACTCGGATATCGAAAAATCTCCATGAATAAGGTAAGGAAGATTTGGGAAATCTAACCCAAGCCCTGATTTTTTTTCCCCCATTCAGGAGATGATGAAGTGTACTTATGTTCAATGTAAGGATAATCTACAAGATCTAAAATATATCTAATAGTCTAACCTTTTGAGGCATTCTCCAAATAAATAGCCTATTATTAACTCTTTAGATTCTTTAGTTTGTTTTTTTTCCAATTTAGTTAGTTGTATTAGAAGAGTCAGTCCATTTTGTAATATATTTAATTTATTTATTGATTAACTGCTTTTATTTAAAAAAATAGATCGATCATCCATCAGAATTATTAATATGTATAAATTTTTGGATAAAAATATAAAAAAAGTAAAATAAACGAAATTTTTATATCAACTTTCTTTTTCTCAATTTTTTCTTTTTTTCTTCTCTGATTTTTCTTAATTAATTAAAATAGAAAAATTAAGTAATTTTTTACTCAACAATTTTAAACTAATGAGCACAAATTTTACTTTTAGATTTTTACATTTTTTTACTAATTTTATAATTCAGTTTTTCTATTAAAGGAATTTAAAATATTTATATTATTAGCTTAAAAGATTACATCTAACTGAGTGCTATTTCTAATTTAATTTACTATTTTTTAAAAAATACTTTTTGAATAATAGAATTACTTTAAAATTATTTTATTTAAACTTTAACCAAATTACTAAATGAATCTTATGTTTTTACACCAAGAAATATTTCTGCTAAATTCTAACTATAAATAATTTATTTATTTATTAACCTAACTAATGTTTTCTTTATTTAGTTCTTTAGTTATTCCATAATTTTGTAAAGATGAAACAAATAAATAATTTTATTTAAAGGTATTAAGTATTAATTTAAAATTTTTACATTTGAATTTTTACATTTATTTATTTAATTTTATAGGTTTAATAAAATCTATACAATCATCTTAATAAAATATTTTAACATCTAAAACTTGTCTGTCTTTCACACAAAACTTAAAATTTTAAAATTAGGATGTGCAAATTGAGATAAAAAATTAATAAAACATTATAATAAGAAGACATAAAAATGTTTGTTGATAAAAATATCATTTTTGCATGTAGGAAAGTTACTTAAGGTATTCTCGTTATTAAAAATCTAAACTTTTAATTTAGAAAAATTTCTGTCAAATTCTAACAAATTAGTTTAATCAAATAAATTTTAAATATAAAATAAGCCAATAAGGACCTTATGAAAAAGTGAATACTAATAATTACATAAATATTTTTAATAAATTAAATCAAATTTAACAATAAAAATTAATAAAAAAAAACTTAAATGTCTTCATAAACTATAAACTTAGGATACTGGGGTTTTCCATTAAGAGCATAACCTATAAGATATATTTTTGAACTTGCTCAATATCCATACTAATAGACTAACTATACTTTTGAAGGAGCTAAAGACTGGTTTGAAAAAGATAAAAAAGACCTTGGTCTAGATTTTCCTAACTTGCCTTACCTTATACATGGCGATTTTAAGATCACTGAGTCTTAAAACATTATCAATTACGCTTTGGACGTCACTAAGTAGCATCATTTATTGGGATATGGACTAACAAAATTTAAGATAGATAACGTCAGATTCCTTTGTGATGAGTTGATTGCCAAAACATTCTTAGCATCAACAAAAACAGGAGAAGAAAAGAAGGCTGAAATCAACAGCTCTGTTACTCCTAAATTTAAGAGTTTATAAGCTGTTTTAGGAAACAAAAAGTTTTTCTTTGAAGACAAGTTAACTCTTGCTGATATTTATGCTTACACAGCAATAAATGCACTGAAGCATTTGTTGAATGATGAATACAAGTAATTTGCTTAAACTTTTGATCCATTTATGAAAAACTTTGAAGAAGTTCCTTTAATTAAGGCTTATCATAGCTCAAACAGATATCCTAAATTTGCATGATTATTTTAAATAAATAAATATATTGTTCGTAGTTTGTTTGTTTGTTTGTTTTATTGGTTTTTTAATGTTTTTTTATATGAATAATATCATTTTTAAATACCATAAATCATCATTAATTCTCACCATATTTGATAAAAATGTTCAAATTAATTAAATTCCTATCATATAGTACTCCTGGAGTTTGGGGGGGAGGGTTGGTGAGAATTAATGAGGATTTACGGTAATTAATTAATTAATTATATATTTTAAAATTTATTAAAACTGATTAAAATAATTTTTTTGTTAAAATTGTTAAAAATAAATTAATTTTTATTTATATTGATATGTTTATTAGTAAATTAACCAAATCTTCATTTAAAAATAGTTATGATATTACTTTTTTTTATTATAATCTTAAAGACATTCAAAAATTTGTTTATTTGGTTCATTTTAATTTGTTTTTGAGAGAAATAATTTTCATTAAAATACATGATTGTAAAAAATTTTAATATTGATTTAAATATTATTAAAAAAATTATTTTTATTTTTTTAGTAGAAATCATAATTCAATAATTTTTTTACTTAGAAAACATTAATAATAAAATGAATTAAAATAAAAAATTTATTGATTATCAAATTTTTTTGATATTATCAAATTATTTAAGAGCTATTATCTGAAAATTAATTATTTCTTGAGTTAGAAATATTTTTAATGTAAAAATAGATTAAACTCATTTTATTTTTATTGTTTTTAATTTAGCTATTGTAGAAATTCAGTTTAATTATTTTTAATCTAGTTAATTAATCATAATCCATGATATCTTATTAATGTAAAATAAATTAAATTAAAGTATTCTATGGATTAATCTTTAATCTATAGTAAGGATAACTAACTCATATCTTAAAATACTTTCTAATGTAAGTTTTACATTTTCTTTTACACATTATTATTCTAACTGTATGCTAATTAATAATAATATGATAAATTTCCTTTTTTTTCTGGTAGTTAAAAAGGAGAAAAATGAAATGAAAATCTTATAAAAAAAAATATTTATTTCTTACAAAATCAATATTTTGAAATTATTTATAAAAAGATTGTAAAATTATTTATTTTTTATTATTATTATTATTATTAAATATTTATTTAAAACAAATACGATAATTAAAATAAAAAAATATAAAAACTTTAAATTTTTTTATTCATTAATTTTTAAATTAGTTCTTTTTAGAAAGTATGTATATCTTCTAATCTTTTTAAAAAAGGATCAATAGTAGAAGCAAACTATGTATATGCCTTCGAACAGCCTATTCTAAAATTTTTTAAAGCTGCATTAGCATAAATATCTGCGATAGTTAAATTCTCAAAGAATTAAGGCTTATTTCCTAAAGCCTTTTACAATTATTAAATTTTAGGAATAACTTAAGAATTAAGCATATTGTTTCCTCCTTCAGTTTATTTTGATGCTTGACAAACTTATGAAAATAATTCATCACATACAAATCTTATATTGTCTACTCTGTATTTTTCTTTTCCTTCCCCGTACAGGTACTATTAATTTGTTAATTCAATCAAATAATTCATAATATTTTAAGACTCAGATATGGAAAAGTCTCAGTGAATCAAGTAATGAAGATTTGGGAAGTCTAATCCAAGCTCACATTTTATTTTTCCCATTCAGTAGATGTAGATGTAGAAGTATACTTATGCTCAAAGTAAGGAAAGTCTACGAGATCTAAGATATATCTAACAGTCTAACCTATTGAGGCATTCTCCAAATAGCCTATTATTAACTCTTAAGATTCTTATATTTGTTTTTTTCCAATTTAGTTAGTTGTATTCGAAGAGTCCATTTTGTAATATTTTTTAATTATTTAACTTAGTTTATTAATTTATTTTTTTTTCTTTTAAAAATTTAGATCACCCACCCATCAGAATTATTTTATGTATAAATTTTTGGATAAAAAACAAAACAAAAAAAATAAATAAACGAAATTTTAATTAGCTTTCTTTTTCTAAATTTCTTCCATATTTTTCTCTTATTTTTCTTAATTAATTAAAATAGAAAAAATAATTTATTTTTTATTCAAAAATTTTACTTTTTGACTTTTACATTTTTTTACTAATTTAATAATTAATCTATCTTGTTTTTCTATTAAAGAAAATATTTTTATTATAAGCTTAAAAGCTTAATAAAATAAATAAACTGAGAGCTTTTTCTAAGTTAATTTCTGAATTTTATTAATAAAATATTTATTTGACAAAGAGAATTTCTTTAAAGTTATTATGTATGTTTAAAGTTTTACCTTATTTTTAAATAAAAGAATCATTAGTTTCTCACCAAGAAATATTTCTGCTATAAAAATAATATATTTTTTAGTAATATTTCTTTATATTATTCTTTAATTATTCCTTAATTTTGTAAAGATCTATCAAATAAATTTATTTAGAGGTATTAATCAAGAATTAAAAGTATTTACTACTGTATTTTTTAAACTTTACATTTATTTATATAATTTTTTAGTTTTAATAAACTATTTACAAACAATTTATCATATTTTTTTTTAAAAAATACTAGAACTTATTTTTCACTTAAATAATAAAAAATTTAAAGTTAATATGTTCAAATTTATAAAGAAAATAAGTAAAACATTATAAAAAGAAGATATATAAAAATTAACTGAATCATGTATGTCTAAATTCACTTGTTAAGGTATTTTCATTATAAAATATCTATATTTTTTAATTTAGAAAGACTTCTGTTTAATTCTAACAAATTAGTTTAATCAAATAAATTTTATAAGCTAAATAAGACAATTAATTAAATGTAAATAAGGTAATAAGTACATTATTAAAAAGTTAATTCTAATAATTGCATAAATATTTTTGATAAATTAAAATCAAACAAACTCAATCATAAAAAAATCACAAAAAACAAAAACTAAAATGTCTTCATTAACTTTAAATTTAGGATTCTGGGCTCTTCCATTAAGAGCATAACCTATAAGATATATTTTTGAACTAGCTCAATATCCATACTAATAGACTAACTATACTTTTAAAGAATCTAAAGAATGGTTTGAAAAAGATAAAAAAGAACTTGGTCTAGATTTTCCTAACTTGCCTTACCTCATACATGGCGATTTTAAGATCACTGAAACTCAAAACATTATCAATTACGCTTTGGATATCACTAAATAACAAAATTTATAAGGATATGGACTAACAAGATATAAGGTAGATAATGTTAGATTCCTTTGTGATGAGCTGATTGCCAAAATCTTCTTAGCATCAACGAAAACAGGAGAAGAAAAGAAGGCTGAAATCAACAACTCTGTTAATCCTAAATTGAAGTATTTATAAGGTGCTTTAGGAAACAAATAGTTTTTCTTTGAAGACAAGTTAACTTTAGCTGATATCTATGTTTACACAGCAGTAAATGGATTGTAACATTTGTTGAATGATGAATACAAGTAATTCGTTTAAACTTTTGGTCCTTTTATGAAAAACTTTGAAGAAATTCCTTTAATTAAGGCTTACCATAGCTCAAACAGATACCCTAAATTATCATGATTATCTAAATAAATAATTTTGTTGTATGCAGACTGTTTTTTTATTGATTTTTTATGTGAAATAGTATATCACACCTGTAATATCATTTTTAAATACCTTGAATCACCATTAATTTTCACCATGTTTCCTAAAAAAGTACTAAAAAATTAATTTCTTATACAAATTGAGTTTATTGTATTTATTATTTTTAATCTATGTACCTAATGAAAATGTATGGTATCTAATTAATATTAAATAAATTAGATCATCATATTATGTATGAACTTACAATTATATAAAACTTTCATTAATTTTTTATAAATTTAGTTAAGAATATATTTTAATCGATAGTAAGGATAAATAAGTTAGTTACTCATAGTTTAAAATACTTTCTAATGTAAGTTTTACATTATCTTTTAATCTGTAATAATATTCATTCTACATGTATATTAATAAGTGATGCTATTATCAATATAATACATATATTTCTATTTTTTTTCTGGAAATTAAATAGAAGGAAAAATGAAATAAGATTTTATAAAAAAAACCAAATTTAATTTATTACAAAAATCAATATTTTGAAAATATTTATTAAAAGATTGTAAAATTATTTATTTATTTATTTTTAATAATCATAAAACATTTAAAATTTATTTTAACAAATAAAATAACTAAAATAAATATAAAAACATTTAATATAAAATTGAGCAGCTTATTTAATAATTTTTAAAACTGTATAAGCATAAATATCTGCAATAGTTAAATTTTTAAAGAATTTAGGCTTGCTTCCTAAAGCTTTTTGCAATTATAAATTTTAAGAATAACTTAAGAATGAAGCATATTCTTCCCTTCTTCATTTTACTTCAATGCTTGATAAATTTATGAAAATAAGCCATCACATACAATCTTATACTGTATTTTTCTTTTCCTTCCCATACAAGTACTATCAATATGTTAATTCAATCAAATTATTCATAATATTTTAAGATTCAGATATTACAAAAGTCTCAGCTTTTCTATTAAAATTACATCACATATCAGAATTGTTTATTTACATAAATTTTTGGATAAAAATTAAAAAAAAGTAAAATAAACAAATTAATTAATTAATTAATAAGATTTCTTTTTCTAAATTTTATTCTATATTTTTTCTCTAATTTTTCTTAATTTTTTAAAATAGAAAAGAGTTGTTTTTATTAAAAAAATTAGAAAATCCATCATAATTATTTGTATGGATAAATTTTTGGATAGAAATACAAAAAAAAAAAAACAAAATAAACCAATTTTTAATAAATTTCTTTTTCGAAAATTGTTCTTTTTTTTTCTCTGATTTTTCTTAATTGATTAAAATAGAAAAACAAAGTCATTATTTTTTTTCAACAATTTTAACCCAATTTACAAATTTTACTTTTTGACTTTTACAGTTTTTTATTAATTTAATAATTCATCTTTTCTATAAAATGTATTGAAAATATTTTTATTATAAACTTAAAATCTTTAAAGGTTTTTTACAAATGAGAGTTATTTCTAAAATATTTTCATTTTTATAAAAAAACATTTATTTGAATTATCTAACTTTTTTTCAGTTTTAACATTATTGTTAAATGAATCATATTTTTTTCCTCCAAGAAATATTTCTCCTAACTTCTAGCTTACAAATCCTTTATTAATTAACTTAACTAATATTTTTTGTATTGTTCTTAAGTTATTCCTTAATTTTGTAAGGATCAATCAAATAACTTTATTTAAAGGTATTAAACACTCATTCTAAATTTTACTTTTGAAGTTTTACATTTACTAATTAACTTTTATAGTTTTAAAAATTCTCTACAAACAATTTAACTTTATATATTTTCATATTGATACAACTAAAACTTGCTTTTCAGATAAGATTAAAAAATTTTAAAGTTAGTATGTACAAATTTGCAAGTAAAATTAATAAAATGTTTTTAAAAGAAAACTTAAAAAACTTAGCTGATAAGAATATTATTTATCTAAAGCCATTTTACTAAGGTATTCTCACTATAAAACATCTAAACTTTTCAATTTAGAAAGATTTCTGTTAAATTCTAGCAAATTAGATTAATCAAATAAATTTTAAAAATTAAATAAGACAATTAAATGTAATAAGTACGTTATTAAAAAGTGAATGCTAACAATTGCATAAATATTTTTGATAAATTAAAATCAAACAAACTCAATAATAAAAAAATCACAAAAACAAAAACTAAAATGTCTTCATTAACTTTAAATTTAGGATACTGGGCTTATCCATTAAGAGGATAACCTATAAGATATCTTCTTGAACTAGCTCAATATCCATACTAATAAACTAACTATACTTTTGAGGGAGCTAATGACTGGTTCGAAAAAGATAAAAAAGAACTTGGTCTAGATTTTCCTAACTTGCCTTACCTCATACATGGCGATTTTAAGATCACCGAGTCTTAAAACATTGTCGATTATGTTTTGGATCTCACTAAATAGCATCATTTATTAGGATCTGGACTAACAAAATTTCAGATAGATAACGTCAGATTCCTCTGTAATGAGTTGATTTCCAAAATATTCTTAGCATCAACGAAAACAGGAGAAGAAAAGAAGGCTGAAATCAACAACTCTGTTACTCCTAAATTTAAGCGCTTATAAGCTGTTTTAGGAAACAAAAAGTTTTTCTTTGAAGATAAGTTAACTTTAGCTGATATCTATGCTTACACAGCAATAAATGCACTGTAACATCTATTGAATGATGAATACAAGTAATTTGCTTAAGCTTTTGGTCCTTTTATGAAAAACTTTGAAGAAATTCCTTTAATTAAGGCTTACCATAGCTCAACCAGATATCCTAGATTTAAATGATTAACTAAATAAATCAATCAATCAATAATTTTGTTTTTCATAAACTATGTTTTTTATTGGTCCTTTAATGTTTTTTATGTGAAATAATATATCACACCTGTAATATCAGATTTTTAAATATTGCTAATCTTGAAATAAAAATATCACCAACTGTCTGTGTAGGTACATATGGTGATATTAGAGAATTTACAATCGGAGCATTTTTAGATCAGTACAGGTAAAAAACCTCTCTGCCACACTATTTTTTCGCCTTCCAAGTATTTTCCTTGGAGGGCTACTTTTTCATACTTTTTTAAAAACAATTTTTAACAAATTTTTAATTAATGTTTTAATTTAACTATTGTAAAAATTCAGTTTAATTATTTTTAATCTAGCTAATTAATGAGAATTCAAGATATCTTATTAATGTAAAATAAATTAAATTAAAATATTCTATGGAAGCATAAAATCGACTTCATTAATATTTTAAAAATGTAGTTAAGAAGGTATTTTTTATCTTTAATCAATAATAAGGATAACTAACTCATATTTTAAAATACTTTCTAATGTAAGTTTTACATTTTCTTTTACACATTATTACCTACCTTTATGTTAATTAATAATCTATTATCAATATGATAAATTTCCTTTTTTTACTGGTAGTTAAAAAGGAGAAAAATGAAATAAAATCTTATAAAAAAAATATTTTTATTTCTTACAAAATCAATATTTTGAAATCATTTATTAAAAGATTGTAAAATTATTTATTTATTTTTTATTATTATTAAATATTTATTTAAAACAAATACAATAATTAAAATAAAAAAATATAAAAACTTTAAATTTATTTATTATTCATTTATTTTTAAATTAGTTCTTTTTAGAAAGAATTTCTTCTAATCTTTTTAAAAAAGGATCAAAAGTAGAAGCAAACTCTGTATATGCCTTCGAACAGCCTATTCTAAAATTTTTTAAAGCTGCATAAGCATAAATATCTGCGATAGTTAATTTTTCAAAGAATTAAGGTTTATTTCCTAAAGCTTTTTGCAATTATTAAATTTTAGGAATAACTTAAGAATTAAGCATATTATTTCCTTCTTCAGTTTATTTTGATGCTTGATAAACTTATGAAAATAAGTCATCACATACAAATCTTATATTGTCTACTCTATATTTTTCTTTTCCTTCCCCGTACAGGTACTATTAATTTGTTAATTCAATCAAATAATTCACAATATTTTAAGACTCAGATATTGAAAAGTCTCCATAAATCAAGTAAGGAAGATTTGGGAAGTCTAATCCAAGCTCAAATTTTTTTTTTTCCCATTCAGTAGATGTAGAAGTGTACTTATGCTCAGTGTAAGGAAAGCCTACGAGATCTAAGATATATCTAACAGTCTAACCTCTTGAGGCATTCTCCAAATAGCCTATGATTAACTCTTTAGATTCTTATGTTTGTTTTTTTCCAATTTAGTTAGTTGTATTCGAAGAGTCCATTTTGTAATATTTTTAAATGTATTTAACTTAGTTTATTAATTTATTTTTTTTTCTTTTAAAAAATTAGATCACCCATCAGAATTATTTGTATGTATAAATTTTTGGATAAAAAACAAAACAAAAAAATAAATAAACGAAATTTTAATTAGTTTTCTTTTTCTAAATTTTTTCTAAATTTTTTCTCTGATTTTTCTTAATTAATTAATTAAAATAGAAAAAATAATTTATTTTTTATTCAACAATTTTAAATCTATTAGCAAATTTTACATTTTGACTTTTACACTTTTTTAATAATTTAATAATTAAGCTTGTTTTTATCTTAAAGAAAATATTTATATTATAAGCTTAAAAGCTTAATAAAATAAATAAAATGAGAGCTTTTTCTAAGTTAATTTATGAATTTTATTAATAAAATATTTATTTAACACATAGAATTTCTTTAAAGTTATTATGTATGTTTAAAGCTTTACCTTATTTTTAAATAAATGAATCATAAGTTTACTCACCAAGAAATACTTCTGCTATAAAAATAATATATTTTTTAGCCTAACTAATATTTTTTTATACTATTCTTTAATTATTCCTTAATTTAAATTTATTTAGAGGTATTAATCAAGAATTAAAAATATTTACTACTTTATTTTTAAAACTTTACATTTATTTATATAATTTTATAGTTTTAAGAAACTATTTACAAACAACTTATCATATTTTTTTTTATATAAATACTATTAGAACTTGTTTTCACTAAAATAATAAATATTTTAAAGTTAATATGTGCAAATTTATAAAGAAAATAAATAAAACATTATAAAAAGAAGATATATAAATATTAACTGATAACAATATCATTTATGTCTAAATTCACTTTACTAAGGTATTCTCATTATAAAATATCTAAACTTTTCAATTTAGAAAGATTTCTGTTAAATTCTAGCAAATTAGTTTAATCAAATAAACTTTAAAAATTAAATAAGACAATTAAATGTAAAATAAGGTAATAAGTACATTATTAAAAAGTGAATGCTAATAATTGCATAAATATTTTTGATAAATTAAAATCAAACTCAATAATAAAAAAATCACAAAAACAAAAACTAAAATGTCTTCATTAACTTTAAATTTAGGATACTGGGCTTATCCATTAAGAGGATAACCTATAAGATATCTTTTTGAGCTAGCTCAATATCCATACTAATAAACTAACTATACTTTTGAGGGAGCTAATGACTGGTTCGAAAAAGATAAAAAAGAACTTGGTCTAGATTTTCCTAACTTGCCTTACCTCATACATGGCGATTTTAAGATCACAGAGTCTTAAAACATTGTCGATTATGTTTTGGATCTCACTAAATAGCATCATTTATTAGGATCTGGACTAACAAAATTTCAGATAGATAACGTCAGATTCCTCTGTAATGAGTTGATTTCCAAAATATTCTTAGCATCAACGAAAACAGGATATATTAGATAGTCAGAGACCTGACTCAACCCCCATTTTTTAGAGGAATTACAGTATAAATGTAATTAAAAATATTGTGTTTTGGAGGGGGTTTTTAATTTTTTATTAAATTTTTTAATAAAGCAATATATAATTTATTAATTAATTAACTGTTTTAATAGCTGAACTAATTATTACTTACAATTTTATTTTATAAATTAATTTTAAAAGCTAATTATTATTTTAATTTAGTAAAAACTGATAAAATTTCAAGTTAAAAACTTTTTAAACAAACTAATATTTTTTGGACCAGCAGGAACCCATCGAATTATAGAACTTTTAATTTTCACTTTGTTTATTGATAATTAATTAGAAATTAAAAAAGTAAATAATTAAATATTAATAATTGAAGATAATTCCTGTGGCAAAAAGAAAATTCTACTTTGTAAACGCATCCTCTATAAATTATTAAACAAATTAATTGGCTGCAATGGGGTTTAATAAAATTGATATATTTGGTAGTAATGTTTCTATAAAATTTTAAGGATTAGATGCTCATCAGACCAGAGTTGGGGCTTGTTTTACTGTTCTTGTGTTCACACTAGTTTTTTTGAGGCTGATTATTTTGGTTAATAATTCTGTAAATGGATATAATCCAACGGTTTTATACCAAGAGAGATTTGTTTAAGATCCTAAAATGTTTGAAATAACACCTAATTCTTTGTCACTAGCCTTAGGACTTTTAGATATGAATTTTAATTATTACATTGATGAGACTATATTCAATATTTAAGGAGTTCACATTATAAAATAAAATGTTTGGAATAACTCAACAAATTAATACGAATAAATATTAAGCTAAAAAGTGTTTAATTTGGTTAATTGTACTGATGAACACATTCCTGATCCATAGTTAAGAGATTTCTTCCTTTAATCTAACTTATATATGCATTAATGTATTCCTTTGGACTTATCACTACAAATTTAAGGATAATTTAATTCAGAAGTCTACTAAGAGCTAAATTTTTATTTTAAAAAATGCAGTGGTTTAAAATGCAAAAATGATTCAGATATAAATAAGCTTTTGAGCAGTAATAATGTGGAGCTAGTGTTTACAGATATATTTTTTTCTCCTTAAAATAAAGAGAATCCTTTTACAAAATTTTCTAGAGACTTGTACTGGGTTACAAGTCAAAATTTACCTCGTTTTGTAAATGTATTTATGAGAAATAATTATGTAGAGACTGACGTTGGATGGATTACATAGAATCTAATGACAAATATTTATCCATCTTACAGTTATGATGATGTTCAGGTATTATTTAGATTAGCATTTATTTTTTTATTAATTTAAAATAATATTTGAATGAAAAATAAATTTATTTTATTCTTAAATATTTATATTAAAGAAACAAATAATAAATTTTAATTAATATTATTTTTTGTAGAAAATAATAAAATATTTCATAAAAAATAGATTAATGATCCTTCAAATGACTTTTTTTTTCATCTTGCTATCAGATTTGAAAAATCAAAAGAGAATCTATACTAAAGGAGCTATGATAAATTATTCATCATATTATCTTAAATTGGAGGAATATCTTCACTATTACTATCAATATTTGGGTTTATTTGCAAAAAATATTCTTAAATCGACTTAAACAAACATTTAATAAACTAATTATTTACATTTTAAAAAGATTCAAGCTAGTAAGATAGCTGTAATTTCATTTAAAGCAACTCAGATAACCAAAATATATATTCTAACCAAATTGAAATAGCTGAAAATCGATAAAGTTTAAACAATACAAATTCTAATTTTAAGTAAAACGATATACTGAAGAAGCAAAGCTTTTAATTATCTCCGAATTCTGAGTAAATTAAATGTAAACTAGGACAGACTAATTAGGCTATTCAAGTATAAAAAATATAAGAAAATTCATAAAAAATAGATATATCTCTAGGTAATAACTCAAATTAATAATCATTAAATTTATCTGCTAAAGACTAAATTATTGAAAATTATGGAAATTAATAATAAGCAGAAAGTAAAAAACATAAGCTAATTTTTAATGCCTTTGCATATATGATTTCTTCTATATTTAAATGCCTTAAAATCTATAAAGTTAAAAAGTAGTTGATAGATTTTGGATTTCAAGAACTTAATAATATTTTAGACATTACTTATATCTTATAAAAATTAGCAGAAATAGATAAGCTAAAAAGAGTTATCCTTAACAATGAGCAAATAATATTGTTTGATTATATACCTAAACCAAATATTAAATATAAATCATAAGGTAACCAGAAGCTAAGAATTTAAAAAATTTGCAGCTTTTCACAATTAGGTAACTCGAAATAAATTGAAAAGCTCTAATAAGCCCATGAGTGTCTATAAATTATTAAACAAAAGAGAAGATAAAATAAAATTGATGTAAGTCTCTTGAGTTTGATATAGGTTTTATAATTTGATTACTCTCCCTTAAAATAAATAGACTAATAGCTAACAAATCCAGCTCTGTACCAAAAATTTAGTAAATGAGAACTTTAATGTCTGGTAAAATAATACAATAAAAGATTAACAAAAAAATTAGATGGATGGTTCAGATGATAGTTTTGTAAAAAATGATTTAAAAAAGTATGCTTTTACAAAATATGTGAGGCACAGCATTAAAAATTAAGATTAAACTATTAATTGATTATAATTTATTTATTCTTGAACAACAATTACTTAGTAGGTAAGATATTAAAATTTTATCAAGATGTCGGATAATAAATTTTAAGCTAATATAATTAACTCTACTTTTAAAACTAATCATATTTTAATTTGTATTTCGCTCATTTATACAATAATACTAAATAGTTAATTTAAGTTTATTTTTTTTAAAGTTTTAAAAGTCGTTTTGATATTTACTTTTTATTATTTGAAATAAATCATATGATTCTCTGAAAAGATATACTTAAAAATATTAAATGAATCTAGTGGATTATGGTTGATTTTTTGAATTAAATAATAAATTTTTTTAGCAATATCTTATTATTTATTAGTATAATACATACCATAGGTACTCTTCTATAAGGAGGGTCCGAGAATAAATAACTTATTTCTAAATTTTACTCTCATCTTTTAAAATTTTCAAAAAATCAGCCCTTTATAAAAAATCTTAAAATATAAAGATTTACAGTATATAAAATGTAAGATTTAGATTATTTAGTAATATTTTTAAAAAGTAGTCAATCGAAACTCATAATTTATAAAGCAGAGAAACTGGAATTTCTATTTTCAATAATATAATTAAAATAATTTTACATAAACTCAAATTTTAATTCTTTAAGATTTTTTTATTTAAATTTATAAATTCATTTAATCTGATTATTTATCGCTTATTATTGTTTTGATATTAAATATAATTTCACTTTTTATTAAAAGCATTAAAAAATTTTTTTAAAATCTTATTTTACTTAAGATTCATCTTGCAAGTAATTAGATTAATATACTCAAGCAAATTATTTAACTAACAAATTTATTTAGCAATCTTTTAATTTTTTCTGTATTATTTCAATCTATATTAAATTATTAATTAATTAGGTTTTTTAAAAATTATTATGAAAAATCTAAATAGAGGATCTTCATATTTTATTTATTTATTTTATGATATTTTGAAAATTATTTTAAGATTTTTGTATAAATTAAAAAAATTTTAGCTCTACAATTACATGTTTGAATGATGAAAAACTTTTAAATTCTCAAATAATTTATTTAAAATTATTGTTTTTTTATTTCCTTTCTTGTTAGTTTGGAATAATATATATCTTCAGATTTAGTCAAGTCAAGCAATTTGATATTAATTAAATACTTTGTTTATATAAATTGCTGCTTAATTTTTAATATTTTATTAGATATTTTTTTATATTATTTATTAAAAAGCATTAACAAAATTAAATATTTTTAGAGATATATGTAAAAATAAATAAAACATATTTATTTGTTGGTAAAAAACTGGCATCAATATTTAATTAATTCTATTATTAAAGATTATGATTATTTAAATAGAAAAAATTAATCAAAATTTAAACTTTAATTAAAAAGTGAAATTTTTTTGAAATTTAAAATATTTTTTAATCATAAATTTGATGGATTTTGTAATTAATTTATTTTTAGTAAAAAAAAATATTATTATTTAGATTTTTTTAAATGGCTATTTAAAAATTAATGGTAGAAAAATATATAAATTAATGAATGAATTATGAATGAAGATAAAAGTCTTTCTATAATTAACAAAATTATCAAAATTTTGTAATGTTTTTTTACGCTGTAAAGTTAGTAGTTATTTTTTTAAAGCATGAAATTAATTAATCAAATATTCATTCATTCATTCATTGGATTTATTTCTTTACTCACAATTAATCAAATTCGTATTTTAGAAACTATTTTGGAAAATGACTTTTAAAACTCGTGTGCTAAATATTATTTTTGAAGAAAAATTTTTGATCACTAAGAGTTAAGTTAACCTTTATTAATTGTTACTGGATCAGAGAGTTGTTGGTGGAAAACAAGCCACTAACTAAAAGATTATATATATAATAAAATTTTTTAATTCTTTTAGTTTTATGTGATTGCTAAATGAAATAAAGTTTATTCTATTTTAATGAAAGATTGAGATCATACTAGCAAAAATAAGATTATTAATAAGAATGAATTAAAAACCTTTATTTATAAAATTATAGTACTAATAAAGAAAGATTAAATTTGATTGATTGATTAATTTATTAATTAATTAACAATTACTTAGAAAGAATGAGTCATCAGTAAATTAAATAAGCTCGTTAGAATTCTGTTTCATCAATTCACAAGCAAGGGTAGTAGCATGGTCACAGAAAAAACTTCTCTTCATAGCTAGAAAATAAAAATTTTGAAGGTTCTCCTAAAATAGGAATGGAATTTAAGCAGTTACTTACTCCATCCAAAGCATTTGAAAGTCCAGTTATTAAAAAGGGTCAAAATTTTTCTGACAATAAGCCAATAAAATAGAATACATCTATGACTAATTTGAGATCCATCATTAGCCAAAGTACAAGTTAATCTCACATAAGTCCAAATGCTTAAACTCTTGTTTCTACTCAAAGTAATAATAAAGGAATAATTGGATCGACCTTATCCAATAAGAGTTTATTAACATCTAGTGATAGTAATGCTTATTTGAGCATTAACATAAATCAAGCATAAAATTTACAATTAAAAGAGCATGAATCAGCTGCGCTTTCTCCTATTGAAGAAATAAATATAAATAGTGTCAAAAAAACTATTCCATTCACATCTATAGCTTAAAATTCAAGGTAAACATTAGAAATCCCTCGTTCAACTCTTAACTTTAACATCGATAACACATCAAAAAAAGCATAAAATATGAATAATAATTAGTTAGCAGGAGTTTTAGGAATAAGCAATAATTAGCAAACCAAAGGATAAGAAATGTAATAAATACCAATAGGAATTAATAAAATGTAGCAACAAAAGTCTTTAGGTTAACTAAATAATAATTATTATTCAAAGAGCTCATATAACATGCCTTAACCTAATCTAACTCCAAGCACTACAGCAGTTAACACTCAATCAATCAGCAATATAATCAACAAGACAAACCCAATTATGCAAAACTTTTAGTAGCAATAATAACAAAATTAGAATTAGATAAATTAAAACAATAAAAATGTTTCTTTGAATTAAAATAATCAATAGATAATCTATCTGTAGCAATCTCCTCTTTAAGTATAATAGCCTAATTTGATGTAAATAAATGGAGCTACTTTGACAGAATCTCAAAATACTCAAAACGCATAAAATACTAATCCGAATGTTGCTAACAGCTAAAGTAGACAAAGCTCTATAACAAATATAAGCAATTTTCTTCAAAATGATTATATTAATGCTCTAAAAAATGAAGATTAAGTTTAAGATGCAAAAACGTTTTTCACATCTTCTAAAGATTAAATGAATAGTGTTATAGGTAAACAGCAACGAAGTATCTCTAAAGAATATAGTTTAAAAAAAGAACCTTCAACTATTAGTCTCAGAAGAAAAGAATCTTATTCTAATTAAAACCACAGTGGATCAAGGAACAATTCATAGAATTAAAAGATAAATAATAATTACTCAGTACAAATAAACACAGGAGCAAGTAGCCAGTAAATAATTATTTTGATTATTAAAAAACACAATAGAAAAAAACAATAAAAATAAAATCAACGATATTTAACCATAAAAATTGTATGGATATGAAAGGATAATAAATTTATTAAGTACTTTTAATCACAATCAATTCTTTCAAAAATAAATAAAAGCGAATTTTTTTTTTAATAAATTGGAACAAATTCATCAATAATAGAATAATTTTAAAATAATAAAAATCTTTCAACCAATTTCAATTTATAAATTTAGCAGCCCAATTATTAAATAATTGCCTTTTAAAATAATCTAGTTTATCATTTAATTGCTCTAAAAGTGTAGAAAATATAAGTAGAAACATTCTTTAAAAAATTCTACTTTTAATAAAAAAAATACACTTTCTTATTTCGCGGTTGTTAAATTTTTATTTTTTAAATTTAATCAATAAAAACTTCATTAGTTTAATTTTTTAAACATAAAAATACAACTTAATTTTAAAAAACAATATTTTTAATTAATTCAATAAAATATTTATCAATTTTATTTTTCTTTTAGATTAAACAATAATTCATAAGAATTAAGTTAAAATTAAGGAAAGATTATTCCATCTATTTAAATTTAGAACTACGAGGAATCTAGAAAACATACTGCCCCTTCTTCTCATTTGGGAATTAAGAATGCAAACATTAATTTATCTACTTTGACTAATTCCTAATCAATAAATAACTCAATATCATAAACTTAGCTAAATAACCCTAATTATCAAGCTCTAATAACTTAATAAAGTACATAATTAAACTCTTCTTTGAATAACTCTGCTGGAAAACAATCTGATAATAACCAGCAACCTACTGCAAACTTTAAATCTTAATTTAGAAAAGAAAGTCTAATTGCTTTCTAACTCCCACAGTAAAAATAATTTAGTAAGCAATCTTCGTCAACGCTTTTTGTTGATATTGAAGAGTCTTTAATTAATAACTAAGTTAAAAGATGCAACTAAAGATCACATACTCAGCTTAATACGAGTCCTGGTAGAGACAGAAGTCCACCAATATTACAAAGTAAGCAAAGTTCAACAAGCTAAAGAAGTATTTAAGATATTTCGCCTTCAACTTCAGTCAAATTATATAATAAACGTCATACAGAGATTTATTCTCCTTAAAAATCACTTTCTCCTAACAAATCTTTATTTTAAATGGTAAAACTAGCTATGCAATAATCTTAATAATCAGAAAATTCGTCTATCCCAAATTCTCCTTTAAAAATTGGTAGAAAAAATAAAAGAAATATGAGCTATGTTAATCTGCCATCAGACACAAGTGGAAACATCAAAACCTTTTTGCGTTTTCGTCCTAATAATAACATGGAGTTAGAATTAAATAACCAGGGCCTTGGCTAAAACATTATAAATTTTATTGATGACTATTCAGTTTCCTTAATTGGCGAGTAATAGTAAGTTTATACCGTTGATAAAATATTCACTCCAAATGATACTTAGGTAAAAATACTTATTTATTTTTATTATGTTTTGAATTTTTAAAATATAAAAATATTTAATTTATATCAAAAACAAATTTAAAATTATATAGCTAATTCAATCATAATAAACAAAATAATATATTTTCTAGGTTTCTTGTGTAATTAATATAAAGTTGCAAATTTCAAAATATTATTTAAATTTTTATTTTCTTTACAAATATGAAAGAAGCAATTTATTATAAAGAGTTTTTCACTTATAAAAGAAACTTGAATTAAAATTTATTATGAAATTTAAAATTAGCTAATGTAATTTTTAAAAGTAACTTCATACATAACCTTAACAAAATCTACAAAAATTATTTGAGATAAAGAAAAGGAATTTTATGATATATTTAAAATAAAAATTTATCATATTAGAAATAAATAATAATTCTTGATTTATTCAATTAAATTTAGTTTTTTAAATAAAATTTATATTTTTTATTTGAAAATATAACAAAAACATTTATTAAATAATTAATAGGAAACAATATACTTTTAAGTTGGAAAAGAGGTGATAGTTGATGTTTTTTTAGGATATAATGGAACAATCTTTACATATGGAGTTACTGGATCTGGTAAAACTCATACTATGTTTGGAAATATAACAGATTAGGTTTAGAAGGGAATAATCCCAAGAATTTGTAATTAAATATTTGATTTGGTTGAAAATGATGAAGAAGGAACAGAATTTATAATTAATTGTTCTATGCTTGAAATATATAAAGAAATTTTATATGATTCATTTTAAGAAGGAAAAGAAGAGCTGAAAATAAAAGAAAATGTTTAAAAGGGTATTTATGTTCAAGTATTTTATATTTATTTATATTTTATTAGAGTTGAATCATTTTAATCTATTTTTAATTAGGGATTAACTTAAACGAGTATTGCTAATTAAGATGAGTTAATATAGTTGATTAACATAGGATATAATACAAAAAGGACTAGAGAAACAAGACTTAACGAATACTCTTCCAGAAGTCATACGATTTTTATGATTGAGATTTAGCAAAGACTTTCTAACGGGGATGAGAAAATTGGTAAAATCAATTTGATTGACTTAGCAGGTGCTGAAAAGGTTAGCAGAAGTGGTGCTCAAGGTGAATCCCTAGAAGAAGCTATAAAAATTAACTTATCTTTATCCTGCTTAGGTAATTTAATATTAAGAAAATATCTAACCTACAATATTTAATGTCAAAAAAGGAAAGGTAATTCATGCCCTTACTAGTGGAAATGAGTACATACCATATAGAGACTCAAAATTAACAAGAATTCTTCAAGAATCTTTGGGAGGCAATTATAAGGTTAACTAAATATTTTTTTATTATTATCTTAAGATAAAATTTATTAAATTAATTTCAAAAGACTTCTCTGATAGTAACTTGCTCAATGCACTCAAGCTTTTAAGATGACACAATTAGTAGTTTGAAATTCGCTACTAGAGCTAAGACAATAAAAAACACTTTCAAAATGAACATAAAAGTGAATCCAATAAATCTCTAAAAAGAATTAGAAACTCTTAAAATTTAAACTGAAAGTTATAAATACATGCTTAATAATGTAAGGAATATTTTCTTCGATGCTCAAAACAAAATTTCAAGTCTTCCTAACATTTCTTCAGATCCTAAGCTTTATGAAATAAGTAATTTAATAATTAATATAAATTTTATTTAGTTTTTTAATTAAATTTATAGAAAATAAGCTTGATGAATTTCTCACTTTATAGAGTGCTATCGATGATATAAGCACAGTTTCAAACACAGATTTACCTTAACTTAACGGAGGAGTTATTGACAATAAACTAATTTCAACTTTTTTAGCTTCTAAAAAAGATGTACAATATTTCAAATTTTCAATTGATACAAAATTCAAATAAATTACTACAAACTATTTCTAATAATTTTCCAAAATTGTCAAAAATTAAATTGAAAATTGAAGAAATTAATTAAAAAATATTTGAAAAAACATTTTCTTTTGCTTATAAAGTTAAATTTATTTAATTTTATCTAGGCACAAATGATGGTGAAGGATGAAAATATAAAACAATTAATGCAAACTAATTCTGATTTAAATGAGCAGATACAATCTCTTTAGTAAGAGAATCAAGCACTCAAAAAAGAAAATTTGAATTTGACTGTTAAATTAAATGAAATATCTCAAGAAAAAAATTAAATTAAGTTATAGCTAAATAAATAGCTTTCAAAAAATGATTATTCAAATTTTTCTTTGGGAATACTTTAAAAGTAAATTTAGCATTTAGTTGACTCTGTTTGTGGAGCTGAAAAGAGAATTTCTTCTATCCTACAAGAAAAAAAGCTTGTAGTTGATATAAAATTTGAAGATTATTTGAAAGAAAAGTTATCATTTTCAGAGATAGTGCTGGCAGATTACTTTAAAAATTCTATCAACTTTAATTTTGAAGTAATTTAAAATCATATTTTTAAATATAAATAAATAGCTTTGTTTAAAAATAATTAATTAATTAGTCTGCAGAAAAAGGATATAAAGACGTTTAAGAAAATCTGAAAAAATTTAATTTAGAAGGTGATGATGATTTTATGGCTGAAAAAAGTATGGAGGTCGAAAGCAGTAGTTACTTAATTGATAGCGAAGTAGACTAAATCGATAACAATAATGCTAGTAATTAAGCTACATTTAATTAAATCAATCCAAATAAAAATGCACCTTAGTTATCTAAAAAACCTCGATTAAGCAGTAACTCTACTAGCTCTTTTGTCTGTAATATAGATTCGAAGATTTTTCAGAATGAAAATAATGAAATCTTAAAAAAAATATTTGCTATGCCATCTAAGCTAGATATGGCCTCAGTTTCAGAAACAGTCTCTAATGACTTCATCATTGTTTCACTAAAAAAATAATTAATTGAGTAAATTTCTTATTAATTTTAATTAAATTTATTGATTTTTAAAATATAAATTGAAAAGCTCTCACATCCTTAACTAAAATCTGCTAAGAACAGTTAATGCACTCGAATGGAAACAAATTATAGAGTATGGTAAATCAAAGTTAAAATCAGATCAGATTTAAATTTAAAGGAAATAAATTAAACATCTTGAAAATGTGTTAGAAGAAGTTACTGAAAATCACAAAGAGCTTAGATTAAAAATAGAAGACTTAGAATTTGATATGTATCAGCAATATGCATAACAAAGACCCAGAGAATTAAGTTTAATTGATAACAAGAAATAAAATAAAAACAAGATAATTATTCCTTTGACACCTTAAAATGTTCAAAGACAATAGTTGCTTAAAACTGATAATAAAAAAAGTAATTTTGGTAGCGAAGTAAAATCTGGTAATTTTTCAAAAGACTCGCTGTCTAATTTCTCTACAATTCAGAAAGACCTGATAGATATTTAATAGAGTAAATTATTTATAATAAATCCGACTTTTTAATCTTTAATTAATACTTAGGTTTTAAAGAAATGGAATTAGACATAATACCTTTGACTTACTAAAATGCACTTGATGAATTAAAAAAGAGAAATATTATACTTAAAAGGATAAGAGAAATAAATATGATGGACTTTGATTCTTTTGAGGCATATGCAACTAGCTTACCTTAAAAAGAAACTGATGAATCTATTAAAAACGAAAGAGAAAGACTTAATAACAAAATCATAATACTCTAATAAGAATTGAAGATGGAGTAAGTAAAAGTAGAATCTATCAAACACGTAATTAATAATGAATATTTTAAATTTATTTTAATTTGATGTATTTTTTAATTTTAAGTCTCTGTTAGTTGAGAGAAAGAATGTGAAGGATTTGAAGAAACTCACAGAAAATATGGAGGTTTCTTTAAGAAATACATTAAAAGAAGAAAATGATAGTTGGCAATAAACTATAAATGAAGTTACAGAATTAAATAAAGTAGAACTTACCAAGAGATAAGCAGAATACAACTAACTTAGAGAAATATTCTTCAATATTTTAGAATTTTCTCTTTAAAAGTAAACTTTTTTTTTTATAGTAATATATAAATGACATTTCTATTAACATAGAATATAAGAGATGAAAGGTAAATGGTCATCTTAAGAGGTGTAAGAGCTTGAAAATATAATTATAGAAATGGAAAAAGCCAAATTACAGATAGGTAAATGTTATGAAAATGCTATTAAAAAAAGATCTAGAAATTCTTCAATATAAAGTATTTAAATCCTTACACCTAAAAGGCCACCACAGCAACCTCTAGTAAATATACCTGAAATTAGTCTTTAATCAAAATAATAATGAATAAAAATCAATAAATAAATAAATAGTCAAGGAAATATAGAAAAATCGATAAAATTAAAAACCAAATAACTATCTATCTATAAATTAAAATAGCCATTAAAAAAAATCTTAATCTTCTTTTATAAAAAAATAAAATATAAATAATTCTATTGTATCTTTCTTGTTTATATTTATTTTAAATATTTCTTAATACTAAAATAAATATCAAAACAAACAAACAAACAATATTTATTAAATTGAGTTATCATTTTATCAAAGTTTTTAGTTTTAAAATTAAAATTAAATTATTCTATCACTGTAAATATATTAAGTAATATACTCTAGTAAGTACAAATGTCATCTTTAGTACAAATTTAAGTGGTTATTAAATAAGCATCAAAAACATTCTTTTCAAAAATCATTCTATCTGTTTTTTTATTATTTGATATAAATAAGGAATTACAATATTAATATTTTGTATGCATAGTTAATTAAATTTCATCTAATTCATCTTAATTTTCTTAATTCAACATTCGATACATTAATAAATGAGTCAAAATTTTGAACATTTTTGGCACAATTTGCTTCTGATTATAAAACTTTAAACTCTTCTTCGATGAGATCATATTAATAATTGTTTGTAAAAAAGCGCGCGATGACAATTCTGTTTGATAGCGATTAAATATCTCCATTATCAAATCAGGAATTTGATGTATATTTTCTAAGTTAAGGATATTAGAATATTATTTTTCAATCTTTAATGGTTAGTCAAGTTAGGGTTAGTTTATTGTATTAATTTTCGTAAAATGTCTGGTTTTCAAATAGCATGATGAAACTTCTGTATTTTACTTATCTTTAGAATATACGAAAAAGCACCATATATCTGCTTAATTTTTCTTTCCTTCTATTTATAAAATTCTTCATTTCTAACTGGAAATTTTTTAAATTTTTGATCAAAATTGATAAGCTTATTAAATTAATTAAATTATTCGATTTCAAACATATATTGAATACTATACTTTGTCTTTTGTTAATTAAAATCCTCTTTTATGTTGAATAAATATGCAAAGAATTTTATAAAATTAATTTTCAAAAGATGAGTAAAATAAAGAAAGTAAAATGAACTTAAACAATTGATTTAGCGGACTGACTGCAGTCAATTTAAAAGTTTTATTTATATTTAAAATGATACTTTCATATTATGTGTTTATCATGCGATCTTGAATATAACTAATTCCTGTATTAATCGCGAAAATTATTTGAGTTTCTTATTATTAAAAAGAATTTATAAAATATGTATCTCTCTCTTTATTAAAATCCTTTTAATAAAATACTTTTATTTTTACAATTATACAAGCAAGGAAAATAATTAATTCTTGACAAATCAGAAGAGCGGGCATAAATAATTTAGCGCGCACACACAGCAAGCTTATGCGCCTTTTAAAAATATCGTTTTGTAAAATGAAAAAAGCGATTTAGAGTTAAAAATTGAATTCTTAAAAAATACTCTTTGAATTTAATTATAGCGAGCAATGAAAATATTAAAAACTACTAATTTTATTATTTTAAATGTAAAAATATTAAAATATTTAGCAAATTAAAAACATACAAAAATAAATACATTCAGTAGCTTTCATATTTTAAGTAAAATTTTCTATTTAACCTACCATTTTAGGATCGCTCCTATAATTTGATTTTGCGCGTATTTTAATTAATCAATAAATTGATTATTAAGAGTTAAAAATATTGATCCTAAATATTCTTATTCTTATTATTGAATTTTAATAATTTATTAAGTGTTTTATTCCAATATATTAATATTGTTTTCAATCAATATCTTTTACTCTTTTTAAAATGATGATATTTATGAGAAGAAAATGATTATATTTAATTATTATTTAAAACAACTAAAAAGAAAATGGAAAACTTTGATTTTTACTAAAAATGTTGACAAATTTTTTGTCAACTAAAATTATTAGAATGAAGAAAATAGTAAAAAAGAATCTGAATACTTTTTAATTCTTTCTTCCCTTTTAAGGTCGCGAACAGGGTAAAATCAGGGAGTGATCTTACAGCTAGGCTAATTCTGATTTCTTAGCTGTTAGCGAGACAACTCTCCGTGCATCAGGCTTCTAGTAACTATAGCAATAAACTATTAATTCAGATATTAGAAAGATTAATATAAGTGAAGAACAATATCAAACTAATTAATTTTCAAATAACAAAGAATCAATAAATATTATTGATGAAATTATGAACTATTAGGAGTCTACTCTCATTGTAGATTAAGATAGTTAGTTAAAAAAAAGAAACTAAATAATGGAAAATGCATATTTAGATATGTGTTATTAGAATAATATCTACCATGAAAGCTAATCTGCTTCATAAGCTTTGCCTGTTTTAATTAACTCCCATCAGAATGCATAAAATTCTATTGCTTTAGATTTAACAATCAAAAACTCCATATTCTAATAACCTCAAACAGAACACAATTTTCTTTTAATTAAGTTGGTAGAACTAAATGCCTTTACTTTTTAATAATTTTTTTTAAAGCATTAAAATATTTATAATAGATTTTTATTTATAATATTATTAATACATTTAATTTTTTAATAAATTTATTAAATTTTAGCTTTTTAAAAAATTTTTTAAAATATGTGTAATTTGTCCAAATGGGTTAATATTCTACTAAGTTGGCATTCTCATTATCCTTTATATAAAAGATTGCAAAATTATTTATTTTTAATTATGATTAAACATTTAAATATTTTATTTAAAACAAATACAATAATTTTAATAATAAAAAGTTTTTTAAATTAATTCTTTTTATTAAGAATTTCTTCCAGTCTTTTTAAAAAAGGATCAAAAGTTGAAGCAAATTCCAAATATGTATTCTAAAAATTTATTCTAAAATTTTTTAAAGTTGTGTAAACATAAAAATCTGCAATAGTTAAATTTTCAAAGTATTAAGGCTTGCTTCCTAAAACTTTTTGCAATTATTAATTTTTAGGAATAACTCAAGAATTTAGCATGATCTTTCTTTCATTCTTAATTTTACTTTGAAGCTTTTGATAAATTTTAGAAAATAGATCATCACAAACAAATCTTATATTAACTACTCTGTATTTTTCTTTTTCTTCAACATACAGGAACTGTTAGTTTGTTAATTCAATCAAATAATTCACAATATTTTAAGACTCAGATATCGAAAATTCTTCATGAATCAAGTAAGGAAGATTTGGGAAATCTAATCCAAGCTCTGACTCCCCCCCCCCCCCCCCTCATTTAGTAGATGAAGAAGTGTACTGATCTTGAATATAGGGATAACCTACAAGATCTAAGATATATCTAACAGTCTAACCTCTTGAGGTATTCTCAAAATAGCATATTATTAACTCTTTAGATTCTTTGGTTTGTTTTTTTGTAATTTAGTTAGTTTGTATTTGAAGAGTTCATTTTATAATATTTTTTAATTTATTTTATTTAGTTGCTTTTCTTTAAAAAATTAATTATTTACATGTACATAAAATTCTGGATAAAAATACAAAAGGAAAAGTAAAATAAACGAAATTTTAATCTGCTTTCTTTTTCGAAAATAAATTTTTCTATATTTTTTCTCTGTTTTTTCTAAATTAATTAAAATAGAAAAACTGATTAATTTTTATTCAACAATTTTAAACCAATTCAAATTTATTTTACTTTTTGATTTTTACATTTTTTTTTAATTTAATAATTAAGTTTTTTCTATTAAACATATCTAAAATATTTTTATAATAAACTTAAAAGTTTAATATTTTAGATGAAACTGAGAGATATTTCTAAGTTGATTTCTGAATTTTTATTTGAATTATAAAATTTCTTTAAAGATATTTTGTTTAAACAATAATCTTATTGTTAAATGAATCTTATGTTTTTCCACCAAGAATTATTTCTGCTAAATTCTACTTACAAATTATTTAGTTATTAACTTAATTTTTTCTTTATTTTGTTCTTTAGTTATTCCTTAATTTTGTAAAGATGAATCAAATAACTTTATTTAAAAGTATTAAGCTCATTCAAAATGTTTACTTTTGATCTTTACATTTATTTGTATAATTTTGTACATTATAAAGAGCTTAATAAAATATTTTTTTTAATAGATAAAAACAACTAAAACATATTTCTCGCATAAAATTAACAAATTATAAACTTAATATTCACTAATTTACAAAAAAAATTAATAAAACATAATAAAAATAAGGTAAATTGTTTTTATAAATACAATTTATATAGGAAAATTACTTTACTAAGGTGTTCTTGTAATAAAAAATCCAAAATTTTTAATTTAGAAAAATTTCTGTCAAAAGAATCTCATGCTTTTCCACCAAGAATCATTTCTGCTAAATTCTACTTATAAATCATTTATTTATTAACCTAATATTTTCTATATTTATATTTTGTTCTTTAATTACTCCTTAGTTCTGTAAAGATGAATCAAATAACTTAACTTAAAAGTATTAAGCTCATTCAAAATATTTTCTTTTTGATCTTTACATTTATTATTCATATAATTTTATAGTTTTAAGAAACTCTTAGTAAAGAGCTTAATAAAATATTTTTTTTAATAGATACAAACAACTGAAACATATTTCTCACATAAAATTAACAAATTTTAAACTTAATATTCACAAATTTACAAAGAAAATTAATAAAACGTTTTAAAAAGAAGGTTATAAATTTGTTTTTATAAATACTATTAATGTAGGAAAATTACTTTACTAAGGTGTTCTCATAATAAAAAATCTAAAATTTTTAATTTAGAAAAATTTCTGTTAAATTCTAAAAAATTAGTATAATAGAATAAATTTTAAATATATAATAAGCTAATAGGAACATATGAAAAAGTGAATACAAATAATTACATAAACATTTTTATTAAATAAATAAATATCAAACTAAAGAATAAAAATCCCTAAAATAAAAACTAAAATGTCTTCTTAAACAATCAACTTAGGATTCTGGGCTCTTCCATTAAGAGCATAACCTATAAGATATATTTTTGAACTAGCTCAATATCCATACTAATAGACTAACTATACTTTAGAAGAATCTAAAGAATGGTTCGAAAAAGATAAAAAAGAACTTGGTCTAGATTTTCCTAACTTGCCTTACCTCATACATGGTGATTTTAAGATCACTGAATCTTAAAACATTGTCAATTATGCTTTGGATGCCACTAAGTAGCATCATTTATTGGGATCTGGACTAATAAGGTTTAAGATAGAAAATGTTAGATTCCTTTGTGATGAGTTGACTGCCAAAACATTCTAAGCATCAAGGAAAACAGGAGAAGAAAAGAATACTGAAATCAACAATACTGTGATTCCTAAATTTAAGTTTTTATCAGTTGTTTTAGGAAACAAAAAGTTTTTCTTTGAAGACAAGTTAACTCTAGCAGATATTTTTGCTTACACAGCAATAAAAACACTGTAACATGTGTTGAATGATGAATACAAGTAATTTGCTTAAGTTTTCGATCCATTTATGAAAAACTTTGAAGAAATTCCTTAGATTAAGGCTTACCATAGCTCAGACAGATATCCTAAATTTACATGATTATTTAAATAAATAATTTTGTTATTCGTAGATTGTTTGTTTTATTGGTTATTTTAAGTGAATTATTATATCACACCTGTAATACCAGATTTTTAAATACCATAAACCATCATTTTAATATTATCACCATATTTCCTAAAAATGTGCTAGCAAATTAAATATGAAAATATAGAGCTATTTTTTTGCAATTTTTGGACAATACACATACTAATCTTCATTTGGTATATCAAAAAAAATTCTTTATATAAATAATCATTAATTTAATTATTCTTAGTCTTAAATATTCTTTAAATAATCAAAAATCAACAATGATTATATATATATGTAAAATATTGTATTAGAGTTTTGAATAAAATTTTTAATGGCTATTATTAGCTACTTTATAAAAAATATAAATAAATAATTAATTAATATATTTAGTTTCTTTTTAAAATAATTAAATAAAGTTTATTTATTGCTAATTAAATAGCTAGTATAAATAATTTGAATGAATTAAAATTTTTCAATCATAAAATAATAGAACTAATAAAGAGAGACCAAATCTGATTTATTATTTGATAAATTATTTACTTTGAATGAATCACTAGCAAATAAAATAGCCGCCTAATTAGAATTATTTTCCATCTTTTCACAAGCAAGGGTAATTGTAAAGTCGCAGAAAAAATATTTCTTTATAGCTAGAGAATAAAAGTATCGAAAGATCTCCTAATAATGGTAAGGAGTCAAAATATTTACTAACTCCAAAATAAGCGTGTGAAAGTCCTACTATTCATAAAAAATGTGTAACTTTGGCTGATGATAAACTTATTAAATAAAGTTTAACAATGGCAAACTTTAAAAACTTAATCAGTTAAAGTATAAATTAGCCTATTCAAAGTGAACGTAGAGCAGTTATTGGATCACCCTTATCAAATAAGAGTTCTCTAACTAGTAGAGATAATCGTAATTATTTAAGCATTAACATAAATCAAACTTTAGCAACATAAGTAAAAAGCATTTAGACAACTCCGCATTCAACAACTGTAGATGTAAATAAAAATAGTAATAAATAAAATACTCCTACTTCATAAAGAGCTTAAAATTCAAAAAAAAATCCTTATTAAACTTTTAAATTTAACACATAAGAGCCACCATAAAATATATAAAAAACGAATTTTAGTTAATTAGTAGGAGTTCTAGATAAGAACAATAATAAATAAGCAAAAGAATAAGAAATTTCATAAATACCAATAGAATTCGATACAATTTAGCAACAATAATCTTTAGAGTATATTGATAATTCTAATTCAAAATTCTCTTAAAATATATCATAATAAAATCTAACTCTAAGCGCTACACCGGTTAGTACTCAACCAAATAACAATAATATCAGCTAAATAAATTTAATAGGGTAAACGTTTTTTGAATAAAAGTAAGAAAATTAGAATAAGTTAATACAAAATAATAAAAATGGTTCTTTGTATGAAAATAATCCTTAATAGCCCATTTCTTTAGAACAAGCTCGACTTTAAATTTAATAGCCAAATTAGATCCCTATTGATGGAGTTGCTATGATAGAATCACAAAATGAATATAATCCTTATAAAAATACCAGCTAAAATATAAAAAATCATCTAGCAAACATTAGTAACTAAAATTAAAATTATTAAATTAATAGTCTATTAAATAAAAATGATGTTTAAGATTAAAAGGACAGCATCACTGACTAATATCGAAAAAGTACTTCTCGAGAATAAAATATACAAAATAAGTTTTTAAATAATTTTCTAGGAAGAAAATAATCTAGTCCTAATCCAAGCTAAACTGATTAAATGTATATCTCATAGAGTTAAAAGATAGATAACAAGTATCCAGATCTAACGAACTCAGGAGCAACTAAAGAGTAAATTATTTTTATTATTAGAAAACAAAAAAGAAAAATAAAATAAAGTAAATTAAAGTAAAAGAAGAAAATAAAAACTAATAGTTAAAAAACAAACGAGAAACAGTTTATGTGGATATTAAATAAAAAGAAAATAGTTTGCGTATTATAAAAATAAATAATTAATTATTTCAAATGTGATCAAAAAAAAAGAAATTAAAAAAATTAAAATTTTAAAAAACACTACTCTTTTCAACCATTTAAAAATAAAATATCAATTTTATAATACAAAACTTAAATCATTTTATATTTGTAAGCAATTTACAAAATAAATTATTTTAAATATTAACAAATTTACCAAAAAACAAACGCCTTTCCCATCCATATCTATTTAAATTTAAAATAAAAATTTAATAATAAACTTAAAATATTTTATTTTTGTTGCAACTCATTTACAAAATATCTTATTTTACTTTATTATATTACACTTTTAAAAGAGCTGAAAATTTCTAGTTGTAATTATTCTTAAAAAATCCTACCTTTAATTAAAAAATACCCTTCATTGATTATCTTGTTAAATTTTTATTTTTGAGATTAATTTAAAAACTGTTAACCATTCAATTTATTTAATCTGAAAAAGCTTAATAAAATTACTTGAAAAAGAAAACAGTTATTAATTTATATTTTTGCTTTTTTATTCAAATTGATGAATCAAAAGTGAATTGTTAAATATTAATAAGAGCATAAAAATTGCAAATGTTGAAAAATTAAATGAATAATTTAAAAAAAAAATCAATTAAATAATTATAAATTTAATATATTTTATAGTTTGAGTATCAATTTTAATACTAAAAACTCATAAGGCCAAATCCAAAACTTAGGAAAGATAAATCTAAATAATTCAATCTAAAACTAAGGAGAAGAAAAAAAAAACTCTATTCTTACTTCTTATTTGGGAATCAAGAATGCTAATATAAAATTATCTTCTATGAATAATTCCTAATAAATGAATAATTCAATATCGCAGGTTTATCATATAGGTCTGTAAGATCAATTACTAAAATCTCCTTAGAAGATCTCCTAGCAATTTCCTGGTAATTATAAACATCCTGTTAGGGAAGAAAGTCTCACAGCTTTTTAAACTCCACTATAAAAATACTGGAGTAAATAATCTTCATCTTATACTTTTGTTGATATTGAAGAGTCTCTATAAAGTAATTAAGCTAAATAGAGCAGCTAAAAATTATATACTGAACAACTTTACACAAGTCCAGCTAGGGACAAAAGCCCAAGAGCTTTGATAGGCAAACAAAGCTTATCAAATGTGTATGATCATTCATTTTCTCTAAAACAATTTAATAAGCGCTTTACTGAGATTTATCCCCATCAAAAACAATCACTTTCGCCTAATAAATCTTTATTTTAAATAGCCAAATTAACTAATCAATCTTAATCAGACACTACACCTTCTTCTATGTTAAACTCTTCTTAAAAAGATGACAAAAAAAATAAAAGAAATATAAACTACTTCAACCAGCCTTCTGATGCAAGTGGAAATATAAAAACATTTTTGCGTTTTCGTCCAAATAATCATATGGAATTAGATCTAAATGAACAAGGAATTGGGTAAAATGTAATAAATTTTATTGACGACTACTCAGTTTCTTTAATTGGTGATTAATAACAAGTTTACACTGTAGATAAAATATTCAAACCTAATGACTCTTAGGTAAAGTTAATTATTTATTTATTATATAATATTAAGGAAGATATGATATAGGATGTAATTTTTTTAACTTATAAATACTGTAAACCTAACAAACACACTTCATATATATAATTATTATTTTATATAGCAGCCTTTTTAAATTTTTTTTATATGAATAATTATCTTAAAATTTTTAGTTGTAATATTTTATAAGAATTGAATTATCTATATATTTAATTTTTTTATAACACATTTATATAATAAATAATAGGAGGCCTTATACTTAAAAGTTGGTGAAGAGGTTATTTATTAGGTTTTTTTGGGATACAATGGAACAATCTTTACATATGGAGTTACTGGTTCAGGAAAAACACATACTATGTTTGGTAATATTACAGATTCGGTCTAGAAAGGAATAATCCCTAGAATTTGTAATTAAATATTTGATTTGGTTGAAAATGACGAAGAAGGAGTAGAATTTATAATTAATTGTTCTATGCTTGAAATATATAAAGAAATATTATATGATTCATTTTAAGAAGGAAAAATAGAGCTGAAAATAAAAGAGAGTGCTTAAAAGGGTATTTATGTTCAAGTATTTTAAATTAATTATAATATTTTATTAGAATTAAATAATTTTTATCTATTTTGAATTAGGGATTAACTTAAACAAGTATTGCTAATTAAGATGAATTATTTTAGTTGATTAGTATAGGATATAACACTAAAAGGACTAGAGAAACAAGGCTTAACGAATACTCTTCTCGAAGCCATACTATATTTATGATAGAGATTTAGCAAAGACTTTCTAATGGAGATGAAAAAATTGGGAAAATCAATTTAATTGATTTAGCAGGTGCAGAAAAGGCTAGCAGAAGCGGTGCTCAAGGTGAATCCCTAGAAGAAGCTATAAAAATTAACTTATCTCTATCCTGCTTAGGTAATTCATTAATTTAACTTAGGAAAATATCTAACCTATTATATCTAATTTAAATAAAGGAAAGGTGATACATGCTCTTACTAGTGGTAATGAGTACATACCATATAGAGACTCAAAATTAACAAGAATTCTTCAAGAATCTTTAGGAGGCAATTATAAGGTAAATTAAATATTTTTTTATTATTATCTTAAGATAAACTTAATTAAATTTCAAAAGACTTCTCTGATAGTAACTTGCTCAATGCACTCAAGTTTTTAGGATGACACAGTTAGTAGTTTGAAATTCGCTACAAGAGCTAAGACAGTAAAAAACACTTACAAAATGAACATAAAACTGAATCCAATTAATCTCTAAAAAGAATTAGAAAATCTTAAAACTTAAACTGAAAGTTACAAATATATATTTAATAATGTAAGAACCATTTTGAACGATACTCAAAATAAAATTTAATGTCTGCCCAATATATCTTCAGATCCAAAACTTTATGAAATCAGTAATTTAAATATTAAATAATTAATTTAATTTTATAATTAATTAATTAATAGAAAATAAGCTTGATGAGATTCTCACTTTATAAATTGCAATAGATAATATGAACACTGGAACAAAGGACTAAAATTAGCCAAACGGAGGAGTTGCTGATAATAAACATATTTCAGCTCTTTTAGATTCTAAAAAAGAAGTACTTAATATATTTAGCTGAATTTAATTAATTTAAAAAATTAATTCAAAATAATAACATAAAGAAAGAATCTAAAATATAATAAAATAAATTAATTTTTGTTATTATTAATAAACAGGCGTAAATCATAGTTAAAGATGAAACTATCAAACAGTTAATGCAAACTAATTCTGATTTAAACGAGCAGATACAATCACTTTAATAAGAGAATCAAGCACTTAAAAAAGAAAATTTGAACTTGACTGTTAAATTTAATGAATTATCTCAAGAAAAAAATTAAATTAAGTTACAGCTAAATAAATAGCTCTCAAAAAATGATTATTCAAATTTCTCTTTGGGAATACTTTAAAAACAAATCTAGCATTTAGTTGATTCAGTTTGTGGAGCTGAAAAGAGAATTTCTTCTATCCTATTAGAAAAAAAGCAAGTAGTTGATATAAAATTTGAAGATTATTTGAAAGAAAAGTTATCATTTTCAGAAATCGTGCTGGCAGATTACTTTAAAAATTCTATCAACTTTAATTTTGAAGTAATTTAAAATCATTTTTATAAAATGTAAATAAATAGCTTTTAAAAAATAAAAATAAATTATTAGAGGGCAGAAAAAGGATTTAAAGATGTTTAAGAAAATGTGAAGAAGTTTAATTTAGAAGGTGATGATGATTTTATGGCTGAAAAAACTCTTGGCATCAAAAACAGCTGCTTTTTAATTGATAGTGAAGTAGAACAAATCAATTCTAGTAATGTTAGTAGTTAAGCTACTTTTAATTAAATTAATACAAATAAAAATATAGCTTTAACACAATAAAAATTCCAATCAAAAAATAACTCTACTAGCTCTTTTACCTGTAATTTAGATTTGAAGATTAACCAAAATGAAAATAATGAAATACTAAAAAAAATATTTGCTATGCCATCTAAGCTAGATATGGCCTAAGTTTCAGAAACCGTTTATAATGATTTCATCATTGTTTCACTAAAAAAATAATTAATAGAGTAAGTTAGTTTCTTATTATTAAATTTAAATCAATAATTTATAAACATAAATTAAAAAGCTCTCATACTCTTAACTAAAGTTTGTTAAGAATAGTAAACGCCCTTGAATGGAAATAAATTATAGAGTATGGCTAATCAAAGTAGAAATCAGATTAAATCTAAATTTAAAAGAGATAAATTAAACACCTTGAAAATGTGTTAGAAGAAGTTACTGAAAATCACAAAGAGCTTAGATTAAAAATAGAAGACTTAGAATTTGACATTTATCAACAAGATTCATAGCAAAAGTCTAAAGAATTAAGTGTATTAGACAACAAGAAATAAAATAAAATAATAATTCCTTTGACAAATTCCAATTTTTATAGACAATAGCTGCTTTAAAAGAATAATAAAAGAAGCAATTTCGTTAGTGGAATATAATCATATAACTTTTCAAAAGACCCATTCTCTAATATTTCCACAATTCAGAAAAATATAATAGATATTTAATAAAGTAAATTATTTATTTTAACTCCACTTTTTAATTTGTAATTAATTAATTAATACTTAGGCTTTAAAGAAATGGAATTAGACATAATACCTTTGACTTACGAAAATGCACTTGATGAATTAAAAAGGAGAAATATTATACTTAAAAGAATAAGATAAATAAATACAACAGACTTGGATTCTTAAGACACATAAGGGATTAATCTCTGTTAAAAAGAAACCGAAGAATTTATTAAAAACGAAAGAGAAAGGCTTAACAACAAAATAATAATTCTTTAATAAGAATTAAAGATGGAACAAGTAAAAGTAGAATCTATCAAGCATGTAATACTTCATTAACTATTTTTTGAATTGGTATTTATTTGAAAATTTTTTACTTTTAAGTCTTTGTTAGTTGAAAGAAAGAATGTGAAGGATTTGAAAAAGCTTACAGAAAGCATGGAAGTTTCTTTAAGAAATACATTAAAAGAGGAACATGATTGTTGGATATAAACAATAAATGAAATTACAGAATTAAATAAAATAGAATTTACTAAGAGATCAGCTGAGTACAGTCAACTTAGAGAAGCCTTCTCCAATATTATAGATTCTTCTCTTTAAAAGTAAATTAATTTATGCTATTATTTTTTAAAACGTGATTTCTATCATACATAGAATATAAGAAATGAAAGGAAAATGTTTTTCTTAAGAAGTGTAATAGTTTGAAAATATTATTATTGAAATGGAACAAGCAAAGTTACAAATGGGAAAATGTTATGTGAATTCTATTAAAAAGATATCTATAAATTCTTCGATGCAGTATATAAATCCATAGACATAAAGAACTTCAATAATAAGTAATTACAAGCATAGTTGAAAAGATCTTTAATAAACATTAAAGTATAAAAATTCAATAAATTGCTAAATAATTTTAGGAAAATTGATCTATTTTCTTGAATAAATATAAATAAATAAAAATAGCTGAATTAGTATTCAACATAAAAATTTAACATATTTAAGATTGAATTTACTTCTATTTATTTTTATGTTTCTTGATGATATAATACATTCATATCCAACCTATTTTTATATTATTTAATAATTTCTTCAAAATAGTTAATAGCTAATAAATAATAATTTATCATACATTAAACTCTAAATATGTTGTTACTTACTATTTTTGGTGTCCTGTTTTTAGGGAAAATAAAAATTACAATTTTTTTTATGAAATTCAATTTTTATCTTTTTTGGTGATTTCACTTATTTAAATATATGACAAGTTTAGAGTCATGAATTTATTTGCGCTCAAAATATAAAAAAACCAAAAAATTTTTTTATAATTATATTTTTGGATATTTATTAATGATTTATTTGGGGATCACTGAAAATGTATAATATCTTACTTAAAAGATAAATAATTCATAGAATATTTTGTTACAAACTGTTCAAAAAAAACAAAGTTAAATAAAAAATATGATTTGTATATTTATTAAAGAAAGATTTCTTTTTTGTTATCAATCAATCAAATTAATTTTTAGTCTTTATTTTTTTTTTATTTAAATATAAAAAATATAACAAAAAATTTGATCTTTAAGATCAATAAAAAGATTAACAAAAATGGTTATTCACAATAAAAGTAAAATACATATTATACTAATAATTTAAAATTAATTAATTTTAGAAATATTTTATTTTGAAATATAAAATATTAACTATTTATGAAATTTAAAATTAGTTTAAGATGAAATAAACATTAAAGAAAACAACTAAATAATGGAAATATATAAATATAAAGGATTATCAAGAATCTTTATCACTTAAAGTTAGAATAACAAATAAAATATGACCTTTAAAAGTAAAGAAAAAGCTGGAAATAACAAAATATTAATAAATATTATGTATTCAGCTAATAAATTTATGAACTTGAATAGTGGTTTAAACTTGTAGAATTAATCACATATTCTTAATCTAACATAAATTTAGGTCTAAAAGTTATTAAATTTGATGAAAAAGAATTTAAATAAAGCGATTTAGTATCTTTATAGATTTTCTTTTTAACAAAATCAAAGTTTTAGCTGTTTTAATGATAAAATTTTAGGTGGTGGATAGTGCTGTAGCAGATAAACTTAGTTGCAAAGTGAAATAAATGAAAACAAATAAGAAAAAGGGAATATTTAAGATTACATTATAGCTTAAGAAAAAATCAATAAGAGTTAAAATGAAAATAAGATTTTAAACAAGTTTTTTGAATTAGAAGGAGAAATAAATGATCCTAATATCATCAAAGAATTTAAAGATTTCTTTTATAAGAAAATATAAAATGAATGTCATATAAGTCATATCATAAACTCCAATGAACAAGTGTCAGAAATAAAAAATATTTTCTAAAATTGTCTTATTAAGTTCAAAGTAGATATAATTTTTAACATCTAATCTTACAAAGCATTTTTAATTTAAATGACTAACATATTATTAATATATATATTAACGATTGAAAACAAAGATTTGAAAATTGAATATATAGAAGTTAGAGGTGTTATTTAAGAGTTTTTGGACTATTTATAAGAGAACAGTCAAATATTTTCATGCAGAGATATTGGAACAATGTTTGATTTTTTGCAATTTTTTATTTAAAACAATGAAGAAGAATTTTAAGGAGATAATAATTAATTTTAAGAAATTAAATAGCTAGTAAAGTAGATAATGATGAAGTAATTGAAAAGGGAAGATTAAAGTATAAAAACTTATTAATATCCTCATATAGCATCTATCAATGAATATGTTTTATCAGTATAAAGTTAAGATAAAAATAGAGAAAATTTACTTGAGTAAATTTCAAAGAATGATATTTTAAGTTAAATATCTTTTATATGGATTTTAAAATACTAAAAATTTGGACAAATATTTGGAATTTAAGAGGAAGAAGAGTTAATATTTTATATAGAATAGTTTATCCGATATAGTCAATGCTAAGTAGAAATTACCTTACTTAATTATTTTCTAATTTAAATTATTAGGGTGTTAGAAAAAATAATATAGATTTTATAATTTGAAAATAATTTGCAATTTTAAGATTTTAATAAACTAAATAATAATAGCAAAATTAAGTTATTTATTGAAATTTTATAATCTTAGATTCATATAAATAATAATTCTTCCAAAATTAAATTTTGTTCTACTTTCTATGTAGACGATTTAACATAGATTATTTTATCTAACTAAATTCTTCTTGACTACTGTAATATAGTAAAAAATATTGAAAATGACGATCTCTGGTTAGATATTGTATTTAGATTTTTAAATTAATAGGAAGTAGCTCTTATTTACTTATAAAATAAATAATTTGTAAATAAATTAAAAGAATAAACTTTAAATGATTAAAACAATTTTGCAACCAAAGTCATTTAATATTCTTAAAGCAAAATAAAATAATCAGACACAAACACTATAAAATAAAATTTAAACTAAGGAAACTGTTAAATCTTTGATTTTTAAGATTTTGAAAGTAAAATTCACTCTAAATTTATTGAACTATGGGAATTAGAGATAAGATAGAAGATATTTAAAAAAATTTTTATTGATAAGACTTTGGATTAAATTTAAAATATTTACATTAATTAAAGCTCCTAATTATTAGACTGTAATTCAGAATTTAATTAAATTTTCAAAAATCTTAACAAATCTTAAAATGTTAATACAATAGATTTCATTATACAAGGTTTTATTAAAAATGGTGATAAAAATATTTAAAATAGTATTTCTGCAAGTTCTAAAAATTAATCATCGAATAAAATTTTAATCATTTTAGCAAAAGAAGGATTTGGAAAATCTACACTTATTTAAATGTTGTAAATTCAATTAATGAAAGAAATTAAAATATTTGATAAGTAGCTTAATATTATTTAAATAGTAATCAATTGTAATGATTTAGACATTCTAAATCCTTCTCTTGAAAACTATTTGATTTAATAAAATTTAGATCATCTATCAATTTAACAACTTAAATAAAGTAATATCCACAAGCTGATTATATTTGATAATTATGATGAATAATAGAGTGAATTGTCTTTAATTTTTTCCAAATTTAAACTTGACGAATGGTGCAATACTTCATTTATAATGTGCATCACAATATAAAAAATTAGTAGAAATCAAATTGATTTCTATTTTAATATTAATAATGACGATTAACGAAAGCTATTAGTTAATTTAAATTATTCTATTATTAAATTAAGTCAATTTAGCATAAATGATGTAATAGATTTTATTAAAAAATTATGCCTTTATTAAATAAAAGATAACAAAGATAAATATTAAGATGATATAATATCTTCTTTAAATATTGCTTTAGAAGAAAAAAGAATAAGAAAATTGCTTATTTTACCTTTAAATCTTTAATTATTTTTAAAATCAATTATAGATAAAGATAAGAGCTAATTAAAAAGTATTCTGAATAATATTTAAAATCAAAATGATATTTTTGAGATTTACTTTTATTCAATTTTCCAATAATAAGCAGCTGATTTTGTGAAATAAGTAAATATTATTTGCTAAGATAAAAAAATAATAGAAGATTTAGCTGACATTTATTTTGTTTTCTTTTAGCATATTGCTATAAAAATATTTTCAAATACTTCTACATCAAATAAAATTTTAAAAATTGAAAATAGTAGATTATAATTAGACAAAATTTATGAACAAATTCTATTTTTAGATGAAATTAATAAGAAAAGTTTTAGATAAAGTTTAGAAAACTTTTTGTAAAAAGAATTAGTTATAAACTAGAAAAACAATTAAATATATTTTAAACATCGAGCTTTCTTTGAATATTTTGTCGCTAGAGCCATGATATACGATTTCTAAAAATATCAAGATAATATTTGTGAACTCTCTATTGAAGAATTAGAAAGTTTTAGTATTAACTTAAAAGCTTTAATCAATCCTGGTAAAAATTAATCTGAAAAATAAATTTTACTTAGATTATTTTAAATGTTACAAAATGAAATACTTTCCAAAGAATTTTAGTAGAATTTTAATAACTAAAATATTTAAATGACAAATAGATTGATTCAGTATATTAAGAGATCAAAAATATAAAGTATATATGATGTTAGCAAAATAGATGTTGGAGCATCTAATTTACTTTCCGTCTTATTTTATTCAAAGCTTTCATTTTCTGGTCTTAAATTCTTTTAATGTTCTTTTTCAAAAGCTTTTCTCGATTTTAACAAAAGAAAGGATATTTCATTTGAATACTGTAATCTGAGTAATGCTTTCCTTTAAACAGATAATCAATATTAAGTTCTTTCTTCTAACACTTCAAATGCTATGTTTTCAACCTACCAAAATGTTTTTGATACAAGCAGTACTTTTTCATTTAAAAGCGCTGTTTTTTATCTAAAAAAATTAATTACAGTTGGACGAACAGGCTATATTAATGTTTTTTCTATCTAAAACAATAAATTTGAGCACTTATAAAAAAAAAGGTTAATTTAAGTGAACAAAAATAATTAAATTCAACAAGTAAAATTGCTGTCAAATGATGTCCTTTTAATAACATCATAAAACACAATATTTGAAATAAATCCAATTAATTTAGAGATTTTATCAATTTAAAAATTTAATTTATAAATTATTCATATTTCTACAAATGGAAAATATTATTTCCTGTGTTTGCAAGATTAAGATAAACTTTATGGAAACATTTAATCAGGTTTTCAAAAAATATTTATTTAGGGAAGTCATTGCTATATTGATGAAAAATTGGCTGTTTCTTATTTTGATAAATAAATCTATTTTTATGACATAGAATAATAATTTAAATTTAAAAAAAGTATTTAAAGTGATGAAATTATCCTTATTTTATTCAATTAAATTAGAAATATAATTGTTTCTTGTTCTCTAAAGCAAATATAAATATATAGTCTAGACTCATTAAATGTTATTAAAAATATTAAAAGCTTATACAATTTTGGATCAGCTTCATTCTCATAAGATAGTAGATATTTAATTGTTAGCTATTACTTAGAAGTTTCAATCATAAAGATCTTAGAAATTGAAAATAACTTTTAAATTTTTGCTTAATTCAGTACAAGTGTGCACCCAATTGATAGTGTATTACTCTCATTTGATAATTAACATATTTTGAGCTTTAATAGCGAGTATTTCTAAGTATGGAGTAGCAAATAAAATAACAGTTTATTTGAAATAGCTTTTAATTTTTAGAGAAAGGCTAGAATAAATTCTATAACTTTCTCACCGAATAATAAATATATAGTAGCTGCATATGAAGATAAGAATTTTAAAGTTTGGGATGCACAAAAAGAGTATTAGCTCTTAAAAATCATAGAAGCCCATAATAACGAAGTTAAATGTGCTGTTTTTTCTAATAATTCTTAGTATCTAGCAACTGGATCAACTGATAGAACATTCAGTATTTGGGACTCAGAGAACGATTTTTAATTAATCATACAAATAGCCACTCATCATGAAATTTTAAATATTGGGTTTTCATTTGATTGCTAATATATTGTGACAAGTTTTGCTGATAAAACTTGCTAGGTTTGGGATATGAAAAATAAATTTCATCTTATTAACACAATAAATTCTGTTTTATTTATGGATATATCTAAAAGAGATTTGAGCTTAGCAACAGCTAATGATGATAAAACTTGTAAAATCATCAATTTATCTAATTAATTTGTAGTCAAAACTATTGATTTATTTTCTGAATAAATTAGCTGTATTTAATATTCTTACAGTCAAAATTATTTAGCAATTGCTTCTATTGACAAAAGCCTTAAAATATTGAATATTTTAAAAGATTATGAGCATTTAATCACAATAAATAATAATGTTAGTCCAATTATATCGATTTCTTTTTCTTAAGATGGCAAGCATCTAGCAGCCTGCTTTTCTGATAATTCTTTTTGCCAAATTTTTAATGTACAGTGCAATTTTAAGTTAGAAAGTAGAATTTAAGTGAAAGCATCTGTAGCAATATTTTCACCAGACAGTAAATATCTAGTTACTAATTCAAATAATACAGACGAGTCTTCACTAAATATATGGAATTTATAAAACTATTTTGAAGAATTCGACTAAAAATAAAAACATACTTAACAAATTTTAAGTATAGCTTTTTCAAATGATTAGAAGTATTTTGCAACTAGCTCATCAGATAGATTGTGCAAAATTTGGGACATTAACAATGGTTTTTAATTTTTACATTAAATCAAAGATCATACTGATGAAGTCAATTTGATTGCTTTTTCTAAAGATAGTAATTATTTGATTACCACCTCATTAGACAAAACTTTAAAGATTTGGAATACAAAAGATGGTTTTAGTCTTATTAAAAGTATCAATGCTGATATTTATTATATTTAATCTATGGATTTAACAAATGATTATTTAGTTACAGTTTCAACATATGAATTAAAAATTTGGGATATTAAAAAATAATTTGAACTTTTAAATATAAAAGATTTATAAATAGGATAAATTAAAAAAATCGGATTTTTCCAAAATGAAAAGTATTTTTATGCAATTGCTTAAAAGTTCATTAATATTTATGATTATAAAAATGAATTTAAAATTATTAAAAAAATTCAATAATATTAAGATGAAGGTGTATAGAAAGTTGTTATTTCAAATGATAGTAAGTATTTAGCATGGAGTGAATCTAATCATTTATAAATATTAGAAGTAGAAAAAGTTTTTCAGATAAAACAAAATTTTCAAGCTTTTGATGAAATAAAATAAATTTGCTTTTTTTGTGATAGTAACTTTATTCTTGCACTATCTGCCAAATCTTCCTTTGATATTTACAATATTTAAAAAGGTGAGAAATTAATTTAAGCACTTAATTAGCTTAGTATATCTTAGAATCCTCCACTTTCTTTCACAATTGATGGAAAATATTTAGCTTTAGGTTGTTATGATGCAACTTGCAAAATATTTATTACAGATTAAGGATAATAAGAGTCTAACTTTTAACCAGAAAGTAACTTATGATTTTAATTCTTCTAAAAATAAATAATTTGTTTTTTATTAATAAATTAGGTTTTTTTAATTAGGAATAGTTCAAATAAAATATATTTATTCAGTTATTTTAAATTTGATTAAAATTATTCTTTTTTAAATAGATTATTTCATACATAATTGAAAAAAAAAAAATTTAAGAAAAAAATACCTTAATTAATGAGAATTTACAGTATATATATTTTAAATATATTCTTGTCTTTTTAATTGAAGAAATTAAATATAAAATCATATTTTTTATATTATTTATATATATATTTGTTTTAGCTATTTTATATAGAGTTTTATTTAATACCTTTATAAGAATTATCACATCTCTCACACTAATTTATTAGAATAAATAAAATTTACTTATTATCAAAGGAAACTAACTAAAAAATTAGTTTTTAACATGTTTAAAATCTTTTTAAAATGTAAAATTTATTGTCTGGTAAAGCCCATGCAAACAAAGTAATTAATCCTCCTTAATTAATACTCAAATACGCATAAACACATATAATACATATCATATCAAATTCTAATATTAAAAGATAAAAATGCGAACTTTGCAGTAAAAAAGAATCAAATTTTATTTACAATAAAAATCAAATAATAAGTTTAAAACAAATAATTTTAATAAATAAATTGTAAACATATTAAAATTTTTAGTGAATTATATACAGATAGATACAAATAAAAACGTGTAGAAGATTTTGTATTTTCAAAAAAAATTCGCTATTGAAAGTTCTATTTTTGTATCGCTCCCTTATTGATTTTATGTATCATATTTATGTAAAAATAAATTAATCGAAATCAAGGTCTGAAATCATAAAATACTTTTTAATCAATTTGTATTTATCTCTTTAAAATATGATACTTTTTTAAAGACGAAAAATATATTTTATTGAAACCTGACAAAAAGATGTTATGATATTTTGACTAAATTTAATGATAAATTAATTGGTTAGTAGAATACTATTTTTAAATCTTTTTAAATGAATAAATTTAAAACATATTAGATTCTACAATTTTAGCTTTTTGGTTTGCTCCTTTAATACGTATCATCAATTGTAATTAGTTTTGAGTTATTGTCTATTTTTAATAAGTAATTTAAGTTATCTGATCACAATAAAAATGATTGGTATTGATCATTTTTTTAAATTAAATATTCTAAAATCTTAATTATAAAAAGAAAAAGAAAATATAATAAAATTCTTTTTTAGATTCAATTTTTTTTTGTTTCACTTACAAACTTTGCCTGTCCGTATGAACAAAATATATAAATTGGTATTTCTATTTCAGGTTCCCAAAAAATATCATAAAATGTAAAAATATTTTATTATAATATTGCTTTATAAAAAGTTTGATTATTTATATAAATCAAAATAAATCTAATATATTTTTTGTAAATACCACAACTCATTAATTATGAATATAGTATTAATCTATTTATATACTTTAAAAATATTTCATTTTAGAAAAACAATTATTAATCTAAATAAAATTTTTATTGAAGGGACACAATTTAGAATTATACATTATTTTATTCAAAGCATTTCTCACTTCATGAAAACTTATGAAAATAGAAAATAGTTTTATTTATCTTTAAAAAATCAAATGAAACTTTTCAATTTTAGATTAGCCTTTATAAAAGAATTAATATAATAAAAGGTAAGATTAACATTTGTACTGAGTGATTGTATTTCAAGTTATTAAATTTAGATAGACGCTCTTAATTTATGATAATAATATATTTGATTATATTAAGGTAAATACAAAAGGATATGAAAAAATATTTTTATTTTTTTTATTTAAAAGCTGAAAAGTTTTAATAATTCAAATAAAAAAATAATAAATCAAATAAAAAAAAATAAAAGAACTCATTAAAAATATGGATTTTAATTTTAGTCAAGATCAAATTTAAATGGTAGATAATTAAGATTCAATTGATAACTATATTAACAAAGATAATGATTAATAATATCAATTTTTTTGCGATCAAGAAAAATAGATCTACAAAAAAGAATAAATCATCTACCATTACTTGACTAATGTTACTTCATATTCTTAATAAAATTCTTAATAACCATGTAAAGAGTTCTTTAAATTAAAAATCATTATAAACTGAATTTAAAGTTTATTTTGATATTAAAAACTTTAACTAATAACTTATAATGAAATCTGATTGAATATTTATTAATAAACACTAAAAAAAAAATTATAATAAAATTGTTTAAATTATTAAAACATTTAGTAAATTTCTATATCCTCTTCTATATTTTTTAGTTTATTTTATTGCTATTTGCGGCGTATTTTTTATGTAGCTCAGAAACTACTAGTCAAAATTAAATAAAAAATAAATAAATTAATTATTTTTTAATTTTTATGCAATTCTTTTTTAATGTTTTGATTTGTTTACTTTTTAATTTTAAGTTTATAATTTTAATTTTAATTTTATTTTCTATAAGTTAAAAATAATAAACACCATAATTAATCTAATTTTTTAAGCTGAGCAAGAATTTGAAAATCATAAAATTTCTTGGGCTTATTTAATTAATTAAAATAAAAAATTGTGTATTATTTAATGTATGATATTACCTGATCATATTATATAATCAATTTTTAGGTTTGATATAATTAAAAAAACTTTTAATATTTGTTTATCTAACTCTTTAAAAAAATGATGTGATGAAAAATATTTGATTTAAATCTGAAAAAAAGATGTAATGATCTTCATTTAAAGTAATCTTTTAAGTTTTATGTATTTAATTAATTAAAATAGAAAATTATGTATATTACCCGACCATTTTTTATAATCAATTTTTAGGCTTGATGTAAATTAAAGAGCTTTTTAATCTATGTCTATTTCTCTCTTTAAAATATGATGCTTTTTTAAAATGAAAAATATTTGATTGAAAGCTGACAAAAAGATGTAATGAACGTCATTTAAAGGAATCTTTTAATTTTTATGTATTTTAATTAATCAAAATAGAAAGTCATGTATATTACCCAACCATATTATATAACCAATTTTTAGGCTTGATGTAAATTAGAGCGCTTTTGAATCTATTCCTATTTCTCTCTTTAAAATATGATGCTTTTTTAAAAATGAAAAATATTTGATTAAAAGCTGACAAAAAGATTTAATCAATGACAATTAAAGGAATCTTTTAATTTTTATGTATTTTGATATTGAATAACTCTCATAATTAGTTTCAGACTTTAAAAAAAAAGAGATAATTATAATAGTTTTTGCGTTCATCATTTAATAACTTTTTATTTATTTACAGCAAAATTGATAGTATTAAATAGCAATTTCGTGATTATAGAATCATTTTACTTATTTTTACTTGAAAATTTATGAACAAATATGTTGATAGATGAAAATTTCATTTTAAAATTAACCATAAATTTTAATGTTTTATTACCCTATAAGACAAATATTAAAATTTGAAATTTTTAATAATTAGCAAAATTAAAAAAAATCTTATAATACTAAAAACTTTGGGGGTGGGGTAGTGTTAATGTTTGTTGTATCTGGACGTCCAGATACATAATAAATAAATAAAAATAATTAATTAATTTTAGCTTATATTAAAAAATGTATCAATATAAAATATTCAACTCTGACTCTGCCTGAATTATAATATTAAACAGTAGAATTTTTTTGGCATATTAAACTTAATCAAATAAATAATCATTTTTCTAAGAATTTAAGATGAAATTACTTTAGTAAAATATATTACCTACTTATTATTTCATCAAAAGTATTTATCTCATAATTTTTAGTTTTGATTAAATTTTAAACTGCGTCTAGAAAAGAGAGTCTATTACGTCATAAGGATAATATAAAAAGCACAAAAATTTGATTTTTATTATAATATTTTTTAATAAAAAAGATTTAAAAGAAAGAAAAAAAACTATGAGCTACTAAAATTTTTAGTCCTAATTTGAAAATTTTGAAATACAAGATTTTTCCTCCTAAAATGAGGAATAATATGACACAATGTATACTAAAAATGACTATTAATATTCCGGTGATTAAAAGAACTATGAAAATCAACATTCTATGGGCACTAATTCATAGGATAGTACTTATTATATAGAAAATTAATATAATAGTTAGATTTAAGTTACCAATGAAATCACATCTTTGCATATGAATAGCAATAACTCTTTATCACGCGATAGTAACAATAGCTAAAAAAGTTAAGACTTCTACTTCTAAGGTTACTAATAGTAAAGTTAAACCTGTATTAATCAATACCCTAAAAATTCAAGTTTTTTTAATTACAAAGAAAATGATGTAAATTAGCACGAAAATAATAATTAAAACTATTTACATCAAGAGTAGAATAACTCAAATTATAATTAGTTTATCTAAAACTATAATAATAACTTTACTTAACAAAAATAAATTCAAAATGAATATTAATAACAATTGGCAAACCCTAGCTAAATGTAAAACCAGTTTCAAGAAGGCAAATATCTTTCATCCAATCAAAATATTGTAAATAAGCAACAGAATTCTATGGAATAGGAAAACGCAAATTAAAAAGATAAAAAAAACTATAAACCCTAATATTAATGTAAAGAATGCAAAATAAAAAGATATAAAAACTACAGTGGTCTCACAAATCATGTAAAAAAATTTCATCCTGGTCGTAAAACTTCTGAATTATCAATGGAACCTAATACAACTTTAGGTAGAAAACCTATATTTAGAAATAATCAATAAAATTGAGCAAAATTATTAGTTTATTAAATAAAATAAATTTATATTACCTAAGCTTTTCTAAATTATATATATATGAGCAGTAATATTTTTTTAAAATTTATTAATCATTTTCATTTATTTTAATTCATACAATTAAAAGTGTTTAACATATCTAATTTTTGTACATTTCTCTAATTAAAGAGATGTCAATTATATAAAATTTTTAAGAAGAGTAGTAGTTATTTTGTTGTTTTGACTAAATTAAATTATTAATTAATTGGTTAGTAAAATACTCTTTCTAAATCTTTTTAAATAAATAAATTTAAAACATATTAGATTGTATAGTTTTAATCGCTTTTTGGCTTGCTACTTTAATGTTTATTATCCATTGTTATTAGTTTTGAGTTATTGTCTATTTTGAATATGTAATTTAAATCTCCTGTTTTCTGATAAATGGTTGATATTTAATCATTTTTTAATCTAAAGATATAATTATTAGAAAAAATAGAAAAAAATCAAAATTTTTTGATATTGAATAAAATAGACAATCCAGGATTTTATGTTTAAGGATCCCAAAAAATATTTCTATACGAATAAATATTTTATTTGGATTACTTTTTAAACAAAATCTTGCTTTATAAAAAGCTTGATTATGTATATACATTAAAATCTAATATATTTTTATAAATACCACAAACAAACTAATTAATTATGAATATAGTATTAATCTTTTTATATCTTATAAAAATTTAGAACAATTAAAATCTAAATAAAAATTTTTATTGAAGGAATGCAATTTAGAAACCTTACACTATATTATTCAAAGCATTTCTCATTAATTTTTTACACATTTTCTCAATTTATAGTTCTTTATGTAAACTTTTATTTTTTAAGAAAAAATAATTTTATTTATCATTTAAAAAATCAAATGAACCTTTTCAAATATTTAGATTCTCATAAATAAAATAATTACTTAAATAAAAGGTTGGATTAACATTTATACTGAGTGACTGTATTTCCAGTTATTAAATTGATAATAATACAGTTGATTATATTTAGGGAAATAGATAGATAAAATAGATAGATAAAGCTTGAAGATATATTTTGATTTTTTTTATTTAAAAGCGGAAAAGTTTTTGTAATTAAAATCAAAAAATAATAAACCAAATAAAAAAAAACAGAAAAGAAAGCTTTAAAAAATATGGATTGTAATTTTGGTCAAGATTAAAACTAAATGATAGATAATTAAGATTCAATTGATAACCATATTAACTTTGAATATGATTAATAAGATCAATCTTTGTGTGATCAAGAAAAATAGATCTACAAAAAAGAATAAATTATCTATCATTACTAGACCAATGTTACTTCATATTCTTAATAAAGTAATAAAGCGTTCTTTAAAAAACTTTAACTAATAACTTATAATAAAATCTGATTTAATATTTATTAATATACATTAAAAAAAGAATTTAAAATTATAATAAAATTAATTAAATTATTAAAATGTTTTATAAATTACTATATCCTCTTCTATATTTCTTAGTTTATTTTATAATTTATTAATATACCATACAGTTGTTTATCATAGATTAAAATAATTTTAAACTTATACCTTAATTAAAAGTATTTAATACCTAAGAAAAGTAAGAAAGTTTTTGGGGAGAGGGAAGAAGAACATTCTTTTCTAAAAATTTTTCTATCTTTTTTTTATTACTTGATATAAATAAGTAATTACAATATTAATAATTTGTATGATAAGTAATTCAATTATTATAGACGCAATACTTTTTATAGTGTTATTTGTTTTAATCAAATAATATAAAAAATTATTGGTAGAAGATAAAGAAGAAAATAGATTTGTTCAAAATTAATTTATATGATAAATATGAAATAAACTGTTAGAAAGATGTATAATTTTAATAAGCTAACTAACTAAATAAATTATCATTATAATTATTTTTGTTATTATCATAGTTGAACATTGTTATTCTTTTTAGGTCTACCCATTTTGGTTCTTTAAAGTTAACATTCTGAAGTTTTTGAACCTTAATGTTTAATTCTTACATGATTAGTTAAACCCGAATGATTCTTATAGTATTTATGGCATTTCTTACAAGAAAATTTATCAGGGTAGGCGTTTGGATTATTTTTATATACTTTTTATTGCCTAGGAGTCAAATGTGTTGTCTTATCTATAACATTACTACTAGGCTCTTGTAAATCTCCATTTCTTTGATCAAAGATGTTAGAGGTTAGATGATCTTATGAAAGTTATTATTCTAAAGAATCAATGTTTGGTTCATTTAGAAAAGGTGAGTATTAAGTTTGGTCTTGATAGTTAGAACTATATGGTTATTAGTAATTAGTTTAAGCATCTGCTTAGAAATCGTTAAACTATGGTTAAAAAGAGTTGTTCAATTCATCAAATTTATCTTTATTTTCTTAATCCAACATTGGTAACATTAATTCGTTGCCAAAAGGATCTTTCAAAAATTCAATAATTGGGTCAACATAATGAACATTTTTGGCACAATCTACTTCTGATTATGAAACTTTAAATTCTTCTTCGATGAATTCAGATTAGTGATTATCTGTAGAAAATTGCGATGAGAATTTTGTATGGCTGTTTGTTGAGCATTGAGTCTCTATATTATCAAATAAGGAATTTGATGCTAATTTAAGATCAATAGATTATTATTTTTCAATTTTTAATGGTTAGCCAAGTTAGGGTTAGTTATTATATTAACTTTAGCAAAATGTATCATAGTTTTATTGGTCTTCATATAGATATGGTTAAACTTCTGTATATTAACTTTAGATTTAATTAAAAGACTAGCTCGTCATGTGTCTGTTTTCTTCAATATTTTTTTTATTAATTGTTTTTTTTATAAATACTTTTATTAAAATCAAATTTCCTTATTCTTTGCTACTATTTATATGTATTTATTCATTTCTAACTGGAAATTCTAAATTTTCTGATCAAAATATTTAAGATTTTGTATTTGATAAACTTAAGCTAATTAAATTATTAGAATTCAAAAATATATTAAATACTATACTTTCTCTTTACTTAATTTAATGTCAATTTTATATTGAATAAATATGCAAAGAATTTTTGTAAAATTAATTTTCAAAAGAAGAGTAAAATAAATAAAGTAAATGAACTTAAACAATAATTGCAGCTGACTATAATCAGTTTAAAAGCTGTATATAAATATAAAATGATAATTTCATATTATGTGTTTATCATTTGATCTTGAGTTTTTTGTATATTAAATAATGTATAATAATTTGATAATAACTAATTCTAGTATTTAACGCGCGAAAAATTATTTGAGTCTCTTATTATTGAGAAGAACTTAAAAAATATGTGTCTCTCACTTTATTAAAATCTTTATAAGTGTTAAATGCTTTATATTTATAATTATACTTGCAAGGAAAACAATTAATTCTTTAAAAATCAGAAGTTGTAGGGGCATAGGGGCATACATAATTTAGCACCCGCAGCAACTTTTTATTTTATAAATTTAATAAATTATAATACTAAAAAAATTTAGGGGGTGGGATAATGTTAATTTTTGTTGTATCTGGACGTCCAGATACATAATAAATAAATAAGAATAATTAATTAATTTTATCTAAGATTAAAAAATGTGTCAAATATAAAATATTCAAATATCTGGCTGAATAATAATAAATTAAATAGGTAAGCTTCATCATCAAATAAACATTTTTTCTAAGAATTTAAAATGAAATTATTTTAATAAAATATATAATTTACTTGTTATTTCATCAAAAGGATTTATCTTATATTTTTTAGTTTTGATTAAATTTTAAATTGAGTCTAGATATGAGAATCTATTACATCAGGTGGGAAAATTTAGAATTAAACAATTCTCCCTTCTAAAATGAGCAACATTATGACAATTATAACTATGATTCCTTTGATTAATAAAACTATTGAAATCAACATTCTATGAACACTAATTCAAAGAGTAGTACTTATTAAAGAGAAAATAAATTTAATCATTAGATTTAATATAATAATGAAATGATATCTCTACACTTGAATAGCCATCTCTATTTATCACAAGATAGTAAATATGGCTTATTACAGTTAAGGCTACTGATAGTAAAGTGTAATTTGTATTAATTAAAACCCTAAAAATTAAAGTTTGTCTAACTATGAAGATGATCATGTAAATTAGCATGAAAATAATGATTAAAACTGTTTACAACTCAAGTAGAATAATTCAAATAATTAATAATTCATCTAAAACTATAATAATAACTTTAATTAACAACAATCTATTCAAAATGAAAATAAAAAACAATTGGTAAACACTACTTTAATGAAAATAAGTTTTAAGAAAATAAAAATCCTTCTCAATCAAAATATTGTAATTAAGCAATATAAATCTATGGATAGGAAAATACTAATTAAAACCACAAAAAAAACTATAAACCCTAATAACACTAATGTAAAGAATAAAAAACATGTAAAAAAAATTCAATTTGGCGAGCCTAATACAACTTTAGGTAGAAAATATAAATTTTAAAATAATTAAGTTAAAATGTTTCATGATTTAATGAAGGCAAGTTTTGAAGAAGTAACTTTTGATCAAAATTGAGTTATTAAAAATAGAAAGTATCTTAGGTCTAGAAATGGTAGATAATTTATTCTTTTTTGCAGATCTATTCTTCTTGATCGCAAAAAAATTGATATGATTAATCATACTCAAAGTTAATAGGATTTTCAATTAAATATTAATTATCTATCATTTAGTTTTGATCTTGGCCAAAATTACAATCCATATTTTTTAATTTTTTGTTTTCTTATCTTTTTTATTTGGTTAATTATTTTTTTGAAATTAATTAATTATTAAAATTTTTCTGCTTTTAAATAAAATCAAAAGAACCTTTACATCCTCTTCTATTTATCTAAATATAATCAACAATAGGCAAATTAGTGCCTACATCTAAATTCAATAAGAAATAATTTTCAAACTCTAAATAATTAAAAAGGAAATAATAAGCCACTCTATAGATATTAATCAAACCTTTTATTAAATTAAGTATTTTATTAATGTTAATCTAAAATATTGAAAACTTTCATTTGATTTTTTAAAAGATAAATAAAATTATTCTTTTACTTATATAAATAAAAAAGGTTTTATTAATAATAAAATTTTCAAAAATCTAATTTAAATAAAATGGATTATAAGTGTTAATAAAAAATATTTTAATTTAAAATAAAGAATGAATTGTATGTTGTATTAATAAATTATAAAATAAACTACGAAATAAAGAATAAGAATTAGTGATTTACAAGAAATTTTAATGTAAAGAAAGCTTTACAACTTTACTAATTTTGTTAAGTATATTAAGTAACTTTGGTCTAGTAATGGTTGATAATTTATTAATTTTTGTAGATCTATTTTTGTTGATCACAAAAAAATTGTTATTATTAATCATATTCAATGATAAGTTTTTTTTTTCATTAATAATTTTTAATGTAAAGCAAGCTTTACAATTTTACTAAGTATTTTATTAAGAATATGAAGTAAGGTTGGTCTCTTAATGGTAGATAATTTATTCATTTTTGTTGATCACAAAAAAATTGATAATATTAATCATATTCAATGTTAACATCTTTATCAATTGAATCTTAATTATCTATCATTTAGTTTTCATATTGACAAAAATTATAATCCATATTTATTAATTTGTTTGTTGGTTTCTTATTTTTTTTATTTGATTAATTCTTTTTTGATTTTAATTATAAAAATTTTTTAGCTTTTAAATAATAAAAAAAATCTTAAGATATTTCTATCCCCTTCTATTTATCTGCTATATATTTAATAGACTATTAAAGTGTCTCTTTCTAAATTCAATAAGTGTAAACTTAAAATACTTTTAAAAATCTAATTAATTAATTAATTAATTAATAAGGGAATAATTATTTACTTATTATAAATATTAATCGAACCTTTTATTAAAGTAATTACTTTATTAATATTAATCTAAAATATTGAAAAAATTCATTTTATTTTTTAAAAGATAAATAAAATTATTGTTTCTTAAAAAATATAAGTTTTCATTAAGTGAGAAAGGCTTTGAATAATCTAGTGTAAGATTTTTAAATTACTACCAGAAAAATATTTTTAGTAAGATTTATTAATTGTTTTTCTAAAGAAATTAATAAATCTAAGTAAAATTATTTATTGATGGAAGTAATTTAAAAATCTTACACTATATTATTCAAAGCCTTTCTCATTTAATGAAAACTTATATTTTTTAAAAAATAATAATTTTATTTATCATTTAAAAAATAAAATGAACCTTTTCAATATTTTAGATTAACATTAATAAAATACTTTCTTTAACAAAAGGTTGGATTAATATTGATACTAAGTGACTAGTTATTTCCTTAGTAATTAATTAAATTTAAAAGTATTTTCAATTTTTCATTTGATGTCGACACTTTAATAATCTATTAAAAATACTTTTGATTATATTTTGATAAATACAGGGGATGTGAAGGATCTTTTGATTTTTTTTATTATTTAAAAGCTGACAAATTTTTATAATTAAAATCAAAAAATAATTAATCAAATAATAAAAATAAGAAAACAACAAACAAATTAATAAATATGGATTATAATTTTGGTCAATATCAAAACTAAATGGTACATAATTAAGATTCAATTGATAAATATGTTAACATTGAATATGATTAATAATATCAATTTTTTTGTGATCAACAAAAATAGATCTAAAAAAATGAATAAATTATCTACCATTAAGAGACCAATACTACTTCATATTCTTAATAAAATTCTTAGTAAAGTTGTAAAGCTTTCTTTACATAAAAAATTGTTATATGATATAAAAAATTTTAACTAATAACTTGTATATAAAAATTATAATAAAACTAATTTAAATTATTAAAATTTCTTGTAAAAAACTAATCCTTATTCTATATTTCATAGTTTATTTTATTACCGTCTAACCTGTAAGTTAAGTTAAGTTAATTTAAGTTAAAAAAAATAATTTTTTTGGCAAAAAATGTTCATATCTTAAAAACTTATTAAATTACTTAAGCACTTCCAAGATTACTATTCTTGCGGTAGAGCTACCACAAGAATTTCAATCCTGGAAGCTCTATATTTTGCATGTATTAGTAATTCAATTATTATAGGTACACTGCTTTTTAAAGTGTTGATTGTTATAATCAAATAATACAAAAAATTATTGATAGAAGGTATAAAAGAAAATAGATTTGTTCAAAATTAATTTATATGATAAATATGAAATAAGCTGTTATAAAGATATATAATTTTAATCAAATAACCAGCTAAATAAATTATTATTATCATAATTTTTGTTATTTTCAAAGTTGACCATTACTATTCTTTTTAGGTCTACCCAGCTTGGTTGTTTAAAGTTAAAATTCTGAAGTTTTGGAACCAGAATGTTTAATTCTTACATGATTAGTTAAACCCGAATGATTCTTATAGTATTTATGGCATTTCTTACAAGAAAATTTATCAGGGTAGGCGTTTGGATTATTTTTATATATTTTTTATTGCCTAGGAGTCAAATATATTGTCTTATCAATAACATTACTACTAAGCTCTTATAAATCTTCATTTCTTTGATTAAAGATGTTAGAGGATTGATGATCTTATGATAATTATTATTCTAAAGAACCACAGTTTGATTCATTTAGAAAATGAGAGTATTAAGTTTGGTCTTGATAGTTGGAACTATAGGGTTATTAGCAATTAGTTTAAGCATCTGCTTAGAAACCATTAAACTATGATTAGAAAAAGTTCAATTCATCTTAATTTTCTTAATCAAACATTGGATACATTACTATGTTGCCAAAAGGATCTTACAAAGAGTTAATAATTGAGTCAAAGTGTTGAACATTTTTGGCACAATCTACTTCTGATTATGAAACTTTAAACTCTTCTTCTATGAGATCAGATTACACATTATTCGTTGAAAAGCTTGATGATAATTTTGTATGATTACTTGTTGAGTATTGAGTGTCTCTATTATCAATTAAGGAATTTGATGTATAATTAAAGCGATTTTCTAATTAAAGGCTAATAAAATATTATTTTTCAATCTATAATGGTTAGCCAACTTAGGGTTAATTATTATTTTAATTTTAGTAGAACGTCTCACAGTTTTATTGATCCTCATATAGGTATGGGTAAACTTCTGTATATTAACTTTAGAATTGATTAAAAGACTAGCTCATCATGTGTCTGTTTTCTTCAATGTTTTTTTTTTGATTAATTGTCTTTTTTTAAAATATATTTTTATTGAAATACTAATTTTCTAATTTTTCTTTGCTACAATTTATATGTATTTTTACATTTCTAACTGGAAATCCAGAAGGTTTTTATCAAATTGTTAAGATTTTGAATTTGATAGAGTATTAAATTAATTAATTATTAGAATTCAAATAGATTAAATACTATACTTACTTTTTACTTAATTAATGTCTATTTTATTTTGAATAAATATGCAAAGAATTTTTGTAAAATTAATTTTCAAAAGAAGAGTAAAAGAAAGATAGTAAAATGGGCTTAAACAATTGTTTTAGGGCCTAAAATCAGTTTAAAGGTTGAATTTATATTATTAACTATACTTTCATATTATGTGTTTATCATGCAATCTTGAATATTTTGTATATTAAATAATGTATGATATTTTGATAATAACTAATTTCAATATTTATCGCGAATAAGTATTTGGGTCTCTTATTATTGAAAAAAATATATAAAATATATGTCTCTCTCTTTATTAAAATCTTTTAAAGTGTTTAATGCTTTATATTTATAGTTATAATTGCAAGGAAAATAATTAATTTTTAAAAATTCAGAAGTGGTAGGGGCATAGGAGCATAAGTAATTTATCATGGACACGCAGCAAGTATTTTCGTGGTTTAAAAATTTGGTTTTTTAAATGAAAAAAATGGTTTAGAGTTAAAAATTGTCCTAAAATAATACTCTTCGAATCAAATAATTTTAAGGAATGAAAATGTTAAAAACTACTAATTCTATTTTTTAAAATGTAAAAACATTAAAATATTTAGTAAATTAAAGACATATAAAAATAAATACAAGTGTAGCTTTCATATTTTAAGTAAAATTCGCTATTTAACCTACTATTTTAGGATCGCTACCATAATTGATTTTTGTTAGTATTTTAATTAATCAATAAGGAGATTATTATGAGTTAAAAATTATAGATTTTGTAAACATACATACTAGTTTAACTATATAACAAATTCAAGCCTCTTAAAAATTATATATTTATATATCATTATTTGATAAAGAAATGAACCATTTTTTCTTAATAAACTTATTAAATGTTAGTTTAGATTAATTCATTAGAAATTATTAACAAATATTCTAAGTTAAAACATTAATTAATAATTAATGTTATTTGTTTAATCAAAGTAGAAAAACTATGCAATTTTTGATCCAAAATATCAATATTCTTATTATTGAACATTAATTATGTATTAAATGCTTTATTTAGATATCATTATAATTTTTCAATTAATATCTTTTTCTCATTAAAATGTGGTTTTTTATGAGAAGAAACTAAAATTGGGTGCTCAATAAAGATTTTTAAAAATTAGTATCCAATAAAAATATTAAAAGCACAGTGTCTAATAAAGATGACAATTGTCCCACTAATCTATTATATTAGATAAAAAGCAAACGTCATTTAAAAAAAAGCTTTTTTTTAGTTTTCCAGTTAGATTTGATCAGTTTTTTGTATTTATAAGATATCAATTATATCTTTCTTTCTTTATTTAAAAAAAGCAATATTACTATTAATAATTGTTTTCAAGAAAAAACAAAAAAAAGTAAAACAATTAAATAAAGTAATATATGAGCTAATTTAATTTTGATTCATAAACTTAAGGAATAGAATCTTATTCAAAAGATGTTTAATAGGACTAAGAACTTTCTGACATAAGCTTTTGCCCTAAAAAACTGGAGTAACGCTACCTAAATTTATACTCAAGTAATCATAGTTCTCAGAGCACTGCTTCATATTCTCTAAATGATCTACCTATATAATATTATGAAAATAATGAGAGTGCTAGATAATAATAGATTTGTGGTGGTTTTTCATCTTCAGAGAGTAATCAGAACAGCTTGAGCGAAGGTTAATATTAAAAAAGTATTTTATCTTAGAGAAGTGAAAGCATAGAGTGTGTATCAAACTTGTAAAACAATCAATTATAAGAACAAAATTAAAATTCGACTTTCAGATGTTTCAAAGACAATGATCAAAATAAATATTCTAATTGCAATGTAGATAATTGTATATGTCAACTATTTTATATCTTAGATGTAACTAAACCAAATTCTTTTATTTTTGGGGGAGAACAAAACAGCATGGAAGAGTTTACAGACTAACAAAACTAATAAATCGGAAGTGAAAATTAACATCAATAAATTTAAATAAACCCTACATAAATATTTAATTAACCTTTGAAAGATAATTAACCTTAATACGAAAAAAGTTCTTTAAATCAGAATTAAATGATTTTTAAAGAAACTTAAGTCTAATAACCATCTTAACTAAAGAAATGGAAGTGGAGTGCAGCTAAGTTAAGGGCTAAAGAAAAAAATAAATTTGCTTACACTGATTCTAATTCTTGTAATGAATGCAAATTACGTTATGCAAACCTTGGTGCATTGATTAACCATGTAAAAAGAGAGCATAAAGGTGAAGAAACTTCTAAATTTCAAATGAAACGAAACACAACTAAAGGTAGACCACCTAAACAAAAAAATAACTTAAGTACACATAAAAATTGAATAAAATACCTAGTTTATTAAGTTTTATAAAATATTCTAAAAGAAATATATAAAATTCTGAATCTATAGTTTTTTTTAAGTTTATATTTTGTATTATTATTAATTCTTCATTTACTTTTATTTTTAAATATATTCTGTCTAATAAAAGTTTTCATAATGCAATTTTTTATGATATTTTTTTCTTATATGTATTGCCTTAGAGAGATAAGTTAAAAAAATAATATATAAGCAATATTGGTGCGATTAGTATTTGTAGAAGTATTTTAAAATAATAAAAAAATTTTTAAAAATTAACATTTTTATCACATTCAAATAATTTATGAAAACCAACCTACGTACTCTTTAATTATGATATACTCCTTCATAATTAATTATTATTAAACTGTTTCAGATTGATTAAATTTTTTTAATAATTTAAAAAAAAGAGTTTTTCTCTAAATTCAGTTAAATTTATTACTTAAAAAACTATTAATAGGTTTATTTTAGTTTTTTTGTTTTGCTTAGAGCTTGTTGAGAATGAAAATAAAAAAATTTTTATACTCTTTTTAAATATGCCTTAATTTATGAGGATCAAATGTGTAATTAATTATATTTATAAATTAGCTTTTAATATTAGCGTTATAAAGATTTTATTTTTAAGTTTAAAATGATATTAACACTTTATTTAATTGCCTGAAAACATTGTTAGTACTACAAATAATTACTCTAATGATGTCTGAGTTTTATAATCAAGAAAATGTATTGATAATAAAAAGTTTAATTTCTTTTTTGATATTAAAATAAAGGATAATAGATTACAAATATACAATTAATAACAGAAAAAGAAATTTAATATGATAAATTATTAACAAAAACAAAACCTTTAATAATTAAAAGAAATTTTTTTAATGAAAGTTTTTAACACTAATATGAAAAAAAAAATAATCAACAATGAAAAGTAAAGTAATATGTGGTTGATTATAATTATTTAATGATCATTTATTTTATCATTCAAACTCTTCTTCTCTTCAATTTATTTTATAATTTAAATGAAGATTTTTTGTTTTAAAGCCAAATATGTTCTGGTTCTTAATCTTGCTTTAATAGATCAATCACGCATTCAATAGCAGCAATGAACTATACTTTAACAGATTATCTTGAATATCTAAGATTATTAACACAGTTGATGGAATTTTAAAAGAAATCTACTGCATTCACCTGACCATCGTAATGTTAGCATCTATTATTAACAAGATTGACGAAATCTTTGTGATCCTTATCCCATGGGAAATAATTGGAATTAATGCAATGATATAAGGCCTAACCAACAGGATCATCTGGAATTTCATCTTCATCCTCAGGATTTAAAGTTTCAAAATGTTCAAAAGTTTATTAGAAATCAGGAAAATCATCATTTTGTTCATCGTTATCATCATGAAGCTTAACTTTAGTTAGAGATTTTTTGGCTGAAGTAGCAACAGCTAAAATCAAGATAACTAAAAGGAAAGTTATTCTAAATTTCATTTGTTTTTTAAGTAGAAATACAGATTTTTAAATTGAATAAATTTTAATAATTATAAAAAATTAGAAATCTATTTTTCCTTTAAATTCAATTAGAATAGTATTAACCTTTTTATAACACAATAAAAAACGTTATACAAAAACGCTTAAAGTAATTGTAAAATGGTGATGTTTAGCATATCAAATATTTGTTTTTTAATCAATTTTAAAACAAATTAAATTACTTCTACTTCAGTTAATATTTGAAAATATTGTTTTTCTTTTTTTTAAATACTATTAAAATCAAATAAAATACATTCATCAAACTCATGTAAGTCCGTTTTTCAACAACAGATAAATAACAGCTATTTTTTTTTGATTGCTAAAAACAAAAGGAAATATAATAAAATAAACTTAATTTATTGGTGAATTAAGTTGAAAAGCAATTTTTGAGTATTCTTCAATTTAATAATTAGGCCTATATTTCTAACTAAATCAATAGTCAATTGGTAAATATTATTTATAATAAATTACCCTTATACCTTGATGACTTGAATTAGAAAATATTAAAAAACTTTCTTGTTGAACACACATTTCATTAACTAGAAGTCATAATTTTTTTAATATTTTTTAATGGTAGATAGTTAATCACATTTTGTAGTATTTAATTTATATTAATTGATTTAAATTTTATTTCATCTATTTATTTCATGATCTGTATTATCTATCTATTCTATTATTAATAGGTCTTAATTTATATTAATTGATTTCAATTTTATTTTATTAACCTACTTCCTGATCTTAATTATCCTATTAGTATTAATTATTTGTTCTAAATTAAGATATTTAAATATATTGATAATCCACTTTTATAATAAAAAAAGCATAAATAATATATCAATTTTAAAATGATTTTCAGTAAATTAATTTGTGTATGTATAAAAATATTTTTAAATGGTGAAAAATTAGACTTTTTTATTATTTAACTTAAATTTATTAATTCAATTTATACTTTTTGTATGGAATACCCATAGCTAATTAAAAATATGTCATTTTTTATTTTTATAAAATAATAATATTTAAATATTGAAATAGAAATAAGTGGATTTTTTATTGATTTATCTAAAAAGGATTTTCCAAATTAATTAATCAAAATTTAAAGATGATTTGTTGTATTTAAAATTCTTAACTAGGAATGAAATATTTTAGATTAATAACTTAATAATGCTCTATAGATAGCAATTTTATTTTTAGATTCATTTTAAACTGAGTCCTTTATTATGTTTGAAATTTTCTTATTTAAAAAATACAATTAATAGAAATAGGTTTTTCTAATTAATTTGTCCCATTCTATTTGAATTTTAACACTTAATATTAGTATTAGATGAAGGATCAGTGTAATTCATATGAATTCAATTTAAAGATAAAAAATTTGAAAAAAGAAATAAATCTAAGAGGAAAAAATAATATTCTCATTATTTAAAACTTATAGACCTTCAAATTCTATTAGAAAGTGTTTAAAAATTATAATTGTGCTGTTTATCATAAAAAATTGAAACATCCTAACATTCTACATTGAAGTTTTTGAATTACCATTAAAAAAGAGATACAAAATGTGAGTATCACTTAAATCTAAAATTGAATGAGTCTATATTTTTATATCTAAAGATCAATTAACTTTTAATTAAATTATTTAATATACTAGTATTCAATCATTAAATTCCACAAGAAAAATAATTTTCACAGTTAATTGTAATTTAAATAAAAATATTACTTAAATTAGTTAATAGAAAATTCTACCCCACTATGAAAATTGTAAGAAAAATCTGTAGCCAGTAAATCAAATTTTAAAAATTTTTGAATTTAAAACTTTATCACATTCAAAAATTTTTGAAAACCAACCTAAATACTCTTTAATTATGGTATACTCCTTTATAATTATTATTAATCTCTTTAACATTGATTTAATTTTTTTAATAATTTAAAGAATAGAGTTTTTTCTCTAAATTCAGTTTAATTTATTACTTTATAAATTATTAATAGGTCTATTTTAGTTTATTTATTTTGTTTAGAGCTTGTTTAGAATTATTAATATAAATAAAAAATATTTTTTATACTCTATTTAATATTACCTGAATGTATGAGGATGAAATGTGTAATTAATTATATTATAAATTAGCTTTTAATATAAGGTGAGGTTATATAGATTTTATTTTTAAGTTTAAAATGATATTAACATTTTATTTAATTGCCTGAAAACATTATTATTACTACAAATAATTACTCTAATGATGTAAGAGTATTATTATCAAAAAAATGTATTGATAATAAAAAGTATAATTTATTTTAAAATAAAGGATAAGAGATTGATTACAAATTTAACAATTAATAACAGAAAAAGAAATTTAATATGATAATTTATTAACATAAAAAAAGCCTTTCGTAATTAAAAGAAATTTTTTTAATGAAAATTTATAATTCAAATATGAAAAAAAAATCAACAATGAAAAGTAAAATAATATGTAGTTGATAATATTTTTTTAATGCTCTTTATTTTTATCAATCAAACTCTTCTTCTCTTCAATTTATTTTATGATTTAAGTGAAGGTTTTTTCTTTTAAAGCCAAATTAGATCTTATTTTTATACTTGGCAAAATTGATCAAACACGCATTAAATAGTAGCAACGAATTATACTTTAACAGATTATCTTGGAGCACTAATATTCTCTACACAGTTGAGGGTATTATGATAGAAAGCTACTACATCCTCCTCACGATCAAAATGTTAGCATCTATTATCAACAAGATGGACGAAATCTTAGTGATCACGATCCCATGGTTAATAATTGGTATTAATGCAATGATATAAGGCCTAACCAATAGGATCTTCTGACAATACATCTTCTTCCTCAGAGTCTAAATTTGCAATAAATGCAAAAATGGGCTCTAAAGTAGGGTATACATCTTTTTTAACTTTAGTTAGAGATTTTTTAGCTGAAGTAGCTACAGCTAAAATCAAGATAACTAAAAGGAAAGTAATTCTCAATTTCATTTGTTTTTTAAGTAGAAATACAGATTTTTAAATTGAATTAATTTTAATAATTATGAAAAAATTGGAAAACTATTTATCCTTTAAATTCAATTAGAATAGTATTAACCTTTTTATAACACAAAAAAAAAACTTTATTCAAAAACGCTTAAAGTAATTATAAAATGGTGATGTTTAGCATTTAAAATATTTATTCAGTTAATATTTGAAAGTATTTTTTTTCTTTTTTTAAATACTATTAAAATAAGATAAAATACATTCATTAAACGTAAAATCGTTTTTCAACAACTGATAAATAACAGCTATTTTTTTTTGATTTCTAAAAACAATAGGTAATATAATAAAACAAGCTTAATTTATTGATGAAATAAGTTTAAAAACAATTTTTGAGTATTCATCAATTTAATAATTAGGCCTATTTTTCCAACTAAATCAATAGTCAGTGGACAAATATTATTTAAAATAAATTACCCTTATACCTTGATGACTAGAATTATAAAATATTAAAAATTTTTCTTGTTAAACACTCATTTCATTAATGTTTAAAAAATTATAAAAATTAAAAATATTTTTTATCTGAATTTATGAGGATAAATAGTATAATTATACATAAAAATTAACTTTTAATATTAGGTTTGGTAATAAATATTTTATCTATGATTTTCATGTTTTAATTATTTAAAAAATTTACCTGTTCAGCTAATAATTAATTACTTTTATGATGTCAAAGTATAATAATGAAAAAAGAATATGACAATAAAAAATATAATTATTTTTTTAAATTAAAATAAAATAAATGGTAATAGATTATAACATAACAATTAATGACAGAAAAAGATATTTAAGTTGATTTTAATTAGCGATCCACATGAATAAGTATATTTATTTATTTATTTTTGAACTTTTTAGATTGTTTTTCTTATAAAAAATATGTAATAATTAGTGCAATAGAATAAAACATATAGTATAATAAAAGGAAAAGAATACTTTGAAGATATTAATTAAAATATTTAAATTTTATATATTTGATTTTATTATTGTTAATAGTTATTTAGTTATTATTATTGTTGATTTAAATGAACTAATTCAGTTATTAAATACAATCACATCATTTATTTAATTGAAATACCCTTAACATTTTGAATGTTATGATGATTAGTACGGTTTTGGAACTTACTTTGATGCTCTTTTGCTAGTGCTTCAAAACCTTCCTTGAATAATTTTTTCTTTTGCTTTCTAGCTTCTTTGAATTCTTTTAATGCTTGCTTTCTAGCAGCTTTTTCTTCCTTAGTTTCATTTTTAGTGTCGATTTTCTTAGATAATTCATAGGATCTAATCTTTAAAGGATCTTTTTCATCATCCTCTTCTTCTTATTCTTCTTCATTTTCAGAGATTTACTCTACTTCCTTTTCTTTTTACTTGTTTTCATCTTCATCAGCATGCTTAAGTGGTCTATATTTTTTGCTTTTGCTCAAGCTGATATCATTACCTCCGATAACTGTGAGATTTTCATGAACTCTGCTGAAGGAAAAGTTCTTTGTAGCTATAGTTTCATCTAGCTTAAATTCAGCTTCAGGTCTGTCAAAGTTTTCTTAATAATTAGGGTCAACTTCTCTTATTAATTCTCTTTCAATGTAACTTTTAAGTGCGTTATCTTTTTCCAAAGGAACAATTTAGTAAATTTTACGAGTAACTATTTCATCTGGTCTGAAATAACCTTCATACTTTTCTAATCTTTCCTTTTATTTCTATTCAAATTCTACATTTACTTACTTGTTTTTGATTTTCCTTTCTTCTAAGTGAGCCTATTCTCTTTCTTATTAAGACATGCCAGCAATATGCTCATCTAAAATTTTATTAAAACCTTCACCAGTTAAAATTCCTTCTTTTAACTCTGGGATATCATAATCATCATCACTGCTACCATTGTATTTATCTTCATCATAGCTATCTTCCATTTCTTTCATAACCTTATCAAATTCTTTATCTTATTCGGTCACTGTATCTTTTCCAGGCTTACTGTCTTTCTAAGCGTACTTCTTTATAACCTTTTTCACAACCTTTTTATTTTTTGGCTTTTCCAATTCAAGTTGAATCTTTCCTTCCTCATCAAAGGTAAAGTTAATTTTTTTGCCCTTAACTTTTTTCTTTTTCTATCCAGTAACTTCCTCTTCTATTTCTTATTCTAATAAATCCTCAACGATTACTTATTCACCATCGTTAGCGATTAAAACGAAATCATCTTCTAATTATTCATAAGCGTCATCATCAATATCATAATTTAATGCATCAAAAACTTCCCTTTACTCTTCAGTCATTTCATCATATTCATAATCTATATCTTCTTTAAGCTTAGGAGCAGTTTTGTAATCTGCTAATAAAACTGCTTCAACAATACCATCATTTTACTAACCTATGTATAAATTAAAAATATTTAAACTACTCATTAAATAAAAATATATAAATTACTTGGCTAGACGAAATACTTAGAGTAATCGAAATTGCTAGCAGGTAAACCGTATTCATTAAACTTTTTAAATTTAACATCCTTAGAGAAAGTGATTTTTTCATATTTAGGAATGATATTATCTTCAACAATTTTCTTTTGAACTAAATCTTTCTAATTATTAAAATTATAAATTAATTAATTAAAATATTCAACTCAACTCTCTCTTAAAAAAAAGATTGAATTTATCTCAAAAGACATACAAAAAAATTTCAAAGTAGGGTTAAAATCAAAGCTATTTTAAAGCATTAATTAATTTGTATTATTGGCTGTATAAAAATTAAGTAAATGTCTTTTTTTTATAGAGTATGTCTAATTTTTTACATATTTGAAGTCAGGGAAGTCTTATGATGTCAAATCTTCAATCTTTTTCTGAGGGATTGCTTCCTCCTTTTCCTTTTATTCTTCTTATTCTTATTAATCATCATCTTCTTCTCCGTCATAAGAGTAGTCTTCACTACCAGTGTCATTGTTTTATTCTTCATCTTTGTCTTCCTTTTTCTCTTCTTTATTTTTTTAAGTTTTTTTAACTTGATTCTTTTCAGTAGGAATCTCTTCTTCCTCTTCTTCCTACCCCTCTTCTTCTTCTTCGGTAAATTCTTCTTGTTCGTCTTCATTAGCTTCGACTTCTTCGACCTCTTCTAACTCTTCAATTTCATAGTCCTCAACTTCTTATTCCTACAATTAGGACTTTTGGGCCAATTAATCAATCCAAAGGTCTTTTCCTGCTAACTTTTTACGAATTTCAGGAGGAACCCAAAACTTATTCATTTATTACTACTCCTTCTACTTTTATTCAAAAATACCCTAATCTTCTTGTGTGAATAAGCTGAGGAGTTTATCTCTTTTTTATTTTTCTTCTTCAGTCAAGTGGTTATCCATAGGAATGGATTTAATTTCGAAGACTCTCTCAACATTGACAGGGACGCCTTCGTGCTATCTCTAGAAGAAGGGATCTTCATTGTTTCTATATGAAAGCTTGAAAGTAATAGCTTTATTCTTATCTATAAATTGGTCTTTCTTTCTTCCCATTTTTGTTTGTTTGTGTGTGCGTGCTATTGCAAATTGAATATAACTTTGCTTATGCTTTTTCTACTTTATTTTGTTAATAATTGTTTATACAAATTCTTTTAGATTTTAACTCTTAATTCTGTTTGTATATTAAAAATTGCTCAAAGATAGTAAGATACATTCATTTTAATTATTCAAAACAGCTACATTTAGATTTGCTCTTTAGTTTTTGATTTGATTAAATTATTAATTCGTATCAAAAACTAAAAACTCATTCTTTTTTTGCTTTTTTTCAATTTTAATTCATTCATTTTTGAATGAGCTTCTCATACTAATATGAATGTTAAAGTATTTTTAACTCTTTGATTATTTTCTTAATAACTTTGTTTAATTTTGATCTTTTCTTATAATAATATCTTGTGAATGAATAATCAAAAAGTGATAATTTGGATCAAATTCTTTTTAATTATATTAAATAGAATAATAAGCAAATTAGTTTGATAATTAATAATTCTATTAAAAACATATCAATTTAATTTGCATTTTCAAATTTAATAAGTAGAAGAAATTTCTAAATTGTTAATAGGCAAAATACCAAATAATAACAGAAATATTTTAAGAGATGATTAAATTAGTGAGAAATTTAGCATTATAAAGGCAAAGTTTATAATATTTTTGTAGGTTTAATTACTTCAAAGAGAATCTTTCTCAAGTTTATGAGAAGTAGTCTTCATAAAAATATACAATCAGCTAAATAAATTCAATCAATGATGAAAGAATTTTCTAAGAAGAATCAAAGAAAATTTCATAACAATTAAATGAATTTACTTCAATTCTCTATGAAAAAATGAATTTTATAAATCCTCTTAAATTAAAAGCAGAATACACATAAAATGAATGCTAATTTATTGGAGATATACTACAAAATAGAATGCTATTTATTAACTTGCGAATTAAAAAGATTCAATAGAAGTTAGATGACAAGACGATAGCACCTGAGAATAAAAATGAGCTAATTTAAAATTATATGCAGTTTATGGTCTTAGTGTTGGATTTATTTAATTTTTCAATTATCTGTAATTCATCAAGTGATGTATTAATTAGTACTTTTTCTAGAATGTTTAGCGAATGGATGAAATATCTTACTTTAAATGAAGCAAAAGATATTTTGTTAAACTCATAAATTTTTATTTCCTTGTCTAGAATATTCCAATCCTCATTATCTTCATAAAATAATTTTTTGAGCAAGTTAAATTTTGATATTTTTTAAAACACTTAGTTCCTGATATAGCTTTTATAGCATTAATAAAAGCTAAAAAATTAAAGTATTGAAAACAAAGAGTAAGATGAAATTTAGTTGTTGGATATTTAAATAGATATATTGTATTAAACATTAAAGCTTACTGAACAATCTTAAAGCTAAATAAATAAAATTGATAGTGCTTAAGAATTTAAGCAGCAATTTAGAGAAAATACTTTTTATAGATTTTGGATTGATATTTAAAACTAAGAAGAATTAAATGACCAAAACATGTCTCCTAATGAATAGATATAAAATGAATTTATTTAGAAATCAAGCATTGATAATTTGTAAGAGTATTTATTAGAAGAAGTATTTGACGGAATTCTCTTAAAGAGGAATGTTTCTGATTCAAAAAATTTAATTAAAATAATTTAAATTTTTAGCATTAAAAAGTTAAGCGAAATCCCTAGTGAATGCTTTATACATTTAATTGAACAGAACTCTAAAAACAAAGAAAATATTTTTAAATTTGTTGAATTAATTACATAAAAGGGATTATACAATTACAATTTAAATTAAAAGACTGCATTTTATCATGGATTTTACAATTTTGTCACAGTCAACTACCTTTCCTCTTTAAATAATTATTTAAATAACAATCTAAGATATGAAAGCCATAATGATGAGAATATTTCCTAATAAAATTAACTAAATCAAATCAAACTCACTTTATTAAATATTGCTGATCTCTTTAAAATCATGTAACTTTCTAGTGTTGTTAACTTCTAGTTCTTAAAACTGCTAGAAAATACTTTAAATCAAGATAACTAGATTCAAAAATTCAAGCACTAAGAGTTCATTAAAATATTGTAGTTCTTTGGCGATTTCCCTTTGCAAATGGATATTCTCACTAAAAATTAAATTAACTTCTACTTAAATAAGCACTTTGAAAAAATGAACAATTAGCAAAAAATATCATGCAGTGTTGAAATGCTTAAATTAGAAAACTAGCCAGAAGCTCCTCTTTACTAACTTGTTTAAAGTCCTCTTTTCTGTACAATAGAAAATATGTCATTAATCACAGATTTTATTATATAATTCAATTCTTAACCAAACAAAACACTTCAAGAGAAAATCTAATTTTATTTTTTAACTTAAACTTTCTTTAAAGGTCAAATTAAAATTAGTAAGCATTTTGAAAATTAAATAAGTGACTTAAAAGAAGCCTTTATATAAGCTGGATTTAGCAAGATTTCAGAATTTCAAAAATAAATTCTTCAAGACTTGATTTTATAAGATAAAAAAGAAAATCCTAATTCTTCCCAACTTAATAGTGTTGAATCTGAGTTATTCTTGGAAGATGTTTTCTCAGTTGATTACGTTATTAATTAAGATATTGTCGTTGAGGTAAATGGCCCTTACCATTACTATTTAGTTAGTGAAATACCAATAAACTATAGCTTGTAATATAACTAAAAAGTGAATGATATAGATACATTTTAAGATAATATAAACTTTGTAACATATTCTCTTTTAGAAAACAGAAATACAATTATCAAGTCAACTATCTTGTCTAAACTTTATAAATACAAAGTTAAAAATATACCTTTCATTTCATATGAAAAGTATAAATTCTTCAATAAGCACACTTAACTTGTTTACGAATTGGTGTTCTCAAATAAACCTTTAAAAGACTTACAAAAAATTCTTTGAATAGTATTTATTTAATTGTTTCCTAATTAATTGTTTTATTTATCTAAAAAAAAGTTTGAAAACAAATCAAAATTATATATTCTTTCTATTACTAAATTATTTAAAAAATTATGGTTAATTATTTTTAAAAATTATTTAAAAGGATAAAAAATAAAATATATTTATTAGATTTTAATAAGTTAAAATAAATGAAACCTCTATTTTTTATATTTCTTTGAAAATTTTAAATTATATTTTTTTGATTATTATCTTATCACTAAGCCATAAAAAAATTTAAGCAAATGCAATATATAAGTGAAATTTGAAAATTTTTAGTAAATTTATTTAATGAAAATTTATTTGAATCTAAATATTAATAAGTATAAAAAATAAGTATCTCCAAAATTATATAAAAAATATAAAAAAACAAAAGAAAGACATTAAATAATTTTTACTTTAAATTTAATTTTTTGTTTAAGAAATTGGAATAAATTATTAAAAAAATAATTAATTGATTGATTGAAAAGAAATAATAATAAACCAATTTTTATCATATTCATTAAATCAGTTTCCATCTGATTAACCCCATTTAAATTTGATGTTGTAAATGTAATTAACTATATCATCCAATTTTGGGTTCTTACCTTGCATATTAAGGACATATTTTTGATAGTAGTCTTATCCGTCTTTGAAACTGTAAGTTCCATTTTTATTAAATGTATGATAAACTAGAATCTCTATTCCTGCAAGTTAAGCAGCTATTAATTAAATTAATGCAATACATTCAGGATTATTTCCAAATGCACCGCAGCCCCAGTTTCCAGTATTGATCACACACTTATGGCATATATTATATTATTCAGTAATATATCTTGCAGCATAAAAGGATTTATAAGCTGTCTCAAGTGTAAATTTAATTTGCTCTTAAGTATAGTATCCACGCTTATATCCCATTGCTGCCATACAAATTATATTAGAAACAGTTTTATTTTTATCAAATACTTTCATATTCTTTTAAAGTTCCTGTTTTGTCATTCTTTAGAAATTATTACCATAAAATTTAGCTCCTTAAGTATCTACTGTACCTAATCTGTGGCAGTTGGTGATTAAAATTGGAGTAGGAGTAAGGCCATTATAAGTTTTAGGAGCTAGCTAAGGGTATTTGCTTTTTAGTGTTTAAACTTTTTCAAGGACATGAGCAAGGAGAGGATGCTCACTAACTTAGATTTCATCCTATGCAAATAACGATGTGTTATAGAAATCAAATAAGTTTTAATCTGCAAAGTTAACATACCAATGTCTCTCTAATGCACTTGTCGGTTTTTCATACATATAAATACTCTCTTTGTAGGTGAAATTATTTCTATCATAAGTAATACTAGGATTAGTAATTTAAGGCAAGGGTATATTATCAACTATTCTGATATATTTCATAGCTAATTTGATATCATCACTATTTAAACTGTGTATATAGTTTGAGTATATTATTAATTTGCTTTCTATCTAAAAATCTTTAATTTTTTATTTCAATAAATCTTCTATGCTTGCTTCAAATGAATTATCTTAGTCAATCCTAATTTTTATACTTTAGTTCTTATTGTCTTCACAAATTTTATTGATTTAAACTTTAGATTCATCTCTTTAAAGAGCCAAATTGCCCAATTAGCAAATTAAATTTTACTTTTTCAATGCATTATCAGATAATTCATTTGTATTTGGCTAAAGTTCTTTTTATTCTTCTCCCTAGTCACTATCAAAATGTTGTTATCCATGTTATTCGTAATCATAATTTTGTTGTTTAATTTACTACAAATTTGGTGCATTACTACCATTTTATGGAATTTATGCTTTACTATTATTATCAGTAGAATGTTTACTTTCATGTTATTATTGTTGACTTTAATTTTTAATTTAGCTATCCTTCTTGACCTATGTTGTATTTTTTTGACTTTAAGCTTATTAAGATCCTTCACTTTTTATCACTTTTTCTTCTTTTTTATTTAATTAATTCAGCATGTCATTTTTATCATTTTTTTTGCTAGGCTTTCCTGCTGCTGGAATTTAATTTGTTTAAACTTGCTAATTTTTTAAAGGAATTCCTTAAACGTTCATCTATATACCTCCTTTCTGTTCTGTATCCTTTAAATTATTTTTTGTATTCTTATTGTTGTTAGTACCCAAAGCTTTATTATAGCTACTACTCATTTATTTTAGATTTATTTATTTGCTTTAAATTAATAATTTTACTAATTAACATTTGAGAATAAATAACTAATATTTTTTAGGTATTTTGAAATATAAATAAATCGAAAATCTTTGATTGATGGCATTTGAATAAAAACGCTTTACCCCTTATATTTTTATTGATATATTCTAATATCTAAGCACCTAAATTTCATTGCAAAAATTACAAAAGTATACAAATATTTTTCCTCTGAAATTGCTATTAAAATACCATCCATCCATATTAATAAAAAGTCAATAAAACAAGAAAATACTTTTGATTATTATTAATTTCAATTAAGAATATTTAATAAATAATATTTAAAGACTCTGAAATAGTTAAGGACAAATTTTGCATCTTAAATAAATAAAAAATCTATCTTAGACATAAAAAGATACTAAATTTCTGAAAACATTAACATTCAAAATATTTTTTTAATATTTAAAAGAGTTGGTATCTCATTAATAAAATAAGAAAGATAAAAATTAAAATTTGATAATTGTTTATTTAAATTGAAAACATATTACAAAATTAATATTATTTTCAAAATCAAATATAACCAGTTACCCTTCTAAAATAAAGTGATGTAGTTCTTATTATTTTTAGAAATTCATTCTTTTTGCTTTGAATTTTTGAAGCAATTTGAGGTAGAACTAAATGCTTAAAATAATGGTTTATATGTTAAATAAAAAATTTTTTAGAATTATTAAAGTTTTTATTTGTAAATAAAATTCTTAAATTATTTCTACTGATTAGTAAATTTATAATTTTATAAAAACAATACTTCATTACAGATAGAATGAGATTAAAGAGAAAAGATTGTCCATCAGCATTTATGCAATCTGTGGTTTTTAAATTTTTAAATCTTCATTAGAAAAGTGCTGATTTAATAATAATTATATCAATAAATATAGAAAAGAAAGATATTTAAAAATTTTGTAATTTAAAAATAAATTAAGAAAACAAACAAACAAACATATAGAAGTATTTAAATTCTTAAAATATAAGCTCTTAAATGGCTGATACCAATCTAGAAAAGGAAATTTTAAAGGTCGAATAAAATAACGATAACTAAGAAGACCTAAACGATGCAAGTAAAAAGTCTCTCTAAGAATCTTTTTAGAAGTTTAGAAAAGAAAGATATGAAAAAATGAAACATGCAAAATATTTAAAAGCTAAGAAATAAGATGAAAGGAGAACTGCTGAATTTAAAGAGGCTTTAAGATAAAAGTTTATTGATTAGTGTAAAAAGTACTTTGGTGTTCCTTACCATAGAAAGTAATTGAATAAAAAATAAATTATATAAACACTAAAATCATATTTTCAATTCAATAATTAGGTACTGGACTGAAGGAGAATCTCATCATAATGCTCCTCTTTATTTAGATTGCTGTGGTTTGATAAGATAGGTTGTTTATGATCTCAGAGAAGACTTTGGATTTACTCTTGGTAGATGGAATCAGGTATTAATAATAATAATCAAAGATATAATTGAGATAAAAAAAATTTATTCATTTTTCACTTGTTTCTTGTTTAATAATTCATATTTTTTTTTAGGCTTATCAGTTTGATGTTTGCCCAAAAGAAGTAAAATTTGAAGAAATGAAGCCTGGTGATTTAATTTTTTATTCTGGAACTTACTATAACGAAAAAGTAAATAAATATCAATCTAAGTGATCAGTCAATTAATATAATAAATTTTGGAAAAATATAAAAAGCTTAAACCTTTCCCTCATAAGATGGTGCATGTAGAAGTGTTTACTGGAGGAGAGACAGGTGAACAAACAATAGGTAAATTTAAGTTGCATTCAATTTATATTTATAAGCTTTTTTGTGAATAAAAGCTCAAGTTTTGAGTGAATTTTAAAATAATTCTTTTAATTTATTTTATTAAAGAAGTTTAAATTTTTTCAATCATATTTTTAAATTTGAATTTTTAGCTGAACAATTTCCTAATTTAATTAATAATATATAGGAGCAAGATGGCAGAAGGGCTTTGTTTAATATCATGATAGCTATAAGTTTGTCAGCAAAAATTACTATGATATTTAATTTTATTATAGATCGTTAGATCCTTGGCTTGATGGTATTTGCTAGTAATAAAAATAATTTATTTATCCTACAGAATCTCAATACTTTTTTAATTAAATTAGATCCTGTTGTAAGGAACATCCTTGGAGAGATGATAGAGATCTTTGGGTTCCAGATAAATTTTCAGTATTTTCAGATCCTACATTAGAAGAAAACGAAGATGCAGATTAAAAAGAAGAAATAGATGAAAATTAAGAGGATAAAGAAAATAGACAAGTACAACAGGCTGCTAACTAATTGGCAAAATTCTCTTTAAAATAAAGTATTAAAACTAAAAAAGATGAGTCTAAATATGTGTTTGTTGGAAAGGGTAATAATGATAATCTAATAAGAAAATACTTTTCAAATATTCCTGGCTACACTTTACTAGATGCTTCTAAGGCTTTTTCAAATAAATATTTTTTTAAGTGGGTTTAGACAACTTCTGAAATTGACTTTTTTTCTTTTAAAGAAGCAACCTAAGTAAAAATTATTTAAAATAATTTTCTAACTGAATTTTAATATTAATATTGTATAGATTGTAAACCACATTCCAAATATTAACATTTTTACCAGCAAAGTTGGTTTAGTTAATTTGCTGAAATCTTATGAAGAACATAAAAATATTGCTGATCTTGAAATAAGCTCTAAAGATTTTTTCCCAGAGAGCTACTAACTAGATATGATGAGTGATGAAATAGCTTTCCTAACTTAAGAAACAGATCCAAATAGCATTTGGATATTAAAACCACATAACAACAATATGGGAAGAGGAATAATAATGATTGGAGATATAGTAACTTTCAAGAGAGAATTCGTAGAAACAAAGAAATATAAATTAGGAGAATATACAACAGCCTACTTGATTAAAAAAGACAATTCGATTGAAGATAATTAAATTGAATAATTATAAAAAAATAGTATATAAAATGATAGCAAAGACCAATAAAGTAGTTCATTAGATAATTAAGAAACAAATAAAGTTTAAGAATAACCTAAATTTAAATATGATGGTATTTCACATCACTCTATTATTTAAAAGTATATTAAAGAACCACTCCTTCTTAATAAGCGTAAATTTGATATAAGGTGTTATGGACTGATTGCTAGTACAAAACCCCTTTTGCTTCTATTCAACAAAGGATATGCTAGAGTATGTTTGCAGGAATACTCTTTAGAAGATGTAGAGAGCAAAAATAATAAATATTGCCACCTTACAAATAATGCAATTCAAAAATCTCATAAAGATTTTAAAGCACATAAAGAAGACTCTATATGGACTATTGAGAAACTTTCAGTAATTTTTGTTATTTGCTTTAATTTGATATTATAATGGATAATCAATCTAAAATAGATTTTGATAATAATTAATTAATATTTGTTTTATATATAGGAATATGTTGAAAAGGTTTATTAATTTGGATAAGAAAAGCAAAATGAGATGTGGAATCAAATAAAAAAAATAATTAGACATGTTGTTTTAGCAGGTTATCCAAAATTAGAAAAGAAAGTAGGTTAATACGAATTACTTGGTGTTGATATACTGATTGACTAGAATTTGAAACCTTATTTACTTGAAGTTAACACAAATCCAGCACTTTTTGTGGATACTACTAGCTAAGAGAAAGTAATACCACAAATGATGCACAAAGTAATAAAAATATAACTTACTTTCTTCAAAAAAAAAAAAATTTAATAAAATAATTTGTGGCAGTTTGAATAATTAATTTAGATAAATTATAAAATTTATAACTTTTGATTAATAATAAAAAAAATAGGCATTAGACATTGTTTTGGCAGTAAATGAAGGATTTGAAAATATCAAATAAAATATTGAAGAATTAACAAATAAATAAGAAATACATCCTTTCGAAATAATATATTAATAGAGTTAAGAGTGAATTCAATAAAAAATAGTCAAAAAAATAAATAAAAAGACACAAAAAAGCATTAAATAATTTAACTTTTATTTATATTTATATAATTGTGGACCATGTGTTTGTTTATTAAAAACGATTTAAAAATTCAATCAATAAAAGTAGATTTTTATTGAAATAATTTTATGTCAATTTCCATCTGATTAACCCCAAACAAATTTTTTTTTTTATATTTCTTCAATAATTTTACTTATTTTTACTTCACCTTTATTAGAAGCTAAATTTTATATTATCTAGTAATAAATTGCTTATCCTATATTAAATTAATCAGTTCCATGTTAACTGAAAGTGTGATAATACATTTTATCTACTCCTGCTAGATTTGCTGCTAAAATTTGCAAAATTGCAATCAATTGGTAATTATTGCCAAAAGCTCCACATCCCCAATTTCCTGTATGAATAACACACTTTTAATTAGGATAGTATAAATTAGTGATTTCTAAAGCTTATCTGAAAGCTTTGTAAGCTGTATACAGTGTAAATATTATTTAATCTTTAGTATATTACCCGTTTCCATACCCGATAGCTGACATGGCTATTATATTTGTGTAAACTAAATTTTCTTTCTCAAATATTGTTAATTTTTAAGGTAAATCCTATTCTTTGAGCTATCTAAAATTGTTTCCATAAAGACCTTGTCTGTATTTTTAATCAGGATTAATGTCAATAGTTCCAATACGAGGAACATTTACTATTAAGACAGGTGTTGGCTCATCTTTTTCCTAAGTTCTAGGTTTTAGATTAGGAACAGATCTTTAGGTTTCCAAGTATTCTTTCACATGTGCAAGCATAGGCATTTCTGTGCATTGTAACTCATCTTAAGCATAGAGGGCTGATGTATAAAAACCGAACAGCTTATTGTCTGCAAAGTTTAAATACCAATGACATTCATCATGGGGAGGTTTAAAATAAGAGAAAGTATCTTACTATTATTTTAATTCAGTTTTTAATAATTCTTCACATAATTTATTCTTAGGAAGATCAATATCTTTTACACATCTTAAAATATGCAATTCTTATTTTTTATCTTCATCACTCAAACTTTAGATTAGTTTGTTGTATATAGTTTGTTTTATAGAAATGCTAAATTGTTTAAGAGGAGCATATTTAATAATATCTTCGATTTTAATTGATAAATTGGGATTTTATATTTTATTTTTGATATTTGTATTCAATGGGTTGCATTTATTAATAATAGTTGGATTATATAATTAATTAGGAAAATCGCTTTTTTTATTAAATATTTTTGTAAAAATGTTGCCTTAATTAGTTTAGCTTTTTCCTTAATCGCTGAAGACCTATTATTCTTTAACTAGCTATTCTAATTATTCGATTGCTTATGGTGGTTATTTATCATCATAAATATTTTGATTTTTAAAATCTTAGAACTTTATTTCTTATGCATTCAAATATTACTCTTTTTATTTTTCAGAATATGTATATTCCTATTATTTTTGTTAATTTTAGGAGTAAAACTAATCTAATTTTTAATCTGTTTAATAATTTATATAATTATAATTTTTAAAAATTCCATAATTTATTTATGAATAATCTTTATTCTAAGCTAATTTATTTAGTAATTACTCATTTTCGCTTTTTTTTTCAATATTAGTATTAGTTTTTTCTTTATTTTTGTTTTAATCTCCATCTAATTTAGTTACAGTATCTAAAATAGTATTTTAGTTCAATATATTTTACTACTCTAAAAACTTATTTTCAATAACTGCTGTAGTTTTAATATTTAAATTTTATTGATTGGATGCGCTTTAAATTGGTTATTATTCTTTTTAATAAAGAGTCTATTCCATATTCAATTAAACCTATTTAGCTTATGGCAAACCATAGTTATTGTAGAGATTGCTTTCTTGATATTTAACTGAAAGACCATTTTATTTCTCTGTAAAATCTGGTTATTGTGTCTTCTGATTTTCAATATCCATTTTAGTATCAAATTTGTTTTTGGTAATTTCGAAATTTTTTACTTATTGTGTCTTATTATTTGAGATATCAATAACTTCATAAGAAGTATCTAAAGCATATTGGCTTTACTATTATTTAATAAAATAACACTTAAAAACACACGCTATTTAACTTATAAAAAATTACATATTTTTCGTTTAGTTCTTCCTCCATCTTCTTTCTTTTTTGCTTCTTATTTGATCTTAATTTTATTAATTTTTGGCTTAAATTAAACAAGTGTGATAAAGTTTGAATCATAAAAAGGTTTTTGATAGCACAAATATTATTTCCGAGAAATTAGAATATTGAAATTAAATATATTAAAGATAGGTTTTCTTATTTTCCCTCCTTACATCCTTAGGTGATAGGTGGAGGGAGTGGTATTCAAAAAAACATGTAAAAACAAAACAAAAAAATATTAGATCGTGAATAATTAATATTTCAGTCTAAAAATAAAAATTTAATTGAAAGACACAAAGAATATAAATTTATTAATATTATCACTCATAAATCAACCTTTATGCTTATTTTTAAATCCTTAAAAAGAGCAAGACCTAAGTAGTATTTTTCATTTTCAATAATATGTTTAGAATCTTTTAGTGTATAGTTAAATTTCTAATTTTTACTCACAATTTTAAATATTTTATTTTGCTAATTGAAAGCAATACTGAATTCTGGGCACTCAAGTTTCTATGAAACTTCGGTTTCTGACTTAAGAGAGTTAGGTGTTTGGTTACAATCACCATCAAAGCAACAAAATACACCCTTTTCAGAGGTAAGCCAAACCAAATTTTGAGTGTCTTTAACATACTTTTCTTTAACTAGTAAAACTCCCCAACAAATGTGAGTTGAAATATCCCCTTCTAAGACTTTAATTTAGATGTTATATGTTTGACTGGGGACTAGTGCTTTCTAAGTAAAAGCTACTGCGATATCCTAAGTCAAGCTTTTTATCTTTAAGTAAATAAATATATTTTAGTATTTATGTAAATTTATGCAAATATTACTGTCAATCCATTATTCTGGATTCTTAAATATTAGTTAGAATCTCCAAAGCAAGATGGTTAAAACTTTAATTATATTTCATTCAAAGAAGTTGTGACTTCAGACATTATAGCTATTGCTTCTGAGAGTTTTTAGTTTACCTATTCTAATTTACCAATATTAACCTACAACTTCTTTTTAGGCAGCAAATCTTCTAATAATTAATTCTATTATTTATACAAAATTAGAAATTGTCTCATATTTTAAAAATTTTTAGAAATATTTATTGTACTCTATCCTAAATTATCTAACAGATAATAGAAACTCAAAACAAAATATACCAAAAAAATATATTTAACAAATGGTTTTTAATTTTGAAAATCTTTGGAAATTAAAATATGATCATCTTCGGTATTTAATAATATTTTAAGAGAAAAAAATTTGAATAATTTACAGAATTGTAGATTGTGGCATAGCTTTTTATAACATCTTCTAGCTTAATCCTTTAGTCTTGAAGTTAATGACTCTCTATAAATTCTGAAATATTCTTCTTTAATTTACCACAGCAATACATTTCTTAAATTTTATGGAGCGATTTAGACATTTCTTCACTCTAATTACTGTTATTTTCTGAGATTTGTACGAGAATGTTTTTACGCGTTTATTTAAACATTTAATTAAAATCATTTTCTAAAATTCCTAGTTAGTGTTCTATGTCTTCTAGATTTTCATCATAAAATGATTCACCTTTTTTTTTGATTTCTTCTAATTGTGAATCTACAGTACCAACTTAATGTAAGAAATCTTCATCGTTTAAACTTTAAAGCTCCTCAATAGGCATTAATTAATCCAGGTGCTATGAATGATATTTTCTTTTTATGCATTATGAACAAACGAATCTGCTATACTCCTAACAATTTGTACAGAAACAAATAAAGGTCACTTTAGAATTATCGTGCTATCTACATATAAGGTATCCATATTCCTAAGGCTATTGAACCTAATAATTCTAGTATATCATATTTGGGTAAGCATTTTGCATTTACATTTATTATTATTCAATTGGATTTCTCACAAAATTAAAGGGAGCACTTTGCTAAGCAAAATTAAACTTTTATGAGGAGTATGATTTAAAATTATGTTATTATAAGTTAGCATTTTGAGACATAAACCTTGGTTAAATATTTTAATTTACTTGATTCACAAAATTTTCTGGAATGATAGGCTAATCTGGAAGATTTTGTATCATTTAAATATTATTTTAGTTCACATAATTTTCAGCAAACTAATCTTAATTTTTTTAATAATCAAGTAACTACAATTGCTATTGCTACTATTCTAACTACATTGCCTAATTTTTCATTCTTTGCGTTTAATTAATTGGGACCTCACTAATGTCAAATGAGTTGCCTTATTGATTATTCATCAATTAATTTATATCCATTTTTTATAAGTTTGTATTTTTATTCAAATGTATCTTTTTTACTATTAATTAATTAATAAGTCTATTTATTATTAATATTTTCTTTATTTTAAAAAGCTATAAACTGAGTATTCCCATTTTAATTTTAGAATAAAATCAAAAATACACAAAATAACTAATTGAATATACTAACAAATATGCAAGCAAGAAAGAAACAAGATAAATTTGAAAATAATCATATTTTTAAAAATAACAACATTCTAATATGTTTGCTTTGTTTGTTTGTTGTGGTTGAGTATAATTAAAAAAATAATATTTTTTAGAATATCGATAATTCTCAATTTTAAATATGTTTATAGAAGTATAGCTAATCCTGTAATTAAAATATCACGAACTGAGTAGGTACAGATCGTGATATTTCATTTAATTTTTATGATTTAAAGCTAATTTTACACTTTCTATTTTTTAATTTTTTTTATAAACCTATTTTTATTAAATTTTGAAAATTTTTTTTGAAAATTGAAAACCTTTTGTCAAATTTTGAAGGTAAAAAATGAAGACTAAGGGTAAATAAATTTTTCTTACACATTTTCGAAAACATTCTATGTAAAAAAAGAATGTTTTGCGCTTCATTCATATTTGAATGAAAAAAGTGTCTAAACCTTCTATTTCTTTCTTTTTTCTCAATTTAAAAATCTTAATCAAATTTTATGAATTTAAAGCAAAAAAATTAATTTTTCACAAAAAATTAAAAGGCCTTTCTTTTTAATAAAATCACAGGTAGATCTGATAAATTCTGACAAATTAAAATAAAAAAAGCAAGAAGGCTACTTAGCTTTCAAATTTTAAATAAAATCTTATTGAAATTCCGCTGACATTAAGTATCCAGTCAGCGGAATTTCAATACCTGGATTAGCAATAAATAATAAAAAATACTTTTGATTAAACAGTGTATTAGAATATTTTTATTTTGATTTACTTTCAAAAGAAAACAAATATATTTATTCTCTTTAAATTAAACAAAATTTTCATGCAAAATTTAAAAATTTTCTTAATTAATTTATTTAATCATTCCTTTTTTAAAATAAAAAGAAAATAATTGAAAGGAATTTCTAATTGAAAATAATTGTTTTCATTTAGTATATATCAACGTATCAAGTATCACAAACACAAAATATTAATTTTTCATTATTTTACACAATTATTTTTACTTTTTTGTATTAAAATTTAAGATTAACTTAATTAAAGTGAGAAGAAATAGTGAAAATATTTTTTTTTAAATAAAACATGTTCTATGCAAATAGAAATTTATTTAATTTATCAAAGTTAACAATTTGTTTTCAATTTTCAATAAAATTTTCGATTTAAAATAACAATAATTTATTATTTATTTGTTTGTTTACTTTAATAAGATAAAAAAATATTATTAAAAATAATTATTAAATAAAACATTAATTTTTATAGAAAAACATAAGCACAAATAAATATTGATTTAATTATTTTTGGGTTGCTGGTTTTGTGCATAAATTATAATTACAAAGTGAAAAGTAGTTAAAAGAAAAGATATGTATTTGGTGTTTATATTCAGATTTGCATCTAGCTGCATCAAAAAAAGAATGATTAATGTAGTGTCCTATATATTTCCATATGGTTGCAATTATTTAATTTTTTAAATTTTGCGGTAGATCAAAACAAAATCTAAATTTTTTGTTTTTATAGATAAGAGTTAATAAGATTTAATATAAAAGTTTATTAGCAATAAAGGTAAATAAAGATATATTTATTATTTGAAAAGGATAAACTCAATTAAATCCAATTTTTACATATTTAAAATCTTCAGAATACCTAACTCAACCAGCAAGCAAGCAAGCAACTAAGCAAACACTCAATAAATAAATATTTAAATTAATAATAGAAAAAGAATTGATCATATCTCATGAGCTAGCAAGTCACTTAATCGGAATCTAAATAGGAAACATAGCAAAGCAAATTCAGCAAGATCGAAACTACATCAGAGTAATTCGAAGATTAAATAAGAAAGAATAAAGCAAAGCTATCTGAAAACGACAGAATTAAGATTTTAGTTGTTAGAGTTTGTGAAGATAGCCCTAAAACATTTGTGTTGTCAATAAGAAAGTTGGCTGATTAAATTATTGAATATGCCCAAAAACCCGAAAAAGTAGAATACAAAGATGTACTAATCAGATATTTCGTTGATTCAGTATCCCTTTTGTCATTTAAGCAAGCAGTTTATGCAACCGTACTTTCTTTAGTTTTCTTAAAGTCTAAGAGTATTTTTGATGAACTACTTAAAAGAATCACTGACTAGTTCCAAAAGAGTCTTGATAATGGTAAAGAAGCAATTTCATATTATAATTATTGACTCATTTTTATTGTCATCTATTTCATTAAATTTCCTATTAAATGATCTAGATTGAAACAAATAAAATTGAAATTCAACAATAAAAATAAAATACAAAGAAACTAAGACTTTTTTTAACACCAACAATAAATTTAAAAATCATTTCAATCAAACTCATCTTTGTTTGATACTAAAGTTCTTTTAAAAAAAAAGATTTTTTCTTATGACAATTTATATTTTCAATTATTATGAATAGATAAATTTAAAATAATTCAATTGATAAATAAAAATAGGTGAAAGAATTAAGTCTAAGAACATTTTGATATTTTTGGGAGAACTCATGAACATTGGTGTTGTTAATGGATTTAATTACAGATAATTAGTTGTTTAAATACTAGATCAATGTAAGTAGCTAGAAAATTAAGAAGAAAGAGAATATTATCTTTCTATTGTTGTAGGAAGTTTGGGATATGTTTAAGAGTACTTGATGAAAAAAATGGGCCATGAATATGAACAAATTATTAAAGAAATACAAAACTTAATGAAGAAAAGAGATACTTCTTATATCTAGATATTCAAGAATAAATATAATAAAGACAAAGATTATGATAGATTGTAAATGTTGTGGCTAAGCATCTTGCGTGATTTAGAAAAGTCTAAAAAGCATTCTTCTAGCTCTAATGAGACAGTCGATGTCAATTAAGATCAACATCCTTCTTTAAAGAGACCATATTTACAGTTTTCAAATGACTTAAAGAATATTGAATAGCCAGAATTTTCTTTTATTGTAGAATTTAAGAACAGAAACAGCTCTAAGTGTGTTTATTAATCTCCTTTATTCAGCAGCACAATCTTAAAATATGATGAGGAAATAGAGCGTCTGAGAGAAGAAGAAGAGCAATAAAGAGCTGATGAAGAAGGCGAAGAGGAAGAAGAAATTGAAGAAGAATTAGATGAAGAAGAAGACTATGATGATGAAGAGGAAGATGGAGGAAGAGGTTCTAAACCAAAAAAATCTAAAAAATCTAATCAAAGTACTATTAAAAAAAGCAGTAAAAAGAAAAGCCCAAGAAAATTATATGGAATCACAACAGAAAGACTAATTTTCCATGAAAACAGTTTATAAACTATTTAACTTTTTAGACAATCTAAAAAAAATTTATTTGAGTAAATTAAAATGCTTGTAAGAATGTGTGGAGAAGAAACTTAAACTTAGAAATAAGAAGCTGAATTTATTTTTAATTCATTTGTCGATTTGTTATTTGTCGAAAGTGTGAGAAGCAAAAATGGCACTCTTGAAGATCAAATAGCTTCTAGAGTTTTATATTTCAGGTAAATAATTTTGATTTATGATTTATTTGAAAGAAGTAATGTAATTGTCTTTTTATCTTTCAGAATTAGAAAGTGTGTTTGAGCAAAATACAAATTAAAGCTTTTTTTTATTATAAGAAAATATTTCTCCAAAATAAAATGGATGCAATTACTTTCTTTCTTTCTTTTTTATTTGTTTATTAGAAAAAAATAATTTAGATTAATTTAATTTTCATTTACATACAATTAGTTCATTGGCAAATACATTGCATTCTTTGAAGAAAGATGAAAGTGCAGATATTATTTATGATGCTTTTAATGAAGTTTACCGCCATTTAAATGAATATACAGCTGATTCTGTGGAGAGTTTGGCTGAGTTCATAAGCCATGTTTTAAGTGAAACTCATTTATCATTCCCATGGGAAAGAATTACTTTGGCTGTTTCTAAGTAAGAAATTGCTTCATCAGTCAATCCTTAAGTTCTCTTATGGAGAGATATAATTTACAAATTGTGTTTACTTTGTGGCAGAGAAAAAGTTGAAAATGCTTTGAAGGGAAGCAACGGCTAAGACGAAACTCCTGCTAACATTTTACTATAATTCCTTACCCCTATCTAAGTTAAAGAGATTATCAAAACTAAATATTAGCAAGATCCTTTAGCTCAAAGATTCATGGAACTTTTAGTTCAAAAGAAAACTCATGAAGAAATGGGCGAAGAAATCAACGAGGCTTTGAAAGAAGGAATTGACGATGAAGGTGAAGATGAAAATGAAAAGAAAAATTTTGTTATCAGTGTTTTCTTGGAATGCTTATTTTTCAGATCTTGTGAGACTTTCACTCACTTAAAAATCTTGTATGACAGATATGCTCCTTTGTTGAAAAAGTTATTAGAAGAACACGGAGAAGTCTTTTAAAACGCTCTTGTAAACACTCTCCTATTATTCTGGTAGAATAACTCATCAAATCTTGAACATTATTTGAAGAAATTTATCTCTAACAATTTTATTACACCATAAATTGTTGCTTCTTCCATCTTCGAACACTTAAAAGAGCTGAAAGCTTCCTCTGCATCTGTAAGATAAGTTCATCAACTCTGGCTCTTCTTGAGAAGAATCACTTTTAATATTTTTGATACATTCCACAACTACACAGAAGAAGTTAATTCAAATATATATCAAGGACAAGACGAAGAAGAAAAAGCAGGAGAAGTTGAAACACTCTCTTAAAAATTAGAAAAGGCTAAACAACAATTAACCGAACTGCTTGAAATTATATTCAGCCAATTTGAATCTATATTTAGCGAAGTCACAGCAGATGAGATAAAAGATAAGCAATACGACACCTATTTCTTGTACTTTTACAGAAAGTATAAAAAATTTGTAGATTGGGAAAATACTTATCAAAGTTAATTTAGCTCATTTAAAAATATTCCATAGAATGTTATTCAAAGCTATAGAATCTGAAATTAATATATTTATCTAAATTAACGTTACAATAAATATTCTTTCATAAAACCACTGTATATTTTTTTAATTTAATCTATCTCATAAATTTTATTCACATATTTATCATATTTATTTTTCTTAAAAATTAATTTTATCTTTTCAAATTTAATTTTTGATGGATTATAGTTTACAATAAATATTATTAAATAAACATCTAATTTTAAAAAGTAATTTATTTATTTATTCTATTTAAAAATAATCAAAATATAATAATTAATTTTAATCCATTTCCTTTATTAACAGCAGATACAGGAATACAATTATTATTTTTAGCGTTCAAAATAATTTAAAACATATAAGTGCTACATGTAAAGCAAATATAAAAAGTAACAATTAAATTTACAATTTTACAATAGGTTTAAATGCCAAGATTAAAATAGTAATTTTTTTTCTAATACAAATTAAATATTTTTCAGTAATTTATTCTCTTATCACGTTATCCACAAGAAAATAATTCGTTTAAGTAATATTTGTTTATACTATCTTAAAAAATATACCATAATTATGCAGGAATATTTATATATCTCATCTTATATAATCTGATAGATAAAAAGGTTTAATGTTTACATTAATCTTAATTAAATCTCTGATCAGCATTTCAATTTCAAGTATTAAATATTTTTATCTATTTCATAGGTCAAATCTAATCAAATTTTATTGTTAATTTGATAAGTTAATAAATACCTGACCAGGTCTCTTAATAAATAAATTTGCTATTATTTATAAAAAATAAAGAAAGTATAATTTTATTTAAATAGTGATCGCAATTTTTATTTTAAATACTTAATAATAAATTTAAGTTAATAATATTACAAAAGTATAAAAAAAGAATTTAAGCTATGTTTAAACCTAACTTTTTAGTTTTATCTAGAATATTCATCATTCTTGTTGGTATGATCAAAGCAGGCTACTCTTTTATGTTAATGAGTAATTATACAAATACACTTTTTTACAAATACACTGGAACTTTTTTTGCTGGATATATCTTGACTTTATCTTTCTACAAACTCATTTCAAGGAATCTTATTCTCTTATTTGCTGAATTTCTCTACATTTTGATGATGATTATAATTCCATTCTCTTCTAACGACTTCAGAATTTATGGGTACTTGTTTAGTGGTGGTTTTTGCTTTTTACTTTATCCATTTTATTTTAATGAAAATTTATTAAAATGTGATCAAAGAAAATCTACCATTTTATCATGGATTTTCATGGGATTAGGAGCGATATATTTTTTCTGGCTAACTTACCATTATCAACCTAAATATAATTTCGATACAAATGTTTGGACCATTTTAAATATTTTAAGTTAGTCTGATGAAATTACTCCTTATGTCTTTGGTAGTTTCTCAGTACTGAATATTTTGCTTATCATATTTTAAAAAGGCAAGGAAACGATTTCATTTTATAGACTTAAATAAGATAAAGAAAAAATAGTTGAACTCTCTAGTTTTCTCTATAAAAAAACTTATATTGATAAAATTGAATAAGAGTTTAATATCGATGATGTAGAAAGCACAAACAGTCTTCTTTTATATGATAATAACAATTAAAATGAAATCAATAAAAAAGAAAAGTAAAAGTTTTTAATCTAAATGTTCTCTATAGCTTTTTTGATTGGTTTTCAATATCCCTTTGATGGCTTAATTTCCAATATTATGCCATTTTTTGAAATAATTTAAGATGAATAAGATTATATGTACCTAAAGGTAAACTTCGGTTATTGCTTATCGTATTAATTTGTAATATTAGCGGTGGTATTAGTTAGTATCTATTTGATTAGTGAAAAAAGAAAAGTAGTGCTATTTATTAGTTTGGTAATTGTTCAAATCACTAACTTTATTTTTTTAATTTATTTCATTAAAGATATCACTAGTGATTTTGATTATAATGTTTATAATTGGAGTTGTCTGATTAGGCTTCTTTTTAATTTTGGAGTAATAGGATCTATGATTTTCACTTAACCCTTTTTAGTCTTAAAAATCCATGAAATACTAATCTATTTTATGTTTTTATGGATTGGATAAATGCTACAGCATGTATTTGTGTAAAATTCCTACGAAATAAATGATTAGTTAAAAAAGAATTACCCTCCAGAAATATTAAGTATACTTGCAAATTTTATAGTGATGATACCTTTGGCATATTTAAAACATTTTTGATACCGATGGCAGCAAGAAATAACAAATATTATGAAAATTTGATAATAAATAAAGTTAAAATATTTTGAATTTATATAGCATCTGTCTATCTATTTATATAATTTTTAGCAAAAATAATTATTTATTATTTACTAAAACAAAATTTAATTCCTAATTCTGTTTATTGCTTATTGAATTGAATCACATACCAATTTACTAAAAACACGTTATTTTCATTAATTAATTTTTACTTTATTAATAAAAAATATCCAAAAAAAATTATACTTTATAAATTAATAACAAGTAATATAATTAAAAAGTAATAAATCAATTAATTAATTAATTAAATTTTACAAACTTATATATCTATATATGTTAATGTATTACTTTTAGTATCTTAGAGATATAGAGTTAAATGCCTTTTTAATTTTTAATGTTTCCCTCATTCCTATCAATAAAATAACTATTGGCTTTTTCTTTAAAAATATCACTTACTCTATATATTTATCATAAAATATTTTTTAATTTTTATTTAAAATAAAATTTACAAAATTATTAACATATTTAAAATTTTTATTTAATAATTAAACCATTTTTAGATAACTAACGTCTCAAGTTTTATCATAAAATTTAAGAAACTTGGTACAGGAATATTGGTGTCACATTTGTTCTATGAATTCTAAATTATGATCAACGATAATGATCTCATCTCGCCTTTACTCTAAAATCCAATAATTATTTTTATTATGTAATTTATTTGAACTTAGCTTGCAAATATTTTAGGGTTATAAAATTTTATATTGGTATTATGAACTCTAAAGTTTTATTTTTAAACAGGCACAAAACATACTAAATTAAATTTAAAAATTACGAGGTAATTTGGTAATTTATGGACTATAAAAATCAAAACAATCAATATTAAAAAGAAGACTAAATTTAAATAGAGCGTCAGAAATTATTAATATGTCTCTATATGTTACTTTTTTTACCGATTAATTAATATATTATCAAAAGATTTTCAAATTTTGAGATAAAAATGACATAAATAATATTTCTATAAAACTTTAATTTATTTTGAATTATTTATTAACTAATATTTTTTTAAAATAGAACATAGAAAAAATAAACTTATTTTAAAGAAATTAGCAAGCAAAAATCTTCTTATTAAATATAATTCACATACAAAAAAAAATGATGAATCAAATTTAATTATTTATATCTATCTTTATTTTACTATGAAATTTTTATTAAATCAAATTAAGTTATTTATTATTTTTTGTGTAATATCAGGAATATAATAAGAAAGATAGAATAACCAGAAGTAATGTAATTATACTTAATATCTAAGGACAGTACATCAATTCAATACCATTTTCTGTAAGTGAATTATGAATAAATGCATATTAAGCTATATTTCCAATCCAAAAAAACATAAAGTAAATAATTATCTCATGAATTTTTAAGACTTAAAAGGGCTCTGTGAAAACAAAAGATCCTAATCCTCCTAAATTAGAAATTAGTATAAACAGCAAAATAATTTATGAATATTCAATTTAATTGTTACTAAGATCATTTTTATAATAATATGCTAACAATTAAAATCTTTGTATTAAGACAAAGAATATATTAACAAATAACAACATTTCTTTTTTTTTAAAAATCACGTAGATTCCAAGTAACACTGCTGCAATTATTATAAATTAATATGAGGAAAAATTACCAAAGTTTATTTTTAGATTCAAATAATCAGTATCTCCTTGAAGAAGATACAAATAATTCATAACGGTATCAATTAAGTTACTCATAGGACCTTGGCTTCCAATAAAAAAAGATAATGAAAACATCTAGATCAAAAGTTTTTATTTATCTTATCTATTCATTTCGTTATTATTGTAGATCCCATATAAAAGGAGACTACTTGTGCTTTCAATAATATTTATATTAAACTCATTTTTCACTTTATTGCTATAAAAATCGCTGTAAAGTAAATCAGATATTTCAATGATTTTTTGTTTGTCTTGTTTCAATTTGTAAAATTAAATGGTTTCCTTTCCTTTTTAAAGCAAGATAAGTAAAACATTCAAGACTGAGAAAGTACCAAAAACATATGGAGTTATATTATCAGTTGACTTTAAAACACTTAAAGCACCTGCAATTTTCCATTAGAAATTTTCCTTAAGCTAGTAGTGGTAAGTTAGCCAAAAATAATATATTATTCCTAATCCCATGAAAATCCATGCGATAATAGTTGATTTTTTTTAGTCAGCTTTTAGTAAATTTTCATTTGAATAAATTGGATAGAGTAAAAAGCAAAATCCGCCACTTAACAGGAACCCATAAATTCTAAAGTCGTTAGAAGAAAATGGAATTATGATCATCATCAAAATATAGAGAGATTCTGCAAATAAGAGAATAAAGTTTCTTGATAAGTTTTTATAGAGTGGAAAAGCCAAAATTGATCCTACAAAAAAGGTTACAAGATATTTGTAGAAGTTAGAACTTTCTTCACTAAATATCAAAAAGTTATAATTTAAGAAAATCATCAAAGAATAACCTGCTTTGATCATACCAATAAGAACTATGAATAGTCTGGATATAGCTAAAAAACTAGGTTTAAACATTTTTTAGTTCTATTTGCTTTCTCTTTTTATTTGAAATAATTAATTATTTTAAATTATAAATTTTATTGGTTTATAAATATCATTACTAAAAAAATAAATCATAGGTTTTTAATTGATGATTAAAATTTATTAATTTAGGAATATTTTCTTTAAGATTACCTGATAACAAACATACTTTTGAACATTAGATGTATAATAAGATATGACCAGTCATGCTAAATAGATCAAATACTTAATTTATTCTTTGATAATCTAGATTAGAAATAGACAAATAGATAAAATTGGTAAGGGATGATCAGATTATTTCATCAAAAATAATATAAAATTAAATCAAAATATTCATATTAATATCAAGTTTTTTTAAAAGGTTTTTTTTTTTTTAAAAAATTATTCTAATAAAACAAATTTATAATAATAAATATTTAATATAAAATATTTTTTAATTATCCTTTCCTTTGTTTAGAATTAAATAAAATAAAATATTCATTTTTTTAACTGTTAATATTAGAAAATACTAAAAAATAATATTAACTAATTAAATATAAAATACAATAAAAAATTTTTTGTATTTTTTTAAATTTATTATTTTAATAGAAGAATTATTAATGAAATGTGTCATGGAATATCTATGAGTTTGTTTTTTATTAAAATATATTTAGAATTTTTTTATAAAATTATTTTAAAATTTTTTTCTTGTGTATAATGATTTTGATTTAATGTTTTATTCTTCTTCTCATTAAATTAATATTTAGATAGATAAATAGATTCAGTACTTTTAATTTTTTTATAGAAAATTATTTTACTAAATGCCTAACTGATTTTCTTCTTAATTTTTTTTAATCATTTTTTACAAAATAAACACAGATAAAAAAATTTTAATAGCTAAAAAGATATATTTTTAGAATTGTATAATGATCAGTAATTTAGCTCTACACTACTAATATTATATGATATTAAGAAACTATAATTTTAAATCAATAAAAGTTATTAATTTTAAAAAAGATTTGTTGGTTGTCACCCTCAAAAATTTATTATATTGATAGTATTGTTGTAGAAACAAATAATCTAATGATTTATTTTTCATAAAATTCATAGAGACGCAATTCAATAAATAAATACATTATCAAATATCATATAAATATCATCCACAAAGAGGATTAAGATTTTTTTATAATCTAATTAATAATAAAATCAAACAATTTTTGATATTAAACTCTAAACAATAATTAAACCTAAAAAGAAATGTTTAAGCTAAGAAAATTAAAAGCCTAAGACTTTTAGCTTATCTCTGATAAAGTGCCAGCTACTTTACAGAGCATTGAATATAAATGCTAAATCATAAATAACATTCTTAATATAAACTTATCCTAAACTTTCATTAGTAAATCAATCAATGAATACTCTTAGACTGTTTACTTTTTCCCAATTGAAGAAGGGGTTTGCTTAGAATCCTTCGAAGCTAAATATGATTAAAAAACCATCAAAGGTATTGTTAAAGATAAAACTGAAGCCAAAAAAGAATATCATCAAAACAAGAATTAAGGGAATTTTGTTTCATATGCTCAGACTTAAACTATCAAAGATCAAGATTACTGCAAAATTCTATTAGGAAACTTACCTCCAAATAAACATGTAGAAATAACTCTCGTTTTTACTTAATAGTTAAGCAGTATGTTAAATAAGTATTTTATTGCTAATATTCCTCTGATATACTGCGAAGATGAAGTTTCAGCTAAATTAGGTAAGAATGCCTTAACACTTGATCTATTCTGCACAGGTAAAATCTCTTATGCAGAGTCTAGAGGCTATCCAGTAGAAAAAATAATGATTGATGATAACACTGCAAGATTTAATCTAAGTCATGCTCTTTTGTAGAAAGACATAGATTTCTAGCTTATATTTTCTTATGAAGGTATGTTTGATCCTCAAGTAATTCTAGGATCTAGCAAAATATTTCACTAAGACTCAGTTAAAAGCGCTATCCTTCCTGTAAGTCACTCTGCAATGGTTTCATTTGTTCCTAATTTCAATGAAGAAATAACAAAAGAAATAGATGACACTATTAGAGCTGCAATAAATAATGGAGATAATATCCTAAGTGATGAATTTTAACAAAAATTAAACTAAGAATTAGTTGATCACTTGAATTCTTCAAGAAGTGAATTTATCTTCCTCTTGGATAGAAGTGGATCAATGAGTGGCTAACCTATTGATAGAGCTTGTCAAGCTCTTACATTATTCTTAAAAAGTCTTCCAACTGATAGCTACTTTAATGTTATCAGCTTCGGTTCGAGTTTCAAATTACTATTTCCTCAATCAGAAAAGTACAATAGTTAAAGTTTGGAAAAAGCCATTTCAAATATCAGTAAATATAAAGCTGACTTAGGTGGAACTGAAATTTATAAACCATTAAAAAATGTATTTGTACAAAATAAGATTCAAGGATATAACAAACAAGTATTCTTATTGACTGATGGTGAAGTAGATTCGCCTGAATAAGTTATAAGTCTTATTAGAAAGAATAACAAGTTTAGTAGAGTTCATTCTATTGGTTTTGGTTCAGGAGCAGACTAGTATTTAATAAATTAGAGTGCAATAGCAGGGAAAGGTATTTCAAAAATTGTTGACCTTAAATGTGATTTATCTGAAGTTATAATTAATATGCTCTCTATGTGTATAACTCCCACATTTGATGATTTCAGTATTATGTATGATAAATCCGTTTTCGAATCTACATATCCTTCTAGCACAAATTTTCCTTGCGTTTTCAAGGATGAAATAATTAATATTCATTTCTTTTTCAAACCTCTAGTAGATTTGGCAAGCTTGACTGATGAATAGAAAAGAATTTAGATTGAATATTACGACTCTCGCAAAAAACAAAAAATTTAGAAAGAAATAAAGCTCGAGATGTAAGACAGCTTTACATGTAATCCTCAACTACAATAGTCTGTTTTTAAAATTGGAAAATAATTGTATTTGAATGAAAATCTTTCATTATAAAATGATAATAGTTAATAATTAGTTTAGTAAGCTATCGACTACCAGCTTCTTACTCAAAGAACAGCTTTGATATGCGTAATTGAAACATTAAATGATGAATAAAAAATCATGTTTGAAAACATAAGCCATAACAAAACTTATGAAAATTCTAGATTTGAAAAAGATGATTTAGATAGTTAAGATGATGATGAAGAAGAAGAAGATAAAGATTTCAGTTAAATGAAAATCATGAAAAAATGCAAAGTTAGGGATATGAATCAAAAATTGTCGTCTTCTATAAAATATTTGCCAAAAAATAAAATTTAGAGTCCATCATTTAACACTTCTTAGCATATTTAGCATTATGAAGATTAATCTTTCAAAAGCATTTCTAAGCCTTAATCTGCAATTGATTGTAAAATTTTAAAGTCCAATTTAAATAATTAGATTTCATAAAAATGTAAAGAAGCTTCAAGCCTTCTTGATGAAGTAGAACCTAGAAGAAGAGCTATGAAGAAATCTAAACAAATGAATTCACTAGAAGAAAATAGTTGTGAATCCGAGTAGAAAAATTAGTTTGTAAATAATTTAAAAAATATTGAATCAGGTTCAGATGAATCTAGTAGTGAAAGTGAAAGTGTAAGTGAATGTAGAAAATTCGCATTTTAATCAAGTACTTAACAAAATAAGAAAGAAAAAAAGACTAAATCCAAAGAGTTGAAAGATGATGAGAAATGTAAAAGAGTAGATTAAAATAAATAATAAAATATAACTTTACCAAAGCTATAATATCAAACCACTCATTCCTTACTAAAACTTGAAGATTTACTCAATTTGGTAAATTCTGAAGGAATTTGGTAATTTGATGAAAATTTAATTACAAAACTATCTCAAATAGATTTAACTAAAGTTAAATAACTCACTACTTCGTTTGCAACCTGTGATGCTTTTATGACTTTATTCATATTAGTAATCCTTGAGAATAAATATGGCCAAGAGAAATCCAAATGGATTCTTATCTCTAAAAAATCTTTAAGTTTTATTAAATCTTAAATTAAAGAAGAAGGAGACTTTAACCAATTAAAATTATAAATTCAACAATTATTATAAATTTGAGAATTTATTATTAAATATATATTACTTACTCCATTCATTAATAAATATTTATTTTAGCAAATACTTTACCTAAGAAAATAAATAGCATATGCTAATTAATTTGTTACACTATGTTAAACTTTCAAAATTTATTATTTTTCTTCTCATAATTTGTGATTTAAATTTTATTTCTATGATCTCATAAATTTATAAAGCTTACTTTCCATTACTTTATCTCCTTTTTCTCTTTTAAATAAAATGAATAAAATACTTAAATAAAATTATTAATTTTTATTAAATAAGTGTAAATGATATTAAAAATTATTAATCTTTGTTAAAAAAGAAGAATAATTTAAATAAATTATCAAAAATTTATTAATCTATTTTTTATAAGCTTTCCTTTTTTATAACTAAAAATATTAAATAAATTGAAAAGATATTAGACCCTACAAACAAAACAAAGAAAGACTCAGAATTTAGTTTTTAGATAATTTGTTTTAATTTTTTATTGTAAATTTTATTAATTAGAACTCCTTTAAAACTGAACATAAATAAATATGGTTTTATTTTTTTTTTTAAGGAATAAACAATAAGACATAATTCAACTTATTAAATTTTTAAATATAATTTACAAAATAAAAATTAAAAAAATTAGATATTAATCAAATTAAGAATATTTATTTATATCCTTATTTTAAAGTGCATTTTTATTCCATCTAATTAAGTTTTTTTTTTTGAAAAGCTTCAAATCAAAAATCTTTTAATTTCACAAAGGTATCCTTATTGAATCTCTTAAAGAAGTAAAAGAAGCTGATAGATATAACAATATATACTTACTTACTTATTAATTTAATTTATTATTTAAATTGATGGTGATAGGTGAATGAATTTAGTTAAATTTATTTTAAAAAAATACAATCCTTAAATTTTAATTTTTAATGATTTTAATATTTTTTTTATAAAAAAACATATTTTAATAAAATCTTTAACCCCTTTCTTTATTGTTGTTCATAATTCAGATAAAGCTGTTAGAAGTGGTGTCAGTGGTAAAAAAATATGAAAAACTAAGGAAAAAAATGAAATCTTTTAAATGATAGAATACTATGATGGGTTTTATATAAATGAAATTAGAGATAATCAGATGGATATAAGAAAGAAAGGGTCAAATTACTCCTTCCTTTTCATTTTTATAAAATTAAAAAGAGAGTTTGATAGCTGCTAATTAAATCATAATGTCTTCATAGAATTTGAATATTAATTGAAGTTTTAACAAAGTAAAAATAAAATAGATAAAACAAAGCTTTAATAATGTGGCAAATCTGGGCCTTGATTAAAATTTCTTAATTATCTCAATCAATATTATAGTGAGCTTGAAATAATAATATTATTTAGGATAATAATAGAAAAAACCTTTAAAATTACCAAATAATGTAAAGTGAAGTTATATGCTAATAAAATTAAATGTATAGAGTAAAAATCTATCTGATTTAGTTTTATATTTGTAGGAAACAATTTCATTAGCCTAAATATAGATTTTCAAATTATTTTGATTAATTTGATCTCCTTTACTTGGTGAAATAGATAAGGCAAAATTTATTAGAAATTTCTTTTTACAACAAAGAAAAATCTAAAATTTTTTCTATTTTATGAATAAGTATAATTATAAAATTAAGATTTCGATTATAAATAAAAATAAATTTTAAAAAAATTAGTAAATTAAATAATTTTATTAAAATGTTAAAGTTATTAAAATATAATATTGCAGCAGCAGCAGCTGGATTACTAGCGTTTGACTTTATTTACCCATAAATAGGAAAAAGAAGTAATAATAATTCGGAGGACAAAAATGTTGATGTTTAAAGAAGAGCTAATTTTCAACCATTAAAAGATTTAGAATGTAAATTTAGAGAGATATTTTTTGATTTTTATAAAATCGAAGGTACTAGATGGAAAGGACTTTTTTTTGGCTACTCAAATGATAATTATTGGATAGATGGTGCTGGATATTAATTATCTGAGAACATATTTACAAATCTAATCAAAACTACACACGAACTTCATAATATGTGCTTAGAAGCTACAGATAGAGTATTAAAAGATGATCTATTATTAAAAGAGGTCTTTGATATTCCTAAAGATATGTTTCCTATAATTCGAAAATCATGGGAAAATAGATAACTAGATTTGCTATCTCGCTATGACTTTATTTTAGGGAAAAATGGGTAATTATACTTTTTAGAAGTAAATGGTGATACTCCCTCTTGTATCATTGAAGCAGGACAAGCTTAAAAGCTATGGGCTGAATAGTTCTAACTTCTTTAGTTTAATAATATAGATTTTGAGATCAAATAAGGTTTGTAAAAGATTATGGAGTAGAATGGAAAATCAAAGCTTTTTATGCTTTATAATTCAAGCTAGGAAGATAAGTGTACTTTTAATTATTTACATTCTCTAATTAAACCTATATCAACAAATATTTCAATTGACATAAAAAACATTTCTTAAATAGACGATGTTATTGAAAATGAATTAAAATCAGATAACTTTAAATCAAGTATTATTTTGAAGCAATACCCTTTTGAGTGGTTAGCATCTGAGTCTACTTATAATTTTTTTACAAATCCTTAATTTTATGATAATAAATCATAAATAATGATTGAACCACCTTGGAAAATTATTATGTCTAATAAAGCTATGAGTGTGCTTTTGTATAACATGTTTCCCTAAAACCCTCATTTAGCAAAAGCTAGTCTAGGACCTATAAGATACGGAGGTAGCGGTATTCCTTAAGTATCTAAGTAAAAATATGGAAGGGAAGGAGATTCTATAATTCTTTCTAATTATTATAAAGGTGATTTTGAATCTTTCTAAACTGATTCTTACTAGAAATTTTCTTCAAAACCCATATTTTAAGAGTTTATCGATTCTGATCATCACTAACAAAGATACATTACGCTAAGCTGTTGGGTAATTTAAGGTAAACCTTGCGGTATAGTAATAAGAGAAGACCTGAATCCAATTATTGGATAAGGAAGCTCTGTTGTTCCTTATTATATTGAAAAAAAATAATCAGAAAATGAATAGTAAATATAAATAGATTTAATTACTGATACTACTCAGTCTAATATTAGGTAATCACTTTATGGAAAAGAAGAATTTAATTCAAATACTGACTTGATTAGATTACAAGAGAACATAACTGAAAAAAAGTAGTATGTTGACCCGTTATTTCAAAATAAAATAATCAGATAAAACAATTACTCCAGTTATTTATAGAAAAAAACTGTGATGAGCTCTACATAAAATAATTAGATGCACACCTAACTTTTTACTGATAGGCTTTTAGATGCATAATAGCCTAATTAAAATAAGACTACTCATAGATAATCCGCTGGATCTACAGGAAAGAAGTTTAGTCCTCATTCCTGAAAAAATATAAATAAAACTAATTTAATTAGCTTTTATCTATTTAAATAAATACCTGCGCTTTCTTAATTTTAAATAGAATAAATTTTTATAAAAAAATATTAATTCTTTAATTTACTTAGTTGATTATCCTTCTGAAAAAATAAATAAGTAAGTAAGTAAATAAATAAATAATATCTATTTTAGTTTTTGTTTATCAATTTATAATACCTACCTATTATTAGAATTAAATTTATTTCTTAATTTATTTTCTAAGTGGATTTTTCTTCTTTTTTTTTTTTAGTAAGGGTTATTATTTGATTCTCATATGATTTAAATTAAATGAAAATTTGTTTGAAAATGGTTAGATACACAATAATAATTGATTAATAACTTGTATCAAAGCCTACCTAGGAGAATATATTCAATAATCTAAAGTAAAGGTGAAGCTACTAAATATTGAATCACATTTATAAAATAAATTTACATAATTGATTTTATTAAAATATTTTTAATGTAAATAAAGTTGATTTATTTATTTTAATTTATAAAATTGTATTTTTTATAAAACATAAAATATCTCTTTGTTCAATTTATTACCCAATAGTATTTTAAAACAACTCTTTATTCTCTACAAGAATATATATGAAGCATAGAATTGAGCGACTTCCTTCTATTAAATACTAATAGGGGTTTCATATTCAATAAGCAGCACTGTGTGTGTATATGAGGGAGATAAGAAAGAAACTGTCAAATTAATCCTACCTATTAATTTTTATTAAATTAATAAGAGAGTTTGAAGGTTATGGAATTAAAGAATAACGTCAACCTAGAATTTGAATATTAATTGAAGTGTTAAAAACAATAAAAATAAAATAAAAAAAGCTAAGCTTTTAATAATATGGATAGTTAAGGCTTTCATTAAAATGTTTTAATTATCTCAATATATAAGTTATAGCGAGATTATTATAATAATATTGAGTATTTAGGATGATAATATAAAAAACCTTTTAAATTACCAAATAATATTAGTAAAGTTATAATCTAATAAAATTAAATGTGTTGAGTAAAACAATCTATGTTATTTGTTTATTATTTGTTAGGAAACAATTTAATTAGCCTAAATAAAGCTTTTCAAACTATTTTAATTCATTTGATCTCATTTGTTTGGTGAAATAGATAAGGCAAAATTTATTAGAAATTTCTTTTTACAACAAAGAAAAATCTTAAATTTTTCTATTTTATGAGTAAATAAATATTTTTATAAATTAGGATTTCAATTTTAAATCAAAAATAAATTTTAAAAAATATTAGTAAATTTAATAATTTTAATCAAAATATTAATGTTATTAAAATATAAAATACCTATTGCAGCAGTTGGATTAGTAGCCCTTGACTTTATTTTCCCATAAATAAAAAAAAGATTTATTAATTCTTTGTAGGACACAAATGTTGATGTTCAAAGAAGAGCTAATTTTCAACCATTAAAAGATTTGGAATGTAAATTTAGAGAGATATTTTTTGATTTTTATAATCTCTAAGGCACTAGATGGAATGGATATTTTTTTGGTTATTCAAATGATAATTATTGGATAGATGGTGCTGGTTATTAATTATCTGAGAAACTATTTACAAATCTGATCAAAACTACACATGAACTTCATAATATGTGCTTAGAAGCTACAGATATAGCATTAAATGATGATCTATTATTAAAAGAGGTCTTTGATATTCCTAAAGATATGTTTCCTATAATTCGAAAATCATGGGAAAATAGATAACTAGATTTGCTATCTCGCTATGATTTTATTTTAGGGAAAAATGGATAATTATACTTTTTAGAAGTAAATGGTGATACTCCCTCTTGTATCATTGAAGCAGGACAAGCTTAAAAGCTATGGGCTGAATAGTTCTAACTTCTTTAGTTTAATAATATAGATTTTGAGATAAAATAAGGTCTGTAAAAGATTATGGAGTAGAATGGAAAATCAAAGCTTTTTATGCTTAATAATTCAAACTGGGAAGATAAGTGTACTTTTAATTATTTACATTCTCTAATTAAGCCATTCTTGGCAAATATTTCAATTGACACAAAAAACATTTCTAAAATAGAGAATGTTATTGAAAATGAATTAAAATCAGATAACTTTAAATCAAGTATTATTTTGAAGCAATACCCTTTTGAGTGGTTAGCATCTGAGTCTACTTATAATTTTTTTACAAATCCTTAATTTTATGATAATAAATCATAAATAATGATTGAACCACCTTGGAAAATTATTATGTCTAATAAAGCTATGAGTGTGCTTTTGTATAACATGTTTCCCTAAAACCCTCATTTAGCAAAAGCTAGTCTTGAACCTATAAGATACGGAGGTAGCGGTATTCCTTAAGTATCTAAGTAAAAATATGGAAGGGAAGGAGATTCTATAATTCTTTCCAAATATTATAATGATTTTGAATTATTCTAAACTGATTCTTACAAGAAATTTTCTTCAAAACCCATATTTTAAGAGTTTATCGATTCTGATCATCACTAACAAAGATACATTACGCTAAGCTGTTGGGTAATTTAAGGTAAACCTTGCGGTATAGTAATAAGAGAAGACCTGAATCCAATTATTGGATAAGGAAGCTCAGTTGTTCCTTATTATATTGAAAAAAAATAATCAGAAAATGAATAGTAAATATAAATAGATTTAATTACTGATACTACTCAGTCTAATATTAGGTAATCACTTTATGGAAAAGAAGAATTTAATTCAAATACTGACTTGATTAGATTACAAGAGAACATAGCTGAAAAAACTTAGTATATTGACCCGTTATTTCAAGATAATCTAATCAGATAAAACATTTAATCTATCAAATTGTAGGAAAAAACTATGAGGCACTTTGCAGGATATCATGACTACTAATATTAAACTTAAACTCATGGCACTACTATGTTTTAATAATCTTAATAAAATAAGACTACTCATAGATAATCTGGCGGATCTACAGGAAAGAGATTTAGTTCTTCTTCTTGAAAAAATATTAAAAAAATTAGTTTTAATTAGCTCGATTCTATTTCAATAAAAATCTGCAATTTTTCCAAATTTACCTAAATAGAATATTAATTATAAAGAGAATAAATTTTTTTTTAATTATTAATACTTTAATTAATTGAAAAAAAATTATTTTTATTCAGTTTATCATCTTTCTGAAAAATAAATTAAAAAAAAAATATCTATTTTAGTTTTTTTATCTTATATTTACTTAATCTATTATCAGAATGAAATTTATTTCTTAATTTATTATTTTAAGTTAGTTTTTCTTTCATTTTATTTAAAAATTAAATATTTTTTTTTTCCCATAGTTTTGTTAATTTTATCTTTTTTATATTCATAATTAAAAAATATAGAAAAATTATAAAAAATTTATAAGTAAATTCACTTTAAAAAGGTATTAATTAACTAAAAAATTTTTATTATAGGTATTACTTATCAGAACTCACTAAATTTATCCTTTAATACTAATATTTATATTAATGGTTTCTTAAAAATTAAAGATATACTATTAATTATTTTATGGTTTGTTTTGCTTGATATTATGCAGTAATAAAATAGTTTGAATTGTAATATTAAAATAAATAAATAATTATTTAATTCAAAACTATAAGTTAATGGCTACATTTAAAAAAGAAATTAAAAATGTTTAAACCAAGTTTTCAAGCTATATAGTTTTGTTTATTTTATCTTTTTTAAATTCATTATTAAAAAACATACAAAATTACAAAAGATTCAATAAGTAAATTCAGTTTTAAGAGATATTAATTAACTAAAAATTCTTTTACCATAAGTATTTCTTATCAGAACTTACTAATTTCTGATACAATAAAAAGTATCTTAAAAGGGAATAAATTTATGCTTTAATACTAATATTTATATTAAAGGTTTCTTAAAAATTAAAGATATATTATTAATTATTTTATTGTTTAGATTGATACTTATGTAGTTATAAAACAGTTTGAATTGCAATATTAAAATAAATAAATAATATATAATTCTCAACTATAAGTGAAAGGCTACATTTAAAAAAGAAATTAAAAATGTTTAAACCAAGTTTTCAAGCTATATCAAGAATATTCATAATTCTTGTTGGAATGATCAAAGCAGGTTATTCTTTGATGATCTTTCAAAATTTTTTATTTCTTATTTATAGTGATGAAAGTATATAGTTTTACAAATATATGGCAACCTTTTTTGCAGGATCTACTTTGACTTTGTCTTTATGTAATAATTGGTCAAGAAACATTATATTACTGTTTGCAGAGTTTCTTTATTTACTTATGATGATCATTATCCCATTTTCTTCTAATGATTTTAGAATTTATGGATTCTTGTTTAGTGGTGGATTTTGCTTTTTACTTTATCCTCTTTATTTTAAAGAAAATTTACTAATAGCTGACCATAAAAAATCTACAATAGTTGCATGGATTTTCATGGGAATGGGAACAATATACTATTTCTGGTTAGCTTATCATTACTACTCATGTTATGAATATTAAACAATTATTGAAAATTTTTCATATATTTAAATACATTCTGATAAGATAACTCCCTATGTTTTTGGTTCTTTCTCAGTTTTGAATATTTTGCTTATCCTACTTTAAAAAGGAAAGGAAACAATTTTCTTTTACAAATAAAAATAAGACACAGAAAAAATATTTGAATTATCTTATTTACTTTACAACAATTCATATTGTGATAAAATTAAATAAGAATGTGATAACAATGATATTGAGATCGCAAATTCTTATCTTTTATCTGAGAGTAACAACAACAACAACAACAATAGCGAATTGAACAAAAAGAAAAAATAAAAACTCCTAATTTTAATTTTTGCAACAGCTTTTTTAATTGGGAGTCAAGCTCCCTTCAGTGCTTTAATTGATTCATTTAGAAATTTTTTGCTTTTTATAAAAGATCACAATGAATCTACACTAGAAATAACCTTTGGTAATTGCTTCTCATATTAATTTATAATACTAATTTCAGTATTACTTGGCATATATTTGATTAGTAGATAAAGAAAAGGATTTTTATTTGTCTTTTTAGCAATTGTCTTAATAACTAGATTTATTATTTTCGGCTTTTATTATACAGATATTCTTAGTGACTTTTAAGCAGATACTTTAAATTTAGTTTTTTTGATCAACTTTATTTTTAATTTTGGAGGTTTAGGATCTATGATATTCACTTAGCCCTTTTTAGTCTTAAAAATACATGAGATATTGCTTTATTTTATATTCTTTTGGATAGGAAATACAGCTCAGTATTTATTTATGTATAACTCAATACCTCAAAGTGAATACCTAAAATTGAAGTATTCACCATAGATATTAAGTATAATTACATTAATTATATCTATTTTACCACTTAAATACTTAAAAACTATCTGATTTTTTTAATAAAAAAAATAACTTAGATTAAATACCATTAACATGTCAATATTTATTTTCATTTTGTTTAATTTTTTATTCTTGATATGTTTGTTTGTTTTGTATTAATTATTTTAAAAAATTTTTAAATTATTAAAAAAATTAATTCTTCATTCATTATTAAATTCATTAATTAAATTATTTTTCATTTTTGTTTATGCAGGCTTGTTATATTATTTAAATATTATATTTAATCCTTTATTATATCAGATATTTCCAATATATATTTTTAGAACTAATCTTGATTTTGAACATATACTTATAAATATCAGAAAATAACGATCTAAGTAATTATTAGTAAAAAAAATTTATTTTTATTTAGAGTAAAAAATATATTTCTTTATTAATTTTAAAAAATTAGATTATAAATTTGATATAATAAAGTATATTTTATATTTGAATTTAATCACCTTTTTAGAGATAATCAATTTTTTAAAAATATATGGAAACATTTCTAATTTTTAAGTTTTAAAATAATTAAAAAAAAATATTTCTAATGGAAAATATAAATTTGTTATCTTATTTAAAAACATTTAAATTTAATTTTAAAATATATTTAAATAATTAAAATTATTTATCAAACATAGAAGATTCATTCTATTTTTTAAACATCGTTGATGTAGTCTAACATATCTAAAAATGCTTTTAAGATTTATTTTTCACTTGTATCAGTAAGTCTCTTCTTTGATAAATTTAGCTCTTCTTCAATTTACTTTTTCAGACCTTTAATTGTCTCTTCATTTTTGTACATCTCTAAAATTTCTTTATAATTGTTTGATGTTTCTTCATTTAAATTTTCTGAATTTTTGTATGACTTAAGGAATTTCAATGTAAAGTAAATCACAATTGAGAAAAAGAATGAAATGTGATGATATTAGGAGTCTTAAGTAATTTATTCAATCAATTTTTGTTAATAATTTGGGTTCATCAAAATTCTTTCAATTAAATCTATTTGATATTAGAAAAATCCCTGTAAATCGTTATTTGTTCCAATATATGGGTATATAGTCAATTCATTTTTGCTTTACAAAACTTATATTGCTTTGTAAATATCCTCATAAACTCTTAAAAAGTTTTTAGGGAAATATTATGTTTCGTATTATTGCAGGAGAATGATGTCATCACTTTCAGTAAGCTTTTCATTATCCTTTGTTTTACAAACTTCTTAAGCATATTTCAAGAGATTTGATGGGTAGTGAAGACAACTTTTGCAGAATAATTCAATGTCTTTTATGAACATTTTCTCCCTTTCTCTTGCTTAAATTATAGTGATAATAATTTAGTGCATATTTTGTTTGTATACCTCAAAGTCATTTACTTTATCAAATATATTTATTTCCTTTATCTTAATATCTTCTTTATTCTCTTTTTCTTCTTACTTATCTGCTTAATCTATTTCATTATTAGCTTCTTTTTTATCTTTTATATTTTGAAGATCCTTTTATCTAAATTCAGGGAAGAATAATTCTAAGTTATTAAAAAAGACATTGATAAAGGGAGTAGAATCTATAAACATTTAGGTAGTATTCTATTATGCATCTGCAGATAAGAAAATTAACTAAGGTGATTACTTGGTAGCTTTAAAGAAAGCAATATGTTTGTGATAAAGCATGACATTTGAATGTAGAATTTCATCTTTTACAGCAAGTGAAATGAGTTAATAAGAGAGTGTAAAGAAATCATATATTCTGTATTATGGAGATATGATATAATCAATAGTGTAAGCAATAATACTATTTAATCTTTATCCATCATATGAGTTTAAGTTTAGTTTTCTTTGTGCAATCTTCATCTCTTAAAAGAAAGAAGTTTGTGTGTTAATTGTTATAAAGCTATTTAATATTGCTAATATTGAAGTGATCAAAACTTCTTTATTTTCTTTTCTTTTTTTTTCTGCTTCTTACTAACTGTCAGTTTCCTCAACTCTAATTGAATATTTAAAATTTTTTTCAAAGAAATCTTAAACCACGCTTTTGGAAAACATCTTGCGTTCAGAAAGAGCGATCAAAAGAGGTAATTGAATAACAAAAGATAGAGATAAACTGATGAAGCAAATATCTTTCTCATACAATTCATTAAGTTTTAAATAAGCTGTTAAGGTTATTTTACTAAAAGCTTAGCAGATATATGGAATAATCTCTTTAACTAAGTTTTCATCCTCCATCAAAAGAATGCCTTCATAAATATTGATGAAGCAAAGAAGGACCTATGGTTCTAAGATTTGCATGTGAATGGACTCACAAACTTGATCGATATTTGAAATGAAAAAATCACTTTTGTTTGGTTCTTTTTTGAATGAGATTGAATTTCTAATAAACATGCGATAAGAAATAATAAAATATTTGTCTATGATTAGCTTGTAAAATTTAGGAAGTATGATTTTAAGCATGTTTATTTACTTAAGCATTTCAAAGCAAATATTAAAAAGAAGATATATGACCTCATCGTTTTCCAATACTTGAGGAGGCTTTGTTTCTAAATATTCATTGAATAGGTCAAGAGGTGTAAATATTTCTTCACCTAATTTCTCTACTAAATGAATGAATACACTCATTAAAGAAACTTATTCTATCATCATGTGAGCTAAAGGTGGTAAAATAGCTTTAAACACTTCCTTGTTAAGTTATTAAATGAAAATTTTTTCTGATTTGAAAGTAAAGAAAATAAACTTGAAAAATCTCTCAGAAAAATAGCAACGAAAATATTCTTCGACCTTTATCAAGTTTCTTAGCAGGTTAGCAATATTTTGATCGATTTTTGAGTCAGTCAATTTAGAAAATACCATAATATAGTCTAAGATTGAAAGATCAGTATTCAACTAGCTCTATTTTAAGATAGTTAATCTCCAACGATAAAATTCTGTACTCATTTGTTTCCTTTCTAATTATAAGGCAATAGGCTTACTTAAAGTCTTTTAAAATAAGCGAGTAAAGAATACCATAGAACACTTGTTTAATTCTATGATTTCATTTATTTTATCAAAAATAAATCCTAAAAATGTATTAAGGTGAGCTTATATTGACTTTGTCTTATTTTATTACCCCATTACCGTGTTATACAGTAAAATACTAGCAGTATCAAATGCAATATGGAAAAAATCTTGAAAGAAACTTTCGATTTATTGCCACAACCTTGGATCTTTTTTCTCTTCTTCATCAAAAACTTTTACAAGATCCTAATATCCCAAATGCTTATTACAAAAGCTCTCTTTCTTCATAAAAGCCGAATCACCACAACAGCATCTAAATATTTCTTCATTTGAGGCTTGATGTCTGGTGTAATTGTGCCCCTTGTGCTTTTAAATATCGAAACAGTCCTCACAAACAGTTAAGTAAATACACTATTCTTCGCTTTTTTTATTAGATTTGGCTATTTCTTATCTCACTATGGAGCAATCAAGACATTCATAATAAGCAGCTCCACTTTTAAGATGCTAACTACAACAATCTATTTTTAGCATTTCTTCTTCACTCTTATTACCTTTATATTGCAGTCTTTCAATAATAGTTTAACCACTTTCATCCATTGTTGCTTTTATAAATAGCTGCTCAAATTTAAATTGCATGTTTGCAAGTTTCAATATGTCTATCTTGAAAAAATCTCTCTTGAACTAGTTTAGCAAATAATTATATGAAGATGAATTTAATTTGCGCTATCTAAAATAGTAATATGTTCCAGCTAAAGCAGCTAATCCTCCCAAAGAGTACAGCACTACTTTCTAAGTTTTATTCATTATCACCTATTTAAGAAAATTTATAAATTAATGTGAAATCTTTTATCAATTAATTAATTTATTAATTATGTCTAAATCTTTTAATATCTAAACTTAAATACGAAATCAGAATTTGATAAATCCTCTATCAGATTTTTCTATGGATATTCTATAAAACATTATAAAACTCGAGATAAAAAAAAAGTATTTAAATCACCAATTTAAAATATTTTGTAAAATTTAAATATTGAACAGGTATGTTGTAAAAAAAAATAATATATCAATTTTAAATTCAATAAAATAATTTCTTTAAAAAAAATCCTATCTTATCTTTAAAAAATTGGTAATTAATAAACGATTCATTCATTTTAAATAAAATAAATATCTAAAATTTTCTCAAAAGCAATAAATACTGTTAATTTTTCATAAATCAAAATTTTCGATATGATTCATTTTTGGAGTATTATAAAGAGTAAATAAATATAATATATTAACTCATATTTGCCCAACTTTTAGGACTAATAAATTTTCAATTAAAACTTTTATATTCAATTAATATTTTGTATATTTAAAAAAATTTTTTAAATACAAAGAATAAGAGTAATTAAAGTATTGTAGGATAAGCTTAAATCTAATAAACACAAAGAAATATTATTTAATTAATTAAAATATTTTTCTCAGATTAAATAAAATAAATATGAAAATTTAAAAAATAATTAGTATTTATAAATAATTTATTTCCAAAGTAAAAAATGATTGAATTTATAATTTCAAAAATAATTTATTAAGAGTTCATACATATTTTTTATAAATTTTTAAACAAATATCAATTTAATTAAAAGCTAAAACTTCACTTTCTTAAAGCTCTTAAAGTAATGAAAATAAGACCTGAAATAGCTACCAAACCTAATAATAAAGCAGCATAATGGTGGCTTCTTTTATTTGATTCTAGAGTAGGAGCGGTGGCAGGATCAGCAACAGATACAGAAAGACCTATTTAATAATAGTAAAAATAATTGATTATTTAAATAAATGTTAAAAATTATATTAATTACCCATTTAAAGGTTAGTGTAATCGAAAACTGAAACGAATCTTCTCATGAAAACATCACCCAACAAGAATTAAATATCGCTGCTAACTGAGTTGCCTTGAATACCAATAATGCAAGTATTATCTTAATTTAATATATAAAAGGAGGAAGGAAGAGCATAGTTTCTTTCAACACCATTAACATCAGTAAGGGTAAAAGTTAAATCAGGTAAAGTAGTACCGCACTTAACTGAGTAGAAGGTACTAAGTCCAGCAGGGATAGCTTTAAGGGTGGCTACAGTTTTAAGATAACTTATCCATTTTTTATAAACGTCATTTCTGATATAGGCTAAAGTTGTACCAGAATCAACAATACCAGTATTTTGAGAAGTAAGGGTGACAGATTAGTTTCCAAAAGAAACAGACTTAAAAGCAACTCTCCATCTTTAGCTGTCGTTGTGTTAACCATTCAAAATGATAGGATGGTAGTATATTTCAGAAGGATTAGCGAGCTTGCTGGTATCAACACCACCGATAACAAGTTCTGAATCACTTTGACCAAAACCGAGATAGAAACTGAATTGACTCTTAGGAATAAAACCTTACTTGAATAGTTTATTGACAAAAGCTACTTTATCAGTATCATTTTCATCATAGACACCAAGACCCATTAAACCATCAGACTTTTATGATTAAAGATTTGGATAATTTAAAAATTTAATTCAAACAATTAAAGAATTTTTACTTATAAGCCTTTGTTATTAACTGACTTCTCAACTAAAAGAAGAGCTTCAGTTACTGGACCTTTTCCTGCAATACTAATAGGAACTCTAGCAATGTGTCCTTTGACAGCAGCACCACCACCATATTAGACTTAGGCAGGGATATTAGTCAATGTGCATCCATCTTAAGCAGAGCAATCATAACTGTTTTTGAATCCGTCTTTCTTGATTTTAATTAAAAAAAAAACATTAATAAAAGAATTTCAAAAAAGTTTTGATTTTTACGACACAAGAAGGACAGTTCTTACTAGTTAACCATAAAAGATTGGATCCAGAATCAAAATCAACTGTGAATGTTTTTTTAGAGTTACCAAGTTAGATATCACCAGAGTACATTTAAAGACTATGGTTAATCAATTTATCAACAGCAATTTGATCTTAATCTTCTAAGAAACTGTTGCTCTCATTTGTATCTTGAGGGATTCTCTTTTGAATTGGAATTGTAATTTAAGAAGTTGCCAAGTTTATAGCAAGCAAAACTAATATGAAGGTACCAATTTATTTCATTTTGTTTTTTAGTTAAATCAATATTTATTTATAATATAAATATAATACAATAAATTAAAAGATTCAATCAGCTTTTAAATTATTGATTAAAAAGTCCTTTTTGTCTCTTCGTCATTTTATTTATTTCTTTTATATTTATGATAATTAAATCTTGAACAAAAACTATTAGAAAATTTCTTATTTCATTAAAGGACTAAAATTAAACCTTTGGTAAAAATTTGAATTTATCAACAAAAATATGCATGGCATGGCATAGTAAAAAAACTAGTTATTTATATGTTTTTTAATTTATTATTATTAATTATTTTTTTAAAAATAAAAATAATGCAACATTTTATTTTAAAAGTAAAAAAAATTTTATTGAAAATTATTATTATTTTCATATTGAAATTAAAATTAAAACAATCTTTATTTTAGTTAAAAATAGAAAAATTATTAATTATTATAGCTTAATAAATAAATTATTCATTTATATTGAAAAAAAATAAATGAATATAGAAAGAGAAGTCAAACAAACATCCATAAATATATTTTGTGGTCATTATGCATGCATATTTAAAGATAAATTTATCAATTTATTTATATAAGACTTAAATTATATTCTTAAATAAATTATACTTTTATAATTATTATTATAAAAGATTAAATAATTTAAACTGAATTTTAAATATATATTTTATCAGAATTTTAAAATTGAAAAATTAATAATCACTTTTTATTTTCTTATATTATCCATGAATGTGCTCATTAAATATGCATTAAAATAATTCTCTTTGCTAATTATAATATAAAATAATCTAAATTATTATTTATCAAAAAAAATATTCATAATTCTAAAATTGTAAAAAAATGTTACTAAAAAGCATAGTTTAAAGAAAAAGATATGAATAGAATATATCTGTTTATGATTTTTATTTTTAAATAAATTTATATACATAAAACTTTAAACTAAAATAAAAAATTTATGTTCATTTAAAAAATTAAAGTTTTAAAAAGGTAAAAATAAATAAATAAAAGTATTAGTTTAATATACTGTAAAAACTAAACTTCTTCAAGTTTGGCAAAAGCCTAAAACAGAGCAAGGACTATAATTAATTTAAAAGAACTTTCTTTTCTTAAATAAAATAAAATTTTCAAACAAGATTTTATGTATATTCTATTTAATTTTTTATTAAAATATTGAAACTATTCTATTTATTTTCAGACTAAACTTTCTAAGAAATGAAAATTAATTTTATTTGATCAACCATATTTTATTTATACTAAAAAAATTTTCAAATATGTTAAATCCTTAGTATTAATAATAATAATAATATATTTGCTTAAAAATAATAAATGACTATTTATTTTAATAAAGTTATCAAAAATAAAGATTATTTTTTATTTTTACATTTATTTTTATTATGCATATTTTTTATATTCAATTTTAATACTCTAAAAATGTATTTTAAAAGAAAAGTTTTAAATGATAAATTATAGATAATATGCTGATCTATTATAAATAATTAGGTATTAATTATTAATTTAAAATTTTTTATAAAAAAAATAAATTTGTAAGATATTTTATCACAGTTAATTTGAAATTTAATCATATTTATTAATGGTCTTTTCATAAATTTTTAAATCATTAATATCTTAAATTTAACCTCAAAAATATACACATTAACCAGCTCTTTATTATTACTATTAAATTAATTTTTTAATTATTAAAATCTGATTAAGTAATAAAATGAGTACTTCTATCTCTAAAATTAGCAACAAAAAAAAAATTTATTCATAAGTTAATATAGGTTCAATGTATATTCTTAAAAAATGACTGAAAAAAATCATAAACATTCATACTAAATAAATAGTTAAATGATTAAAAAGTTCAATAATTATTTTGGCGATTTATTGCTTTTCAAATTAATCCAATTCTTATTTGCTACTTTTTCTCAATTAAAAATACAGCTATAGGAATTTAAATAATTTGTCAGTTACCTCATGAATATTTTTTTCAAAATTTCTTAAAGAATTTTTGATAGAGAAATAAAATAGAAATCTTTACTTACCAATAATTTATTTTCTCTTAATTAAGCTTTCCATAAAATACTTCAAACATTCACTATTTTCATAAAATTAGTCAGAATTATATCATCTATTAAAATAAAACTAAAATATAAGTATTATAATTGATAAAAAAATCAATGTAAAATCTGAATTTACTTAAAATAGTTCTCTTAATCTACCTTGAATAGCTTAATTATTATTTACAACAAATATATCTAAATTGTTTGCAGTTCTTTCTAATTAAATTCAAAATACTCTTTAAAAAAACGAAAGCTTACTCCACTATATAAATTATGAGCAAATCATTTAACTCATAACTAAATTTCATAATTTTCCTTAATTAATTTTTTGAAGGTCTTAAATCAAAAAAGTAATTTTCCTTGTAGTTTTTAAAAAAAAATCAAGAAATAAATTTGTACAATTTAATTAAAAAGTAGCTTTAAGAAGTGTTTAATGAATGTTTTAGTTTCAATAAAAATAAAACAGTAGATTTATAAATTAAATTTAGATTTAAATGTTGACAAGTATTTCCATTAAAAATTATAAATTCCATAAACGGCGATTATTTTTATTCAAAATATTTATTTTTAGCCTTCTTATATTAAAGGTATTATTAGAATATAAATTTCTGTCTAGCTTTAAAGATTATTTTTCTTTTATACTTTTTTATCATGAACGAATTATTAAAAAAAATATTATTTTAAGCTTTAAGATCAATAATTAAATAAGATATTTATTAAATGATAGTTTCAATAAATAAATATTTTAGATAATTAGAGCAAACATCATTAAATTTAATTTCAATTAAGTTTTTTAAAAAAAAATATATAACTAATACAATATATTCAGTCTGATTATTTAAATTATTCAATTTAATATCTTTTGATTAAATTACAAAGCAAGAATAGTCAAAATAGTTTTAAAATAAATATTTTTGGATGCAAAAAAGATCAATTTTGATTTATAATATTAAGTTAAGCACTAATCTGAAAAACTAAAATTATTTGAAATAATAAATAAAAATAACTTTAATTTATTTAAAAATATAAGAAAAATATTTATTTTGAAATCAAATAAAGATTGAAATTGTTTGTGATTAATTAAGAATAAAAAGAAATTAGAAACGAATATTAATTTAAAATATCAATTTTTATATCATTTAGTCAAATTTTAAATGATATAAATAATTTCTATTTAAAAAGATACGAATTGTTAAAGATCAAGTTAGTGAAAGTTTTTAAAAATGAGTTAAGCAATCAACTAAATTTAAGGATTTAATTTTGTAAGTTAAAAGGTCTTTAAATATAATCAAAAATAAAGAAATGATCTCTTTTGTAATTTGATTTCAGATTAAGATTGATTAATTAATTGATGGTTATTTTTGATATTAATATAAGCATAATCCTAAATAATTATAAATTAATTGAATGGATTAATCAATATAATTTTATGATGTTTTTTCTGTGTTTTATTGGTAATAAATTTAGTTACTAAAAAATATTCCAAAAAAACAAAACAAAAAATGCGTTTTACTGTAACTTTCTAAATTAATATGGATAAATTCTTTCTAATAAATTTGATTTTGCTTGATTAAATTTGTTAACTTACAAATTCTTAGATTAATTTACACTAATTAAAAAGTATTTACGAAATTTATGAAAACTAATAAAGAAGTTTAATTCTTTAAAGATATAAATTTATTCTCGTTTTCTTATTTTTCTTCAACTATATTTCGTATTTTAAGTTGTTTAGAAGAAATTGTTTAATTTAAAAAATGATAAAAATATACCCTAAGAAGATATTTCAATTAAAAATAATTTGCATTTCATTCCTAAAAAAGTAAACAAAGCTTTAGGCATAAGCTTAGTGCTCTAATAAATCTTTTTATAAGATTTTATTGATAAAAAAAAGGATGATATAAGAGTAGCATTCTAATAACTTTAATTCTTTTTAACAGATTAAAAAGTAATCGCATTTTAAGAATAAATATTTTATCAGAAATAACCAGTTTTCTTAAGCAAAAATAAAAATAAATTATCCCTATAAAAAATAAAAGTGTGATTGAACTATGCTAATTATTTTGATTTTTTTAGCATCAATTTATGTAAATTCATTAAAATTTTTTTCTTTTATGTTTAAATATTTAAAATTTCAATTACATTTTTATGTAAGAATCCCTTTATGATTTTTTAATTATTTAAATGTTACAATAAATACTGATGGCAATTTAATTTGCTGATATCTTGTGCAGATATGTTCGATCAAAACGAATATAATTTATTGGTCATTTTTATCCAATTAAAAGTGAAATACTTGATTAATAATCATCAGATAAAAATATTTGTTAATTCAAGCAATTTAATTTTGATGGTAATAAATAAAAATTATGATGAAAATATTTACTTGCTTTACTTTTTATTTTCCACATAAAATAGCACTTGTAACTAATAAAGAGTAATCTTAATTTAAATTCAATAAATTATCCTTTAGATACCATAAAATATTCATATTTAGCTCCTTCATAACTAGATCCTATTTATAATAATGAACTTATAAACAAGTACTGAGGTTAAAATTTGACTTAATTAGGGAATTTCTTTTCAGACATTATGGTACTTTTAATAGATGAACTATCATTTATAAAAATACAATTGTGAAAAATCCAAAAAATAAATTTTCAGCTATTTTATAATGAATATTACAAATTCAAATACCATTTATTGGTGGTTATTTAATAAATAATTTAATTTATGGTAAAAATTTAATTTTGGTTTTATGCTTACCTTTATTTTCTATTTAATTTTATTTAGCTTCTGATTATCACAAATGAAATAAAATCTAATTCAAAAAAGACTCATTTTACCAAAAATCACTCAAATCAGAATTTTTCAGATTAATTTCTAGAACTTGAAACCAAGGAAAATCCATAAAATATTTATACCAATAAGACAAAGCTATTTATATTATCCTTCTAATCAAGTATACTATATAAGGAACTAGAATTAAATTTTATTATTAAATAAAAAATCTAAATTCTATTAGAGATTCATAAGGTATCTCTTTAAATTAATTATTATTGTCTTTTGAAAAGAACATTTTATTTCATTATTGTTTTGTAAAAAAAGTGTAATTAAAAAATAAATACTTAGTTGCAAAAATATGTTTTTTTTTATTATTTACATTTACATTTTTTAATTTTTAAGTTTAACCCTGACTTTATTTTAAGTCACACAATTTAACTCTGAATTGAATCTTAAGTAGAAATTACTTGTTTGACTATACATGCTTATGGAGTTCTATTTTGAGTATTTTTGTATGATGTTTAACTATTTTTGAACAAAAAGATAAAAATTGTCATCAGAAATTAGTAATTACTTTTTAGAAATGATAAGAAATTTGTAGGAATTTGATATATGATAAATGTTAAGGAAAAATAGATTATTTTATAAAATACTATTTATGGTAAAAAATAGCAAATTTAAACATAAGGTAAATTACAGTTCATAACACTTCAAAAGTAGGTAATAAGATACTTATAATAAAATAAAGACTTTCCATATACTGTTTATTTGCTTAAATACTAAGCTCTTCGATTGGGTAAATAAATAATTATAATTAATATAAAAATAAAAGTTTAAAAATGAATAAAAAAATAATTTCAATTATTTTGCTAGGATTTATCCTATCAATTTAAACTCAAGGTAACATAAAATTCTACTTTTAAATTTATTTATTAACTCAATATTTAAAAATGAATAGCTTAATTGCTTCTTGATAATAGCAACAACAATAACAATCTTTCAATCATTCAAGGATTATTAAGAAACTCAGATAGATTCCTTTAGAATCCTACTCTAACTATTACTCCTACAGAAACCTCTTTCATATCAGGGTCTCACATTACTTTCTCCGGTCTCTCTTCACCCTAAGATGTTGTGAAAATCGAATTATTCAATAGTTCTTAGAGCATAAATCTTTAATTCCTCTAAGCAAGTTCAAATAGCATTTTAGCTTTATTTAATGGAGGTAATTAAATAAACTTTTCACCAAATTTTTAATAAAATTTATTTAAATCAATTTTAATTAAGGCTACTCCGGTGTATTTTAAGGAAGAATTACTTTGTCTAGTGGAATTGTTATAGTTTCATATAACACTATTAATATAAGAGTTAAGATTGATTCTATCTCTCCTAATTAAGGCTCCAATCAAGGAGGTGTTCTTTTAACTATCAATGGCTCAAATTTCAGTTATTATTCTTCTTTGATGTAAGTTTTCATAGGGAACATTTAATGCACAGTTTTAACTTCTACTGACACTTAGATATAATGTGTAACATAACCTGCTTTAAACCTGGTAAACTAATAAGTTAATGTTGTTATCAAGAGTGGTAATCTTGTTTCTACTACCGATAACCCTAGTAATATATTGTTTAAGTTCATTAATATTGCTTAATAGCCAATCATCACCAGTATTAAATCTGCAACTAATAAGTTCTTCAGAAGTGATATTGTTCAAATTACTGGTTAAAACTTATTTGCTTAAGGTATTACAACTTTGCTCTATATTGGATCAACAAATGTTCTTTTCTCTTAAAATAATTAAGGACTTACTTTTATCATCCCAAATGATATCAGTAGTTAACTAACTCAACTTGTTATTTACGTTGGTTAGAACGGATCAACTCAACCTCAAAACTTCTAAATCGGATATATCCTTAACTATTTATTTGGCCTCAATCCTGATAAGACTCTCTATGTTTCAAGATATGGTGAATTTTAATTATATGGTTCAGTTTAAGGGCTTTCTAAAAAATCTTAAATTTAGCTTTAGCTTGATTCAGGATCTCTCTCAGACTTCAATTTATTAATTATGAATAATGTCTTCTACATTTAAGGAACTTTTGATCATAGCTTATCCTAAGCTCCAACCAAAATTACTTAACTGAATATTGATGGATAAAATTACCTCAGCAATCCTATTACATTTTTAAGTTAACAAGATTAAATTATGGTCAGTTTTAGCATAAAAATTCACCCAACGGATAGCAAGTTCTTCTAAATGAAACTAATGCCAAATGCTTAATATCCTAATCTTACAGTTCAATCATTAGTTGTTTAGGATTTCTAAGCAAAAATAGTTGACCAATTAATCTAAGAGAGTGCCAATACTTTCAAGTATTTAAGATTCAGTTCAAACTATACTGATATCAGTTTTGTTGCTTACACAAATCAAGGTGTTGCTCAATATTATGGTGGTTCCAGTGCTATGTATTTGATTTAGGTACAAATTACTAAGTTAACATAAACCCAAAATGTAAAAACTGGAGATATTTTACAATTCTAAATCAGTCAACCGAGTACTAAATTTGTGTATACCATGAATGTTATGTGTCCAAATGGATATAATGATTAAATAAGTTCATACTTTAAAGGTCTCGACATCTACTAAGTTTTACCCTTTTAATAGAAAGGAAATGTCTATAGCTTTTATTTCCCAACAATTACCCAAAGATTATCAACAGCTTAAAGTACTTGCGATATTTATATTGCTGAGACTGATCTTACATTTGCAACTTAATCTTAATATGAGTACATCTAATTTTTTTTAAATTAAGATTTTATTAACTCTTTTTTGAAAGAGCCTAACTAGAGCCCTTAGATTGATGTCAATCCTAATTTATAGGTAGGATTTACTAGGACAACTTATTTCCTATAGTAATTCAAAAATGCTGTAACCCCTCAAAAGCAAAGAATTTACGTTCAAGATATTCAACCATAAACTCTTTCTGCAAATGGAGGCGAATAAGTTGTAATTACAGGAAATAACTTTTTAGCAAATAGCAACACTGTTTAAACTACTTAAGTCACACTTTTCGGAGTTAGTTGTTAAGTTACAAGTTTAAGTAATACTTAAATTACATGCATTTCAGGATAAAAAGCTAACTATAAGCTTCCAGAAGATGTCAGTTAATACACTTTTAGAAGAGGATTATAAGTTAAAAGACAAGACACTCTATTAGATGGTTTTGACAAAACTTAAATTCTTATCGGAAATGAATCAGCTTTACTATTAACTCACGTTAACTTGAAAATCGATTTCAGTGACTAATACCAAGTTAGACTGTTGAAGAACTAATTTTTAGATTAACAAACCTTGTTTGTTCCATATAACTTAAACTTAACTCTTGATGTTGGCTTATACACAGGAAACTAAATTAATTTTAATAAAATATATGTTGATGGCTAACTCATTATTATCTCTTCTAGAGACCTAAACATCCACATTCAACAAATTGATGGTCTTGGAAGCATTAGTTTTGGCTCATCCTAATAGAATATAAATTCTAATGTTAATATTGTTATTGATAGTGGTTGTACCAATTTAAATGCTTATGGTAAGAATGTTCAATCATATAACTACAAGCTCAAGAGTGCTTTGAATGCTTAATCAAGTGTTATTGAAGTTGCTGATAGCTCAATTAATCTTTAGCCAGGCAACAAAATTATGGTTTTAGCCACATCTCTTGACGAAGTAAATGAAGAATTTGTTATTTAATCTGTTAAAGGAAACTTGATCACTGTTGCAACTCCTGCCTAATATACCCATACCAATACTATTGAAACCCATACCCAGTAGAATGGAAGTGTTCGTTAATTTAATATTTAAGTTCCTGTTGTTTAAAGCGATAGAAACTTAAGTATTAAATTAAATTCATGCTCATTTAAAAATATTTACAACGCCAGAATAGAAAGTTCAAACTCTTTGGAAGCTAATATTATCATGAATTCTTTTGTTGTTATTAATAGTAAACCTACTGATTCACAGGTGCAAATAAACTCATAAAACATATAGAATAGTGTGATTTCTATTTCTAACAGTCCATTTTTGATTTCCTCCAATTTCTAAAATAACTTCGTTATTTTAAGTCAACCAATAAACACCTTATCAGTTGATTCTTCTGTCTTTATCAACAACTATTTGCAAGCTGGTATCATAAATTATTCTCAATAAACCTCAAAATACGCTAACAATCTTATAGTTTCTTCAAATTATTGCTTCTCCTAGCAATATGTTTAAACAGTTTAAGCAGACTAAAACATTTGCTTCTCCACCAATTCATTCACTTAAAATATGTTCCCTCAGATGATTTAAACTAATGATTTAGCATTTTCAGTTTTAGATTTAAGGTAATACTTAATAAGAAATTAAGCATCTATGTTAACAAGCTAACAAAATGATAAATTCGCTTTTGCCCCAGACTCATCAAATAAAACTAAATTCTTTGTGGTTGCAAACACAAATTCAAAGCCTGCTAAAAATTAACCAGTACTCTAATTAAATGATAATGCTTATAACTTCTTCTAATCAATTATCCAAAATTTCGAATTGTAAGGATTCATTAATACTTAATAATTAATTTAGTATGCAGACTAAATGGGCTAATACTTTAGACAAGGAGCCTTTATTATTGATATCTTAAACCTGAAATCTGATATCAATTAAAGTACTTAACTTTTCAATCCAACAATTAACGATCAGCTAAGAAATTTAATTGTTGTAGATAGAGATGGTTCTCTAACAGGAAAACCTCAGAATGTTATTTCTTCAAATCTAGTTGTGCCTTCACTTAACTGTGCTTTAAATGTAAACAATTTGAATAGTTGCATGTCTCAAATAGGTGTGTTCCAATTATCAACATTAGGAAACTAAAATGGAATACCATAAACAACTTAATGCTAAAATACATTAAGTGATAATCCCATTGCAATATTAGATGGTACAACTTATACTTCTGACTAAAATGAGTCTTTGAATACTTTTGCAGTTGGATTAACTGGCTAAATTAATTTCAGATTCATCAATAGAATTTATCATAATTAAGAGTACATTCCTTGCTACTTCAATTTGGAACCTATCTTCATTTAAGACTTAACTAAAAGTTTTATTGTTAAATATATGGTTGATACCTCTAAGTGGAGCTTAAATGTATATGTAAAGCAGGAGTCTAAATATATATGGATGACTTCTGTTTCTAGTTTAGACGTTAACACTTGCAATCTCGGTGATTATTTAATTTAAAATGATGGTGTTTAGATATGCATTTAATCCACCTCAGGCTATCTTTATGGACTTGGTATATCTGTCTCTTAAATTCTCTGATCAGATTTAAAATAAAATATTACATGACTATAATAAATGTATTTTTATTTTATATATAACATTAAATTTTTCAAAAAAATTTTTAATAAACGTCATTACTAAATTATTTAATTTATTTCCTTTCTGGAAAAGAAGTAGCTGTGGATATTTAATTATTAGAATTTACAGTCTAAATTGGCTATAGAATAGCTAAATTTATTTTTATATATTTTTAAAATTGTAGAATAAATGTCTCTATTTATTTTATGATTCATAATTTTGCTAAATAAGTTTGCTGTAGATTTTTTATTCATAATATTTTTAATTAGTATTTAGCATAATATATTCAGCTAAAATATTTGCTTTATAAATTATTAAAATTTTGCTAAAATATTATTATTCATCAAGCAATATTCATACAATCTTATTGATAAATACATTATTTGTCTAAGTTGTTTTCTAAGAAAAAATTCTAATTTTACTTTTTTGTTAACTTAAAATACTAAAGAGTAAATTAAGTAGATAGATAGTACAAATTATTAAAAAATATAAAATCTTTTTCAGAAAACAAATAATACATCTTATAATAAAATTATTGGCTATAAAATAATAATAAATAAGTTTAATAACTATTTTATTTTTAATAATAAATTACAGGAGATTAAATACAGAGTAAGAAATAAATTTATTTACAAAATAATTTAAAATATTAATAATCAAATAAAATCATCAGGGTTTGTATCTTGACGGAATCTGATCCCTGATGTATTAGTTAAGTTTAATTTATTTATACTATGGTTTAATCTGTTTGAGTAATGACTCTAATTGTTCTATTATATTATTTTAAGTATAAATTAAAATAACATACTTTAAAATTTAATAAAATTTACTTAATCATTTTAAATATTGTCTTCGTGATTTTAGTCTTAGTCTTCTTCATTGTAATCCTCAAACTATTCGTTATCTTCAGCTTCTTATTCAAAATGATTCTCTATAGTTCTTCCAATATCTCCTTGAGATTCTAAAAACTATCTTGTAGGCTGACCAGATGGGGAAATAATGTGGGCTTTATTTAAAGTATTATTTATAATTCTGCTAGTTTTCTCAAATGTAAGAAGTGTTGGTGTTCTCTTCAAGTATTTTTTCTTTGGTTATTAAATATTTATTATCCTTAAATGATGTATATACAAATAATTTACTCTTTTAGTGTTCTAGTTGATTGACATTTATTACCTGATTTCTTTTAGGTTATTCATTAGCATTTCAATTACCTTTGTTTATTCATATTTTTTCTATTTTAAATCTTGATTTTCTCTGACTAAGAGTTCATTCTTTTTCATTAAATAAATTTATATTTATTATTTATTACTTTTAAAAAATTATGAACTTACAAATTTTTTGAGTTCTTCATGTTTAAAAGCCAATTTACTGTCCTAATAAAATAACAATAAAAACTATTAAAATAATGATAATAACAAATACTTCTTCATGTAAAACATGAACATAAAAAGTTAAAAAATTTACATCAAATTTTTTAATTTGTGGAACAATACTTAATTATTTTTTGAAGGTATTTGAATTAGGTGGAGTTGATCTTTGCATCACAGGAGAAAATCCATTCTGACCATTTGAACTGTACTTTGTAGGAGAAGCACTGTTAAAATCTTTAAATATAAAAAGATATCATTAAACCCCTAAAATCATAGAGTTTGATAATTAAAAGTAAATATTCTACCTGATACTACTTTTTTAGATATCTGTTTATCCAAGTTAGTTTTTTATTGAATTTTTTATAGCAAGCAAAGAGTTGTTTTGCATTAAGAATAAAATTAGACTTATGGTGAGAGAGAAAAAATAATGTTAATATTATTTAAAGGATTTTTAAGATCTTCAATTGGGTCATTAATAACTTTTTTACTTATTCCACATATCTAATTTTCAATAAATAAATTGAAATATTATTATAAAAAACTTTGAATAAATTACTTCTTTGACAATATCAATAAGATTATCTTCTATGTTACAATTCTTTAATTTGCTTGAGCTAAGTAATCTAAAATACTTTTCTTGGTCATTCAGCAGTATTCTTATATAAAATTCTCTCACTTTAGGATATGATTTAGATCCTCTATTAATTGTATCTTTCTATAATAATTATAATACATTAAAAATAATTGTTATTTAAATTTTTAATATACTTTATTTAAAAGGTGAAGCTTAATTTTTTGAATTATTAATTCAATATCTTTAATTGATCCATGATTTTTCATCTATTTTTTTTAAAGTAAAATTTTAGTCAATTAACAAAAATGATAAAATGAATTATTTTACATCTTCGAATTCACTTGAAATATTAGTTATTAATTCAAACAAAACATTTCCCTCAATACAGCTAGGTAATAAGAATCTTTCAGAGTACGAAATATCTAACTAAAGATTTTCGATTTAACCAATGAAATTTGAAATATAATTTTAAAGGATTAGCAAAAACCTGTCCATAATTTAATAAAACAATATTTTTTTATTTGTCTTTTTCTATCCATAAATTAAGATAAGGTGGCTTCTATCAAAAAATTGGTAATCATCTCCATCTAAATATATCTTTATCAATGTAAAATAAAATAAAAACACTTAATTAACGATTTTTTTGAATTACTTTGCTAAGAGTGGGTTCCACATTTTTTAAATCAAGCATAATATCATCAAACTAAAATTTATCTTGTCCTAAAGACTTTTCAAATCCATTTTTACTATTTCTTGACATTAGCACTGATTTACTTTTTTTAAAAACGTAATTAAATTGTATTTCATTTGATAAATTTTTACTTTTATTTTATTTCTAAGAAAGGAGAGGTAAAAAGACGAGGGACTTTACAATATAAACTTGCAAAATTAAGTTTAAAACCAAAAGATCCTGTTTTTTTTACTATTTCTAGCTCAATAACTTATTTTAACTGTTGAATATTGGCAAATCTAGTGTCCTTTAACTGTTCAAATAAATCTTCTGTGATAGCATCTAATTTTTGCTACAAATTTCTATTTTCTTCAATGAGAAACTCAACCTATTTTCAAATATAATAAAAATATTATAATTAAGTGATTGTTATTTTTTAATTTTATTTCAAATCTATCTTTTGAAAATATTTATCCAATGTAAATAATCCAAAAAATAATATATATCCTTTGAATTCTCAGTAATATTTAAACAGCTTAAAACTCTAACTACAAACAAAAAATAGCTATACAAAATTTACCTTTAATTCTAAATCCTTTTAATTTGCCTGATATACTTCAATTTATTTCTAATGTGAATTAGATCCATTAGTTTGTTCTTTTTTTATTTTGAATTCTAAGTTTTTAACTTAATCTTCTAAACTATGAACTTGCTTTTTGAGCTTCAAAATTTCTTAGTCTTTTTCTCTTATTTATGCAGACTATTTTTCTTATATGTCTGAAGATATCTTTTTACCTCTGTCATTTTAATTTTTATAATCTTTAGATTGCTCTCCTCTAAATTTATTAAGTAAATAATTATTTTTATTTTTGTATAAAAATATTACATTCTCTTCTCTAACGATTGCACTTTATCCTTAAGATTTGAGTTTTCTAATAACTATTTCTAAGATTAAATGAGGACAGTAGAGAGTTCGTTGTCAAACTACTCAATTTTGTTATTTGCCTCTCTATTTTATAAGGTAAAATTTGTTTATTCCATTTATATATTAATTTTTACTCTAATTCTTATTGCAACCTGTTCACCTCTTCTGTTTTATCTTAATGAATCTAAGTTAAAACCTATAGTTACAAGTCTTCTTTTTCCCTAAAGTTACAATTTTATTTATATAAATATATTTTTTATTTTATGTAATTATTTCATATTTAGAGATGGATTTTAATGATCCAATTTTACTGCTAAAATTTAAAAAGACCAGTTTATTTATTTAAAAACTAAAAGAATATTTGAATTAAAAAAATTACTTTTTTACATTAAATTAAATTCTAGTTTGATTTGTATTTATAAATAAATAAAAAAAAAAAGAAAATATTTTTTTACCTTTATAGGTTTTTGATATTATTTTACAACTCTTCTATTTAACATTCTAAGAGGATATTTTTTTCGATTTCTAAATCTAATTACTCTTAATTTTACTTATTTTCTTGGTTTTGTTAACCTTCATTTGAGTTAATTTTATCTTATAGCTCCTTGATCATTTTCTGGAATTCAGAAATTTAATTATTTAAGGACGAGATTTCTTTTTGATGCTAGTCTTTAACATCTTAAATATTTCTGTCATAATAGCTTGAATTGATTTACATATTATTTTTAAGTCTGTTATTAATTTAATAAAATTTAAAAAATGATTTTATTATCTAAATTTACTCTTGAATTTTTTTATTTGCTAGATCCAATTAATCTTGAATTCTATCTTTTTCTTATTATATTTTTTATAGCTCATTTTCTTTATGCTAGCTTGTGATTGCCTAATGGTTTAATTTGTTAATTTATTCATTCAGCTCAGTAATTTCATCTTCTTTGCTCTTTACCATATCTTACAATTACTGTTCTAAGTCTTCAGAATCTTATTTGAACCTAATATTGTAACAAAAAATATAAATAACTAAATAAATTAAATTATATATAATTTTATACTATTCGAATTATGTATTTAGAATCTGAACTTCTTTTTATTTTCTCTCCAAATCTTATTTTAAACTATTAATAATCAATTAATTTTTTTATTCAGCTTCATTTTAATTCTCTCCAATAGTTGTCTGCAAACTATCAATAGTAGATTATTTGGAATAGATTTCTTGCCTTAAATCTTAGATTAAATTTTCTTTCTTTATCAATTCATCTCTTCCTTGATCAATTTTATTTTACATTCCCTAAATTTGAGTTTTAATTTTTGCAGCTTCTCTTTCTTTCTCCTCAGTTAATTACTTAAGTAAAAGCTTAAATCTATTTTTTAAAATTAAAGTTAGCAACTAAATAGAAATATTCTCAGAATTTACTAGTCAACTTCCTCTTCTTTTTCATTAAGTTAAAGAATCGATTACTCATGCTGAACAGTGAAATTTTTAATTTACTCTCTAAGTTGGTCTCTTTCTATTTCTAGCCTTTATTAAAATTAAAATATCTAAATTAAACAAAATAAAATTAAATTTATTTACATTTATTATTGTTCTTCAAACTTCTCCTTTTACTGAGATAATTTCTTTTACTCATTTTACACCTATTCTTCATATTACTTTTAAAGTTATTAACAATGTTTTTATATCTCCTCCATTTTCAATATTTTTTCCTAAGAAATGTTCTAAGAATCAAGCACTTTCTTTTCATATTCTTTTAGCTTTAAAGTCTTTTACTAGTTCTCTTCGTAGTAACTTTGGCACTTAGACTATAAATTAGTAAGATCTTTTTCATATCCTATAACCTTTATACTCAGCTTTTAAATTCTTTATTATACAAAATTAGCTTGAAATTCTTAAATAAACTTCATTTGATAAAAATTACTCTTATTTATTTTATTATTCTTTATCGCTTAGCTATTTCTTTGTTTCGTCGAATTCAACTTGCTTAGTTTCATAATCTTTCGTCAAAGTAGCCAGTCTTTGTTCTATGTCTTTCTTATTCTCTTAAACTTGACTAATTTCATTTTACCTTTCTTCTAACAATTTATGCAATTACTACAACCTAATATAAAGATTCAAAATAAATTAAAGTAATTTGGTTGAAAATTTTTACTAATCTGATTTTGATGTGTCATTTTACATGATTTATAATTAACTTTACAACTATTTTTCTTTATTTTGAAGTTCTTAAATTATTTCTTGTTTTTTTTAAATTTCTGCTTTGCTTTCCTTTATTTCTTTTTATTGTAGTTCAGTTTAACTTTTAAAAATTTATTGCTTATTCTCAAGCTCCTTTTTATTTTCCTCTATTTATACTTACTTCTTTTAGTTTTCTTGATTTAAACTATTAATTTATAAGTCTAGATCTTTACACTTTTGTTCAAATTAGTTAATTTTGTTATTTAAATTCGTTATTTATAACTCAAGATCCCTTTTACTTTGTTGAATTTAATCTATTTAATCTTATCTTTCTTAAAGCAAATGCTATAACTATTTTAATCTTTTTATTAAACAGTTTAAATTTTAAATTTGAATAAATTATATTTAAAAATTACTAATCAGATTTAGATGTGTCATTCTACATTAGTTACAGTTATGCTTGAATTTAGTTTTACTTATTTAGTAAGTCTTCAATTTATTGTTCTTTCTTTTGAATTTCAGCTTACTTAAGTTGTATTTCTTAATCTTTTAATTCTAAAGAATTTTTGTGATTGAATTCTTTATCATTTAACGTCTTTTTAAGTTGGTCAGCTTCTTTTTAAATATTTTCTATAAGTTTTTTCTCATCTTAAATTTTTGCTTATAACTCTTTCTATACTTCTAAAGCTTAGTTTAGTTAATTTTCTTTTTCAAATAAAGTGCTTTAAACCTATTTAAGTCTGAAAAAATATAAATTAATAAATTAATTATTAATAAAATAGTTTTATGATAAATATTTTACTAATCTGATTTAGATGTATCATTTTAAAGCACTTACAATTAATTCTAAATCTAAATTTATTTTTGGCTTAATTCAATAATTTGTTCTTCTTTTTTTTAGATAATTTCTTTGTTTTTTTATGCCTCTTAGCTTTAAGATGAAATTTAACTTTAATAACCTTATTCTCTCTATGCAAACTCATTTTTCAATTCATTTAGCTGAATTGAAATATTGTCAATATTTTTATTTAAATTTTCTACTTTTGTTTCAAGATCTTTTTTATCTTATTAGATTTTGTTGATCTCATTCTATTTCTCTTCAAGTAAATTTTACATCTTTTTTAATCTTCATTAATTTAAATAATTTTAGAAAAGTTAAAATAAAGCATATTTTATTACTAATCAGACTTAGATGTGTCATTCTATAGAATCTATAATTAACTTAATAACTAATCATATTTTTCCTATAGACTATGAATGTGTTCTTCTTTTTTCTAAAGTTCAGATTTATTATTTTATATCTATAAATTATTTGATTCTAATAATGTTTTAAACTCTTGTTTCTTAGCATTTGAATTTATTATTTCACTCTCAAGTTGTTGAATTTTTATTTAAAGCTCTTTTTCCCTTTTTAATTTAATTTTAGAATAAAAGTATTTTTATTTAAATTTTACTGTTTTTGGCTATTTTATATCTATTCTTTTATCTGCAAACTAAGACTTTCTGTAGCTTTCTCTTTACTATTGATTTCCTCTTTCATAGCAGAGATAGCCTGATTAGCTTAATTGTTTTCTTCTTTCTATTTTTGCAATAAACTTTAGGAATCTTTTAACTCATTTTTCAGTTTTTCTAACCTATTAATTAATAATATTATTATTCACTTATAACTTAAACACTTTTTCAATTGAAATATCATATAACGTTAACAAAATGTTTTAATTGAAATATTTCAATCTAAATTAAAATTCTATTACTCCTATTCTACTCCTACATTTTTACTTGCTTCTTTCAATTACTATTGAAGATTTTTTATTTCTCTAGATGAATTATCTATTTAGTCTTTATATTCTTATTCTTTTTATTATGTATGCTAGACCTATGTTTAAAGAAGACTTATATTTTATTTAAGCTCTTCTATTTGTTATTCTAGTCTTAAATAAAGAAAAAATTTAAAACAAGTATTAAAAAGAAATGTTTACTCCTTTTAATTCTATGAATTTTTAGATGATTCATTCAAATTCTTTTTCAACTGCTCTATTTCTGCTTTATGTTTCTCTTCGTTTCTATTTAATTTGCAATATTTGATGAATGACTTTTTAATATCACTAAAAATATCTACTTGCTAATCAAATCGTTTAAACTTGAAATAACTTCGTTGTTTTACTCTATCTGCTTTTCTAGCTCTTCTAGCTTTACATTTTAATCACCTGTATCCTACTATCCAGACTATTTATGATCGTAAGTAGAAATATTATACCCTTAATATATTTTTAACAAATATTTACCTTGAGTTATTAAATTTCTTCCTCTTTTTCTTCTAACTCCTACTATAATTTTTCAATTTCTTCTTCTTTTATTTTGATTTCCTCCTCAAGCATCTACTCCATTTCTTAACTATCCTGCTAGAATCTGTATTAATTATTAATTTTTTAATCATTAAGTTTATTCGAGAATTAATTATTTTTTATTATAATCTATCTATCTATAAAATGAATCTATCAAATGTTTTACTTCTCAATCTTTTATGTCATATCCTTCAAATTTTTGTCCTTTTTTTATAACTCATTTTTTAAGTCTTCTATTTGCTACTAAGCTTCCTCCATTTTAACTAATCACAAAAATTGAAATAAATAGCTTTCCTCTTATCTAAAATGTAAGTTCAATAAGTTGATAATTGTTTAATTTGCACAAATATAATTAATTTTTTTGACTGAATTTTAATTTTAGTGAATGATAGTTAAATTTCTAAAGATTGAATATAATTGGTGAATTTAATATATCTGCCAAAAGAATAAAAATTAATTGTACGGTATTCACTACTATACTTATAATCCTTTTGAAAATCTTTATTAAATATCAATGCACACACATATAAATATTAATTATTTAATACATCCCACATATCTTTTAGAATTTAATAATTACAATCATAAATAAGTAAATAAATTTACAAATTGAAATTTTAAACGACTAAAAAAATATTATTAAAAATACATTCTCATAAATTTATGTTGATAAATATCATGAATGAATTTACCTTCAAATTTAATTTTTTGGGTTAAATTTACCAAATAACTTTTAAATTTTCTAAATTTATCTAAAAAATTCTATTTTATTTTAAACAATTGCTTTAAATTGAATTTATTTTTTTTTATAAATTTAAATTTTTTGTGTAAAATTATTGTATTAAAAAAATTCTCTCTTAAACTTAAATTATAAAATTAACACTATTTGTTTCTTACAAAATTTATTTTTATTGGATTAGATTTTAAATTAGTAGCTAAGGATAGAATTAAAAATGTAAATTTAAACAATTTAAAACCTTCTTAAAATAAAAATATTTTTTTAAAAAATAGAATATTGTTGATTTTTGTGTAGAATAAATTAATTAGCTTGTTAAAAATATTGAATTGATATTTGTATCTGGAATGTTTGAGAGGGTTATAGTATTAGAATTCCTTTGAATAAACCTTTATCAATTATTTATATCAAAATTATTAAATATATTGAATTAAAAGAAGTAGAATCTCTTTCTATGCAAAGAATTTTTAGATAAATAAGTAGATATTATTTTTGCTCTTTAAATAATATCGAAAATACAAAAAAAAAACCATTTTATCAGGATATTAATGTAAATTCATAAATTAGTAACATGAGGCTTGATAAATACTTAAAGGAACATTACGGAATACCTTGGACTAGCTTATAAATTTGTCTTAGAAAAAAAGAGATTTTTGTTAAAGATGTACAAGACCTGTCGAAACACAAAAATCCAGATTACATTTTAAAAGAAGGTGATATTATCCGAATTCCTTTTTCATTTGTAGAAAAAAAAGAGTAAATTTAAAATAGCTAAAAACAAGAATAAAATGAAATTAAATTGGATTAAAGTCAAATAGATAAATTCAAGTAAATGATTATTTATGAAAATAAAAATATAATTATTCTAAATAAAGCAAATGGAGTATCCTGCTAAGGTGGTTAAGATGTATCGCTAAATTTAGTCACTATGGGTTAATAGTATTTAATAAATTAAACAAATTAAAAATATTTAGTTGCTCATAGATTAGATAAAGTAACTTCTGGCGTTTTGATGGTTCCGAAGAATTAATAAATAGCTAAAATTTATGGAAATTTGTTTAATGATAAATCAAATATTAATAAATATTATATTGCTTTAGTAAGAAATTCTCCAAAAAATTTTAAAGCTATGATTAATGCTCCTATCGAATATTCTTAGTCCAAATAAAGGGCTATTGTTTCAAATATAATAGACGAAAATTCAAAATCTGCTCACACTCACTATCAAGTTCTAGCTTAGTTTAAAATGGAAGACAAAAACCTTGCTGCAAAAATAATTAATTCCGAGCATGTAATTACTTTATAAATTTTGAATTACTATAATTTAATTATTTATGTTTGAATACTTAGGATTACATTAAAGACTGGGGCGATTTCTCGCTATTGAAAATAAGGATTTAAGAAGGAAGAAAACACTAAATTAGAGTTCATTTAAGTGAAATATCTAAAACTCCTATCGTAGGAGATGCTAGATACTTTGATAAAAATCATCAAGAAAGCTTATTCTAATACAATAAAGACTAATCTATTTTCCTTCACTGTTATCAAACATTTATAAACAACTAAGAATTATGCAATCGTTTATCAAAAAATAGTTCAAGTCAAATTGCTTGTAACAATTTAGGAGAGGTATAAGTGGAAGAGGGAGTATTAAAAATATAGGCATCATTTCCTTAGCATTTTAATAATCTTTTTGAGCTCGGATTTAAGGATTAACCTGAGTAATTGGATAAATTAAAATAGATGATAAAAGACATAACTTTATGAGATAGTTTAAAAAGTAAACAAAATAAATTTTATTTAGATTATAAAAAAATTGTTTTCATTAAATAAATATTAATTAAAATCATTTAAATTCAAAAAAGTAAAAAAAGTAAAAAAATTAAACAAATTATTATTTTTTACTAACAATTAATATACAATTATTTATTTATATAATTGTTTATTTTACAATTTATTAAGTAAATTTTATATTAATATTTCTATAAAATGTCATAATTATTCCAACATAGTTTGGTTTTATTTTCATATCCATTTGGAAGCTTTGATTTTTTTATATACTTCTGATATATTTACTTTGATTTGATTTATAAAGAATTCAAGTCTTGTTAGAGATGAAGAAATTTCCATAATTGTAGTAAAAAGAAAATAACATATTTGATAATCATTGAATAAATATTATTTATTTTCTATTCAAAAATATTTAATATGAATTAAAATAATTTTTTTTTAAGGATTTAAAAATATTAATTTAAAATTTTTTGTTTTAAATTTATTATTTTTTTCATAGTTTTATCAAATTATCTAAATTTTTTGATGAATATCTTTTATTCTATTCCAAAAAGAAAAAATCAGTAAATTATGATTGTAATTTTATTGATTATGTATAAATAATAAAATAAAAAAATTTACATATTTATTGCATAAATAATTTAAAAATGATACTTAAAAACCATTATTTATTATTAGTAAAACTTAATTAAAAATTAGCTATTTAATTTTTAATAATTCACTTATTTCTTCTTCTTAATATTGCTGTTTAGATATTGTAAATTTGTGTTAAATTACTTAATTTAATTTCAGTCAAAACCAGAAAATCAAAAAATTTTTAATAACCAAAAAATCAACAAGCTAGCTAGCAAAATTAGAAGAAAGATAGCAAGGAATATTTTATCAATATAGCTTATAGTCTTACTAATTGTCAAGAAGCGTCATATTGAATTTATCATGTTTAACTAACAAAACACAATAAGACCAAGTCTCACCTTAGAGTTATTAGAAAGACCATAAGATGTATAAAATATAGTTACAAATGAGCATTATATATAAAAGCCTGGAATGTTCGAAGCAAGTGATGATGAAAGTTTCTTTCAGAATTCTTTATCTATTTTAGTGAATTAATTTACATTTTAAATGAGGTGGGCAAGTCATTGGGCAATTATTTAACTCCTTAAACATAGTCCTGCACTATTAAACATCTATTTTATTGGTCACTATTAAGTTGATGTAATCATATAATATATTTATCAACAGCATATATGAGAAAATATTTTTTAAATATTCTAAAGCAAATTTGATTATAATTCAAAAAATAGCAAAAATTAAATACTTTTTAGGGAGATAAAATCGAAAGCGTGAATTTTATTTTGAGAATTTAAGAATTATTTCAAAATTAAAGATCTTTAAATATATTTACAAATAATAAGATGATTATTAAAAACTAAGGGTTAGATTTTTGCGTTTTTTTGCCAGATAATGTAAAAAAAAGCATCTAAAAATAATTTGTATCCAAATGAATTTACAATTTAAAAATGCTGATCAAACAAAAGAGATTTTTTAAAAATATTTCATATTTCTGCGAAAATCAAAAGAATTATAAATATGCAAAAAAGTAACCATATAGATAGAGATTAAAACAAAAAAATATAGTAATTCTATCTAATAAATTAATTAGTACTGTAAAATAATTAATTTCTATTCAATAAATCTTCTTCAAAGTCTAATCATAAAATATTATTGAATCAAGAATTATTCAAATTCTTATGATCAGTCTTATTTAAAATCAAAAAAACTGAATATGATAGACTACCAACAATTATTATACTCTCACAAAAATAAATATTTTTTAATTATCAGAGTAATTTATTTAATAAATAGCTTTGAAATAATTATATATTTATAATATTTAATCGAGTGCCTTTCGAATTACGTTTGATCAGTCTTTTTTAAGTTAAAAATAAGTTGAAATACGATATGTAACAAACAAAAATGATATACAAAAATAAATACTTTTTAATTATATGAGCAATTTCTTTAATTTTAAGAACAAAAATTACTTTGAAAAAAAATAAATAAATTTGTAATAAAAAAAGTCAAAATTAAACTAATTATTTTAAATTTATATTTTATAGGAAGATGACTTAAGTCCAAATTTTTCTCCTCAAATTATGATTTCAGTTGCAATTGGTTACATGGTTTTTTGTATTTTAGGATAATATCCTATCTAAGCTTTAGCTAATGCATTTTTTGAGCTTTTGTGCTCTAAAATACATAAATAAGATTAAAGGGAAATAGGAAGATTATTACATATTTAATTATAACTAAATACAATATTCAGCATTTTGATAATGCTGTTCTTATACCTTTTTGCTCCTGATATAATTAATTTTTTATTAGATCATATAGAATACAAAGAAGAAATAGTATTCAGAGCTCATGAGTACATTTGTTATTTATTTCCATCTTTATTTTTTAGTATGGTATATGAAAACTTTTAGTGTTTATTAAGTGCTTTGGATATTAGATAAACTCCACTTAGAATACCTCTCTGGAGTTCTTTAATCCATTTATCTATTTGCTTACCATTTACCATACAAGGAACTTTTTCCATATAAATAGCAGGTTTTGCTAAAGGAGCAGCTGATCTTACAATGGCATGGATGCTTTATAAGTACACCTTCGGATTATAAGATTTAAATAATAGACTAGTTGATTTTTTTTTCTCTACACTAGATGAATTAGTTGAAATGATGCTAAACACTATCAATCTAGCCCTTTTTTATTATATAGAAACATTTAACTATGATATTCTCACAATTTGTCTTTGCATTTTGGGAATTTAAACTCAATAAATTTAAGGTCATCTAATTGTTACCACACTTGCTTTCATTAATTTTTATGTCTCTTAAGGAATATCATCAAGTGTAATTTATTAAATTATTGATAATATTTAATTATCCTCACTCAACCAACACATCTTTTTTTAAGCAAAATTAACTTCAATTTTTCAATAAAATTAAAAATAAAATTAATTTAAATGAATTTCAAAAGCCATTTGTTAAATTTAAAAAAATGCCTTAAAATTTAATAATTAAATAGATTTATCAAGGAGTAAAAAATTATGTTGAGAAAGGATTTGTGAATAAAGCAATTAATGGGGCTATTTTGGGAACAGTTGCAGCTTTGATCATATCGCTATTAGAGATATTCTTACTTTTAAATATCTAGGTGTATGTAGCTAAGATATTTATTTAGAATGATTAAAAAGTATTAGATTACTTCATTGAATATTGCAATATTTACATTTATTTGCTTTTTGTAGATAATTGCTTGAATAGTTTATTAGCTATTCTAAAATCACTCCAAAAACACAAACTTGAGACTGTCCTTCATTATGTCTTTTTCTATGCTGTTGGTATTCCTACTAGCATATTTTTAGCAAATTCATTAAGTGACTGCGTGGTTGGTGTTTGGCTAGGCTACTTAGTAGCTAACAGTATGTTTGTAGTATTTTTAATATTTTATCTTTCCTGCGGAATAGTTTGGGACTTAGAAATATCTCAAATATAGATTAAAACTAACGTAGAGAAAGCTACTTAAGTTTGATTTAAAATGTAGTACATTTTAAAAATAAAAACAATAAAATTTTAATCAAATGTAAATTATTATAATTGTTTAAAATAAACCTTTTAATAAATAAATAAATATTATTTATATTGAAATTTAAAAAAGTACTTAATTTATTTATCAATCACTTCGAGTATTAGTAAATGCTTAAAAAAAGTTTAATTCAATATAAAATTTATTTGATAAACTAACTATAACTAATTTATTAATAATATATTTAAAGGTCTTTTATATTTTCATTAAAGCTTTAGTAGGTATTAAAAATAAGAATGAATACTAACTAATACCATTGTATTTTATTTGATAAAAATAAGATTGTCAATTCCCTCGTTTGAAGGTAGGTAAATTAATTATTCTATCTTCTTAGGTGGCAATTTTTAATTTACCACTCTTACTTTCTATCAATTGATTTAGAGCAATTAACAGAATTGAAGTAATTGTGGTTTAATTATTTGTTTATTTATAATTTATTTCTTCAGTGAGTTTTGAACCCTTGATAATTTTATTTATTTCGAGAGATGTTACCAATTAATTAATAAGGTTATCCCTAAAATTTTTAAATCATCACAAAATAAAAACTAAAATAGTACTTTTAATTTCAATTCAAAAGGCAAAATAAATAATTAGCTTCTAATAAAGAGAACTATTTGAAAAGAAATAAATAAAAAATGAATTCACATTTTAATTATTATCAAACTTTTTAGTTTCAAATTTATATTTTGGAAAATAACTGAATTTCAAGAATAAAATAATTTTTTTTATTCAAGATTTCATTGAATTTCATTAAAGCAAATTAATTTTAAAATTGAAAATTAGAGAATTTAGTTAAAATTAATTATAAATTCATGCAAATCTGAAATATTTTTTTATTGAATGTTATTTTTAAAATATTGCTTTTGAGTTTTGTAAAGAATCTGTGTAAAAATATTTTTTTTTATTAAATTAATTGACTTTAATTATTTAGCATTTTATTTCAAAATTTATTAAATAACATTAAAAGCAGATAAATATTTTTCTCAGTAACTAATTACAGTAATTAATTATTCTATATAACCCCATATATTTGAATTAAAAATATTACTTAATCGCTTACTTAGAGCAGGGCTTAAACAAAATAAGTTTATTTATTTTCAGCTAGTTTGAAAAGGGCTTAAATTTTAAAATGCTTTAATTGTATATAAGTTTGTTCATTAAATTTTTTAAATTTAGTTAAATATTTAAAATTTGGAAATTTAAAAATATATAAATTTTATAAAATGCTTTTAAATATTTTTGATTAATATTATATGTGTTGTACTAAATCAATCTGAGATAATTAATTATTCATAATTTAACATAATTCTATAAACCCTTTAAAAATATATAAATTAACTTAATTAGAGAAATTCAATAAATCCACCTAATTAAGTTAATTACCAACAAATCTGTCTGGGCTTCGCTATAACAGGGTTTATTTCTGAGCAATGGTTATCTCTAGAATAATTACAGTAATTTATTTATAAACTCCATCTTAGAAATTAAAATGAAATAGATATTTATTTAATATTATTATTTTTAATAATAATTTAATGTGATTTTATTTTATTTTCATATAAAAATACAGTTAGAAAAATAAATGAAAGATTAGTTATCTAAACTTACAAATTTTTTATTGAAATTATATTAATATAATATTACAAACAAATTAAAATATCATTTTTAAGCCTTTTTTCAAAGTAAATGTTTTTTTAATTAAAATTAATTAATTTATTTAAATGGTTTGTTGCTTAGCCAACTAAATTATTTATAAATATTTATTTGGTTTTATCTAAGTTATTTAAAGAATATTTAATTGTTTTTCACTTTTTTATTTTTCTTTAAATAGATTATTGATAGATTCAATATTGATTAAAAACCCATCCTATCCAGCCAGAAAAATTATTTGCATTAAATAAAAAAATATATCTCAGTCTTTGTTTTTAATTTGCTGCTTTTATTTTTACTGTATCTTTTTTGCAAAGTAACCCTCTTCAACTCCATCGTTTTCGTAATTTTAAAAATATTTCTTAAATTATTTAGGATAATTTTTTAAGAGTTTTGTTTTCTCTTCTAGATCTTCTTTCGAAGGATCATGAGATACTTTTCTAGCAAATTGCTCATAAACAGAAAGTTGTTTACTTAAAATAAATCTATCAATTAACTTAGCCAACATAGAAAATCCATATTCAAATTCTTATTTTGTATATTAAGGATCTAAAGGAGGAGGACGAACTAGCCAATCAGGAGTATTGTCAACATCATAAAAATTGCAATCAAAATAATCAACAAAAAGCTCCTCGCCATCATAAATATCTCTTAAAGCAAATATACCTATGCCATGAAAATGATCCACATTTTAATCTATTTTATCTGTTTAAAAAGTTTTAAATTTTAATTATTTAATAAAATTAAATTAATTCTAAAGTTAAAATTTTTTCTTTTGAACAAAATTTTTCTCACCTTTTTTTGAAATCAAAGAGGATTGCTTAGGAGAGTCAGCTCTTATGAAAGGGAAAAACTTGATAAAAGATTCACTAAAGAAATGCATGGGAATATAAATATCGAGGAAAATAACATTAGGAGAGGAGAATTTTGGTGGATGATTAATCTTATGACCGATAGAAAAAGGATTAATAAAGTTAGAAGGAACTTCTTTTATATGGACTTTTTCACTTTCTTTTCTCTGGCTCATTAAGAAGATGTAATCTTTAATTGAATTACCATAAATAAATGGATATGGAATTTTTTAAGCAAAATCAATGACTGTATTATCAAATCTATGAATGTAAGTGTCAGGTAGTTTATCTGATGAATTAGAATTATTGTAATCTGTTAAAGAATCATACACTACACCTCCTAAAAAACCTAAAAAGCTACCTGTTGGAATAACAGAAAGACCATCTGCACAATTAAGGAATACTCCTTCACCAGCAGAATGATGTTCTAACGAGCTATCCTTGACCTATAAAGTGAACCCTAGTTATTTTTTAATTTTAGGAAGTAGGTCTTTGCTTTTATAATCCCATATACTTACTATTTCATGTGTATCAATTGTTTCTATCAACGAAAAAATTGGAAATTTATCTGGATCAATAATTTATGTCATTTTTGATAGCTCTTCATATTTTTTATTTAAAATTATATCTGATTCTCCCAAAGTTAATTTATTGAGAACGTTTAGTTGTTTATAAACTTATTCAACATGATCAGACTTAGCTAATTAGTAATGCTCATCTATTTCTAGAAGATTAACTTCTTCATAAGCTTTATCTATGGGATCTTAAATACCATTTAAATTATTTATTCTAGTTCTGGCTAGAAGAGCCTATATATAACCCTGCTATTCCCATTTATAATACATGTACTATCTTTTTACTAATCCTGCCAAAGGGTTTTTATCCTTGTATAAATATCTAAACATTTACTTGAGTAATTATACAAAATATACTCTCTAATTTACTACTTCAATTTAATTATTTGATTTTAAAGTCTTTAAAATAAACCTCTACTCAATAGAAATAATTCAAGTTTAATAAGCTATTTCCACACATATCAAAATCAGTATTTGATATTGTTTGCAAAATAAAGAGAAAAATTTAGAATCTTTTTTTGGTGTTTTTTTTATAACTTAAAATGCATTAAAAATTATAAAAAAATATATTGTGCTAAATAATTTAATTCTCAAATTACTATAAAAAATATTTTTTTTTTAAATTTAAACTATTTTTAGATTATCTAATAATGTTAAATAAATTAATAAATTAAGTTTTTTTTTTATTAATATAATTGATAGTTGCTTCATTTAAGTAAATATTTTTTATCAAAAAAATAAAATAACAACTAAAATTTGATATAAAATCAAGGTATAAAATGAAAAAAATCCAAAAATAATTTAAATGATCAAAGTTAAAAATGAATAGTTGTTAAAGAATGTTTCAAACTAAATTTATATTTTAATTGTTTCTATCTTCTATTTTTCCTGATAGACTGTTCTAAAAATAATGAGAATTCGTAATTTAGAACGAAAGAAAGATATTTTTAATAATAAAAATGTAGAGAATATCTTTTTTTGCAAAAATGAAGTAAATTTTAATTAATTTGTTAGGAGTTAAAACTTAAAAAAATGCAAACAAATTTAAAAGTAAAAAGAAAATAATATATTGCTAGTTAGTTAGTTAGATATATAGATAGACCCCCACTTTTTTATTCTATGACGGTCTTCATGCCTACCTATCTTTCTTTCTATTTATTTGTTTATCTGCTTGACTAATTATTAAAATATGTGTGTGATTTTACTTTTTTATTTTAATTAATCGGTATAAATAAGCTTTCGAGATGCTTTTTGAATGAAGTAATTTGAAAGGAAAACAAGTGAAAATATATATTTAATTATCTAATTTTTGCATATTAAATTAGATCGATTTTGCTTCTACAGATAATTATTATTAATAATTAAAATATCCTTAAATTTTAAAAGAAAAGTTAAAATAAAAATAGCTAGAAATGACCTACCAATTACTCGCCCCCGCTGGTAACTTCAGAGCTAACATGCTCCTCACCATCGCTGAATTAGTCGGTGTTAAGCTCGAACTCGTTCACACTGAATACGCTGCCACCAAGACCCCCGAATTCAAGCAAAAGAACCCCTTAGGTAAGGTTCCCGTCCTTATTACCCCCGAAGGTCCCGTCTACGAATCTAATGCCATCGCTAGACACCTCGCCAGAACTGCTGGTAAGCTCTACGGTGCTAACCAACACGAAGCTGCTTTGGTTGACTAATACTTAGATATGGCCGTTACTGAATTATTACCCTCTTTGACCACCACCCTTTACGCTATTTTCGGTTTCAAGCCTGCTGACAAGGAAGTCCTCAAGGCTGCTAAATAAGAAACCTTCAGCGTCTTGAGAATCTTAAACGAAAGACTCACCCACCACAAGTACTTAGCTGGTGAAAACCTCACTATTGCTGATATCCAACTCGCTACTTTCTTAAACCTCGCTTTCAGAGTTACCATCTCTGGCGAACAAAAGAAGCCTATTGCTAAGGTTGTTGAATACTTCGTTAGAGTTGCTCAACTCCCCGAATTCACCAAGTATCACGGAAGACCCCACTTCGCCACCTCTGAATTCTAAACTGTTGCTGCCCCCGCTGCTGAAGCTAAGGACAACAAGAAGAAGGAAGCTGCCAAGGCTAAGGAAGCCCCCAAGCCCAAGGAAGCTCCCAAGAAGAAGGAAGAAAAGGTTGAAGAAGAAGAAAAGGAAGAACAACCCGCTAGCGGCTGGAACTTGTATGACTACAAGACCCTCTACGTCAACGCCAAGAACAAAGAAGAAGCCATCTAAAACTTAGTTGAAAACTTCGACGCCAAGACCATGTGCATCTACCACTTACACTACCAAAAGTACACTGGTGATGGTCAAGTCCTCTATCTCTTCAACAACATGAAGAACAATTTCCTCTAAAGATGTGACCCCGCTAGAAAGGTCGCTTTCGGTACCTACTCTATCTACGGTGAAGAACCCAACCTCGAAATCTCTGGTGTCTGGTTGTTCATGGGTGCCACCATTCCTCCTCAAATGAACGAAAATCCTTCTTTCGAATATCACGACCTCAAGCAATTAGATATCACCAAGGCTGAAGACTTACAAATCCTCAGAAACTACTGGACCAACACCGAAGAAGACACCTCCGTTGTTGATGGTCTTAGACTCAGATCTTTCGGTTCTTTCAAGTGAGAAACCTTTAAAAATAAAAGCAAGTTTTAGCAATATTATAAAAATTATACTTTAATGCAAAATAACGATATTAAAATACAAATATATATTTTATATCTTGTTCTATTTGCACTTTAAAGGCCAAAAATGAATTAAAATCTTAACTCCAAAAATTTATGATAAAAGTATTATTTAATTTATTAAAAAATAATATGATTTTGTTAAAAAATTTGACCAAGAAACAAATAAATAAAATTTACCTCAAGTCTTTTTTGTATTTTAAATTGACTCAATATTTTTTTTTATAAAAACTTAATATCACGTTAAACAAACAAACAATATATCTCAAAGTAAAAATGTTTCTAAAAACGAAATTAATTATTTTAATAAATGCATTTTTTAAACTTAAAATTTTTAATTAAATATTTAAATAATTAATATAATTTAAAATATTTAATTGTATTAGATTATATCACTATTTAACTATTTAAATTTAACAACCCTTTATGGTGATATTCTTTTGTTAATAGATTAACTTTTAAAAATATTAAAAAAATATTTTCCTATTTCTTAATAGATAATAATATCAATAAATTTTTTGAATTTAATCAAAAAATTATTTAAAATTTAATATTATTGAATTATCAATCTTTAGTTAAAAGTTTATAAATAAAATTAATTCAATTTATTATTTTTTTTTACGAATGAAATAAATATATAATATTTATGATAGTTAAATATCCTCAATCTTCTTATAAATATTTTATTTTACTATTTACTTCCTTAACTATTTTTTATTCATGAGAGAAAACGTGAATTAATTTTGACTTAACTAAATTTTCATTTTAAAAAACTTATTTTTATAACTTAAATTATTTTGAAATTAGAGAAAAATGAAATGTTTATACAAATAATAATTTCATTTTTTTAATTTTATATTTTTAGAGTTTCTGAAAATAATTTATTTAATTAGAAAAAACTCTTTTTTTATAAATCACATAAAAGTATTTAACAGATAGGAAATAAATATTGTTTTTTTTATTTGAAATTCAATTTGATCAAGGATTAAAAAAATAAATGAGTGAGTGTTTTCAATGGTTTTTAATATTTATCATTGAGGAAATTTTTTATATTTTAATTTAAAGATTTATTCTTTAATGAATCAAAAATAATTTAAATATTTTGGTTTTATTTAAATAAAAAATATGCTCAGATTTATAAAATAATGAAAATTAAAGAAACTTAATAATGCATCAAATTCTTATTAGGTGTGGATAAAAAATATTTAATATTTTACTAATTAATTAATATAAATATCTTTAGGATTAATCAGCGTTTTTACTTTCAAAGGAAAAAATTTGTATATTTAATTTTCATATCAATAATTATTCATTTATTTTATTGTATTTAAAATCAAAAGTTAAGTAATTTTTTATTTATTTATTTACATCTAATTTAAATTATAATTTTTATTGTTTAATGTCGACCCCCAAATGGTTTTTTAGGAAACAAGCATGTGATTAATTAAGATATCAAGCAGATTACTATAAGAAAAGAGTGTTTATACCAATTTAATTTATTGTCTATCATTAATTTGCTAAGTGAGCTAGAAAGTGTTGTTCAAGTGACATATAGAATTTTTCTATCAGTGATTTTATAGGAAGAAGCAGCCTTATACCTAGAAAATGTTGAGTTTTTTAATTTAGCTAATACTTATTACAGTAATTTGCTAGGAGCAAATTCATTTAGTCGTAATTTAATGGATCGAGACTATAAAAATTGTGAGTATCCTCATAATTAGTTTTTAGCTTATTCATTTCATGTAGCTTGAATATGTTTGTTTTGTAAATTAAGAAAACTTTTCTTTGTATATTGAAATTAATATTAAAAAGACATACAATTCTTTTGAAAATTTTATAATTATTTAATTTTAATAAATTTCTTTTAGAAAGAAAAAGCAACCAATTACAATTTTAATATTAAAAAATCGTTTCTAATCTAGCAACAAAGCAAATCTTTTTATAATAAATAAAATAATCAATTATCATCAGTCACACACAATTCATAATTATAAACATTAGATAGCACCAAAAAATTTACCATAAAACTTTATAAAAAATATTTTTAAAAACTCTACAAAAACAAACTTTGAAAGAAAGAAAAAAGCAAAATGATTAGCTCCTGCGCTTTCCATCCTGAAAACCAAAGAGAAACCCTCTGCTTATCTCTTTAATGCAAGCACAAAGGTTTGATCTGCTAGCAATGTGTCCAAGAATAACATAATGGCCACTACAACTTACCACTTAAATAATTCCAAGAGTGTCTAAACAACAATCAAGAAATCAGTGAGGTAAGCTAGATGCTCATTTAGGAAATTAAATACTTCTAAGACGATGTAGACAATAAGTACAACTCTCTTGTATCAAACCTCATCGAAATCTAAAAAAAGTTCAATCAAGAAATTGAAGCTCTTATCAAATTGCACTCCTTCAACAAAGATTATTCGAATAAGATTCTAAACAAAATCGAGGTAAAATTTAGACTTAACTTCATTTTTAATCATATTCAATAAATTACATTTCTTTAGAAACTTTTATTTTTTTGGTTAAGCTTTAATTAGATCATATTAAATCATTATTGTTAACATGCTTCTACACAATTTACATTGAAACATGTTAAAAAATTTTTTTTTTTTGATTGAATAAATATGAAATTAAATAATTCCTTTTAGTTAAGATAAATAAAAACAACAAAAATGATATAATTTTTATTTTGAATAATTCTATTATTGAATATTTAGTGCATTTCTATTAAAGCTTATAAAGTAGTATTAATAAATGGCAATGTTATAAATATGATTATAATTAATATGTGAAGATATTTTTTTAATTTATTCTAATTACATTACTGGTTTTTCTTATTCTTTATTAATTGTTTTCTAATAAATTTATAGACATTTTTAGAGAACATTAAGAGCTTTTGCTCAGTCAACAATGAAAAATAATTAAGTGATTTAGTTACTTATTTTTCATTGATGGTGTACTAACATGAAGATAGTTCATTCGAAAACAATTTCAAAAATCATCTTGAAGAGATGAACATAAAATCTTAGACAATTAAAACATTCTTCAACAAGCATGAAATAGAAATTTTAGATAATTGCAAGAGAATAGAAGAATCAATTAGGGAATTAATGTGTAGCGAAGTAGATATTTTATAAATTTTAGAAATTAAAAAGTATGAATCAGATGCTGACAATTTTAAGATTTTATGTTCTCGTTAGAAAGATCTTCCCAAGAAATTCTCTATCATAGACTGCAAGAAATCTCAAATTGACTCCTTAGAAACTATTGTAGACATAGTTTTTAAGTACTTCAACTTTAAGGTTGCAGAACGTGTCTAGATTCAACTTCGTCATGCTGAGCATCATCATCTAATTACAAGTGCTGAATAGCTTAGCAACTGCAATTCAGTTATAGCTGAAATCATATATTCACCTACCTAAGTCTCTCCTCTTTACGTGATTGGTAATTACTTTCTAAAATAAAAAAATATTTCAAAAATAAATAAATAATAAATTAAGACAAGTAGAACTTAAAAAAGCATTATTTATTAGTTTTTTCAAAGAAAAATTAAAATTCTCAAAAATATTAAATAATTATTTATTAATTTAAATAGGTATTTCTGGTAGCACCCGTTGTGGAAAGAGTACATTATGTTAATAACTTTCTGTGGCATTAAATGCAGATATTTTACACTAAGACTAATTCTTTGATAAAAATAAGATATACTCTCAACTTAATGGTAACTGGGAAAGCCAAGAATCAATTGACTGGCATGCATTCAAGGAATTTGTAATGAGAGAAATCAACAAGAAGAAAGTTCGTGGTGGTTATGTCATTATTGAAGGATTGTAATTATTCTGCGAAGAATGGATGAGAAACATCTGTGATGTTAAGTTCTTCTTAGAAGTTGAAGAAATGACTATGTATGTCCGCAGAATGAGAACAACTGCTGTACCTGAACACTACTTTTGGAATACAATTATTCCTGAATATCAAATCTATAAGAAAAAACTTGAAACTTATTAGAGTACCGAAACTGATAACTCAAAAAAAATAGTTTATCTAAATGGCTAAGAGACCATCTAAGGTGTATTTGAAACTGCATTAAAATAAATAAATTGTTGAAACTATAAATAATTTTATATTATAAAATAAATAAAATATCTTTTAATAACAAACAATCTATATTTCAAGTATTTTAATTAATTCACAAAATATTTTTAACTTAATCTGACTTAATTTCTTCGATTTATTTTTAATAATTAATTATTTGAAATAAATTTCTTAAACTATTAAAGATCAATAAATAATTAACAATTAATCTAAGTATTAAAATTAATTAGTTAATAATTTTAAAAATATTTAATTCGATAATTCAATTATTAAATAAAAATTTAAAGTTAAAATTATTTTTATAAAATGCAATTAAATATAATTAATAGTTTAATTTTTATATAAATCTTCAATAATATTATTTCATTCTTTTCCTGATCTTAAACATTATTTAAATTTTTTTTTAAAAATAGTTAAAACTTTTTCAAATAAAATTCTAAAATTTAAAACTCAAATAAAAACAAAATAATAAATCTTAAGATTAAATTTATTTCTCTTTACCTTAATTATTCTTTGATAAACCTTACTAAATAATAAGCTTTTCATAATGAAACCCCTTAAATAAATATCTTAGATATTTAAAGAGAGACCAATAATAAAAGTGATATAAAATATTATAATTAACACATTATTATTTGATTAACAATTCTATTTATTTTTTAATTAACTTACTTAATGAATATTAAGTAAAACAATCATAATAGGATTATTATTAATAAATTATTGTAAGTTTCTTTTATTTCCACTAAAATATTTTAAGACTCAAAGTTTAAAAATTTTAGCCCTTTAAATTGTAAATTTTCTAGAAAATTGTAGGGTTTAAATAAGAATATACAGTCTATTTAAAAAATTTAAATAATTAGAATTAAAATTAATTAATTTTTATTCATTTAAATAAGCTTTAAATAATATATAAAATAAAAATTTATTGCTATTAATTTTATTTAAATAAAATATCAAGATATATTAAACATTAATTTTAATTTAAAAATAATTAAAATTGAAAAAACAACTGCTAAAAATAAAATTAGTCTTTTTGGTATTCTAATTTATTTTTAAAAATAAATGAAAATAATTCTTTCTAAAATTCTTAAATGCATAAAAATAAATTGTAAAAATAATAACATAATACTGATTGTGTTTAAATTTTTTTATTTTAATGACTAAATAATTTTACATCATTAATGCTACAAATTAGCTCTGTAAATATCTTTTGATTATTTCTGATAAATAAAAGTATATTTTTAAAAATTTTGAATTAAAACTTGTAAAAAACTGTAAAGCTAAGAATATCTAATAAATTAAAACTTTTTAAATACATTTTATAATAGAAAATATAAATATTAATTTTCATAGATAAATTTTTCGAGATTTTACTGTTTTTTAAAAATCTTGTAATTTATTTTGAGAAAAATAACTCTTTTACCAGTAAATATGTATTTAAAATAATATTTAAGCAGAATAAAATTTATTGAATGGATTAATTTTTATTTGTAATCAAAAAAGTTGTTTTTTATCTTTTTTATTTTGTGCAAATATTTTTGATGATAATTATTGAATTAAATTATATAAGATTTAGATGACTAAATATCAAAGAGAAAATTCAAAATCAATTGCAAAATACTAAGTTAGAATATCTAAACTCAATTTTAAGTAATTATTTATAGTTTTTTAAATATTGTTTTAAAGATATTCAGATTTTTAAAAACACTTAATTATTTTTTAATTTATTTTTTTCAAATAATAAATAAATATATTAAAACTTTAACTTTTTAAAAGTAAAAAATACAAAATTGAATTAATTGCTTTTATAAAAACAATATTTTGTATCAAAATTAGATTAATAAATATTTCTTTTTTCGCCTTTTTGTTAGAATAATAACTACTTTAAAAAATTGTAATTCTAATAAATAACTTAAAGAGTATTCAACCTTTAGAAGGTTAATAAAAAAAAAAATTCTATACCTATCAAAAAGCTTTTATGGAGGGACTTTTAATATAAAATATTGTAAATAATTAATATATGCCAGAATAAATTTAAAGAAATCTAAAAGTTAGGGTTAATTTGTGATTATTGATAAAAGCTATAATCATAAATTTATTAATTTCCGCAAATAACCGCTCATTACTTGAGTGAAAAATTAATCTCAAATAGATTTTTATTATAAGCAATTCAATTACTATAGAGAAAATCTATTTTTATGTTATGAATGTAACGATTTTCTTTTTAGAAAAAAAGAATAATTAGATTACTTTTTCCAGAATAAAACCTTAAAACTTTTCTCTCATTTAAAAGCTAAACAGCCAATTTTTAAATTAATGGCAATTTAGTATAATATCTATCATATTATCCATAGTAAAATCAATATATTAACTTTTATTGGTGGCATTTAGTCAAATTAAAAATATTGAATTTATTTATTCAATAAATAAGAAGAATGAAATGAAATTGTCAATAAAACATAAATAATAAATGATATAATTAGAGCAGGAACCAGATTATTAAGTCAATAAATATATATAAAAATTGAATCCGATTCATACAAAAATTAAGAGAATAATTAATTAATGGGAAAAGATGAAAAATTTGATTAAAATTTAAATTCAATTATTAAAATGAAAGATTTAATCAAGCATTCATTCATTCATTATATAAGTTTAGAAAAATTAGAGGCAGATTGATTTTACAAATTAGAAAAAAAGAAAAATCAAAGAAACAACTAACTAACTAACAAATAAATAAACAAACTAACAAAAAACAAATTGTCAAATAAACAAAGAAGAAGATTGTATGTATTCATTTATTCAATATATTTATCTATCTATCAATCAAATAAATAAATAAACAAATTTCATATTCTTAGCTTTTAGTTTAATTCTTTCTGATACAAAAAAAAGAAACAAAAAAAATAAATATTAAATAACTTTAATTTGTTTGTTATTTTTTTAATTTTTTCATTTTTTGATTGTCTTAATAATAATTAAAAATCAAAAGTAGACTAATTTTTTTTATAAGCTACACATAAATAAAATAATATGAGTCAGCAACAATCTTATCAATTAGCTACTTCTTCTAAGGAAGATCAATCAAACTAAAAGCTACAAGAGGCACCAAATAATTCTTCAAGCAATCAAGATAATAGCAATAAGTATCTTGAGAAGATAATTTAATAGTATAAGGAAACAACCAAAAGTTCATCTTAGACTCACACACCCTCTTCCTTTGGGAATAGCTAATATACTAATACGAACATTAGCAATATCTCTTCTTTGAAAACTGAAGAGGCAGCATTAAAAAATCAATTAGCAAGCATCGGCGATCAGGGAAATACAAACCAAGTAGATCAAAAGAATAATTTTTCAAACTTACCACCCATGATTCCTAAGGTTTCAAAGCCAGGTGAACCTTCCTCTCTTGGGTAGCTTGGATAAAATAGCTAAATTAGCATAGAAAATATAAATAATCTTAAAAACAGTGCAACAAAATTGAATTAAAATGTATAAAATTTAACAACAGTTGAACCTTATGAGCCTTATCGTAAAAATGCTCATCAGAGGTAATCAAGCATGATACACTTAAACGGATCCAGTTCATCAAGTTAACTTTAAAGTTTGGTTGCTAAGGGTTCAGATACGACAACTAATAACTAAGCAAATAGTAATAGCTAGCAGTAATAGGCAGGCATGAAGTTATCATAAACATTAGGAGAAAATAGTATCAAGCAATTAGTAGCAAATAAAATAGATGCAATTAAAAAGTAGTAAGACATTAATAGCGCAGCAAATAGTCAATTTAAGAAGGAGTTTATCAATTAGTTTGTAGCAACATAATCAGGACACTCTAACTCTACTGATATATTAAATAAACAAAGTAGGTTGTCTTTCTAAGGTGATTTGACTCCTGTAATTCCTTACGAATCTTATTATACAAAATAGCAGATGAGAAATAGCAAAAAATTAGAAAATACAAATGAAAGCCTTAAGCAATAAAATAAAGATATTGGAAGCAGCATCACCAATAATCTCCTTCAACAAAAGAGTGATTAAAAAGAAAAAAAGCTCCTAACTTAATCATAATTTGATTTATAGCTTTAGAAGTACAAACAATCGCTAATGAATAATTTAAATTTGGACACATCTAAAATCAATGAAAGCGAGAAGAAGTAAGAATTAAGCGGCTCTTCAGCTTTATTAGCAGATTCTGTCATTAACTTAACTGAATCAATTACAGGATAAAATTAATCTAAATAAATCAGCAGCATTTAAGTACCTGCCTCGAAAGTACAAGACAGTTTTAGCGATAGACTACTACATTTTTAATATACTAGCAAAAATCCAGCTGCCAATAACTCAGCTATAGAGTCACCAGATGGTTCAGCTAAGAATTCTTAATAAAATTAGTTAAAATCTCATGTTCCATCAGGAACTCTAACAGCAGGAGCAACTCCAACAAATAATCAAAATACCCATCATTCATTTAAGAATAGCATATTTTATAATCAAAGTCATCAAAATGAAAACAAAGCTAGTTAATTTCAGCAACCACAAAAGTAGAATCCAATCGATATTTATAAGTATGACTTCACGTCTAAGAATATGTAAGCAGCAAAAAACAAAATATTATCCGAAGTAAGCAGTGAGTTTAGTGAAACTAATTTATAGAAAATAAAAGAAAGACTAGTCTCTGAACCTTCTTATGAAACAGGAAAATAATAAACTGATGAAAATAAAAACAACACCAGTTATTAAGAAAAAAATATAGATTATAGTTATCTTGATTAAATGATACCAACAAATCTTAGGAAAAATAAATATGGTTAAGATAAACAACGCTCTAACACGATTGCCATCAACTTTCCTCTACCTTCAAAAAATGAAATTCTTTAATACGAGGCTAACCAAGAGACAATAAAGTTTTCCTTCAATGCTGAAAAAACCAGCAGTAATAATTAAAAAAATAATGAGGTTCCATTTAACTTTGCAGGAAAGATTTCTTTAGAAACAAATTAGTAAAAATAAAATTTGCTTGAAGAGAAAAGTTCAAGTAAAATTAGTAGCAACTAAATGGATTTAAACAAATGGTTCTATAACTAAAATTTTTCAAATCAATTTGTCCTTCCTACATATAATACAAATTAACAAGCAAGTAATTAAAATAATACTGGTAATACTACTACTGTACCTCAGTATACTCATTTTAATAGTTCTTCTCCTATGCATTCTAAAATAGCCTCAAACAATTTTTAAAATTATACAGGCACTCCTCAAAATATTTCAAGTTAAAACAGCACTCAGAATAATAACCAAAGTAATACAAGCTTCTCTAAAGATTCTGCTAAAACATTTTCAATTAATATATAAAATACAATAGATAATTTACCAAATAATTAAGCTCCATTATTAAAATAAGATTAACCTACAAAAGAATCAGGCTATTTTAAGGATTCATTTAAGAGTATTTTAAGCACACTAAACAATAAATAGGCAGCATCTGGTTCAAACACTACAACTGCTGCTATGGCTTCAAAAAATAATGCCAAACCAAGAGAGACTAGATAGTCATAAAATGAAGTATAGAATCGTAGCTTTAGAAGTAGCAGTAACAATGCAAACTCAACTTCATTAAGAGAATTCAATATCTAAGATTTTATCAAAAACGAAAAAATTAATGATATTAGCACAAAATTACCAACATAACCTACTGAAGATTTAAACAGAAAAGCCAATAAACAAGAAGAAAGATAGCTTAATTAGAGTATAAACAGCAATAGAGCGAATAGTATTATCAATTCAGTTGAGTTATTCAAAAGAGATTTGAATTTAACAACAAAACTTCCCAGCACATAGTATTTAGATGAAATTCTTGGAAGAAATAAGTCGATCAGCAATTAAGGATCTAGTGAAGCAGAGTACCAATAAAATTAAAACCTTTCAAAATTTTCAACAATTTCTCCTTTGTCCAAAAACTAAAGCGTGGAATTTCAAATTTTCACTAAACTTCCTGAAAAAAGAGAAGAAAAAAGTAACAGTATTTCTATTAATTCAAATATACCTATGAAATAAAGTAATTTAATTTCACCAAGAAAGTTGTCTTTTTAAGCTGAAAGCCTTAAAATTTACTATGATAAAACAGATTTTAAAACACAATCACAGAATTTTAAAAGCAAAAATGACATAAATTAAAATAATATTTACTAAATTAAGAATGAATTAGCTTTTTATTAATAAAGTACTGAATAATTTGATAAGCAAAATAATCAAAAACCACCTTTATATGATCCCAACAACATAAATAATAAATCTAAAGACAATATCTTAAATTTAGCTTAATAAAACTCAAAAAACTAAATAGAAAAAATTTAAAAATCTTAGTAAGAAAATAATTCTTAATTTGACAAAAATTAAGATATCAAAGAATCATTTGGCATTTTACCTTAAATAGCATCACTGCATTAATCTAATAAAAACTCAAATAATTAAAGTTTTAGCAATATGAGTGTTACTAGTGATCAAAATTAATAATAATCCATATCACAATTAAATCAATAAGCAAATACAAGTGTTAATGACTACAAGTCTCTTGGATTAATTAACTCATTTAATAGCTCTGTTTAAAATCTTTAAAGCAAAGCAGAAGAATGTAGCAATAATAAAGATAGCTCTTCATAATCATCAGATAGTAATATAAAAGCGGGTGATGCAGATAATTCTTCTAATTAATTATAAAGAAAATTAAATAAAGCTGCTACTAGCATAAATTATACATAAACAGCACTTAAAAGTGCCACATAAAATTAAAATATTTTGTAAAATACTCCTAACTATTTTACTAACCCATTCAGTATTGATTAAACTTCTACAACTTCAGCTTAAATATTTGTTTCCCCTAAATTTGAAGGTGCTGATAAAGATTCCACTCCAGTTGTAACTCCAGCTCCTTTTAGTAATAGTGTTAGCACAAATTCTAAAAATATTTAGCATAACAATGAAACTTCTAAATAAGTCAATCCTTTCGATATAATAGGACTTGAAGACATTCTGAAATAAAAAGATTTACTTGAACATAATTCAAAAATCTTATAAATGGCAATGACTGCTTTTAACATAAACGGAGAATAGATTTTAAGTGATGATGGAATAATTTCAGATGAAAAAATTGCAAAAATATTATAAAGTAATGAAAAAAGAAGCAAACAAAATGAGTAAATGGTTAAATAAAATGAAGAGCTTTATGAAAAAATTAAAAAAACCTTATATGGTTTAGAAAATGACTAATCTACTTCTCAATAAAAGACACTTCTTTTGCAAGAAAGGTAATCTAAAAAATAATACACCGAAACTAGTAATTTTTCAGTTTTGCCTTAAGAATCATAAGCTATTAAGTAAATTCAACAATCTGATTCAAATAAAACTTTTCAATAGTTGTTGGATGCATAAAAAAATGTATTACCAAGTTCGCACGCTAACCAAAAATTTGATATAAGTAATGTTAATATTCAATTACCTGCTCCTCCAGCTTAAACACTTTCTAAAGGTAGTCCAGATAAAGTCGGATAGCATTTCAAAAGTGAAAATACATCTTCAACCAACAAATATCATTAATCAAATAGTGGTAACGCTTCACCTGTAAATGTCAATATTAATGATTTACTCAAGCCTATAACTCCACAGCCGAAAGAAAGAATGCTATTCACTAAAGATGATGTTTTACAATAAAAAAGTAATAAAAAGAGCTCTGGTAAAAAGCCTAGCTCTTCACATCACTTCAAACCAAAAAAGAAAGAAGATTAAGAAAAAAGTGCCTTTAGCAATATTTCACCAAATAAATCATCTGAAAAGGGAGAACTTGGAATATCGCAGAACTCATAAAAAATAAATAGTATTTTTTAAAATAATGGCTACTCATCCTCTCAATCAAGTTCTTCTCAACTATAGCCTAATAAGTCAGGTAACTTAGATTTCACTTCAAATAGAGCTGAGGGTAGCTTCACTTCTAGCTCTTCTTCAAACACTGCTCACCGCGAATCTTATGGTTTCTCTTCAAGTCACTCTCCAGTTACAACAAAAAGACCCTTAATATTCCCTGAAAATAACACAATTGAAAGCAAATTTTCATAAGAGCAGCAATAAAAGTCTAATTTAATAGTCACATAAAAAGTTTAATACCTAAAAAATCAGAATAGCTTAAATAATAACAGTTTTTCTGAACACAAGTTTGCAAATTCTCTAAACACATAGGAATTTCATTCAAGTGATACACTAAATAATCTCAGTGCAGGAAACAATATTTCTAAAATTCTGCAAAACACAAATTCAGAAGGATAGAATGCTGTAGTGACAGTCTAAGTTTAAGTAAAATAAATGCCTTTGCCAACTAAATTTATGAAGAAATATAAATTACCTAACCCAAGAAACGATCACATTTTATTTAACAATTTCTTTAAGAAAGAAAATTTCAAAATTGGTAAACACTTGGGTACCGGTAAATTTAGTGAAGTTCACATGGCTTAGTAATTTAAATTATTTTTATTAATTTTAACATGAAAAAAAATTTTTTTTTTAATTATTTTTTGCAGGGATTTAAACACAGGATTGATTGTTGCTCTGAAAAAGATAAAAAAGGAAGTCCTTATCAAATATAAAAGTGAAGATTATCTTGAAAATGAAATTAAAATTTAAATATTCTCAAATCATCCAAACATCCTTAAGCTGTATGGATTTTATTATGATGAAGAATTTGTTTATTTAGTGCAAGAGTATGCTTCACACGGGGAGTTGTATCAAGAATTAAAGAGATAGCCCAATTAAAGATTCGATGAAATCAAAGGAGCTGCTTACATGAGATAAATTTGCGATGCTTTCACTTACCTACATCGCTATCATATTATCCATAGAGATATTAAACCAGAAAATATTCTCATGTCATTTGTAAATAAATTATTTTAATTTTTTTTTTTAATGCTTAATTCAAACAAAAGGGAGTCCTTAAAATTGCTGATTTCGGTTGCAGTGTTTATTGTCCAGATGATAGAAGAGAGACATTCTGTGGTACAATTGATTATATTAGTCCTGAAATCGTTAATGGAGAAGCTTATGGATAAAGTGTTGACATTTGGAGTTTAGGTATATTGACCTTTGAGCTCTTGACTGGAAAGTCTCCTTTCCAATACGAAACTAAGAATGAAATTTTAGTTAATATTCTCAATGTAATTAATTTAATTTTAAAATTTGAATTATTTAAAATAAGTAAAATATATTTTTTAAATAATCAACAGATGAATATAAACATTCCTAACTATTTATCAGAAGAAGCTAAAGACTTCATTAAAAGCTTGCTTGTAAGAGATCCCTCAAAGAGAATGACCATGGATCAAGTTGTTAACCATAAATGGATTGTTTAGAATCTATAAAAATACTCATAAGAATGGGATGCTGATCTTGCTTAAAAATGCAAAAACATGGTTATATGATATAGGGATATCAAATAAATAAATGCTTATTTTACTAATTAATTTAATTTTAATTAACTCTGATTAGATGCTAAAAACAAGATTTAATTAACTTAATAACTAAAAAAAAAACAAATAAATTAACTAACAAACAAACAAACTAAAATAGCCACATAAAAACAAAATGATATCTTATATTTAAAATTATTTTGCAACAATCTAATCAGTATAAATATATATAACTCAATTTAAATAACAATAAAATAATAATAAAAACTTCTTTTAAAAAGAAAATAAAATAAGTTTATTGATAATAGTTTAAATTAATAAAAAATAATAATTATGATATGAAATTTTTATAATTAATTTCCTTATCTTTGTGTTAATAATAATGTGTTTATAATCTTTTTTATATTTTATATTCAAAGTATGCAAATTTCTTCTCCTATTTTGCAAAATCAATCTTATTTTTTTATTATTTTTTCAGAATACCTTTGATAAAATTACCTATAAAAAAATCAAATTCAAAGTCTATTGTTTTTATAATTACTTAATTTCTTTGCATTTTGATAATAATTTATTTAAATATTTTATTATGAATATATTCTAATTCACCACTAAGTTTCATACTTGTCTTTTATAAATTAATTTTTAGGATTACTATAATAAGTTTTAAAAAATCATCAAAAGAATTTTCTAAATAAGGATCTCTTTTCATAACATTGTAAAAGTTAAGCTATAAGTAAAAACTTTAATTATTAGAATTAATCAAATTCAATATTGGAGAAGAAAATTCAATTTATCCTGTAATAAAAGCAGCAAAAGTCAAAAATTAAATATCAACTCAAGAAACAATTTATCAATTTCTTAGTTTCTTTGATTAAAAAGAATACTTCTAAGCGAATCTCATACATAAAATAAATATAATTAAAATAGAGGAGAATAATAAGTTTAAATATTTTCTAAAAATTTTAGGCTAATAAAAGAATTTTATTAGAAATTTTCAAATAAATATTTGTTGAAAAATTTAAGTTCAATTTGTTCAAATAGACAAAATAAATATTTTTAGGTTACAATTTTCTTAATTTCTCTTATAGTTTGCATTGAATTTAATTAATGGATAGGTAATAGCAAAAAAGAAACAAAATATACTTTTTTCGTTATGATTTAATTATTTTCTCCTATATTCAAGATATAATTTGTATGATTGCTGGGAAATTTATCAACAAATAAATGGTTTTGGTGTAGCTTAAAAATTTTGATAAAATATCTTAATTTATATTGTAAATGCATTGATAAAAAGAACTATAGTAAATAATTATCAACATCAAAAATAATTTTATAAAATTTGAAAGAAAAATTATGTAATAAAATCATAAAATTTGTTTTTAAAGATAGAAAAAATTATTAATTTGCTTCTTTTTCAAATGTTTATGAAGAAAAATTTTCTATGGTATTCATTAAATAGAAAAATAAAAAGTTAAGTAAATTGAAGATTAAATATCATTCACTTAACCATCTTAATTTCTCCTATAAAATATTTCAAAAATATTGTAAATAAAATTGAATGATTTTTAGTTTGAATAAAAATTTAAAAGTAGAATAAAAGCTTTTATCCATATTTTGTTGAGAAAATTAAAGTTCTAAATCCATTGACTTTCAAGAAAGTTATTTATAAATGATTGTAATAGATAAAATATATCATTCATTTTTAGTCGACTAGTTTCGAAGTATAACATATTAAATTGCAAGTTAATGCTATTTCCTTTTTATTTAGAGGGGATATGGGTAAGTTGAAGATGATTATTAATGTTTACCCAATTAATAAGTTAGAAACCATAAAAAATAAAAAAATAGAGGGAAGTCTTAATTATAAAATTGAGTAAATTAAAAAAAAAAAAAATATTTAAATCCAAATGAATACAAATCAATACAATTCTTTTCCAAAACTTCATTACAAATAATGTATTTTTATAATGAGCAAAAAGATACTTATTATTTAATATTTTCTAATATCACCTTATTACATACCTAAATTTTAAAAATAAAATTCTATCAAACAAACAACTAATTATGTATCTTTTTCAGTCATACAATATATATGAAGCTTAAAATCAAATTTATCTTTAAATAGAATTATTTTCTATCAGTTTTTGTTTATTTGTTAACTTGTTTGTTAGAATTCCAGAGAAAGAATTTTAAACAAAAGTTTGAAAAAAAAGTAATTAAATAAATTATAATCAAATTAATTGAATCGTATAATATTTATCAATTTTAAAATTGTAAAGAGCTTTACTAAAAATAATAATAAATAAATTAGAAAAAAAAAAATATCTGTGAAAAAAGTAAGAAATTTAAAAGAATGAAAAGTATTTTATTATACACTTTATTTGCCCTAATATACAGCCAAGTAAAAGCTCAAATTATTTTTTTTGAGTAAGACTCTTAGTGCAGATAATATGTCTCTTTTAATTTTGGAAGTTCAGACTAAATTATTAAATTTTAAATGGAACTGTATAGTACTATTTCATTTGTTTTCTCTACATCTTGTCCAGGTAATTAGTGTGTAAGTAATCAAAAATTAGACTGCTAGTCATCAAATGGGTGCAAGGTTTCTTCATAAACAGAAAATATAATTAATGCTGCTAATTAGACAATATTCTACGCAAACTAGGCTACTTCTTCTATTTTTTGCTAAGGTTGTAAAGAAATGTCAATCAAATAGTTAAATTTTGATTTTGTTTATAGTGCTGCAGCATACCAATATTATGATTATGCTATGTTAGGATTATTTCCTAGTAATTCATTTTCTAATTTCTATAATTAAGTTTAAAGTGATACTTACCGCTCAGAATAAAATCTGTGGTTTGCATTAGCAAGCTGCTATAATAAAAACAGAGATCTTAATACTGATTCATAGATGGGATTCTTATCATTTAATGAAACAATCACAAATAGACAAACATAAAGGATTTTTCCCTTACTTAAATCTGATACAACTTAGAAGTACTTTTAAGCAAGAGTTATTTTTTATGATTAAATCTTTGTTGGATCATATTAACTTTAAAATAATTATCAATTTATCGAAGTATATTAACAAATATTTGATAATATAGTAACTAGAGTATCCTAAAAATATAGAATTTAATATGCAACTGCCTAATAAGATATTATGGTTTTAACATGCAATCCTTGCTTGGATTTAGATGACATGGTTATTTTAAACACAGTCGATTAATATTAGTATAAGCCTATATAAATTAATAGAAAATACTTAACCACCTCATATAATTCTAGTCACTCTATTTTTAATATAATAGCTTCTAAAGAATAAGTTTTAAATATGGGAGTACCATTTTTTTACGATAATGTCGTACTCATAGCTGGGAGTGTTATCAATGTTTACGACCAAAAATACCCTGATGCAAATACAATTATTTCTTCATCTTCATAAATTATTTCTTATTAAATAATTTATTTAGGGCTTCTCCTTTTAGCATTAATGATATTTGGCTGATTCAGTTAGTATTTGACTAAAAATTAAAAAAGTTAATTATAAATATATAAAATAATATTAACTATTAATTACATAAATGCAAATTAATTAATAAACAAACAAGCAAATACATATTTTTTTTCAGTAAATTAATTTGTTGATTAAATAAAAACTTTAATTTTAACTTATTAATTTCTTTAAATTTATTTATTACAAATGAATATTTTTTAATTATTCTCATTTTTAATTTATCAAAACAGACAGAAAGAAGATTTTTTCTTTGAACTTTATATTTAAATTAATAAAGCTTTATTTAATTAATTAACAAATCTATTTAAAAATTTCAATTAATTTGATTAGTTTAAATTGTTTTGATATGATAATTAATTTTTTCTTTAATATTTGATTATATTATTCATTAGTATTAAGGAAATATAAACAAACAAATTAATAGAATTATTAAAAAGAAATATTTTATTTATTGATTATTCTAATTTTTATTTTATTAAATAAGTCAATAATGTTTTTACTTTACAAATAAAATTCTTTCTTTTACCTAATTTTAACAAATTAATTTTTTTAATTAACTAAACTAACTAACTAACTAACTAACAAGCAAACCTATATGAATATTTTCATTTTTTGGATTAGTTTTTAAAAATGTTTTTTAGTTTACTTCTTCGGATTATTAGCCTTATCTAATTTTTATTAGATTATTCAATAATATTATGTTAATATAGGTAGGTATAGTATAAATTATTCTCATTTTTAATTAATTAAAAAATAATAATTATTTATATAAATTAGAAACCATAAAAAATAAAAAAATAGGGGGAAGTCATAATTATAAAATTTGGAAAATTGAAAGAAAAAAATAATATTTAAAATCCAAATGAATACAATTCTTTTCCAAAACTTCATTACAAATAATGTATTTTTATAATTAGCAAGAAGATACTTATTATTTAATATGTTCTAATATCACCTTATTACATACTTAAGTTTTAAAAATAAAATTCTATCAATCAAGCAACTAATTATGTATCTTTTTCAGTCATACAATATATATGAAGGCTTAAAATCAAATTTATCTTTAAACAGAATTATTTTCTATCAGCTTTTGTTTATTTGTTAACTTGTTTGATGAATTGTTTGTTAGGATTACAGAGAAAGAATTTTAAACAAAATTTTGAAAAAAAAGTAATTTAAATATAATCAAATTAATTTAATCGTATAATTAAATGTAAACTTAATTAATTAATATATATCAATTTAAAAATTGTAAAGAGCCTTACTAAAAATAATAATAAATTAATTAGAAAAAAAAAATAAATATCTGTGAAAAAAGAAAAAAAGAAAGTAATTTAAAAGAATGATAAGTATTTTATTATACACTTTATTTGCCCTTATATACAGCCAAGTAAAAGCTCAAACTATTTTCTTTGAGTAAGACTCTTAATGCAAATAATATATCTCTTTTAATTTTGGAAATTCAGACTCAATTATTAAATTTTAAATGGAACTGTATATGGCTATTTCATATATTTTCTCTAGATCTTGTTCAGAAAATAAGTGCATAGGTAATCAAAGATTAAATTGCTACTCATCAAATGGGTGCACAGTTTCTACAATATAAACAGATAATATAATTAGTCCTATTACTAATTAAACAGTATTCTTCGCAAACTAGGCTACTTCTAGTATGTATTGCAAAGGTTGTAAAGAAATGTCAATCTATAAGTTAAATTTTGAATTAATTTATAATTCTGCGACATACGAATCTTATGATTATGCTATTTTAGGATTATTTCCTAGTAATTAATTTTCTAATTTCTATAATTAAGTTTAAAGTGAATCTTTACGCTCAGAATAACATCTGTGGTTTGCATTAGCAAGCTGCTAAAATAAAAACTAAAAACTTAATACTGATTCATAGATGGGATTCATATCATTTAATGAAACAATCACAGATACACGAACATAAAGGATTTTCCCCTTACTTAAATCTAATACAACTTAGTAGTACTTTTAAGCAAGAGTTATTTTTTATGATTAAATCTTTGTTGGATCATATTAACTTTAAAATAATTATAAATTTATCGAAGTATATTAACAAATATTTGATAATATAGTAACTAAAATATCCTAAAAATATACAATTTAATATGCAACTGACTAAAAAGATATTATGATTTTAGCATGCAGCCCTTGCTTTGATTTAGATGATATGGTTATTTTAAACACAAGCGATTAATATTAGTATAAGCCAATATAAATTGATAGAAATTACTTAACATCCTCTTTTAATTCTAGTCACTCTATTTTAACTATAATAGCTTCTAAAAAATAAGTTTTAAATATGGGAGTACCATTTTTTTACGATAATGTCGTACTCATAGATGGGAGTGTTATCAAAGTTTACGACCAAAAATACCCTGATACAAAAACAATAATTTCTTCATCTTCATAAATTATTTCTAATTAAATAATTTATTTAGGGCTTCTCCTTTTAGCATTAATGATATTTGGCTGATTCAGCTAGTATTAGAATAAAAATTAAAAAATTTAATTATAAATATACAAAATAATATTAATTATTAATTACATAAATGCAAATTAATAAATAAACAAACAAACAAACAAACAAACAAGCAAAAATATATTTTCAGTAAATTAATTTGTTGGTTAAACAAAAACTTTAATTTTAACTTATTAATTTCTTTAAATTTATTCATCACAAATTTATATTTTTTAATTATTCTCATTTTTAATTTATCAAAACAGACAGTAGATATTTTCTTTGAACTTTATGTTTAAATTATTTAAACTTTATTTAATTAATTAATAAATCTATTTAAAAATTTTAATTAATTTGATTAGCTTAAATTGTTTTCATATCATAATTAATTTTTTCTTTAATATTTTATTATGTTTTTCATTAATATTATGGAAATATAAAAAAACAAATTAATAAAATTAATAAAAAGAAATATTTTATTTATTGATTATTCTAATTTTTACTTTATTAAAAATAAGTTAATAATGTTTTTACTTTACAAATAAAATTCTTTGTTTTACCTAATTTTAATAAATTAATTTTTTTAATTAACTAAACTAACTAACTAACTAACAAGCAAACCTATATGAATATTTTCATTTTTTGGATTAGTTTTTAAAAATGTTTTTTAGTTTACTTCTTCTAATTACTAGCCTTATCTAATTTTTATTAGATTATTCAATAATATTATGTTAATATAGGTAGGTATAGTATAAATTATTCTAATTTTTAATTAACTAAAAAATAGTAAATATTTATATAAATTTACAATGAAAAATGCTTTGAACTATTTTAAATAATTAAACTTTAACAATTTTAGCTTTAAAATGTTTTTTAATTTACTTCAATTCATTAAATTTATTTAGAATATTTTTATTAAATTTATTCATAATATTATGGAAATGTAAAAATACTTTAAATTATTGTTGTTTTTCTCAAAACAACAAAAAATCCATTTCAAAAATTTAAGATTTAAGCTTTATATATTAGAATTGGATATTGAGAGAATAAATTTATTATTTATTTCAGCAAGATTCAATTGATTTGTTTATTGTGTTTTGATATAAAAATTTATTAGAAGATATCATTTAAGTTAAAGCAATATGGATTGGCTTATATGATGAATAATAAATACATACATACAAGCAATAAAAAAAAACATTGGATTAGCTTATGAAAACTCATTGCTTAAGGAAAGAAGGGAAATTAGAAGAAAAGATAAAAACTAATTAAATTAATTAATATTATAAGGAAAGAACAATTTCTGAATAATTTAAAAGGAAAAAATAAAGTAAAAATAAATGGGAGGACACGGAGCTTGGAACGAAAATCAATGTGAGATAGTTATTTTAAAATATTTTATAGAATAAATTACATGAAGGCGTAAACTTTATAAGCAAAGGCAAAAAAAATGATAAAAAATATTTACAAATTTACATAAATTATATATGAAATAATATAATAAAATAAAATTGCAGATTACATACATCACTTATGGAAAATATTTAAACTATATGCTTTCTATCACTTCCAAATTAAAAAGAAATTCATTTTAAAATAGAACATTATAAATACTCTAAGGAGGAAATTGAAGCCTATCAAGTACCTATGAGAATTAAGGCTGGTCCTTGCGTTGATACTTATATCCCTTTAAAAAAGTGTTTCTAAGAAAATCCTACAAGTTTTGCTGCTAAAATGCTTGATGGCAGGTAAATTAGCATTTTATTATACAATTTCTATATCATTTTATAAATTTTTATATTTATTTGCATTTTTTATTCCACTAACAGAAAGGGTAAATGCGCCAAAGAATTCAAATACTATAATACTTGCTTAAATCACTGGTAAGATTTTTGTTTATTTTAACAAATTAAAGCAAGGAAATAAGCAACCAAGCAAGCAAGCGAGCATACAAATAAATAAATAAACAAACAAACATATGGGCAGAAAGAAAGAAATAATCAAATAAAAAAAGAAAGAAAGGAATACTCAAATGCAAAAAGAAAGAAAAGAAGAGACAAATAAATAAACATTAAATGAAATTTGGATAATTCGTAAAGATATAAATGGTGTGAGCTATTATTTAAAGAAACTCTAATATTAGCAATGAAATTATTCATGATTAAGAACAGACATTTGGATTTATAATAGCTATTAAAAACAAAAAGATTATAAGTAAATAAGTAAAATAATATTTATCAATTAATTATAAAATATAGGTAAACTTATGAAAATAACTCTCATGTTACTAATGCTTATTGGGCTGATACCAGTAAAGCTAATGCTGATGGTATTTCTAATACTTATGGAGGTAGCTTCAGAAAGGGATTAGCTTGGCTTAATTGATTTAAAGTGCTGATTTGTATAAATGATAATAATAAATAAATAGAAGGAATTAATTACTATCTTAAGTTTTCAAATATCATTTATTATTAGCATGAAATCAAGCTGAATTAATTTGAAACGTATATATGTCATAAAGCTATATATATTTCAACATGTTATTCTTCCTATCACATTTCACAAAACTTCATCAATAATTTCTTTTTTATACTTTTTCTCTTTTACATAAAACTAAAAAATATAATAAAAATGTTTATCCAAATAAACAATTTTATTTAACATGATTTTACTAAAACTTATTTAATGATGGATGATGTAAATAAATGAAACTCATTTGCTAACTCAAAAAAAGAAGTTCTAATTTTAATTTAAAATAAATTTATTTGATTAGATTAATTTTTGAAAAACTCTTCGCTTATAATTTGATAAAAACTATTAAATTTTAATTAAATGAACTAATTTATTACTCTAAAAAATAGTTTTAATTTAATTGTTTAATTTTAATTTTAATAATTAGCTTTTAAACACACTAAAAAATAATTCATTTATAACTTTATTATGATAAATTGGGATAAAAATATTTAATTTTATTGAAATAATTTTAAACTAATCAGAAAAAATAAATATTTAATTAATACAACAATCAAAATAAAATAGTATTTTAATTTTTTTAATATATTATAATTTATTAGAAAAAATTTTTTTGTGTTAAGTTATTTATTTATTTATTGTTCTACTTTACATTTTATTGATTTTATATATAGTTAGTCACAAAATAGTTGTGTTAGTCAGTAAGAATTTGTTCGATTATTTTTATCTTTTATGAAAATCAGCTCAAAATTTCCAGATTTTTTTCCCGCTTTTTGAAGTAGTATTTTAGTTTTAATTGTTGTTGTTAGTATTATTATTTTTTTTAGCTGTATTTTATTTCGATTACTGCTGGAAGTGCATTTGAGATGTTCCATTTTGTGAAAAGTTTTCTTTGTTATTGGAATAGTTATTTTGGTGTGTCTGATATAGATTATTTAGAAGCTTTTTCTAGTTCTATTCGTACTCGTTTCTTTTTCTTTTAGAGTTTTTCAAAATACTTTTACTGTTGCTTGAGTTTATTGGGTTGTAGTTATTGCTTTTAGGAAAATTCTCCATAAAGCTGCTTGATTATACTTGACTATATATTAGCTTATTATTATTTGAAACAAAATTTGTATTATTTTATAATGGAAGGGTAGAGGCATTAGAAAGAGTTTAACTTAAATTTAAATCAACAACTGAGAGTTAGCAAAAGGCTTTATTCAGGTCACCATCAAATTTATACAAGAAATCAGCAACTGACATATTTTTTATTTTCTCTGGGATTGCTTGCAAGAAATCATTCTCAAGTTAATTTATCATTCCCTTTTATCTTTAATGTAGAAGCATAAAGTCATTTTTTATGATCTAAATATTATTCAAAATAGCATTTTCAATTAATCCATAATCTTAAGTTGTAGCAGCCATGTTTAATACTCCTTATAATGCTAATTATGAGTTTGAAGTTATGTTTAAAATTGATATTTTTTATTATGTTTTATTGATAATGTGCCACTTAATGCTTAATCTATTTATTAGGTATAAGATTCTATCTACTAATTATTTAATATTATTATTATCATTCTTAATTCAATAGTTTATTTGTTTGTTTGTATGTATGTATGAGTGTCTCTGTTTATGTATTACTTGCCTAAAAGATACTTTTCCAAATAAATCAAATTTCAAATCAAACTCAAATTTGGTAGGAAATTAAATTTTCAAGCTAAATAAACTGCCCTCCCCAATAACTTTAATATTTACATGTAAATCTATTTGATTGATTTTTAATTATTTCGTTCAATATATATAGCTAGCTAGCTAGATAGATTGCTTTAAAGTAATTCAATCAATTTCAACAAAAAGATAATTACTTTAATTAGCAAGGCTATTTTAAATATTAAAACAAACACTATTATATTAAAAATTAAATAAATTATAATTAAGCATTATTTCATTAAAAAATAAATAAAAGACATTAAAATGGATTCATCTAATGAAAACACAAGGAGCTCTTCTTGTAATGAGTAGGAAACTAATTCAGAACTTTAGTAAAGTGTTAATGAGAGTTGTACCAGCCTAGAAGAGTAGTAATTCAGCACTCCTTTTTTATCCAGCCAAGAAACTGTATAGGTAGACTAAGCATTCTAAGAATCCACTAAATAGAATGAAGGAACTTCTTCTTTCTTAAACGAGACCTAATGCTATCAAGATTGTAAGCCCAATTTAATTTCTAAAGGAGAGTCAAATCAACAGTAATACAAAGAGTAAACTCAAGAAATTAGTGAGATTTTAGAAAACCCTTTTGCTTAAAATACACCAACTGATTAATGGAGCATTGTAGAAGAAAAAGATGGTAATAAACAAGCAGATAGTTTTGATATTTTATAAGACAAATTGATTAAAGAGGAAACATATAACATCCCTAGTTGGAATTATGAGCCTTAAGATTTTAAAGCAGATATTGACTTTGAAAAATATGACAAAGAAAATCTAGATCACCTAAAGAAAGTCTACAAGCCTCCATAAATTGAAGACGTCGTCGAAAAAGTAGAATAAGATGAAAATGGGCTTAAAATCTAAACTTTATCTTAATTCAATATACCTAAATGCAATATACTGAAGCTTGATATGAGTTTTCTCTAAACTTGGCAATCAAAAGAAATAGTACCATGCTTTACTATGTTTTCAGAACCAAGTAAGATTCATTCCAGTTTTAAACTACTTCTACTTACTTACTTACTTATTATTATTTTTAATTAATTAGATTTAGTTTTAATTTTGTAATTTTTGAATTTTCTGAATCTTTTTTTTTCAGTTTTTAAAATTTAAAATGAATAAATTTAATTAATTTACAATAAATTAAAAAATTTTTAAACATTTTATTTGAAAATTGGCTAAAATTTGTTATATAGAAATAAAAAATATTCCAAAATTGTTTATTTCATGAAATATTTTATTTAAAAATTAATCTAGAAACTAACAACGGGGAAAGTCTAAATTGTGATGAAGAAGAAACTAATCCTTAGATTGATAAGAAATGGTGCAGAGATGTTTAAGTTGTCTTTGAAGAAAGAGATTAGAATGGTGAGCTTATTGATAAATATAGAGTTGTCAAAGAAAAAAGAACAGTTAAATTATAAGGAGATATATCAGCAAAGTGGTATATTTGTCTAGAGCAGATGAAGCCAAATGAAACTAAGTGGTTTAAAATGGAATAAAAACTTCTTTGGCAGATTGGACAAAAAAATTTAGCTTAATATGAGTGTATTTATCTAAAAATATAAATTGTTGGAGTAAAGGCTCTTGCTCTTTCTGAAATGAAAGATAAACTTGAAAAAAATAACTTACAACCCTAACAGTAAAATATAATCTATGAGGATTATAGTTAAATAGCTCAGAAATCAGAAGAGTTTAACAATGAAGGAAAAATTCTATTCTCTATTATGAATTATGAAAAAGCTGCAAAATGGTTTAACAAAGCATTTAGTATTTGGAGAGGAATGAGCAAAAAGCTTAGAAAAACTTTAAATTCTGAATAGGAATAGAATTATATTGATAAGAGTAACTAGTTTGGTGCTAATTATGCATAATGCCTTATTAACCTCAAAAAATATTAAGAGTGTGTGGATTTTTACTAAAAAAACAAGCTTTCTTCTAATAAGAACATTTATAAACTTGTAAAAAGTTTATATGAATTACATAACTATGAAAAAGCTATTTAAGTAATAGATAAACAGTTTCCTTAAAATGATGAAAACTCAGTTGATAAATTTATGAACGGTAATCAAGAAAGTTTACTTCCAGCTGAATTCTAAAAGCTTAAAAGTCAGTGTTAAGTAAAGCTAAAAATGTTAGAAAATCAATCAATAAATACATTTTATAGAAAATTGTTTTAATGACTTCTTTTTATTTGCCTATTTTTATAACATCGTTTTTAAATTTAAATATCTTATTTTTAGTACATTTCTTTTTTTACTTACTGATTTACTTACTTACTAATAATGAAAAAATAATAATATTTTTTCTTTAATTTATAATCTTTATAATAAACTTACAACACAACTTCTATTTTAATTATTATTTAGATCTTTTTTCATTTATTAAATTTTAAAAATAATAAAATTAATTCTTATTTCTAAATTTAATGTTTTAATTATTTTATTTGATTCCTAATTAAAGATTAATTCTTTAATATTCTTTATTTCATTTTATTTCATGAATACACAAAGACTATTCCAATAATTCTTTATAAATATATGCAATTTTTAAATTAGATACATATCTTAAAAAATTAGGCGATAACATATTTCTTTGTTTAAAATTTGCAATAAATCAAATTAACTATTTGTAGGATTAAAATGGTAGTTATTTGATACAAAGATTAATTAATTTAGAAAGATAAATTATTAAAATATAAAAATAAATTCTTTAGCTAAAAATAATAAATGATATTACACTGTTATATTAAAAAAAAGATTTATAAAATAAAATGGATGAAGTAATTAAAATAGGGATAATTATAAATATAAATTTCTTTGGGTAGATAAAAATTGAAATAAGATCAACTATTGTGTTCGATTCCTTAGTGTAGTGGTTATCACGTCAGTCTAACACACTGAAGGTCCCGAGTTCAAACCTCGGAGGAATCATTTTTTTTTGTATAAATAATAAAGATTAATTTTTCTAAATAAAAAAGTAAAAATAAAAATCGTCTTCAAAACACAATAAAAAAATGTTATTTAATATTTATTAGTTCAATAGATATTAAAATGCAATTATTTTAATAATATAATTATGTAATTACAATTAAATTTTAATTGAACTTGATCTAAAGATTTTAAATTATATATTAATTTTTTATTTTTGTTTATCACTCCAAAAGGAAGATATATTTTTGTTTGTTTTTTAATAATATGTTATCATTTAAATTAATTTTAGTATTTATTTTCTTAAGAGCAAAAGTAATTATTTTTTATCATAAGAGCTGTTGTAGGATGTAAGGAGCTAATTTAGCAACATTCTACTAATCTAAACGGTCATTGAAATCTTTTACTGGTATTTTTATGTCTTCAATAATGTCAAAATATAAATCAGAGCAGAATATGTCATCTGGTGGATTTTTAAGGAAATTTATAGCATCATCAAAAGTCGCCATTTTAAATTCTAAATGGAAATATTCTATAAATGCTATTCCAGCTTTATAGGCAAAAACTTCTCCTTCGAGTAAGAAGTTATCCCAAATCCTAAGTACAGTTTCTTAATCAAATACATTTGAAAATAAATTTAAGAACCAGTGCATAACAAACAATTCTGAACTTAAATCCAGAGCCTTAAAGTGTTGTAAAACAAGATGCATTCTCTTTTGAAGATATTCATTAAAAAACTAAACTCTCCATTTAATTTCGCTCATTTCACCTCTAAAAAAAGTCAAAAAGTGGTAGGAATGTAATAAATTTATGAAAGCTTTAAAAACAGCATATTCTTCATCTAATTGAGATATCAGTACTGCTGCAAGATTTGGCATAGCTTCATTAATATAGCCTACGTCTGGTCTGTAAAAGATAAATGCACTTAAAACATTCTCTAGCATTTTTAGCTAAGGTGCATTAAATTAGGAAAAGAATCTTTTCCCACTTCTATTACTTAAATCAGCTTTCATTTTTTCGATAGAAATCACTATTAATTAATTAAAAATATTATTATTGAAATAAATTGAGATTGACTAATTTGTTGGTTAACTAAAAAACCATCAACAAATAATAAAAATAATTTATTAATTAGATAAATTAAGGGAAGATCTTCTAAAATAAAATTAATCTGGTTTAAATAATTTTAATTAATTATCAGAGTTCTATTAAAAAATATAAATATTTTATAATGCTCATCAAACTACTAAGATATATAAACACTTTTGATATCAAATGTTTATTTTATTTTCTGTTGAAGTAAAAATTAATAAATTGGGATATAGAAAGATTTAAAAAATATATATTTTAAAGTAAAAAAAATATTACTTATCTGATTGTTTGCTATTCCTATGTTATTTTCTGATACTTATACTTATTTAAGCAATATTTTGTATAGATTTTCAGTTATTTCTAGACGATTTCCAATACTCAGAGGCCATATTGTTTTTCTTACCCATTTAGGCATTCCTATTTTCCAAAGTGAAATAAGAAGCAAAGATTTATTATTCTGGTGGGCTAGGTCAAGTTCTTCGTAGTCTTTTTTAGACCCAAAAGGAACTTAGCTATTATTTGAATTATTTTCTTCATTTAAAGATTTAATATTTCCATTTTGATTTCTTTTACTTAAACACGAGCAAATTGAAGAGAAAAAATTAGATTTCTAAAATTTTTTTTCATACTTTGAAATATTTTTAGGTTTAGAAGAAGTATAATCCCAATGATCTTCCCATTTAGAGAAGATATCGAGTCTCCATATTTCATTAATACGCTCTTAATTTATTTACTTTTATTCAGGAGTTATGCTAGCTTTATTTTTTCTTTGTTATCTTTTATCATTCAAATCGTTATATAGAAAAGCAATCCATTTAAATTTAGTATCCATGTCGTTGCTCTTTAAGTCCAGAGTTCGCTTTGAAGTTATTATAGAGAAGCAGAATTAATCAAATTCAGGAGGAACGTTGTTCTTTTTCATTACTTCAGTAGCGTTACTACCTAATGTAAGATCAGTAATATCCTTTATAAGAATATAGCGCTATTTAAATTTTTTCTCAACTGGCTGCTTTTGATTCGCATTTTTATCCATAAGATTATTCATTTATGGTTATTCACTTACTTCATTCCAAACTATCTTATCTCTAGCTTCGTTTATGAAAACTTTTCTCATATGAGGCTTACCGTATCGCCCATATTTAAGAAAATTATACCCATTCTGAAGCTCCTTTAAAATACGAATACGATTTTAACCATCAAACTATGTTTTCATAGAGTCTATGGGCACTCTTGAATAAATTTTTTCGATATAATCTACTTTTGTTTCGAATTTTTCTTTAACAATATTATCATAGAGTTGCTCTAAAAATTCCTTTGAAACTGCATTTCTTGTACATTGAAGATTATTAGAAACGAATGTAGCCTTTTACATCTTTCTATTCTTCTCTATTTTTTCACTGTGAGCATCGACGTTCAACATGATAGCAGAGTAGCAAAGAATATAAGGAGTATCTTCATCTTTAAAAACTGTTGGATTATCATTACTATATACTTTTGTAAACTTCTAAACAATTCTATCTATTTATTAAGACTCTCCTGGTAATCTAAAACGAGATAAAAATAGTCTCATGGCTTCATCAAACCTCAAGTTTCTAAAATCCATCAGTCCACAAAAAGCTTCTAAAATTTTCTAGTTCCTTTCTTTATTACTTCCAAAAAATTGACCTAATTACTCCTTATTTAAACCTTCAGTAGTTAAAAGCATGTAAGCGATATCTTCATCAGAATCATCACATAATTATTTTTCAATTAAAAACTAAATAGCTTCCTTAGGATTCTTATTAAATTTCTTTAAAAATTGATCCATAACGAGTCTGTACTTTTGATGCTCTTCAATGTTAAATAATTCTTTTCTAAGATCTTTATAATAATTATCAATATTTTATTTAAAGTTAAACCATTTAAAAAAAAATAATTATTACCCTCATTAAGCAAACCTTCTTTGGCTGATCTTTGTTGGTTATAGTCTGGATTTGGAGTCTCAGAATCTAAGTTCATTTTTCTATTATTCTAGGTGAGAGTTGGAACACCAGAACGATTTTTAAGCAAATCTTTAAAAAATTTTTGACAGAACTTTTATATTTTACGTTCTTTCTTTTTCTCAAGCTCAAGTTTGTTAAGAGCAGTTGTTTAGAGTTTACTTTAGCTTGAAGATTTTGTGTTTACTCTTTCAGACTAAATTTATTTTTAACCACCTTAAATATTATTATTTGTAATGCTGCTGGGAATAATAACTATTTCCTTTCCCATATGTTTTCCTAAATCTTAATTTCCAATATCTAAGTTGTTATTGTTTGAGTTACCCATTTCATCTTTTACTAATAAATTTTTCTTCTGATGATCTAAAATGAAGTTTAAAAATAATTTTTATTTTGAAATAATTAGATTTTAAGATTTACTTGTATCAGAAATTATTCTTTTTAACTAGCTTTCTTCTATTTCTTTGAGCTAGTGAGACGAGTCTAAAAACAGTTAATTTTACTTATGATTGCTGTAATGAATTTCAAAAGATTCTTTATTTAAAGCATTTCTTTAAATAACATGATCTTCATGTTCATTAAATGATAGTTTTCGTTTACCTTTTGAGTTGAAACTGTTTTCTTTCGAAGCATCTTCAAATTAAATTAAGCTTTCTTTATCTTTTGGTTAATTTATATTATAAATATGATTGGCATCGCTCTCTAGTTATTCAGCTTCTTTCTCTTTGTAAAAGCTGTCTATTTTTATATTATAAAATAGTTCATGATTAAAAGTTTAAATCAATTATTTTGCTTTCTAACAAACAAACTTCCAATTTTTATTATAAAAATAAAATAAATGTCTAATTTTGCTTTCATTTTTTGTAGATTTCTAAGAAAAAATTTCAAAAATTATTGCATCTGAAGGGTTATTTTCAAAGCTTTTTTAGTAAAATTTTAGTTATTTTAATTAAAATTTAGATTTATTTTTCTTTCTATTCTAATAAAAATATATCTAAAATAATAGCTCAAAATTTTGATAAAATTGAATTAAAAAATCTAATTTAAAAATAAATAATAAAATATTTAAAATTTTTAATTCAATTTTTGTTTAAAACAGTAGCCTTAGTAATGAATTAATGAGGCTTATGAAGTATTTTAAGCTAATTAAATAAAAATAATATTTGTTACTGTTTGTTTCTTTGATATTCATTTGGTTGGATAAGCGATTCTGTTTTTCTGGTGAAATACTTTGATTCCAATTAGTATTATAACTAGTAAATTGCTATTCATTTAATCTTTCACTTTATTCTGTTGAAAATTTCTCTTCTAAAACTGAAAGTCTATTATTTTAAGGAGTGTTTTGTGTATTTTAAGTTTCTCCATTAACTACTTTTCTATCAAATATGGTTTTTGCTCTATGACTTTTATTTTCAGTGTTAGAATATAAAGGATTGATGTTGCCTTAATTTGATTGCGATCTTTATTTGTTCACTTATTGATTGTTTGATGAAATTGGTATGGTCTATTTTAAATATTATTCGTGGTTGTTGAGATGTATAGAGTTTATTTTATATCCTTATGTGCTCTTTGTAGTGTTGTTTGAATGATCTTTTTAATTGAATCCATTAACTCCCTCAAGAATAGTACCTGAATTTAAATTAAGAGAAGGATTTTAATCATTCACATTTTATATCTAATTTTCTACTTTAGAGCTTGCTTAAATATTATATTCCTCAAAGTCTTCTTCATTATCCTTAATGTTATAATCTTTAATTTGTTTCTTATTTTCTTAATTCTAATTGATGCTTTCACCTTAATATTAGTTTCCATTAATGCTCCTATTTTAATTCATTGGAGAAGTTTTCTATGATTAATTGGTATTTGAATGCTAAAAGGGAGACTAATTTGGTTTTTTATTTATTCCATTCTAAGAAAATTAATCTACTGATTACTTGTTATCACTAAATCTTCTTTCTGCTTATTACTACTACTACTTTTAAGGTGCATTTCCATTTAAATTCTTCTATGAAAAATGATTATTAGCAGAATTATTTTTATATTCTTCTTCTTCATTATCATCATCGTCATCATGAGCATTATCTTCTTCACTTTCATCTCCATCTTCTTCGTCTGAATTATATTAAATAATAATTTGTGGATCACTTGAATCCGAATTTGATTTTTATATCGATTTTTTAGATTCTGAGCTATTTTAATTTCTAATTTTAGAGCTATTTGATTTTTATTTAACTAGCTTATTTTCATCTATTTAATCTGTCTCAATTTAAAAGTCCTTTATATCAATAGATTTATTTTTACTGATGTTTGCTCCTTTATATTCCTAATCACTTAAACCTTGCTCCTTTTTTGTGCTGCTTAAATCTAGTCTATATTGGTTAGATTATTAGATATTGCCATTTTAATATATCATATTGCTACCATCACGCATTGAAGTGGTAGAAAATTGCGAAGTTGAATATGCAGATGGTGCAGCATGGTCAGATTTAGCTTATTAAATTTAAGGATCTTGCACAAGCGCTTATGGCCCTGCTTAAAAAGAAGAAATATTTGCTAGCTTCTTCTTAACAGATCCATATTATTCAGGATTATTCATCCTACTTGCCCTTTTATAATTTATAGAAATGCTGCTATTACTTTAAGTGTTTATTTAAACTCAACTTTTATTTTTGTTAATTTTTTTAAAGATTTTAATAAATAAATCAGTCGCTCATTCTTCAATCAATTAATTACATAATTTTAAGAATATAAACTATTAATTGAATGCTATTTAGCAACAAAAGCAAAAAAGCAAGCAAGCAGCAAATTATTCCTTCTTTTAATCCTAACATTAATATTTTCGCTGGAATATAATATAGATAATAGGTAGGATACATAAAAACATTATTTTTACAGTTCTTTTAGTTTTTTTCAATGTTTGTTTGCCTCTTTGACACACTTTAAAAAAAATTACTAAATTATCGCTATAATATTTGTTAATACCTACGATTTTTGATTTGACTGATACTCTACTTACATTCCAAGTTTATATTATTAAGTTTTTTTTAAGCGAATTATCTCATTTTACAATACTTAATAATATAATTTTTGCCTGCTTTAAATTCTTTCAACCATATAAAAAATTTTACACAATTATAATAAAAACTCTCATTTCAGATATTCTCCAAGATTTTCTCTAAATTAAATTTTACTTATAGCTTGGTTATATAGAAGTTAAGCAAAAATAACCTTGTAATTTATAATAGTTATATTGAAAGCAAACTAGTAATCTCTGTCTTTTTTAAGATAAGCTAATCTTAAAAGTAACAAAATAATTAAGTATTTAATCATTATTTGAAAAAATAAATTGCAAAAGTATTTTTTAATAAATATCTATTTAACAAAACTGAGTTATAATTAATTTATTATCATAAATTTGAATTATATTTTTTTAAGAAGCTGATTTAATTTTATTATTGGTTAAAATAAATTAATCTTCCACATTTTTTATAAAATTTTTTTCTGGTTAAATTAAAAAAAATATTTCTTCTAGAATATTTAAATAAATAAATAGATTTAAATAGAGTTTTAATTTTTTTCAAAATTTTTCCTTTAAATATTAAATTTGCTTTCACTATTTTACTGTTTTTCATGTTTTTTAAAGTTTTTTAATGACAATGAGAATTACATGAAACAAATTCACAAATAATTATTTTAAATTATCTTTGAATTAATTATTATTTTAGTGTATGGAATAAATTTATAAATGAAGATAATTTTTCTTTTGCAAATGATAAAATAAATTAATAATTCCTCATATTAATTAAAAATTAATAAAATGTAAAACAAAATAATAACTAAAAATTTAATCTAAAGCTATAAAAGGAAATTTTTTAATTTATTTACACTGATAATGCCTTTTTTGGAAAAGAAATTTTATTTTTTAAATATATCAAAAAAAAAAATTAATAAGTTAAAAATAAATAAAGATTATTTTAATTTAAAATTTAATTAGAACTGGCATTTAAATTACCTATTTATTATATTTTTCTAAAATTAAATTTATTTTTAATATAATTAATAAAGATCTTTTAAACTCAATACATTTTCAGTTTATTTTTGAGTGATATAAATAAAATTGTTAGTTAAATATTTTTAATTAATTAAAATAAATAATAAATTTTAAAATTAATTGTACCACACACACATATATATATTTATTTATTTACCTTATTTTTGATAATTTAATTTAAAAAATTATTAAAATAATTGGTTTATAATTATTAAAAATAAATATGAATTATTTAAATTAATTTACTCTAAAATAAATTTTTATATAGCTCACCATTATTAAAATGACTTAATTATTTATACTTTTTATAATGTTTATAGATTTTTTTTATTTAGTTTTTAAATATTAAAAATACTTAAAATAATTATCCTAACTTGTTTGTTTTTTTACCTTTATTAATGTTTTTAATTTTTTGTTTATTCTCAATTTAAAGAATAATTTCAATTTAACTTTGAATATTAATAATTTTCAAATCAATTAAGAGATTTAATTCTTGCTCTTACTTCAAATGTTAGAATATTAGAACCATTATTTGTCTTTTTGGAGTCAGATCCTTTGGCGTTATGCTTTCCTATTTCTAAAATTTTATGCTAGTTAAGAGTCTTGATGCAAGTAAAGTTAGTGAGACTACCACTATTCCAATATTCAACTTTTTAGGTACTCCAATCGCAGGTAGCATATTCTGCAGGTTTATTTTCTCCGACATTATATAATAAAAATATATTTTTAAGTTCCTTTTAAATGAAACTCTATAAGATGTGGAAATTATTACAATCTTCCACAGGAATTTCTCTAACACAATTAGCCTTAAACCAATTGAATATTCTTAAAGATTTATTAGTTAACATGGCAATAGCTGTCTTAGAGGGACAACCTGCAACACTATCAGAAAAGAAAGTCTATTATTTTTCATAATTTGTTATTTCAAAGGAACCAATTTGCTTCAAAGTCTCATTAGGTTTCATTACAACTTTGATGTTTCTAACACACTTTGAAGATAGTGGATACCAAATACTTAGTAGATCATTTGAAGCAGTAATTATACCATAAGAGCTAATTATTCCTTGTGAAGTTTAAATTTGTTGCTAATTCTATTAAGGATCCTCAAATGATTATTACTGATAGCACCTTATTTCAGGTAAAATTTCCATAAAAGTTGTATTTTTATTCTTCAAATCTATAATAATATTTTTGCTCACGTTAATGATTTTAACTTCGCCTGTGTCAAGTAAAATAGCAAGTAAGATCTGATCAATAATGGTATTATTTTCATCTTTAGCTGAGAGCAGTTTTATTGATTTAGCTGCATTTGGTAAACTAAAGCTTTTAATTATCTTTCTACTTTAAGTATCTGCAATTTAAATAGAAGTTTGAAGTGCTGAGGCATAGGCTACAAGTAATTTACTCTTGGTTTTAATAGGAGTTATATGTGATTTTTGACCTGCTATACAATATGAATATTCTTTCTTATGCAAATCAATATTCCAAACTTCCATTAAATCAACATCTCTAATAATCATAAACCTTTCATTATCTATTGGTTCTACATCTATTAGTTTTTAATATTATAAAGATTATTTTAACATCTAAAAAAATGAATTTCAATTTTTTTAAATATTGGTTGAATAAAATAATCATTAATTACTTGTAATTTGTCCCACTGAAGTTGTGATTTCATCATAAACACTTGTTAAGGAACGCACTTTGTCTAAATTTTCGTATTTGTTGTAAAGTACTTGATCTGGGAAGAAGATTTCAGCAAATTTAATTTTGTTTTACATAACATTTTAAATTTGCTCTCTTATTTCATTTAGTGCATTCCAATTGAAGTAATTTTATGAATCAATATCAATCTATCCTTATTGCTCTTTTTTACAGAGGAAGTTATAGTTTTTGTAAATGGCATCTTAATCTTCCGGGGAAACTCTTGCAGTTGTAAAGAATGTATTAAGCTAATCTTCGAGCTCTTATTCAGCTTACTATTATTGCAAAATAATGTTCTTAGATTTCTAAATTAATTCATTCTTGCTACTACTTTCAGTAATAAAATCGTCCACTATATTCAATAAGTTTTAAGGATTTAAAACTTTTCTGAGTGTTTCTGCCAATTTAATAAACCTATCCACACAACTCTGGTTTTTTTCAATACAAATTCCTTTTACATGACTCCTTAACTTCTCTATGTCTTCTATTATTTCCTTTGTAAATGTATCAAACATCTCATCTATTTTCTAAACCTCATCATCTTAACATTACAAGTAACTTGAAACATCACTAACCCTACAAATTCTAATAATCGATTAAATATCATCTTTCAAAGGACCTTTAAAATTAAAATAAAATTCTCTATTCTTTGCTTAAATAAAACTATAAAATATAAAATAATCGCTTTAATCTCTTTAGTAAAATTATAAAAAAGCATTGTATTTTTTTAAAAAAAGAAGAATTTGAAATTGAATTTTTAAAGATTTAAAATATTTCGAATTCAAAACAAATACTTTTCAATGAAATTTGATTAAATTTAATCTAAAAATGGAATTTATCCATTGTTTTTTTTATTCTCTTAGTAGTTTTTCAAATTTAAAAACTTTGAGAATTTCAATACTAATTCTTACTAAAATTATGGTTTTTTAAATGTTAATTGCATTTTATATTTAATTTACCTAAAGTGTTTGTCCAATTAGTTGGTACAGATAAAGACATCAGATCAGAATCTCTGAGTTCATCAAGCAAGATAAGATGTTAAGTATGGTCGGTGTGCTTTGATACCATACATCTAAGACAGCAAAGTCTACCCATTTTGCATTGGTCATAAGAGCAAATAGCAATATAAACTTATCCCTTATGCCATTTACATGTTTTAATGCCATTAAGGAATTATTATTGTTATTATTATTGTTACTACTACTACTGCATCATCATCATATTTTAAGAGTTTTATTAATACTAATTATAGCCGTTCTGCTAATTCATCAAGTAGCTATTTTATCCCAACATTCTTCCATTATTTGACATGTTAGCATTCATCATTCCCTACTGATTCTATATCATGCCAGGGCGACCTATAATTCTATTCTAATTATACATTTTTAAAATGGCTATCTCCTTTAGCTAATTAATATGAAATACTTAATCAATTAATTATTTTGATTTTTATTTGCTTATTAATTATAAATTCGATTTATGGTATAAGATTTTTTTTTTTTTGATTTTTTGAAAATTTCTTTTTTAAATAGTTCAAACTCCCAATTTCCATTTAGATCAAATTTTTCTATTTAAATACTAAAAGTGCGCTAAAATTTCTGAGAAACAGCAATTAACTTTACTATTTTTCTAATTTAATATTTAATCTCTCTAAAAATATTTTTCTTCAAAATATTTTAATAAAAACCATAATTTATTATTATTATTTCTTTAATTATGATACTTATTATTTGTCAATAAAAAAAGAATATTTTTACAAAACACATGAATCAAAAATAAAAAATTTTTTAATAAAACAATAATAGATATATTTTTATTTATGATTACAACAAAAGCAAAATTTAAATAAAAATTAGTGGTATTTTTTATCAAATAATTTTTTATTTAAAAAAATATTTTAAATAAACAAATAAAGAAGTTTTATAATCTTTTATTCGCAATAAGTCTTCCAGATGATGCAATCTAATACTCATTTCCTCAACTAAGCAAATAAAATATTTAATAAATTTAATTTTACCCGTTTTAAATAGAAAATTAAATTACCCAAAAAAAATATTTCACTTTGTTTGAAGTATGTTTAAGATTTGAGATAATTAATAGCAATCACTAAAAATATATCTTGCTTAATTATCTTAAACTTTATTTATTTTGATTAAATTTGATTTAATAAATATTAAATTATGACTTCACTTGAATTTTAAACCAATTATTTAAAATTTATTCAAGGTAAAACAAAAATGTTTTATTTTATTTTTTATTCAAGCATATTTAAAATATTAAGTAACTGAGTTATAAAATTTTAAATTAATCTAATCAAAATATTTTTTAAATGATTGGTTTATAGTTTAAAGTATAAAAATATGAATAAATTACAATTTTCATGCAAATACAAATAGAATTTGATTTTTGCATTTTAGATTATTTTTCTTTAAGATATACGTTATTATTCATCGCATACAATTAAAAACGAATGAATTTTTTGTTTCAATTAATTTTTAATTAAGGAAAGAGTAAAAAAATTAAAATAACTAAATTAGTAAGTAAAATGACTAAGAATGTTAGGAATATCGTATTTTTCGTTCTTGTGTTTACTTGCTTGCAATGTATTTATATTTATTTATAATTAAAATGGTAATTATATTATTTTTATAAATTATTTCAAAGAAAGTGTTATCTGTTTGAAGTAAATACAGCTCATTCTGAAATTCGAAGACGCCATAAATTTACAGACTACCAGCTTTATCCAGCCATAATGTGAAACTGAAGTTAAAATATCTTAAACATTAAATTAATTAGATGAATGGGTTCGCATTACACAAAGCACAGACTCCCTTTAGCAGTATAAATAAACATTAATTGATTTAGCTGACACAATTTAATAATCATAGAGATATGTTGAATAAAAAGATAATCAAAGTAATTTAGCATTTATTCTATTTTAAATTATTTAAATGATTCACAAAAAAATCAGCATAATTAACTGATTCGGTTTCAGAAATTTAAATGAATAATGGAAATTCTAATGTAGATTTAACTCTTGATGAATTGACTGAAAGACTTTCAAGAATAGAAAATATTTAGACCTATCTTGATACTTTGTAAGAAGGTAAATATATATTTAATAATGTGTGTAATAGTAATAAGATTAAACAAAAGCAAAAAAATAAACATAAAGATTTTAAAATATTTTTTTACTGAAAGATAATTTTATTTTAAAATTAAAAAAAATAACTTAAATTTAATAGCTTATTTTGTTTATTTCAAAATAGAGGGGTTTTAAGATTATAATGATTATGGAAAAGTATTAAATTCTCTTAGATCTTTTATTCAAGATATAGATAATTTGGAAAATGTGTAGGATGAGTTAAGCTAAAATAGATTCAAATTAATATAAAAAGCTGACGAAGTATAATAAATATACAATAAATGTTATCCAGAAGAAATAAAAGATACTTTTTCAGAATAAGAATCAGGATCGACTATTTTAATTGATAATGCTGAGGATGAATTTAGTATATAAGGTTAAACTGAATCTATTACAAACTAAAGTTTATCATAAGATGATGTTCCTAAAAATGAGTTAAATTATCAAGACTAGGATGATTAAAATCTGGAAGTATTTGATTAAGAAGATATTTAAATGCTGTCAGATGGTATCTAAGAATAAATCTAACAAGAAAAGGAAGAAAAAGAAGTTAGTTAAGAGTTAGAACAGATTGAAATTATAGCTGATTAGATTTCAGATTAAGATTAAGAATCAGAAGAGCAAGAAGAAAAAGTATTACTTTAAGCATAAATTAGAGATCCTCATTTAAGATAACTTAAAAAAGCTAAATATTAAAGAAAGTGAAATATGTAAATAAAATAATATAAAATAGCTAAAATTAGAAAAATGTATCATCCTATTTTTATTTATATTTCTGTCCATATTTCATTTGAGTTTATAATAAAAATTTTTAATATAAAAAAAAAATAAAATGTTTAACAAATTTATTATAAATTTATTACAGTACAACTATCTCAAAATTTATTTTTTATTTCCATTATTTATTTCATATTAATTATATATTTTTAACCCTTAGAATATTAAAATTTAGTGAATTATTTCAAATAATATCCATTTCTTGATTTATACTGATACAATTTCACTTAATCTATAATTTTTAATATACATAATTGATGTTAATTTTTATTTTATTGATATGAATTTAAGCATATTTTAGTTACAAAATTTCATGTTATGAAATTTTAAATCTTGGGTTCCTTTAAATACTGTTTAAAAATGAGTAAATTTTCTTTATTTTTATATGAATGATATAAAATTTATAATGAATAACTTGAAAAAGGAAACTTTTAAGTGGATAAACTACAAATTAAATAATATGTTTGACTAATTAATGCTTATAAAATGAAATAAATCAGCTAGATTTTTTATTCTAAATAAAAAATTATATTATATGGTATTTTGTTTGTATTTTACTTCTTTATTCTTTTTATCATAATATATTTTCAAATAGACCAAATCCGCATAAACTCCTGAGACAAAACTTTCTACTAAAAATATTAAAAGATATTTATCATCTAAAAAGTAGTTTACAATTCTTAACAAATATAAAGTTTTATTATTTTAGATAACATATTTTCATACTCTAAACATGAGAAGAATTATTATAATATTTCTGATAAATTTTGATGAATATTTAATATTGTATAAGAATTATATGAAAAGCTGTTTATAATTTAATAATTAGTTAATTAATTAAAAATTTGAAAACAATAAAAAGTCCCAAATATATATATATATCACGCTTTTTAAAAATATTCAATATTTATAAATAATAATTGCACAAAATAAAATATTAAAATGGAAAAGAGATAAATTGAATAAGTCTTAGCTAAGGAAGAATCACTTGGTATTAAGAAAAAATTTAAACAAATTTAAGAGCAAACATTAGACATACCAAAGCATGAGCTCTGGCTAATTTATGAATTTTGCGAATTTAATGCGCTAAAAACATAATTAGTTATTGAACATACTAAAAAGGTGCGTATTAAAAAGCTCTTAAAAGATATGGTGAGTTTTCCTAAATCTGCTTGGTAGCATATAGAAAGCATTCTATCTAATTTCAAAGTAAAATATATTTAAAAAATACAAATTAGGATTTTGACTTTTCTTTTTTCATTTCAATCTTATTAACTTCAAATATTCTTTCTAGTTTCTTCATCTTATCCAAAAAATAATTAGAAAGAATCTAGAAAAAAATAAGAATTACATTTCTTTATTATTATTTTGTCATTGTAATAAATTTTCTTGATTCTACTACTTTACACATTTTCTAATTTAATAAATACTAAACAAAGTTTTTAAAAATAGAAAATAAAATCAGTAAATTCATCATAATTTAAAATTTAAATTTGATATTTATTTTTTATATCAAATATTTTTATTGGATTATTTTCAATAGAATAACTTCAAGAAATTGTTATTGTTTCAAAAATATAAAAGTGTAGCTCATTTATTATTGAAGTCTTAAATATAATTTGTTTTTAACTCTCAATTTTAAAATAATTAAAAAAAAATTTAAAGATAATATTTTCAATAAAAAATAAATTACTTTTGAAATAGAATGAACTGGAGCAACTTGAGAAAGCAGAGAAAGAAGAGGAAGCAAAGAGAGAAGAGGAATTGAAAAAAAAGATTCAGGAATAAATAGAATAAAAGACTATTGAGCCAGGAATAATTACAAAAGTACCTGATCACTTTATTTTAGATATTGCTGATTACCTTGACTGCTATTCTTTATTTAAATTTTCATTTGCATGCAAAAAATTTAGATAGCTGATCACAACAAAGAATAAGCAAATATTTAAAAAGTTTTGTGTAGCTTTGTACAAGGAAGTACCTTCTCTTCCATTGTAAACAGCTTTCAATTCTATATAAGATATTATGAATGAGCATCCTTATAACTATTCTCCTGAGCTAAGATTAAGGGTAAATCAAGATGTGCGTAAAGTTGCATGGAACTGCTATAATTCTGACAAACCTGTGCATCTTCTTTACAAAACTAGTGCTAAATTCTATCAAAAATTCAATAATTATTATACAATGTTTATGGAGGCTCCTCGTATCCACTTTGGAGGATATTATATATGTAAAGAAAGATACACCAAAATCGGAGAAAAGGATTTGCATCATACTATTACTCCTTTAATTGAGATAACATATTACAGGTATTTCAGATTCCTTCCAGATGGTAGAATGTTCTTTTTACTTTCAAATAAAAAACTAAAAAAAGATGCTATTATTAAAAGTTTAAGTTAAGATTACTACCTAGCTGAATAATATGAAATGAACTAATTAAATAATAATGGCAATATGTTAGCTAATCTTTAAGATAAGTAATAAAATTATGGTGAATTTGTTTTAAAAGAAGATTATGTTTATGTCAGATTTAATTCTTCTACAACTGTATTCTAGTATGACATGAAAATTGCAAGCAGTTCTTATGGTGCACATAATCTTTTGATAGTAGCCAACTATTCTATGCTTGAAATACCTTTAAATCATAACTATTCTTTATACAAAGCCAAACCAGAAGATTCCTCAAAAGTGTTCAGATACAAGCCATTAGAAGAGCTTCGTATTGACTTAACTGATCCCTAATTTCAAATATACAAGAAAATGTCCCTTTGAAAGTATAATAAAAAAATTTAGTTTGCACTAACTAAATTACAAAAAAATAATTTGGCAAATTAATAAATAAAGATCAATTAATTTTATTAAAGTAATAAAGTTATTGGATGAAAAAAGACTAAGGATATGTAAAATTTTACATTGAGGCTTGATTTTATAAATTCAAAAATAGTTTAATCATTATATTTTAAATAGTTTATGTAGAAATTTTATTTGTAAATTTTAAATTTATTAAAAATACATTTAATCTTTAATTTTCATCACATTTTTTTTTAAGATTTAAACTTTTTATTGTGATAAATTTAAAATTTTAAACCTTTCAAGAACTTTATTTTAACTTAATTTAATGCAAATTTAAGATATAAAAAAAGTAAAATAATTCACTTTTTAGTAAAAATAAAAATTAATTGATAGATAATGATTGTAAATATGAGAAAGATATTAAATTTAAGTCATTTTAACTATTTATGAATCGCAATTTTTGTGAATTTAGTTAAATAAAATAAATTTTTAACTTTGACAAAAAGAAAATTTCTTTATTTCGAATTTATTTATTTATTTATTTAATTAGAATATTATTTAATGTTTTAATTACAAATTTTAATCTTGAATTAATTGAGTAAAAATAGCAGCAGTAAACTAAAAAACAAATAAATAAGCAAAAATAAAATTAGAGTTAAAAAGAATTTGCTATTTAAAACTATACTTTTTCTATAAAACAAATAAGTTACATATAAATAAAATTGATATAAAGTTGTATATATTAAGTTAAATTAATTAATTAATTAGTATGATATTTTATTTTTAAATCAGTAATACTCTTCCTCTACAACAAGGTTTTAGTCTCTTAAATTATCTAATTAATCAGGAGTTAATCTAATAAAATTACCTTATTCATCCCTTAAATACTCACCTGCTTCATCCATTAAGAAGCCATCTTCATCTATTTAATATACTACTTCTTCATCTTCTTCATAATATTAGTTATTTTAATCTACAGGCCCTCTATTTTAGTATTAGTTTCCAAATTTGTTGTTCAAATTACCTTGTTAATTTAATCCTTTATTCAGTTAGTTTCTCTAAGGAAGAACTTTTTTAAAGTAAAAACAATTTAATATTACATAATAATCTATTATATACCTTTTGATTTATTGATTTCCTTTGTACTTTTTATGTTTAATGGTGGTAGCTTAATTAATAAAACAAATTTAGATGTATCTTTTATTTTAAATAATAATACTTACATCATTTTATTTATTGGATAAGTTAGACTTATTTCCTCTCATAATACTGCTATTGCTCATCTCTCCTTTAATTATAAATTTAAATAATAAAGTTTTGAAATAAAATAAAAATTACCTTGCTTCTTTAAAAGTGGATTTCTTTTGTCTAAAGGATTTTCAAATATTTAAGAGTTAGGCTAATCATAATATTCTCCTTGTCTATATAAATTGCTATTATTTTGCATGGTTTAGTAATTGACTTTGTTTTAATTGAATTTATTATCAAGAGATGAACTCTTAGAACCTATGTTTGACTAATTAAATTAGTTTTTATATTCTTAATTTAATAGGTCTATTTCATTTAAGTTGCTAAAGTTGCTTACATTTTTTTTGTTATATTATGAATTTTTTATTGGAGAATCATCTTTACTTTCATTTCTATTTTTAGATTTATTAAGTAAGTTTCTAATTCCTCCACCTGTAATTAGTTCCTCTTGGTCTTCCTCTGGCGGAGGGGAAACAGTTTGTTTTATATTTTGATTGTTATTTTTATTTTTATAAGACATTTATTCTACTTCTTCTATCTACAGTTAAGGTCTTTTGTTTTAGTTATTTGATTTTTATGTATCATTATCTTTATTGCCTAAAGATTTTTTCAATGAGTTAGTTAAGAAATCTTCTCCTACATCAATAAAACCTTAATCAAGAGGTTAAGCTTCTTTAAGAATGTCACTATCTTCTTTCTTAGTTTTGTTTTAGCTTTCTTCTTTTGATTTAAGCTTCTATTTTTAATCGAAGTTTAATCTCATTCTATTTTGGACGTTTGTAGATGTCATTCTATCTTATGCCACAGATTTAACTAGCTTTAATTTTTCTAAACTCTCATTTTGATTGTTCAACTTGCTTTTTGCAAAATCAATTTACTCTCCTTCATCTTATTCAAGTTACTAAAATTATATTCAATATTTAAATAGATATTTAATAAATCTTACTTATGGTAGCTTTTCATTTTTTTCTATTGTTTCGCTAGAAGGTGCTTACATGAAATTATTTTGACGTAAATTATTTTAAATTTATTCATTTTTATTTTTTTAATGATCCAGCTTATTTTATTAAGGAGATACAGTTTGATCAAAGGCTTCATACTATTTGTATATATAAATTATTCAAAAAAAACATATTAGTAATTAAAAATTTAAGAAAAGTAATTATGTATTTTTAAGCAAACATTTGTCAGTATTTAAATATTCATAAATTTAGGAAAATTATTTAATTTAAACAAAAATCTATGTTTTTACTATTAAATTTCTAGAATGGTCACTTTTATTTATTTGGTTAGATTTTGAATCTCTGTTATCACCATTTTTTTTACCAAAGATTTCATTTAGTATCGAATTTCCTTATTTATTTTAAGAAAATTAATCTCTGTCTTTTATATCTGATTTTTAATGAATGCTTTTTGAATCTGTTGGAATGTTCTAATAGTAGCTATTATCAATCTAAGGACTATGGTTAAAAGATTAGAATTTGCCTTTTTAATTATTAGGAGTTTGATTAATGTGGTATTCATCACTATGTAAAACAGGAACTCTTTATTTTAAATTTAGTAATTAATTAACTTAAGAATTTTAATCCATTAGTTTTAAATTCATAGTTATTTCCTCTAAATGATCAATCCTTTTTTCATGTTCATGATAATTTTCTTTGATATTTTTTATAGTTAAATTTTATTGGTTAATTTTATAAATTATTTTATTCAATTAATTATCAGATTCAGATGGTTTTAATTCACTAATATTAATTGTATTTAAATTCTCTAAAACAGCTGATTAATTTGTTTTATCTTGTAAATAAGTTCCATTCGTAATTATTCCTCTAGGAAAAGCTAAGCTATTTTGAAAATCTTCGAATTTAGTATCAAGATCAATTTTAATATCTTTTTGTTTTAAAGTAAAATTTTTATAATCACGAATTTTACTTAAAATAATTTTTTTGTTTTGATTTTATGGAAATTCAAAATAAAAATACTTTTTAGATATGTCCTAACTGATAGATTATCTGCTTTTCTATCTAAAGTATAGATTATTTTTTTGATAGTTGATTCTATTATTTCTTAATTTGAAAATAGGTGCTCATATCCTAGATTCATTCTTTCAAACAACTTTTCTTTCTACTTGAAAAGCTCAAGGAATGTATCCTCCATTTTATTGAATTTTGCTAAGATATCTTAAATAGTAGTGCCAAGTTTATGATCCAATTTATCTTAGTTTTATTATACAAACCTTTCCAATTTACTGTAATAATCTTATATTTCTTCCTACCTCTTAGTTTAATCTAGTTGAGTCAGTCTATTTAATTTGGATTGCTCATCCATAATTCCAATAAACTAAGCTTCTAATGACTTAAATTTCATATCATAAATATGCTTAACGTTTATCTCAAAGTCTCTCATAATTTTCTTAGGTTCTTATAATAAATTTTCTTTTGTATGACTTAATTCTGACATTAGCAAATTCTTTAGACTGACCATTTTATTATCAAATGAATTTACCTGTTTTAAAAATAGTAAAATATCTTAAATTCCTCATTTTATTTTAATTTATAGAAATTAGAATCCATTAACATATATATTTTAATTACTTTTAACTCCATTTCCTTTGATTTATCTTCTCTATCTATAATCATCTACTATAATTTCAATATCTCTCTACATAAAATAATTTAATATAATCAGAAAACATGTTTGAAATTAAAAATTTGTTAATTCTTTATGTAAAATTCTATTATTATAACTTACTATCTTTATTAAAACTGTGATTAGTTAATTTCTCTTAGTATATCATTTTTAATATTTTAATAATCATTGTCAAATTTACTCATTATTAAGTATTTTTATATATTCTTTTAAAGATAATTAATTTAATAAATAATTTCAATACTGCTACTTATAATAATATTCACAGAAATATATCAAAAATCAATATTTAATAAATATAAGTATTATTTTTTGTGCAAACGGATAAATAGACTAAATTCATAATTTATAAATTTAAATAATTCAATCAAAATAATTACTTAAACTAATTTGATTAAAATAGTTGTTAGCTTCAAAATTTAATCTAACATAATTAAATTATTTTATTATTATATATATAAATATATCAAAGCTTGAAATATTAAATTACTTGATTTCATCAAATTTTAATTAAAATTTCACAAAATTTATGGAATATAAATAAATACTAATTCATTTAGTGATAGTTTTTATATTAAATTAGAATTATATTTAATTTTGAATTTTTTAGTGTTTATTAATTATTATTTGAATGATATGGTTATTATTTGGTGTGTATGCTTTCTTCGTTTTAGTTTTGTCAATAAGATAAATCTATTTTGATTAAAATAAGAATGAGAAAATGCTTTAAATATAATAGTTTCATCTTTATTATAGTATTTCTTTTTATGATTGAATCAGGGACTGGTTAAGATCAATGCCCGAAGGCTCGCTCAAGAGGTGTCAGTCATGATCATCATATTATCATAAAAGGAATACTTTTTCTGAGATGAGATTTAAAAGATAAATTAAGAAAGTACCTTCTTATTAGAAATATTCAGTCAAAAAGAGAGTTTTTGAGTTTTCTTTAGTGCTACAAGAGAAAAATTACTCAAGTTTACTATCATTTATCTATTTTTTTAAAGAATTACAATTAATTTCGATTTAGTAAAAATTGATATATTAAAATATTGATTTTCACAATGTTCAGGCAGCTAAGGGTTATGTAATCATAAAGATCAGAAACTCTAGTCAAATATATTCATCAGTTTGTGAAAATCAATTTTTTTTTTATATAGTATAAGTATTTTAAAAGAAAACAATTTCTTACAAATTAAAGTTTAAAGATGAAGTAAACTAACAAGCAACTAATCCAATGAGATGTTCGAGTCAACTATCTTATAATTAAACCAAAATAAGTACATTATAAACAACTGAGATCTAAGCAGAGTGAGCAGAATTAAGCTGACTGATCTTCATTAATATATTAGCTATTATAATCAATCAGATGATAGTAAAAAAATCAATTTATTGGTTGGTAGATAGTTTTTTTCAAGCTTTAATTGGATTAGTAGGACAAGTCAGTAAGGATAAATTTTCTACATAGATCCGAGGATCTAATGAGAGAGATTACACACTAAAAACATCATTTAAAGTCGCACTAAATTGATCAATCAATGAATGAATAATTATCCATCAAACAATAGATTCATTAAACAAACCATCAAATGATTGATTTGTGAATATCACAAACAGCAACAAGAAGGAAGATCTTAAGTCATACATAACTGCTACTCACCCTGCATCTGAGAATGAATGAAGTTTCAAGAAAGTGAAATATATACCTTTTTTATAATCGAGAATAAATTAGAATTTGTTTTAATTTTTTATTTAAAATTAAAAAATTTTATATAAAATAAAAAATTAATGATCTATTATGTCAGATAGGAGCGAAAATTTTCTTCTTCAGTTTAGTTCAGGAGACTAGAAGTTTCTCATCATAATAATTTAGATCATTAATTAATTATTATTTGTTTTTATTTAAGTTAAAGATATTATTTACCTTATTTAATTGATTATGGGTCTATTAATTATTAATCACAGATTTTTTTTTATCTTCATATTTTTTGAATGTTGGCTGAGCAAATCCAAAATCATGCAATTTCTTTAATAATATTAAAAATTAATATTAGCAAAAATCTTTTAGTAGATAGATTGCTTCAATAAACAGCAACTTCATCATCAAAGTTAGATATGATATTTGATTAATTAGAGATTGAATATTTTTTCAGAGATCTTGGTGGTATAATCATCAACCCCTTTCGAGTCAAGAGTAGCAAATATGATTGTCATCAACTATATTCAATCTCATCAAATAAATATATCTTTCAATTATATATATTCTTTTATGAGAAGTGTGCTGTTTACTGATTATGTCATATTGGGAAAAGTCATTAATTAAATACCTATTTAATAAATTAAAAGTTAGCATTTTTATTGGTTAAATATCTTTAAGCTTCATTTCCATTGAATTTGTATTATTAATTTATCAGAACCAAGCCTATAATCAACGCCTGGAGGCATATTACTGGGGCGGCTATATCAGTCATCAGAAAAAACACAAATCCAAGAAAATGGGAAAGCTTAACAAGAAATGAAAAGTAATCAAGTACCTTTATGAAGAAGAAAGATATATCAAATAAGATTGAAAGTTCTGAGAAACCATATCAGATTTAATCTAAGTTAGTTTAGAAAAAAGTCTGAGCAAATATTAATAGAAAAAAGGTAGAAAAAAAGATAGATAAGCTGATCTCTAAAATAGAAGGCAGTAGAAATAATATTTAAACAAATATATTATTATAACGGTGCTCTGTCAAATGCCTCATTTAGAATCACGTTGAGGTCGCTTCTCATCAAATACCAAAAGAACTTTGGTACCCAAATCGAAGAAAACCGTCATTCTCGTCATCGTATCTTCATAGCGATCCGTTATAATTTTAATAATTAAATTCTACTGATTTTATTTTAGAGTAGCAATTATCTTATCTTTTATTGTCTTTCTTAAAAGAGAATAGAGTTTTTACCTTTTTAATAATAAATAAAATTAGTTAAGGCTATTAACAAGTTAATTTTTAATCATCATAGTCGTTTATTGATTGATATGATGGCTTTTCTTTGTTCAGCTTGCAGTTAAATGTAATCATAATCATACGAGCGTTGTTAAATCATCATAAAAGAATTATTGATCATTTATCAATCACTAAACAAGCTGATGAATACTAAAAATAATTTTTTACCTTAATATTATGGGAGAGTATCAGATTGATTATCAATCATTAGTCCTTTCATTATCATTTAAGACCATATGAGAATACCTCTAGTTGATAGATTTATTTCCTTTTAATAATGAATAAAATATTAGTAATCAGTCGTAATGAATTATCAAAGAGAAAAAGAGGAGATGGATCATAATTATTAATAGTAGTCTTTGAAGTGTATAAGGTCAGAAAGGTAAGCAAAGTTATCTTCAAGCTGTTTTCAGCAGCAGAACTGGAATATTTATCATCAGTTGAAGAGTTAATTAATAAATAAATAATCTTAAAAAAGTAGAAGTTCTACTTAATTTATTTATTTATTCATTTATTAAATACACGACAAGATATACTAAATAATACTTTATGACTCTAATATAGCATCACTCTATATTCTCTAAGACTTATAAATTAAATTATTTGTTTAAGTACCTTTCTCATAGATCTTAGTATGGAGTATCAAAAGCATTTCTTCTTTGTAAGGAAGGTTCTCTTAAAGATAGAGTTTTAAAGTTTTTCTGATCATTTTTTTTAACCAAGAAGACTAATTCTTGATTGTTTTCTTAGAAGAAGGTTCAAGTGATTTCAGTAGAATACATCGAATCTATATTTGGTAAAATAAATAATTAGAAAATGAAGGTAAAGAAATTAATTCTAAAGAATAGTGAAGCAGTTCGTTCTTCAGTCATTTAACTGTGAGAAATGTTTGAATATTCTATCAGTTTAGCAAAATTTTTCCATCAATCTAAATTCAGACGGTAATTCCATATTTATATCATCATGAATATTTTTATTTCTTCACAATGAAATGAATAAAAATCTTTATATAAGAAGGTGGGGGAGAGTTAATAGTATGAACATTTCTTCACAAAGTAATAGCAGAGTTCAAAGAAGAGGATTAATTTGTGCAAATTGTTTACCTTTTTATGTGGATTTGAGATTGGCCTTTTGCTTTCCTTTGTTGATCGAAAGAAAAATCCTAATCTTTATTTTCTTTTTTAAGATTTTAGGTTTTTTTTTGTACTTTTTTTTTTTTATTTTGTTTATTTTATTAATTATTATAAAAAATGAAGTTGGAGGAGCATTTTTATAGGAAAATTAGGTTAAATTTGTTTTATGGCGCACAAACATACAGTTTAAATATAAATTTAACCCTTCGAGAAGAGTGAGCACTTCCAAAAATGGTCTAAATGAATACTTTTATAGATTATTTTTTGGCAGAATAAAACAAAGATATAATTGATTATTATTTCGTATGATCTTGTTAAAAATACTATATAATATTTTTATTTTTATATTCAAAATTGGTAATTATTTATCTACTCACGTTCAATAGTAAAACTTTCGCGATCTAATAAATTTTTTATGCTCACTTTTTTTTCTTTCACCTCATTTTCGCCAATGAAAATACCCCATTTGAATTCATTCTATTTTAAACAAAAAATGTTAAATTTAAAATCATTCTATTTCAAATAAGCTTCATCTTAAAAACTAAAACCTATTTTTGCTTTCAATAATTAGTTTCAATAATATATCAATAGTAATTACCTTCAATAAATATTCCATTTACTTATCCATTTTAGATGTATGAAGGACAAGTTAGACTTCAATTTAATCATCAGAGATTGAATTCATTAAATTGACGCAATATAGCTTGAGATTTCTTTCAAATTCATCACTTAAATTTTATTTTCCTAGGACAGGAACAATTCCTATTTTAATCTTTTTCTTCTCAAACTCTTTTAACTTGGGATCATCGTCTTGCAAGAGCAAGCCAATTCTTTCGATACCACATGCAAAGCCTACTCCGTTTAAGTTGGTAGCTCTATAATTTAAAATAAAATTTAAAATGTATAAATGTGGTTTAACAAAGTGAACATAAAACAATTATATATTGAACAAAATATCTTATATAAAGAAGGAGAATTTGCTACTTGTTCTATTTTTCCTCTATCTTGTATTAAAATAGTCGTAATAAATAGAAATCTAATAGCAAACCGAAATAATGCTATAGATGGAAAAATACTCTAGTGTTGGTGAATCCAACATATGCAATGATGGAGAAAATGAATATATAGTTAATCCAAATAAATTCTATATAATTTCAACTTATAGCTAAAAAAAGTGCTAGTAGAAGAATAAAAAACATCCTAAATAAAATTAATGTAGATAGATAAATAAAATCTTCATATCTTTTTTATCTTAAACCATATAAAAGCCAAAATCATTAACAATAAAATATGAATATTTAAATTAGATTAAATCATTTAAAATTATTTGAAATATTATTTAATGTTTCTAATTTATAAAATTTTATTTAATAGTAAATAAAATAACTGTTTGTATTTTTAAAAAATTTGATATATAAATGAAATGCTATTTCAACCATTTATTTATTATGTATTTGTAGCAAATATTAAAAAAATAAATCTTATGTTATTTATAACTTTGATCATAAATTCTAATTATTTTTTACAAATTTACTTAAATTGTTTCAAATTAAATTTTTTTTCTACTATGATTTTATTTGGGTTTTTATTAAATGTATTTAAAATTTAAAAATATTTTATTTAATTATACTTTGAGTTAAGAACTGATGCTAGATGATCGTATCTGCCACCTGCCAGGATTGTGTCTTAAGATTTACCCTATTGAGCAACATTTTTGATTTCAAAGCAAGTGTGTGAGTAATAATCTAATCCTCTTACTAGTAAAGGATTTATCTTGTAAGAAATATTAAGAGAATCTAGTACTTCTAAAAGATTTCTAAAGTATTCTTTGCTTTCTTATTTCATACTTTCTGAAAATTAAGGAGCATTAGCTATTAAATCTTAATCTTATGCCTCCTTAGAATCAAATATTCTTAAAGGATTATTTCTTTCTAAGCGCATTTTACTTAATTCAGAAAGTTTGTGTATATTTTTTTCATAGTATTCTTTTAAAATTGAATTGTATTTTACTCTGTCTTCAACATCTCCTATTGTATTGATCTCCATTTAAAATTCGGAATGTTTGCCCAATACCCTTTGTAAAAACTTATGAGCTACTATAATGATCTCAGCATCTATTAAGTAGCTATTTTTAGGATTCTCTTTATGTAAAAATTCACATCCTAGCTAGTAAAATTATCTTTGCCTTCCTAGTTGAGGGCGCTCATATCTATACATAGGACCGTAATAATAATATTTCTGCTACTATTCGAAGTGCTTTGAATTTTCTAAAATATGACGTACAACACTTGCAGTACCTTCTGGTCTAAGTACAAGTTCTTTACCTGACTAATCAGTAAATCCATACATTTCCTTTTATAAAATGAATCATAAATTGGTTAGATAAAAAAACATAAAATCTTAATGGATTTCAAAAAAATTAACTAGAATTATCTATTAAATCAACCAAAATTTATCAACTTTAAGAAACAATATAAAAAAAAGGAAAATACTCATAAAAATCTTAAAATGAATATTTAAAGTTGACTAAATTAAAATAAGAGAGCATAAGTTTTTTTTACTTTATTAATAATTTCAGATGTATCTCCTAAAGTTCTCGAGAAAACTTATTTATGCTCTAAAATATTTTAAACAATCATCTAGTACCCATGCTTTTCCATTACCTTAGCACCGCAATCAAATATAAATCGATGCTTCAAAAGCTAACTTTATAGTTTTATAATAGTTTAATTTTTAAATGGAAAAAGTAATAAATATTTATTACTTTCCAACTAAATCCTTCATTCCCTTAACAGATTGCAAAGAGCTAAATCTCTACATTTGAGTAAAAGCGGAGTTTGATTGTAGGATATTTTATGAGTTAAAACACAAACTCTTAATCATATAAAAATGTAAATAAAAAAAGATATTTTTAAATTATTTTTTAATTAATTAAATACTGATTCTTAACGAAAAGTTAAAAACTAATCCAAGTTTGTTTAATAATCATTAAATTTTTGAATTATATAATAGAGTAAAATACTTAAAACAATTACTAAATTACTTTTAGTAAAAAGATTAAATTTTAATTTATGTTAATATTGGAATTTATAATATTAGAATAACTCAATTTAAATTTTAAAAGCAAAAACAAAATATTTTGAACAAAAAATAGTTCTTCAAAAAAAAACTTAAAATTAAATTAATTTTTTGATTATAAATAATAATTTAACAAATTTAACAATAATGAATATATTCTAACTTAATTTAACTATTAAAAAATTAGTTTCCAAATTTGTTTAGAAAAATTTAAATATTTAAATTTATGATTATAAAAAATTAATAAATTTTTATTTATTTATAAATAACAAAATGCATTTTCATGATATTTAAAATAATTATTTACTAAAATAAGTCAAATTTAATACCAATAATTTTTAAATCTGCTTGTAAAAAAGAGGGAATTTTATTTATTATATGTAAGCAAATAAAATTTACAAGAAAAATAATTTACTTTAAAATTAATTTTTTTTTAATGTTTTAATTTATTACAATTAATATTAAATATTTTTACAAGAAATATTATCTTATCTTTTAAGAAAGAAATTGTTTAAAGTAAGAGATAATACATTATTTTATGAGGTAGAAAGCTAAGCTGTTTAGATAAAATTTTTATCTTATAAATAATCTTTTGTTGATATTTTCAATTATTTGTATATAATAATATCAATACTTAAAAAGAAGCTCCTTTACTAAACAATAAACTATTTTTGATTACTCTGTAGAGAGCATAGTAAAAATTTAAAAATGAAGAAAAGAAAATTTGAAGTTGAAAGCAGTGAAAGTGACTTTTCTCCTAAGGGGGAAGATGAAAGTAAGAAACAGTAAGCTTTTCTAAAGCAGTTCATGAAATCAATGAAAGATCATGGAGAAAAAATTATTTAAGATAAACCGCCTTCTTATACTTATGAATTAGTATTATCTTGTCTCTATAGTTTAATTTGGGGAGGAGTGTTTCTTTTTTTATCTAGCATCAGCATACCTACTTGCAGTGTTTTATCTCATACTAATTAATTTATTGGATTTTTTCATTTTGCCTTTGCAACTATAATATTCATATATATGAATATAGCTTGGTATGCTAGCTCTCACAATAAAATTGAAGCATGGAAACCTTTGCAAAGATTTATTAGCGGGTATCGACTTATTTAAATAATAGCTGAACTTATTTTATTAACTATTCTATCTGTTAACTTTTATCATTTCAAAAATTATTGTGATAATGAATTCAGCTTAATAAATCTTGTCTATATTCTACTTTAAGGAGTATTAATTAGTTTTACAGTCATCCTAATATTGCTCTACTCACTTGGAATCGCAACTGATACTATATAGCAATACTTGATTAAATCATATGGAGTATTATCAGACTGAAGAGTTCTTCAATTTTTATAATTTTATTTTGGTTGAGCTATGAAGAAGATGTAAAAAATCATAAATACAATTTTTTATTTTTAGATATAGGAACAAAAAATATACTTTTTAATTTACAAAACTAATTTTTTGATCATAAAATCTCAGATTTTATTTGAAAACAATTTTTAAAACGAATAGTCAATATAAGGGAATTAATAAATAAATAAATAATCCTAAAAAAAACTCTTATTTAAAATAATAGCTAAAATAAATAGCAAAAATACAACATTAAAACTTATACTTCAATGATGTGTATTTAATTTTAATTTAAAAAATATTTATAAATATATGTATGCATATTTCCTTATCTTACTTATCTTAGATAATCCTTTTAAAAAAATTAATAACCATGCTTATTTATTTTAATAAAAATCTTTAATACCATTTGATATTTGATATTTTACTTACAAAAATAAATAATCACTAAATGTATAAATTTATTCCTTAATTATCCTTTTATAAAATTAATAATTAATAAACTAATAATAGTTATTTATTTATACATAATCCACATATTAAATCATACTTAAGTACTTCATAATAATATATTTAATTATTAAAGAAGTTCTTTTATTTAAATTTAATATAATTGACTAATATAATATTTTAGGAAATATCAATAAATCTAAATGATAATTGTAAATTAATCCAAATTATTTAAACAATTTTTTAATATGCTCATTTTTATCTACCTATTTTTAATAAATGAATGAATGAATAAATAAATAAAAATATTAAATTTTTTGTTAAATTAATATGAAGACTTTTTAAACTTGAGGTTGTTTTTATTTTCTTATAAGCCCAAGTAATTTCATAGAAAAAAAAACATGAAATTAATAACTAAAAATACTAATATATTCCTAATTGTAAGTTAGAGGATAATCAATATATTACTTTTTGTTTGATTTACCACTATTTGTATCTTATTCAGATAATAGATGGATTATATAATTTATTGTTAATTTAATATAGATTTTAGTGGAAAAATATCCAACCAAAATAAATAATTATTAATTAATGCAAAACGTGAAAAAATAAAAAATATTAATTTTTTGTGGTGACTGATCCAAAGGAATTACTCTACTTTGGATTATCTAAATGGATATTATTTACTCAGTCTTCACATGATGTAAAGTAAAAACAAAATTTTGAGCTTTAACAAGATAATAATACAATTAAAACTAGATTCTTAATTTAATTTATTAAAGTAAATATATTTTCAAAGCTTAATTAAACTAACAAACAAAGGAAAACAAATATGATAAGCTCAAAGCTGACTAAACTATTAATAAATATCATAGCTTTATTCTTATCCTTCATCTTATTTGTTGATGGAAGAGAAATTTTGTCACAATTTTAAACTGGTTATGATAATTCAACTTTTTAGAACCCAATAAAAAGCCCTGGATAAACTACTGTGAATATATAATTTTAAAACAGCTACTCAAGCACTCCATAAGTTTTGATTTATCTTTCTGCAATATCTGTATAAAAAACTAATCTATAAGATTACAAAGTAGAAGCAACTTAGATCACCTCTAAAGGGTTTTAACTCTTGTATACAGTGCAATTTAATGCCGAAACTGTGTCTCTAGGAGTTTCTTGGATTGCTTTTGAGCAAACATAAAATGCAGAAGTTATTTATTAAGAAGTAAATGGAATCAATTTGGCAAATTCAGGTCTGTAGCAATCATTTAGATTTGACACTTTTCCAATTACATTTTAAAATAATTACACAAGCATCCCAAATATCGCAGTATTCTTTTTAGGTAATAAGAAAATTAAACTTTCTAAAAATTATTTATGTTAAATGGATTCTTTTTATTTTTAGTTCACATGAAATTAAATTTTTTTTATATTAATAGGAGTTTCTTCTTTGCAATCGTCAACAGATACTTTTAGTATTAATTTTGCAGATGCTTAAACTTATGGATGTAGTGTAGCGATATCAGCATGGAATTCTGGCTTAATCAGCAAAGCATCATTTGCGTTGTTTGTTGTGGATAAAAATATGAGTATCAGTTAATACGGTAGTTAAAACAATTATAATGGTGGAAGCATAGATACAACAAATCCATGGATGGATGCAACTTAAAGTAATAGAGTGCTTTAAAAAACTTAGGTCACTTCAAAGAATTTATCACCTTCTACAGATCCAAATTCTAAAATTTTAAGCATTTCAGGGTTTACAGGGTATGATGTTAGATCTAGTTTATTTGCAAATTTAAGGATAAATACCTCAACTTTTAGTCAATCTGTATTCTCACAAAGTGTTGAAACATGTAAATTATCCTTTTAATTAAAAATGAATATCAACCATAAGCTATTCAAAAATTAAAAGAAAAATATAAACTTCAAAATAAAAGTTTTAGAATGAAATTATAAATTATGCTCTTCTAAAATTATTTCTTGTTGTTTAAATTTATTATTAAACAGTTTTTTTAATTTATTTGTAAGATTATTTGATGAAAAGATTTTAAGTATTTATGTAATTTATATAAATAGGGGGACAAAGCTAGGTAGTAGGAGGATTTTGGTATTCAATGGCTATTAATACTACTGTGAATAACTTTAACTCAACAGACAGTGGACTAGCATGGTGGATAATATTGATTATTGTTTTAGCCATTTTGATTGTAATAATATTAGTTGTTTTACTCATTATTTGCATGGAAAGAAGGAAAAGAAAAGAAAAAGAAGCTTTGGAAAAGAAAAACGAAAATATATAAAATAAGGAAGAATCTAAAAATGACATATCTAAAAATGAAGCTACTAAAAATTAAGATTTATCAAATATTAATAAAAATTTAAGTCAGGACAACACAAATTCTATTATGATTAAAGACAGAAATTATATTGATGATTACATAGTTCATAAGGAAAATCCAAACACAAAGAGAGATGCTGATAATATTTTTTTAAATAATACTCAATTTATTTCTCCTAAAAACTCTTCAACAGAGACTAATCTAGATTAATCAAAGAAAATTATTTACTTAGGAGGAAATGTTGAATATTCTCCAACACCTGTGTCTAATTAAAGATCTCAATAAGCTAATTAGCAAAATAATAAACAACAATCATACATTCAATATTACTAAAATCCAAGAAAATAATATGAAATTGTTAATAATTATTAAGATGAAGAAAACGGTATTGCAAATAAAAATAATACTAACAACGATCATTAAGCTTCTGCATAAAATAATAATTAAACTTTACCATCAACAAATTTAGCTGATTAGACACAGCAAAATAAAGCTTAAGCTGATCAGTCTAATGTTATTATAGAAGGTTAAAAATAAGACCCTAACACACCAGTACCTTAAAATTAAGATGCAAAGAACTAACCTTTATAAAATCAACCTAAACCTTAAAATAGCCAATAGGAATAACCAAATAATCAAACAAATTAATAAGTGTAAAATAAGAATATTTCACAAAATGAAAAACCTATTGATAAAACTTTAGATGAATTAGATAAGCATATCAATAATTATAAAAAAGATTAAGTAAATTAGAGTTTAAATTAATCTTAAATATCATAAGATGTCGAGCATAATGACGAAATGAAATAAATCAAGTTATCTAATTATGACGTCTATCGCTAAATATTACAAAACAAATAAAAATTTGATAAATAACAAACTAACCAACCAGATATGGCAGCTCAGCTACCTTAGTAATAAATAAAAGCAAACGATAATGATAACAGCAATAACCAAAATAATCGTAATCATATTCTTAACAATCGTTATACCTTAGATAAGGGTAATAACAATAATAGTAATAGTAATAACAATTTTAATATAAATAATAACAATAGCAGTAATAATTTCTATTCGAATAGCAGCACTTATAGACCACTTTAATACTCTTCGAGATAAGAAGATTTATAATAGTAGAATTAAAATAATACTTTACCAAATATTTAATCAAGTAGCCTCAGCTAGGCTGGTAACATGATTGTAAATGGGTATGGAAACCAAGCTTCTCCAAACAAAATCAATTCAAGCTAAAAGAAAGAAAACGATCCTATGTATTAATAAAAAACATAACCAGTGTAATATACTTAAAAAGACCCCACCCTTAACACTGTAGACTCTGTTTATAAGCATGTATAGCAATCTTTATATACCAATCAAAAAGGAAGTGATTTTCTATCAGTGGAAGATGATGATGATATGCCTAGAAGACCAAAAGATAATAGTAATATTCCAAATCTTTGATATTACAGGTAATAGTATTAAGTCTAGATTAATTTACTATCTTATTTACTATATGTTTAAATTATTAAAATTTTGATCAAATAAGCATAAAGATATTTTAAAAATAAATCCTTTTTATAATATTAATAATAAATTAATTTCGAAGTAACTTTTTAAAAATGTGTATCTTAGTTAAATTAAACTCTTTTAAAAATTATAAAAGTAAATATTTAATAATTAAAAATGTGTATTTTAGTTAAATTTTATTTAATTTAATTTAACTTAATAAAATAAATATAATATCTTTGTATTATCATTAAATGAGGTAATAGCTCTCTTAAATTTTTAGATAAAAACAATTTAAATTTTATTAGAAAGTATCTCAAGAAATAAGCAAATAATTATTCTTATTATGTTAATGCATAACAATTACTCTAAATCATTTTTTATCAAGATTCAAATAAATAAAATGTAAAAAGCTTTATGGTCTTAAATATGTATGATAAATTCCTCTTTAATTATTGAAGTGTTATTTCATAAAAAATAAATGCATAAAATAATTTGCTTTTACTATATTTTTAAGTTTAACTTAAAAATTATTATTCAAATTAATTCTTTTTTGCTTCTTAATATCTATCTTTTGTCCTTAATTAACCTTAATTAATTTATCAGATTTTATAATTTTTAATCAATTAAATATTATTTAATTTATTTAAAGTAACTTTCGTAGAAAACATATTTAAAAAAAATGATATAAAATCAAAATGAGTTTACCTCTCTTTAAAAAGTAAATATAAAATTTGAAAAGTAATTTTTAAGAATAAAAATTAATTTCATTTAAAAGTTTGAGTCTTCAGATTTTGCTTAACACATAAACTTAAAATTAAGTCTTAAGTAAATTTTTAATTTCATTATTTAAAAATTTTTATTTATGTATGGATTGTTGTAAAGATAAATAAATATATTTTTAAATCAATTATTTCCATATTTTTATTTATTTTTTTATTTTAAAATAAATTTAAGTTTTAATTTTCTTGGAAATAGTGGTATTTAAACTTTATGCTAATCTCTATCTAAATGTTGTAATCTCGAAACACTAATACTTGACATTTGGTAAATTTGATTTCATTTAAATTATTCCAGAACTTAATATTTTAAATTAATTTAAAATAGTAAAATATAAAAAATAATTACTTGCAAATAATTAAAAAATGATTTATTAAATTGTCATATCTTAAATATATTTGTTTTAATTTATTTAAAGTCAAAATGAAATTAATGAAGAAGGAATTGAAATGTTATGCTCTTATCTATAAAAATGTCTAAGTTTGACAACTTTCACTCTTTGTTTAGAGTAAAAAATTATATTTATAATATTAACAGTATTAATATTTTCTATATAAATAAATTTAATAAGTTACCTGAACAAATTTTTACCCCTAAATTATCCTTTAAATTTCATATATTATTTAAATTTAATATAAAGTGAGAATCAAATACAAAATTCGGGTTCAAATCACTTAGGGATGGCTTTACTAGAGTGCAAAAATTTGAATAAAGTTAGTTTAAACTTATTGTAAAAATAAAAAAATTTACTTGCAAAAGTTATTAATAAAATTTTGTTTAATAGTGAAAACTCTATTTCAGATTAAGGAATATACTATTTAGCTAATAATTTGTCTAAATGTTTAAATCTTATTGATTTAAATTTAAACTTAAGGTAATTTTATTGATATTAAATTGAATAATATTCAAAAATAATTTTAGCAGCAATTTAGTAAATTCAGAAGGTGCAATTGAACTAGGGAAAGCACTTTCAAGCTCTTAAAGTTTAAGATATTTGAAATTGTGTTTATCGTAAGTAATATTTTAAATTTCTTTAATTTAAAATTTATTTTTACAAGACATTATACAAAAAATCTTCACTTACTTAAAAATTAACAAAATATTTAACCAATTTAATCAGAGACATAATTAATTCTCACTAAAATTATATTTATTTAAAAAGATATTAAATTTATTATTTTTACAAATTGAAAAAATTAAAATAGCTTTATAAATACATAAAAGATCATTTTATATATCAAAAATATTTTTGGTTCGCTTAAAACTTTAATTAAATCATTGAAACATAGTTTTTTTATTTATTTAGATTAAATTAAAATTTTATTAATTTTATTTTAAATTTTCAACTTGATTTATATAAAATTAAAAATATTATGAATATTAATTAAAAAATAAATTATAGGTTTAATAACATTGGTGCAGATGGTGCTTTTGGCTTAAGTTTTTATTTGTAAAATTCTAGTAGCCTTAAATATTTGATAATAGACTTATGGTATATTAACATAATTTAAATTTTAAATTTTTGTTTTAAGTTTACTAGACTATATTAAGTTTTAAAATGATTTTTCTTAGTTTACTAATTAAAGCTATTCCTTATAAAATTTAGTGCAAACAAGCTAAAATCAGAAGGAGTAGTTAAACTAGAATCTATCTTGCATTTATTCTTGAATATTTATCATTTAAATATTTATTTAAGGTATTGTTATTATTATTTTATGATAGAAAACCTAATTATAGTTCTTTCCTTTTTATCATCTAAACAATAGTAAAAATGGGATTGAAAATAACTTAAAAAACAAGATGCAAAGAAAAATTTTTAAGAATAAGAGATTAGTTTGTAAATATATTTAAATTTGAAAAAATTTTGTTTACTAATTAATTAATCAATAATTTGCATTTATTTATATAATTGCGAATATTTAAAAAGCTTCTTTAATATAAAAATATGGGATTCTATATATTATATTTTGCTATTTGTTTATAATTACAGATGTTCAATAATTTATATATTATTTATAACTAAAAATTAAGTTAATATTATTATATTTTATTTTAATATTTCAAATTTCTTAATTTCATTTTACATGTCTTATTTTATTATTTATAAAATAATATTCATTTTTGATAATCTAGCTATAAGTAAAATTCTTTTAGAATAAAGAAAAAAATATAATTCAGTAAATTTATTATTTGAAGATATTTTTTTTAATAAAAAAATATACTTAAAAATTATCATTTTTTTTTTAAATATTTATATATTATTTAAAAATTTTTAAATTAATTAAAAAATAGTTATCAAAAATCAAATTCTTAAGCAAATTAAAAATTATATAAAAACATTTCATAAATGGTAAAATTATTCTTAAAATTTATGCTGAATAAAATTTAAAAAATATTTTTATAATTAGGAAACCCAAAAACCTACTGTTACATGCTTAATTATAGGTAGAAATATTTTATTGTTAATTAAAATTGAATAATAATAAATCATCAAAAAAAGGTGGAAAAAGATGTTTGTAATACACTTTTCCAGATAAAACAGAAATGGTAATCAATTATAAACATTCAAAATATTTTTGTGATTACAATTAGTTATTTATTCTAAATAGGTAGAAGAATATGATATGAAAAGCCATGAATTATTAAGTAATTAGCATGATTAATTAACAAAGAAGAAAATTCATTTTAAAAAATAGTGAGAAAAATCAAAAAAGCTAGCAATTTTAAGGAAGCTAAATGGGAGTATGAAATAGGAGAAGCTCCTCTAAATCCTAATCAATAAGAATAACTGTTAAAGGCTACAAGTGCAAATGTAAGCAAATTTTTATATGAAAAAAACTATTTTTTACATTTTGTTGTAATTTTTTATGAAATATATCAAAGCCTATATTCTTAAGAAAGGACACAGACAGAGATTTTTAGTTTAGAATTAGAAATTTGCCATACCCAGAAGAAGTATTATGCAATATTTAATCTTGTATATGGTAGTTTATAACTAATGTAAAAATAGGTTTACTAAATCGAGGTCGATGAAGAAAAATAATAATTAGTGGTGAGAACAACAAATAAAAAATACTTTAAAAGAATTGATGTTCCTGATTTGGCAAGATATAATTTAAAGTTAGAAAAGGGCAAAGCAACTTTCTCTTACAAAAATAGTACATTGCTTATATCATATCCTAAACCAGATCCTATACTTTTAAGGTAATAAATTAATATTTCAAACTTTATAAATTTACTTTGTTTTTATCAAACTAAAGAGAGTCTGAGAGAAGAAAATAATTCGAGAAATTAAATGCTAAAAAACCAAGGGAAGGTGATATTGAATTTGTTGAAAATTGATTTTATTTCTTTAACTTTTATACTTAAAAACAAATGAAATATTTATTTAATGAACTAGTTAATAAAATGCTAATATTCTGTACACTTATATATAAAATTAATATTTGTATCTATGAATGAACAAATGAAATGCATACAATTTTCTAAAATTAAATTCACTTTAAATAGATTTCTTTTGATAGTTTACATAGGGTTTTTAATAAATAACAATAATAAATTGTTTCAAGAATCTTTATATATATATTTATTTTTATTTATAAGTTAATCATTTTATCTTATTTTATAATAGAAATATAAATTATACAATTAAGGAATTAAGGAAAGAAAATTTTTAGTGAAAATAAAAGTTGTTTTTTGTTTTTTAATTATAAAGAATTAGTTTATTTTTAATATTAAATGAAATTTTAATGAGATGGAATTTATTTTAACTAAAGTTAATCATCTTGAACATTCCGTAAGTGTAATTCTTCTAATTTTACTAATAAAAACTGCTTATTTTGGATTTTATCACTCTTCTTTATAATTAATAGTCATCAGCAAAAAATAAATACAAAACAAAATGACGCAAATAATATAAATTTGCGGCAAATAGTAATATCTTTTTGATGATTTTGAAAATGTAAAAAAGTTAAATTCACAGATATCCAAAATCTTATACAAATTAGTATAATATTGTTATTTAAGAGTTTTAATCTTAAAATAGCTAATATCCCAACAGAAATTAAGAATAATTAATTAATAATAATAAGAATCATATCTTTTTCAGTTTACAAAAAAAATTCAAAAATTTCTAATAGAAATATAAATAGATGTCTGACGTGATCATCATTAAGGACCGTAGAGGAAACAAAATCGGAGAAGTCCGTCTCGATCTTAGCGATAAGAACTCTAATGTCTTATTATTAAAGAAAGAAATCAGCAAAATAAGTAAATTTATAAATAATAATAAAAATCATTCTAAATCTTTCAAATAAAAATATAGAAAGAATTGCTCCTATTAGATAATGGCTCACTATTGGAGATGAGTAATTAATTTCTCTTAAATTGAAAAAAGTGTCTTAAAATATTAATTTATTTAATTTAAAACACAAATTAGTGAAAATAAAACTATTTTGGATGATAACAAGAGACTTTTAACTACATATCCTGTTGTAAAAAATGGAATTGAAGTTGTTGTCAAAGACTTAGGTATTTAACTTGGCTGGACTACTGTAATTCTAAAATACATTCATTCAAATAAAGTACTACAATTTTTAAATTATAATACAAGGTCTTCTATGCAGAATACTTGGGACCTATCATTTTTTATGGTGCTTTCTACTTGATTGGTAGATCCAGAGGTGAAATGACTACTAGTTAAAAGTAAATTTTTTAAAATAATAAAACTAGAATGATTAAAAAAACTTAAAAATAATTAATTAATTAATAAAACAATTTTTTTAGAGTAAAGTAATATTTTAAAATATCAATTATGCTAAATAAAATTTGAAATGAATAATCAAAATGCCTTTTTCAAAAAATAAATTCAAGATATTTTAATTTTAAAAATTTTGTGATTTATTTTAATTTATTTAATCAATAAAAAAAGCTGAGAATTTTATTAAAAATCATTTTTTTAAAATATTAGCATCGGATTAACTATTGGTGTTCTCCACTATGTTAAGAGAATTCTTGAAACTCTCTTTATCCATGTCTTCAGTAGAGACTCTATGCCTTTAGCTTCTTGCTGGAAAAATTTCCTTCACTACTGGTATTATTATTGTTATTATTATTATTATAAAATTGAATAATAAAATTGATTGATAAATATAAAGAGAAAATTGATTTAAAAAAAATAAATTTAACAAACTTAATCTAAAAATTAAAAAATAAAGGATTTTCTTTGGCACCTTTATTGGTGTTGAATACTTTATGTATTACAAAGACCCCGGTTATAGCAATCTTACCAAGGGTATCTGGCTTGGTCTTTGGGCTCTCTTTGAATTCTTAAACTTCTAGTGCCACAAGACTTTATCAAATATTAGAACTGAAGTACCTTCTAAAACTCTCGAAGATGGTTCTTCTGTAAACAAGCGTAGAAAGATCCCTACTGGATGGGGTTTCGATTAAGTTTCCTGTGCTAACTATCTTTGGGAAACTCTTGCCTGGGTTGCTTTCTCTGGCTTTTCTAGATGCTATACCTGTAAACTATAATTTTAATTATTTATTTTTAAAAATAACTTTATTATTTAAAATATTAAAAAAGCCTACTTCTTCACTGCTATCAGCTTCTACTAAATGTTCGTCTGGGCTTTAGGAAAATAAAGAAGATACAAAAAAGAATTCGGAAAAGAATTCCCTAGAGGCAGAAAAGCTATTATTCCCTTTTTAATTTGAATTAAAAGTTTATTAAATTTATAAATATTATTATTATTAATATATGATACATGTTTTTTAATACAAAAATTAAGTTGATTTGAAGAAAATAATTTTAACTATTTCTTTTAAAATAAAAAATTAAATGAAATTTGTTTCAATTTGATTATTAATTGTAAGATATGTCAAATTTAATTTGCTTAATATAAAAACTAAATTCTTTTTTTGAAATAAAATTGAGCTTAAAAAAGTTATGATTAAAATATTTTTTGAAAATTAACTTTTTTTGTTCATATTTGAAATAATTTTAATATTGAAATTTTTTATTTTTTTTTGAGAGAATGCATCTATTAAACATTAAGTAATTAATTAGATTTTAATCTTAATAAAGTATATATATATATATTTGGAATTTGGTTGGATGCGATATGTATAGAGTTTGAAGATAAATTGTAAAACTGTAGCATAAATTGAATAAGAGATTATTAAGCTAAGTTAAAAAGTGTTTAAAATTAACTTTATGAATGGCTGATAGAACTACTTTTTAGAAAAATTTAGATGATAGAACATTTAGAATCAGACTAAGAAATACTCCTCAAGTATATACAGATATTCATAATACAAATTCATGATTTACATATTAGTTTTTACTATTTAATCAATATTATAATGGTTAAAATAGCTGTTAAAATAAAATAGCTTTTAAAGTAATTTGCTAACTTATTATACATAATATAAAAAGGAAATAGATATTTCGAAGAATAAAAACTTTGTTAAAGTTATAGAGCATGAATATGCTTGCAGGTATTTAGAAAAATTGAATATAGAACCTAATTAGAAGAATATCTAGTTCATATTAAAGAAATATCCTATTAAGAATTGTGATATTAAATCAGAATGGAATAGTAATCAAACCTTATTATAATATTTAATATTTTAATATTGCAAAAATTAAAATGTATTCAGAAACAGAATATTTTAATAAATTTATGTATCAAATAGATAATAATTTTTCTGCGGATACAATTGTCATCAGCACTCGCAAAAAAGAAGATTTGAATCAAAAGTATCAAGAATCACAAACAAATTTATTTGAAGAATTAGGATTGAAACTTATGAAAATCCCTAACATCGATACTGGCAAAACTAATACAGAAAATGAAAAAAATTTACAATAAGAATCGAGAATGGATTAGAATAAAAGTCCAGAACCTAACTCATAAATAAACGGTGCTTCCATGACATCTAATGCATATAATACTAGCAGTTACAAAGAATAGAGCCAGTCAGCTAAGAAAAAACTATAATCATAAGGCGAAGGATCAAAAGAGAGAACAAAAAAAGCACCTTTAGATGACAAACAAAATAAATTTGAAATAAATTATGACATCGAATATATTAAGAAGAATTATATATTCCCTTTTAACCAAACTACCTTAAGAAGTAAATCATTTATTTTGGTTAAATTTTAGAAAAATATTTTCATTTTACTTTTGTAGATTACTTAGTTAAAATAAAGAGATGAATGAATTAAAGATAATCTACTTACTCTATTAATGATATTATAAATATTTAAAAAATAAATAATTATTTTTTTATCTAAGTTTAATTATAATTTGAAACCAATTAAGCAAAATAATCAATTTAATTAGCAAATTTTTTTAACTTAAATTTATTGAGTTGAACACCAAAAAATTTTTTGTGCTTTTCAAGTTTGAAGTATTTATGGGAGAGATTAAAAATAAAAGCTCTACATATAGAATTATTTATTCATGATTCTACTTAAACTTTTATGCAAAAAGCACTTTTTTCTTTAAATTAACTTATTATTTTTCTTTATTAGAAATAAATTAGAATATGCAAGAAAATCCTAAATATATAACCACAGCAGAAGAAAAGGATTTAGTTTTCACAAATAATATATTTAAATATCCTTTCAGCTAAATAAGGATAGACTCTGATGATCTACATGAGTTATAAAAACCTATTAATATTACGATTGATGATATATTAGTTATTTTAGAAGAATTTAAACAAAAGTTTCCTCGAGAATATATTCCTGTTCAAAACACTGGGTAATAAGAGGTAGAGAAAAAACCTTTATATTCGCAGAGCGATTAGAACGTGCCGAAAGAATTTAGATTATATAATTTTGATAATGTTAATGAGGAAAACGAGAATACAGATGTTAAAAAGAGAAAGCAGAAAGAACCTATGGATAGAGCTATTGTGTTTGAAAAGAGTTAAATAGACTAGGTTTTTAACTTGATAAGCTCACCTACCATGGCCAAGTAAATAGGTTTGTTTACCCATTTTTGCTATTGGGTAATATTTAGTGAAGTTAATATAAAAACTATTGAAATGATCAAGAAAAAATAAATATTTGTGTAAATGCAAGAACATTTAGCTTAATTGAAACAGAAATTACCTAATTTTAAACTTTGGTTAAACCTTACTATGCCTATGATCTTATTAACTATAAAAATGGTTACAGAGTATATTTTCAAAGTATATTTTTTAATTTCTTTATTGATTTTATTCACTAACGATAGATTGTTCAAAGTGAATTAATATTTTATTTAAAAACTCAACTTGCTCAAATCTTCTATTTTAAATTAGAACAGGTACCCTGGATTTTTTAAAGAATAAGGCAGAAGTTTAAATAACCAAGGAATGGTTGCTATTGATAAAATATTGTTTTTATGTGATAAAATATTTGATGAAACATAAATTTCTGGCAGATTCACATTTTTAGAATCTAACTTTAAGCAGTAAACTAAAATTAATAGTGTTTAAAATGATAGAAAGCTATTGAAAAAAAGAATTTATGCTACATCATAAAATATGAACTTCTTAATGGAGAATCCTAGAAGTAGTCAGGCTAGAAACATTTTAGCCAAGAGCAATAAATTAAATCGTAATTAAATTTATATATTTATCATTTGGCTTATTGTATTTTAAAAATAAATTTATCTTATTATAGCAATAAGTTAGACACAAAATAAATTAGAATCAACTTCAAAAAAACAATTTGTAAATTCAGACATAGATGATTTGTAGGAAGAGGAAAGAAAGAAAATAGAAAAAAGGAACAAAGAAAGAATCTCAAATGTAATTTATTTTTATAAATTTTCTAATTCTAACCATATTTTTTAATAATAATAAAAGCTTGTTTTAAATAGAATCAATAACAAAACTAAAAGTTTGGTTTGAAATTTTTCGAAATTATATTTTTTTTTAAAGAATATCTTAAACATAATTTTGTTAATTTAATTTAAAAAATTAAAATGAAAATTCAGAAAATAGATAGATAGAATATAATTTTAGTAAAAGTAAATTAGATTTTTTGTGAGTATATTTTTATAAATTTAATCTTATGTAAAAGTTATATAACATACTTGATAGCAAAATTATATAAAAAATATGATAAATTTCCTCATTGTTTATTAAAATTTAAATAATTAACCAAATTTTTTTTACTAAATAAAAGCAAAATTAAAAACTATTTTGAGTAAATATTTTTTAATTTTTGCCAAAAAGAATTTATCTTTATTAAAAATTTATTTATCAAATTAAATATTCAAAATAAATCCAAAATAAATTTGAAAAAAATTATCAAATTAATCAAAAATATTGATAACTGGAAAGTAAATATTTAAGATTCAATATTAAAATAAAAAATGTTTATATAATAACATTTAGTAAGAATATATGTTCTATTAAATGTATAAAATAATATATTTCAAAAATTTTCAGCATCTATTTTTATGAACAAAATTTTATGATGAGCATTTATATTTAAAAAATCAATTCAATTCAATAAAAATCAATTAAGATTTTAATAATATAAAAAATATTTAAAAAATTTTAAATATCCTCATTTTTTAAAAAATATGATAAAGCTTTTTATTTTTTTCAATGTAAAGAATTTTAATTTTTGATTAAATAATTAAAAGATTTATAAAATCATACACTCAAATTATTAATAGATATGATATTTATTTGATCAATTATGTTTTAAATTAATTTATTTTTAATAATAATAATAATTAAAAATTTAGTATTAAAGATGCATTTTTTTCAAATAAATAAATAAATAATTTTTTTCAAATTTTAATAAATAAAACAATAAAATAAATTCCTTTTATAAAAAGGTCAATGAGTTTCAACTTCTTATAAAAAATAAATTATTTTGAAAGATTAAATATTATTGTGTTTTCACTTTTTTTTGCTCAGTTTTGATTATCCTCTTATTTTCTAAATGAAAAAAAATTTATATTAGCAATTTTTTAGTAGTAAGTATGTAAAAAATCAGGCTATTTTATAACAAGTACTATTTTTATTTGATAAAATAAAAAATACTTGAAATAATATCAATACCAAAGTGTTTTAAAACTTTTATTTAAAAAACTTATTTTGAATAATAAAGTTATAATTTATTATTGCAATAATTATTTTAAAAATTTAATAAAATTATTTATTTTTTTATAGAATTTATTGATTTTTTAATAAGCATAAGATATTCAAAGAAAGATAAATTATATAAAAAAATAATTATTTCAGAAAATATTATTTTTGCTAAATAATAAAAAATCTGATTCACTTTCAAAATCTTCTGATTCTATCTATATGCTTCTTTCGCTTACTGTAGATAAATCTGGAGAAGCTTGCTTTATGGATTTTTTTAGGAGATATAACAAATTAATAAAATATTTTTAAAAAGGAAAATAAAATATTACTTTAATGTTAAAACATTGTTATAAATGCTGTTTGTAAGATGACAATGATATTATTTCAGAACAGTTATAGCACTTTGATTTTATTAACTTGAGTCTGTCTAAATATTTCATACTACATGACAGAAAACACTTCTAAATTTTCTCTGTTTTTGTAGCTTATTGAGTGCAAATATGATTTTAATAGGTACAATCCTTACAGTATTTTTTCAGGCAAAAACTACATTCTAATGGATTTAGAATAGGCTCTTAACAGTCCTAACATTTATATTCTTCAGGAATCTAATTATAAAATATAAAGTTCTGCATCCTATTCTATCTACAATATTTTTTAACTTGTTTTTTATATTGCTTAAGCAATTAATTTTGTTTATTATAAATCTTTCATGGTTTATAAATTATCAATTTTAGAATATTTTTAGAGTACTACGCTAAAATTTAGTCTACTTTATTAAATAATACTCATCAGTCTAAATAATTATTTTTACTGAAACTTAGTGAATTTTGATTAATTAATCGTCAAATTAAGCAATCAATAAAATATTATTCAACTTAAATAATTATATTAGTATTATCATTATCGAATATAATTCATTTCTCTATGAATATATTAACTATTTATTTATATATATGATTTCAATTCAGAGTAATCAGTGTAAACAGTAAGATAGTTTTGATAAAATGTAAGCTAAAAAATATTAAGTATGATTTTTGTATTCACAAATATTTTTTTTTGTTAAGGACCATTATTTTAAATAATAATTTTATAAATATATATTTTATGTATTCAAATATGTGTCTATTCTTATAATTTTTATTTTTCAACAAGGTTATCTTATTTTAATTTCTAATCTACATTACACTGTAGAATAGGGTTTTTTGAATTTTTAATAGTCTTAATATTATCATCAGTTAATGAATTTAAAATGATAACCTAACGTAGTAATTGATAATTATTCCAATTTATTTGAATAAAAAAAAAATAATAATTATAATAATCTAATTCTTAAAAAACCTTAATTTATTGATTTTTGAAATTATTTAAATTTAAATGATCTCTTATATTGGCTTCGCTATAAGGATTACATAAAATCTAGCTAATAATAAAATCTCAAAAAACTAATGTCATATTAAATTTGAGTGAAGTAAATTTGATTTCATTTTCAAAAATATTGTAATTATTTCTAATAATACAATTATTTAAAATATCTACAAAAATGTAAAGTTAAAACTAACATAAAATTTAAAGTGAGAACTATTTTTAAAAAATACATTTTAGCTATCTAATTTTATTTAAATAGCAATAATTTAAATATACTTAAAAGACTCTTAAATTTTATTGATTGAAATTCAATCTTTTAAAAAGGGAAAAAAATTTTTTAGGCTTTTCAGCTAGTGTTTAATAAGTGTTATTATTTTTCACTTAATGACTAATTTTTGCCTATCCGTTCAAATAAGCAAAAAAAAATAAAAATAAAAGTTAAATTCAAAGCCAGTAATAATAAGAAACAACAAAAACAAAAAAGTACAAAAAAACACAAATAATTTCAATTAATATGACACTTTTTAAGAGTTTATATAATTTTTAAGTCTAGTGGGCTTAAATTATCATCATTTTGACACCTATTTAAGAAGTTATTCAAATACTCTAGTTAAAATTTGCTATTTTCCATAAGAGCAAATGATTTTTCATAATGGCTTAAGCTAAATTGTTCCTCTACATTTTTAAAGCAAATTATAAGTTAATTTATTTTGTCAACTTTAAAATAAAAATAATTTACCAAGTTATTTCATGTTTTCAAATTTCTCATTTAAATTTAAATCTAAAAAATTCTGTGAACAGCTAATGGCTTAGAGTGCAGCCAGCTGTTCTTGACTTAACATCATTAAAATAGCTTTCTTCAAGAATAAAATATCCTTAACAAAATTTAATATATTCAGTTCTTTCTGAATTTGTTACTCAATCTTCTTCATCATTTTATTATTTTTTTGTTTTAAATTTATTTAATCTTATTGTTTAAAAGTCCTTTTTTAATAAAATAATATAAATATTATAAAGCTTTTAAGTAATAAAAAATGAATATACTTCTTGCTGAAGATTACATTCTCAACTTTGGTTTAAACATTTTAGTTATGTATTGTTGAAAGTTTTCTCAGAATCATCTAAGACTCTTAATTTTTTATTTCTTTTAGGCGGTTATTTCTGAGCTTTTAATTGTAAAATTAGCTTGAATTAGACCTCTTAATAGATAATGCTAGGTTTGGTCTATATGAGTATGAGAATTAGCTAACAGCATCATCGCCCCAATGACTATCTTAGTTTGTGTTTGAACCTTCTATTACAGAGTCTTATGGTAATATCAAAATTTTATCTATCCTCTCATCTTTATTATTATTATTCAAAGGTGTATCAGTATTCACACATTCAGTTAAAACTTCTTTTTACTCTTAAGAAAATGGTTTATCTTGAAATTTTAATTTAAAGCTATTGGCTTAAGTAATATTTTTTGGTTATTCTAAGTCTAGACTTTACTTTTGTTTATTTTAAAAAGTGGGTACAAGTATACCATTTTCGTGTAGTTCATCAACTTTTTCACCATCTTCATGTATCTTTTTCTCTTCATTTTCCTATTCCTTAACTTCTACTTACTGTTATTATGATTAATTATTGAAAAAATTAGCAACATTTAAATTTTTAAAATAATAATCTTGATAAATTGTCTTCAAAAAAAGCATTAAAAAGTCTTTTTGTATCGATCTCTAAGAAGCATAGCGACCTATAATACCAATTAGCATTAATAAGGCAAAAATACTGTTTACCAGAGCAAGAATTTAAGGCAAAGTTGGGTATTATATTTGAACATACTAAACTATTTCATCAACTTACAACAATGCTATATTATATGGACCTACCCCGATTGAAAGTGCTTGTTATCTATCTAGTCCTTAATTTATTTATGAGTAAGAAAGGGGAGTAGAATAAGTTTCTTCTTTTTAAATTATTAAGCCTTATTTTACAGAAGTATTTTGAATCGATGTATTTAAGATAGTTGTAATTGACTACGTTGAAAATGTATAAACTATCAAATTTCTGTAATTTACTTATAATTCTTATGAGGTTGCATTATACTAAGAAGTGTAAAGCTTAAATTTTTAGCCAGCGTTTAAGCCATTAATAATATTATCTATTTCTGATTACTCCGCACAATTATTAGGCATAGTTGTTTTAATACTATCAATATCTCTGCATCCATAAGTTAATATTTATATTGAAGACTACAAGTTAATCTATGAATTGTGTGCCAAGGTGTAGTTAGAAAGATTAGTAAAATCGACACACTTAAATCCTAAAAGGTTAGGGTTAGTGCAGTCAATAACGTCTAGAGTTATGAATTGCTAGTCATCGTTACTTTGATAGTAAAAGAATGCAATATAAACGATGTATGTCTTTTCTTTTTATTTTTCTAGCAAATAGTTGTTTCCATAGTCAAATTTAAAGGCAATCAGGTCACTGCTTAAGGGGATATTGAGTGTATGATCAGTTACGAAGCTTTGAGATCTATAGGTTGGCTCAATTTAGTTTGTTATGTATTCCTTTAAAATGTACACAAAATATGCCAAGCTTGTTAAAATTACTAAAATTGATAAAAATGCGCCTAAAATAGTACCTTTTTTCATATGTTTATCGTTCACATTAAATGAAAATTGAGATGAAAATAAGTCAATTTTTGAAATTATCATTTTATTTGATTTTTCTTTTTTCTTTAGTTCTATTTTTTTCTTCTCCTTAATTTTTTATGTTTTAAAAAGTAATTATCAAAAATTTAATTAATTGGTTAATTTTTAAAAACTTGTCTTATGACTTTAAAAATACTGTAAATGCTCATTAATTAAGGCATTCCCTAAGTATCTTTTTTACCCAAAAAAAAGTGCCAAAATAAAAAATTTAAGAAAAAAATGCCTTAATTAAAATACGCCTTAATTAATGAGCATTTACAGTATATTAATACATTTCCACATGATAACAACTTTATCAAGATAACAACTTTAAATTTAAATGTAATATAAACTAACCATTCCTTTTTAAGCTTTTTTTCAAGAATTGAAAAAAAAAAAAAACAATCAATTAATATTAAGAAATTAATTTTATGACATAAAAAAATTTAAAAAGTTAATAATTTATTGCACTAAAGATTGCAAATACTTATGAAATAAATAAAATTAGAGAAATTGATTTTAAATGAATTTGAAAATAAAGAAAAAATTTATTAATAAAAATTGTTTGTTTTAACAAAAAATAAATACTAATATTCAACAAATTTTTAAAATAAAAATATAATTAAAATATTTTTTAATTATAATTTGAAGATAACTTAATTTCTTTCAATGAAAGTAGGATTTTTTAAAAGATTTATATATCCTTTTGTCTATTTTTGTCAAACTACTATTTTCATCCATGCATCTTTAAAGAAACTAGTTCATAAAATATTGTTATACTTCTTAATTTTCTAGTAAAACTGATTAAGCTTCAAAATGAGTTAAATTTTTATCTTTTACTAAATTTTATAATTAAAAAATATTGTCTATTTATTTATTTTGTTTGTTATTGATTTACTTTATTTTATGTCAACATTATTCATATCTAACTATATAAAAAATTTTTCAGAGTAGCTTAAAATTTAGAGCGCAGCCAATTATTATTTATTTAAGATCATTGCCATAGCCTTCTTTAATAGCAGGATATCATTTAAAAAATTTATGATATTTAAATTTTTTTTATCATAAATTTTTTTTAACTTATTTTTCTACTAACTTTACTGTCTTATTACTGAGCTTCATTTTATCTGATTCTTTTTTGAGCAATATCTTTTTAAAATATAAGTTTAAAAATATAATTTTGAAAGGCTTAAATTAATTATTTTTACTTTTTATTAAAAACTATTTTTTTAAGCTTTTCAGATATGCTTAGGCTTTAAATGTTTTAAAACTTTTACTACAAAAATTCGAAATCAACACTTTTATGGTTGTTTTCTCCAATTTTGGTTTCTAAAAATAGTAAAAAATTAAATATGAATTCAAAAAAAAGTAAATTACTTAGTTATAAGTTGCAGTTTGAATTTTTTATTGTATTTAGGATGGATTACTACTAATTTTAAATTGATTGTTACTTATAATATTTTTTTTATAAATAAAAATCAAGTTTTGTATTTTCGTTATTTATTTGTTTAAGATTTTTATTTAATATTTCTAAATTTGAAGAAGAGCTTAAAGACTTTCGATTTTAGGAATTAGGTATTTTTTAAACCTTAAATTCAAAGTCGTTGTTGATGGGAGAAGTGTTTGTATTTTCACTTATTTTTAATGGACTTAGAGTAAATTATTCTATTTCTAATGAACTCTTTTTTTTGTTTTAAAAAACAGGAACAAATATTGGCAGATTTGAATTTTCTTAAAAATAAATAAATATTTCACTAAAGTTATCTTTATTATCCTATATATTTCCTGTTTTGTAAAAATTATCACAAATCGAAGATTTTTATTTATTTAAACTAGGATTTGTTTCTTTTTTATAATGTAATAAATTGTTTGCTTTTAATATTTCTAAATATTTGTCTTAAAATAGAGATTGTAAGTATAACAATATTAAATCTTTATTGATAGAAAATTCAGAAGATTTTCTACCAATAAACCCAAAAAAACATTAAAAAAGCAAAGATACTATTTACAAGAGCAAGTATTTATGGTAAAGTAGTATATTATATGTAAATTTTCTCAACAGATTCATCTATTTATAGGGTTACAAAACTATAAGCTCCATCTCCACTTTGTAAAGCAGACTATCTGCTTATGCTTTGATTTATTTATGAGTACTATATTGGGTATGCAAAATTCTACTCAGACTAAAAAATTAATCCTTATTTTACTGAAGTAGTCTAAAGTTAAGTATTTATGATGGTTGACATTGAGTAATCGGAATAAGTAAAGATCATTATATTTTTGTAATAAATATGCATATTTTAAGAAGTTATATTGTATTATGAAGTAAATAATTTAAATCTCTAACCTGCGTTAACCGCATTTACAGCATTATCTATTTCTGTTTAAGTTGCACAATTATCTGGTATGGTTGTTTTTATAGAATCAATATCTAAACATCCATAAGTTAATATTTGTACTTGTGATTAAATATTCTCATTTGTATTAAGAGTTAGCATATTATTAGATAATTTAGAGAAATCTATGCATTTAAATACTATTAAATTAGAATTTTAGCAATCGATCACATCTAAAGTAATAAATTAATGATCTTCCTAATTTTGGAAGTATAGCAAAATGCCATTCAAAAATTTGGTGAATTGAGATCACTATTTTTTTGAATGGTTGATGCCTTTGAATATTATTTATATAAAGATAAATAATTTTATAATAGAATTTAATTAATAATATTAATAATTTTAATTTTTTTCAATCTTTATGATTTTTCTATTAAAATGAGAAATTTTAAAAATTTTTAGTGAGAAACTTTAGAAACTTGAGAAAAATAAAAAGAAATAAGAAATATATAAAAATGTAAAAATAATTATATTTTGTGTAGAATATTTTTTTCTACCTACTGATCCATAAACGCCCCAATTCTAAATTCTCTTGTCTAAATATTTCTTACTACATGACAGAAAACACTTCTAAATTTTCTCTGTTTTTGTAGCTTATTGAGTGCAAATATGATTTTAATAGGTACAATCCTTACAGTATTTTTTCAGGCAAAAACTACATTCTAAAGGATTTAGAACAGGCTCTTAACAGTTCTAACATTTATATTCTTCAGGAATCTAATTATAAAATATAAAGTTCTGCATCCTATTCTATCTACAATATTTTTTAACTTGTTTTTTATATTGCTTAAGCAATTAATTTTGTTTATTATAAATCTTTCATGGTTTATAAATTATCAATTTTAGAATATTTTTAGAGTACTACGCTAAAATTTAGTCTACTTTATTAAATAATACTCATCAGTCTAAATAATTATTTTTACAGAAACTTAGTGAATTTTGATTAATTAATTGTCAAATTAAGCAATCAATAAAATATTATTCAACTTAAATAATTACATTAGCATTATCATTATCAAATATAATTCATTTCTCTATGAATATATCAACTATTTATTTATATATATGATTTCAATTCAGAGTAATCAGTGTAAACAGTAAGATAGTTTTGATAAAATGTAAGCTAAAAAATATTAAGTATGATTTTTGTATTCACAAATATTTTTTTTGTTAAGGACCATTATTTTAAATAATAATTTTATAAATATATATTTTATGTATTCAAATATGTGTCTATTCTTATAATTTTTATTTTTCAACAAGGTTATCTTATTTTAATTTCTAATCTACATTACGCTGTAGAATAAAGTTTTTTGATATTTTTAATATCAGTTAATGAATTTAAAATGATAACCTAACGTAGTAATTGATAATTATTCCAATTTATTTGAATAAAAAAAAAATAATAATTATAATAATCTAATTCTTAAAGAAACCTTAATTTATTGATTTTTGAAATTATTTAAATTTAAATGATTTCTTATATTGGCTTTGCTACAAGGATTACATAAAATCTAGCAAATAATAAAATCAGAAAAAACTAATGTCATATTAAATTTGAGTGAAGTAAATTTGATTTTCATTTTCAAGAATATTGTAATTATTTCTAATAATACAATTATTTAAAATATCTACAAAAATGTAAAGTTAAAACTAACATAAAATTTAAAGTGAGAACTATTTTTAAAAAATACATTTTAGCTATCTAATTTTATTTAAATAGCTATAATTTTAATATACTTAGAAGACTCTTAAATTTTATTGATTGAAATTCAATCTTTTAAAAAGCAATATAATTTTTTCCAGCTTTTCAGCTGGAGTTTAATAAGTGTTATTATTTTTCACTTAATGACTAATTTTTGGCTATCCGTTCAAATAAGCAAAAAAAAAAAAATTAAAGTTTAATTAAAAGCCAGTAATAATAAGAAACAACAAAAACAAAAAAGTTCAAAAAAAGACAAATAATTTCAATTAATATGACACTTTTTAAGAGTTTATATAATTTTTAAGTCTAGCGGGCTTAAATTATCATCATTTTGACACCTATTTAAGAATTTATTCAAATACGCTAGTTAAAATTTGTCATTTTCCATAAGAGCAAATGATTTTTCATAATGGCTTAAGCTAAATTGTTCCTCTACATTTTTAAAGCAAATTATAAGTTAATTTATTTTGTCAACTTTAAAATAAAAATAATTTACCAAGTTATTTTATGTTTTCAAATTTCTCATTTAAATTTAAATCTAAAAAATTCTGTGAACAGCTAATGACTTAGAGTGCTGCCAGCTGTTCTTGACTTAACATCATTAAAATAGCTTTCTTCAAGAATAAAATATCCTTAACAAAATTTAATATATTCAGTTCTTTCTGAATTTATTACTCAATCTTCTTCATCATTTTATTATTTTTTTGTTGTAAATTTATTTGATCTTATTGTTTAAAAGTCCTTTTTTTATAAAATAATATAAATATTATAAAGTTTTTAAGTAATAAAAATTAATATACTTCTTGCTGAAGATTACATTTTCAACTTTGGTTTAAACATTTTAGTTATGTATTGTTGAAAGTCTTCTCAGAATCATCTAAGACTCTTAGTTTTTTATTTCGCTTAGGCGGTTATTTCTGAGCTTTGAATTGTAAAATTAGCTTGAATTAGACCTCTTAATAGATTATGCTAGGTTTGGTCTATATGAGTATGAGAATTAGCTAACAGCATCATCGCCCCAAGGACTATCTTAGTTTGTATTTGAACCTTCTATTACAGAGTCTTATGGTAATATCAAAATTTTATCTTTCTCTTCTTTATTATTATCATTCAAAGGTCTATCAGTATTCACACATTCAGTCAAAACTTCTTTTTACTCTTAAGAAAATGGTTTATCTTGAAATTTTAATTTAAAGCTACTGGCTTAAGGAATATTTTTTGGTTATTCTAAGTCTAGACTTTGTTTTTGTTTATTTTAAAAAGCGGGTACAACTATACCATTTTCGTGTAGTTCATCAACTTTTTCACCATCTTCATGTATCTTATTCTCTTCATTTTCCTATTCCTTAATTTCTACTTACTGTTATTACGATTAATTATTGAAAAAATTAGCAACATTTAAATTTTTTAAATAATAATCTTGATAAATTGTCTTCAAAAAAAGCATTAAAAAGTCTTTTTGTATCGATCTCTAAGAAGCATAGCGACCTATAATACCAATTAGCATTAAAAAGGCAAAAATACTGTTTATCAGAGCAAGAATCTAAGGCAAAGTTGAGTATTATATTTGAACGTACTAAACTATTTCATCAACTTACAACATTGCTATACTATATGGACCTACCCCGATTGAAAGTGCTTGTTATCTATCTATTCCTTAATTCACTTATGAGTAAGAAAGGGGAGTAGAAAAAGTTTCTTCATTTTACACTATTAAGCCTTACTTTACAGAAGTAGTTTGAATCGAAGCATTTAAGATAGTTGTTATTGACTACATTGAATAGGTATAGACTATCAAATTTCTGTAGTTCACTTATACTTCTTATGAGGTTGCATTATACTAAGAAGTATAAAGCTTAAATTTTTAGCCAGCGTTTATGCCATTAACAATATCATCTATTTCTGATTACTCTGCGCAATTATTGGGCATAGTTGTTTTAAGACTATCAATATCTCTGCATCCGTAAGTTAATATTTATATTTAAGACGACAAGTTAATCTATGAATTATGAGTCAAGGTGTAGTTAGAAAGATTTGTAAAATCAACACACTTAAATCCTAAAAGGCTAGGATTAGTGCAGTCAATAACGTCTAGAGTGATGAATTGCTAGTCATCATTACTTTGATAGTAAAAGAATGCAACATAAACGATGTATGTCTTTTCTTTTTATTTTTCTAGCAAATAGTTGTTTCCATAGTCAAATTTAAAGGCAATCAGGTCACTACTTAAGGGGATATTGAGTGTATGATCAGTTATGAAGCTTTGAGATCTAAAGGTTGGCTCAATTTAGTTTGTTATGTATTACTTTAAAATGTACACAAAGTATGTCAAGCTTGTTAAAACTACTAAAATTGATAAAAATGCGCCTAAAATAGTACCTTTTTTCATATGTTTATCGTTCACATTAAATGAAAATTGAGATGAAAATAGGTCAATTTTTGAAATTATCATTTTGTTTGATTTTTCTTTTTTCTTTTGTTCTATTTTTTTCTTTTACTTATTTTTTTATGGTTTAAAAATTAATTATTAAAATTTTAATTAATTGGTTAATTTTTAATAGCTTTTCTTGCGACTTTAAAAAAATATTACAAGAAAAATATTAAACAATACATCTCCACATGATAGCAACTTTAGCAAGATAACAACTTTAAATGTAATATAAACTAACCATTCCTTATTAAACTTTTTTTGAAGAAAAAAAAAAATACAAATTATCAATTAATATTCAGAAATTAATTTTACAGCATAAAAAAATTTAAAAAGTTAAAAAATTGCAACATAAAATTTATTGCCACTAAATATTTTGCAAATAGCTTATAAAATAAATAAAATTAGAGAAATTGATTTTAAATGAATTTGAAAATAAAGAAAAAATTAATTAATAAAAATAAATAGTTTGTTTTAACAAAAAATAAATTCAATTAATAATCAACAAATTTTTAAAATAAAAATATAATTAAAATATTTTTTAATTATTATTTGAAGAAAACTTAATTTCTTTCAATCAAAGTAGGATTTTTTAAAAGATTTATATATTCTTTTGTCTATTTTTGTCAAACTATTATTTTCATCCATGCATCTTTAAAGAAACTTGTTCATAAAATATTGTTATACTTCTTAATTTTCTAGTAAAACTGATTAAGCTTCAAAATGAGTTAAATTTTAATCTTTTACTTAATTTTATAATTAAAAAATATTATCTATTTATTTATTATGTTATTGATTTACTTTATTTTATATCAACATTATTCATATCTAACTATAAATAATTTTCAGAGTAGCTTAAATGTTAGAGCGCAGCCAATTATTATTTATTTAAGATCATTGCTATAGCCTTCTTTAATAGCAGGATATCATTTAAAAAATTTATGATATTTAAATTTTTTCTAACTTATTTTTCTACTAATTCTACTGCCTTATTGCTGAGCTTCTTTTAATCGGATTGTTTTTTTGAGCAATAGCTTTTTAAATATAATTTAAAAAGAATAAATATTTTAAAAGAATAATTTTAAAATGCTTTAATTAATTTTACTTTTAATTAAAAATTATTCTCTTAAGCTTTTCAGATAAGCTTAGGCTCTAAATATTTTAAAGCTTTTACTACAAAACTTCGAAATCAACGCTTTTATGGCTGTTTTCTCCAATTTTGGCTTCTAAAAATAATTGTAAAATTAAAAATGAATTAAAAATAAAAAATACTTAGCTGCAAATTGCTATTGCTGTTCGAACTTTTGATAGCATTTAGGATGGATTACTGCTAATTTTAGATTGATTGTTGCTTATTATATCTTTTGTGAAAATAAAAATCAAGTTTTGTGTTTACTTTAAATCTTTGATTAAGATTATAACTTAATTTATCTGAATTTGAAGAGGAACTTAAAGAATTTCTTTTTTATGGTGAAAATATTTTAAATTCAAAGTTGCTGTTGGAGGGAGAGTTGGTAGTATTTTCGCTTTTTTTATATGGACTTTGAGTAAATTATTCTATATCTAATGAATTCTTCTTTTTGTTTATAAAAACAGGAACAGATATTGGTGTACTTGAATTTTCTTAAAGGTAAATATATCTTTCACTAAAGTTATCTTTAGTTGCTTATATATTTCCTGTTTTGTAAAAATTATCACAAATTGATGATTTCTATTTATTTAGGCTAGCATTTCTTTCTTTGTTATGATTTAATAAATTGTTTGCTTTTAATATTTCTAAATAATTGTCTTAAAATAGGGATTAAAAGTATAACATTATTAAGTCTTTTTTGATAGAAAATTCAGAAGATTTTCTACCAATAAACCCAAAAAACATTAAAAAAGCAAAGATACTATTTACAAGAGCAAGTATTTATGGTAAAGTAGTATATTAAATGTAAATTTTCTCAACAGATTCATCTATTTATAGTGTTACAAAGCTATAAGCGCCATCTCCGCTTTGTAAAGCAGATTGCCTGCTTATACTTTGATTTATTTATGAGTACTAAATTGGTTATATAAAATTTTATTCAGACTAAAAAATTAGTCCTTACTTTACTGAAGTAGTCTAAAGTTAAGTATTTATGATTGTTGACATTGAGTAATCGGAATAAGTAAAGATCATTATATTTTTATAGTAAACTTGCATATTTTAAGAAGTTATATTGTATTATGAAGTAAATAACTTAACTCTCTAGCCAGCATTAACCGCATTTACAGCATTATCTATTTCTGTTTAGGTTGCACAATTATCTGGTATGGTTGTTTTTATAGAATCAATATCTAAACATCCGTAAGTTAATATTTGTACTTGTGATTAAATATTCTCATTATTATCAAGAGTTAGCATATTATTAGATAGTTTAGAGAAATCTATGCATTTAAATCCTATTAAATTAGAATTTTAGCAATCGATCACATCTAGAGGAATAAATTAATGATCTTCCTAATTTTGAAAGTAGTAAAAGGCATAAAATACAAAGTATGTCTTATCTTAATTCTAAAGAGGTTCGATGTTGTTGCCGTAGTCGAATTTAAATGCTACAAGATCATTTCTTAAAGGATATTGAAGATTTGTATCTACAATAAAATTTTAAGATCTAAATGTTGGCTCTATTTGATTAGTAATATATTATGTAATTATGTAAATGAAATAAGTTAAACTTCCTGCAATAACGACTAAACTTAAAATAAAACCATAAAGAGTTCCTTTTTTCTTATGCTAATCATTCACATAAAATTGAAATTAAGATGCAAATAAATCGATATTTGATAAATTCATATTTAATATTTGTTAATATTTTTCTTTGATTTTGAAAAATGATATTTTGTTTAGATTATTTTAATAGTTCTACTAATATTAATTGCTCAAATCTTGATAAAAACAACAAAAATCAATCATGAATTTAATGAAAAACTTTAAAAATTAAAAAAAAAATTAGACAACTTATCACCATCCAACATTCTTCTTAAAGAATAATATATATACTTTTATCTAGTTAAAATAACATATAATTTTTTTGATTAATATTTAATAAATTCATCTACAAAAAATTATATCAAATTAAAAAAATTAATTTTTACATGATCTTTGTTTATTTATTATTCTCTATTACTTTTTTTTAATTGAAAAATACAATATAAATACTTTATTTAATTTTTTATTTTCAATGATGTTTTTTTGCAAATTTATTTTTACTTATTTTTTTGAGTTTAAAATATACATATAACATATAGTAAGTAAGTCCTCATAAATTAAGGTTTTATTTATCAATATTTTTTTTCTTAAAATCTTTCATTCTATGACTAAGAATTTTTTAAAAAAATTTTATTTTTTGACCTCCAATCCTCCTAAAGAAATTAAATATAACTTAATCAATAATATGTAGAGACTACCAATAGAACCTCTGAGATTATGAAGGTGTATTCTGAGAATTAATTGAAAAAATCTGAAAAAAATAATTTAAGTAATATGAATTTATTTAAAATAAATTATTAAAATTACTATTATTTTTTAATATAAATTATATATAATTGAAAATAATCATTTAAAAATTGAAATTATTTTCTTCTAAAGGTATCTTTTTAAAACTTTATTTACTAAATAATTTTAAAATTTAAAATTTGAAAAAAATAATTAATGTCATTAATCATAATTTAATATGTATTCTATCTCAATTATTATTTAATATTTATTTTTAAAAAGTTGATACAAAAAAAGGACTTTTATGAATATTGAGTAAATCTGAAGGGTATTTTATTATTATAAAAAGTACATCATCTTTTTCTCCTTTTCTTAAAAAGTGAACCAATCTAAATAAATAAATACAAAATCAATTTTTTATTGATAATCAGAATTTGATTATATTATTATTATAATCATTAAAAAATAAATTCTTAAATTATGGTGAAATTTACATTCATGTAGTCAATTAATTTAAAAATAAAAATCCATTATGTTTTGATAAAAAAACATAAATAAATCAATTATGTCGTCATAACTTGTTCAAATTTAAATCATTTTCATTTGACGTAATTATTATCTTATTATAAATAATACTTTTTGCTAGGCAATTAGAAGGATTTTCATTGAAATCAAAATTCATAACAGCATTTGAATTCAAAAAATAACAAATAGTATCAATTAACATGACATTTTTTAAGAGTTTATATAATTTTTAAATCCAGTTAGCTTAAATTATCTTCATTTTAACACTTAGTAAAGAAATCATTTAAATATTGTAGCTAAAACTTTTCATTTTACATCAGAGCAAATTATTTTTCATAATGGCTCAAGTTATGAGTTTATTCTTTATTTATATTTTAAAATTTTAACCAATTTATTATTTTTAAAGAAAAAATGTGATTCATGAATTAAATTAATAAAGGAAATACTTACCTAACTGCTTAATGCTTTCTAATTTCTCATTTAAATTCAAGTCTAAAAATTGTTATGAACAACTAATGACTTAAAGAGCAGCCAGCTGTTCTTGACTTAACATCATCAATACAGCTTTCTTTAAGAATAAAATATCCTTTACAAAATTTAATATATTCAGTTCTTTCTGAATTTATTACTCAATTCTCTTCTTCATTTGATTGTTTTGATATTAATTTGTTTTTTATTTTTCTCTTTTAAAATAACTTTTTTTGTATAGAAAATAGTATGTAAAATCTTAAATTTTAAAATAATTTTTATTACTTTTTGGTAAAAATGATATCTTCAATTTTTTTAGAAATATTTTGGTCTTGTATGGTAGAAAGTTTTTACAAAATCAAATTTTAGTCTTAGTTTTTTATTTCACTTTGATGATTCTTTCTTAAACTTGAATTGGAGAGCAAACTAGAATTTGATCTTTTAATATATTAAGCTTTTCTTAATTTTTAGGAAAAAGAGAACTTGCGAATCATATCTTTACCCCAAGGACTATCCTAGCTAAAGTCTGAGTATTTTATTACAGGATCTTATTAAAAATTTAACATGTTATCTATATTATTTTCTTTTTTACTCTCATTTAAAGCGCTAATATATTCAGTCAGCATTTCTTTTTTATCTTAAGTAGTTTGAAGGCTGGATTGATTCGAATATAATATTGGCTTTTATGAAAAGTCATTTTTCGGAGAAATAGAATTTGATTGTTCAAAGTCAACATTATTCTTAAATTTATTACGAAAGGCAGGGACATATATGGGTTTATCGTATTTTTCATAGACCTCATCAACTTCTTCATCTTATTATTATTTTTTGTCCTCAGATTCTTTTTGATTCTTTTCTAATTGTTACTCTTTTTAAGATTAATCATTTAAAAAATTAAAAGTGATTATGTTTTTTAAATAATAATCTTGATAGATTGTCTTTAAAAATAACATAAAAAAGTCTTTTTGAATAGATTTTTAAGAAGCATAACGACCAATAAATCCTATGAGCATTAAAAAAGCAAAAATACTATTTACCAAAGCAAGTATTTAAGGTAAAGTTGAGTATTGAATTTGAATTTACTAAACAACTTCTTCAACTTGTAGCATTGCAATACTGTATGGACCTACTCCTATTGAAAGGGCGTACTATCTATCAACTGATTGGCTAACTTAATCATAAGAAATAGGAGAAGAAAAAGATTCTGAGGATTAAACTATTAAACCTTTCTTTATTGTAGTAGTTTAAATCTAAGTACTTAAGATTGTAACAATAGATTAGATAGAGTATGTATAAACAACTATATTTCTGTAACTTACTTAAGTCACTTCTGTAGTTGGATTGTATTGAGATGTGTAAAGCTTAAATCTCTAACCTGCATTTATACCATTAATAATTTTGTCTATCTCTGTTTATTCTGCGCAATTGTCAGGCACTGTTTTTTTAAGCTCATCGATATCTCTACATCCATATGTTAAAATCTAAATCTAAGATTACAAATTAATCTTGGAGTTAAGTGTCAAGGTATAGTTAGAAAGTTTATTAAAATCTATGCATTTAAATCCTTAAAGATGAGGACTAGTGCAGTCTATTATTTCAAGGGGTATAAACATATGTTATTCGTTACTGAGATAATAAAAGAAGGCTAATTAAACAATGTAAGTTTTATCCTTTTAATTTTCTAACTCGTAATTATTTCCATAATCAAATTAAAACCCAACCAAATCGCTGCTCAAGGGTATATCAAGTTAGTAATCAGCTATGAAACTTTGAGATCTATAATTAGGTTCTATTTAGTTTGTAAAATATTACTTAAGAATGTAAATAAAGTATGTCAAACTAGCAATAATAACCAAAATAGAAAGAAAAGCACCTATCAAGGTACTTCTTTTCATATAGTTCTCATTCATATTAAAACTAAATTATGAAGAAAATAGATCAATTTTCTATATAAACATTTGGTAATAGTTAATATGTTTTACTTATTTTAAAATTTAAGAGTATTTTTTAGTTGATTCTTTTTTTAGATTTGATTACAAAATTTGTTTTTATCAACTTTTTAACAAAATAAGATAATCTCCAGTATTTGTTTATAGCAAAACCAAACTGCTATTTAATAAAAAATTAATTAAATAGTTAAAATTCTTTAATAAAAAATAACCACAAAATGTGTACATATATATAAATAATTCAAATTTACTGATTTAGGTAAAAATATGAAAGAAAAAAGGAAGATTCTTATTTTTTAATTGTAAAATTAATAAGAGATTTAATGCTAAAAAATCATTTAAATTAAATAATTTTAATCAAGTCTTATTTTATTTAAAAGAAATCTACAGAGAATTCGATAAATCATTATTTTTTATTAAGTTTTTCAATAAATTTTGATGAATTAATACTTTTATGTTCAATTACATAAATTTTCACTCAAAATGAAGTTAATTTAGGAAGAGTAAATTATAAGTATAGTATAAATATATTAGTTTTACTTTACTTTAAACTAGTCTGATTGAACAGGTTTTATGTAGCTATTAAAATATTTGCACTTTAAATTTGAAGTTAAATTAAAATTTACTAGTATACTCTATTATTATTTTTATAATTTATGTTTTTTTATTATGCTAATTCAAATATAATTCACAAAATTTGAATGTAAAATAACAATTATTTATCTGAACAGGGGTAGCTAATATGAAAATTCAAATTTTTTAATTGTAAATAACTTTATAAGGAAGGTTATTATTTGGAAAATAATATTTTTAAATTAAATATTTAAATATATTTACAAAAAGAATAAATAAATAAATATATAAGTAGCTTTTTCAAGTTTACAGATGCCATAGCTATAATGATTATTTAAGATTGTTAGCCATACTCTTTTGTAGAAGATAATGGTTTTAAAAGCATTATGTACATTATTGAACATATGTATAAAATTCCATCAAGATTATATTAGCTAGACAAAGATACCATAAATTTATGAGTTAACAAGATAGAAACTAAAAAATATTTAGAAAAGAATTGTTATACTCAAATGTGCACTAACATGAACGTGCAGTTGATGGGAAGAACATTCATATGCTTAATTTTAGAGTTTTAATGTTCATTTTTTAGATGAAGAACTTCTTAGGTATAATCGCATTAAGCTTACAAGCCTATAATGACGCTCTTACAGGTGATAATATTTTGAAATTGATCTAAAAATCTTTTACTAAATGAGGAATTACAACTGGACAAGTAACCTGTATAGCACATGATAATGCTCCTAGTATAATTTCAACCTTTAAGAGCAAATAAGGAAGAATAAATTATTATTATTGTAAAATTTACATTGATGTAAACATATGGTAAATTAATAATAATTATAATAAATTAAAATTGATTAGATAATAGTTACTTTTTCATAATTAAATCAACTTTCTTATTTGATATAAATAATTACCTTATTATTTTTAAAAATCACGTTTGTTTTGTATTAAGCAATTACAATTGTAAATATATTTTTTGAAAACTAAATTAGATTAAGAAACAAAAAAAACATAGACGTTCAAAAATATAGACAAATAATATCAATTAATATGACATTTTTTAAGAGTTTATATTATTTTTAAATCCAGTAAGCTTAAGTTATCATTATTTTAGCACTTAGCTAAGAAATCATTTAAATACGCTAGCTAAAATTTTTCATTTTCCATCAAAGCAAACGATTTTTCATAATGACTCAAACTATGTTATTATTCTTTATTTATATTACAAAACTTTATTCAATTATTTCATTTTTTGATGAAAAAAAATAATTGATAAATTAAATAAAAAAACAAAATATTACCTAACTACTTAACACTTTCAAAGTTATCATTTAAATTCAAGTCTAAAAATTGTTATGAGCAACTAATAACTTAAAGAGCAGCCAGTTATTCTTGACTTAACATCATCAATACAGCTTTCTTTAAGAATAAAATATCCTTCACAAAATTTAATATATTCAGTTCTTTTTGAATTTATTGCTCAACTCTCTTCATTGTTTGATTATTTTTATATTAATTTTTGTTTTGGTTTTCTTTTTTAAAGTATCTGTTTGTTTTTTATGATAAAAATAGGATGTAAAATCTTAAATTATAAAATATTTTTTTACTTTTTTTTGAAAATGATATCCTCAATTTTATTTGAAATATTTTAGTCTTGAATGGTCTTAAGCTTTTACAAAATCAGATTAGACTCTTGGTTTTGTATTTCACTTTGGCGATTCTTTCTTAGCTGCGAGCTATAAAAGAAGCTAGAATTAGATCTATTGATTGATTTAGTTACATTTAATATTTGGGAACAAGAGAATTAGTTGATCACATCTTTACCCTATGGGCTATCCTAGTTAAAGCCTTATTTTTCAATTACAGAGTCTTATTGTAAATTTAGTATTTTATCTAGATTATCTTCTTATTTGCTCTCATTTAAAGGTTTTTAAGTGCTAATATATTCAGTTACAACTTCTTTTTAATCTTGAGTTGTTAGAGCATTTGATTATTATATTGACTTTAATGTAAAGTTTTTTGCTTGAGTAATAGAATTTGATTATTCTAAGTCAACACTATTTTTAAATTTATTACGAAAGGCAGGGACAAATATAGGCTTATCATATTTTTGATAGATCTCATCAACTTCTTCGTCTTCTTATCTTTTTTTCTCCTCTGATTTTTATTGATTCTTTTCTAAGTTTAACTCTTATTCAGATTAATCATTAAAAAAATTAAAAGTAATAAGGTTTTTTAAATAATAATCTTGATAGATTGTCTTTAAAAATAACATAAAAAAGTCTTTTTGAATAGATTTTTAAGAAGCGTAGCGACCAATAATTCCTATGAGCATTAAAAACGCAAAAATACTATTCACCAAAGCAAGTATTTAAGGTAAAGTCGAGTATTGAATTTGAATTTATTAAACAACTTCTTCAACTTGTAACATTCCAATGCTAAATGGGCCTATTCCTGTTGAAAGTGCATACTATCTATCAACTTATTGACTTACTTAATCATATGAAATAGGAGAAGAAAAAGTTTCTGAGGATTAAACTATTAATCCTTTCTTTATCGTAGTGGTTTAAATCTAAGTACTTAAGATAGTAGCAATTGATTAAATAGAGTATGTATAAACAACTATATTCCTGTAGCTTACTTAAGTCACTTCAGTAGTTGGATTGTATTGGGAGGTGTAGAGTTTAAATCTCTAACCTGCATTTACACCATTAACAATTTTGTCTATCTCTGATTATTCTGCGCAATTGTCAGGCACTGTTTTTTTAAGCTCATCAATATCTCTACATCCGTAAGTTAAAATCTATATCTAAGATTGCAAGTTAATTTGGGAGTCAAGTGTCAAGGTATAGTTAGAAAGTTTAGTAAAATCTAAGCATTTAAATCCTTAGAGATGAGGACTAGTGCAGTCTATTATATCTAGGGGTATAAATTTGTGTTAATCCTTACTAAGATAATAAAAGAAGGCCAATTAAACAATGTAAGTCTTATCCTTTTAATTTTCTAACTCGTAATTATTTCCATAATCAAATTTAAACCCAATCAAGTCACTACTTAAGGGTATATCAAGTTAGTAGTCAGCTATTAAGCTTTGAGATCTATAATTAGGTTCTATTTAGTTAGTCAGATACTACTTAAGAACGTAAACAAAGTATGTTAAACTAGCAATAATAACTAAAATAGAAAGAAAAGCTCCTATCAGAGTACTTCTTTTCATATGTTTTTCATTGACATTAAAATTAAATTATGATGAAAATAGATCAATTTTCTAAATAAACATCTGTTTTTAGCTTATTTCTTCTCAGTTATTTTTAAATTTTTGTGTATGCTTTTTGATTTAATATTTTTTTAATTTTTTTTATAGATTATTTTACCAAATTTGTTCTTATACACTTTTTATAGATAAGAATTTTGCTTTTTATACAGAATTTTCACTTTCGAATAACATAACCAAACACCTTTTAATAAAAAGTATAATGTTAATGGTTAAAAATTTTAAATTAAAAATAAAGTTTCTTTATGATTCATTAATATTAAAGAAAAATAACAAAGAAAATATAATTCTTATATTAAATTGAATAATAATAAATGATTTAATTATGAAAAAATAATTTAGTTTGAGTAAATTTTAATGAACTTTTATTTTATTAAATCAAAACTTGAAAATAAATTATTCTTTTCTTAATTTTTATAATAGCCAAAAAATCTACTTAAGTAAATTGTAAATTAATTTTCATAGTTGAATTTTAATTGATAAATAAAATAATTTTTCAATGATAAACTAAATCTAAAGAAGAATAATTTATATTCAAGTATTTATTTTAAATCATTTTTAATTAAAATTTACTAATAAATTCTTTTTGAAATAAAATAATTTATGTTTTTTATTCATGTTAGTAGAAATATAATAAAAAAATTGGAGATTAAATCCTATTATTTTGATTATTTATTTCTTATATTGTTAATAAAAAAAATAAAATAATTTCTTTTACTCAAGTTAATAGTTGCTACTTATTTTGTTAAAATTATTTTTTTTTAGTAACAAAAAATAGAATAAATATTTTCCAAACAAAGTTCAAAATATTTCAAATGAAAAAATTAAAATTATTATTAAACATTTTAAAGACATAAAATTAAAGATTTAATTAGTAAAATTAGACAATAAATTTAATTATTAAACAGTTCAATATTAATATTATAATAAACATTTATGTAATTTGTAATTACATTTTTAGGTAACTTATATACAAAAATAATAGCAATTTTTTTAAAAAAATTAGATAAATAATTAATAATATTTAGATTATTTATTTATTTAAATCAAATTTAATATAATTTTGGACTTTATTATAAATTCTACAAGAATCAACTCATCCAATTAACATCCATTTAATTATTTAAGAATAATTAAAAATTACTTGATCAAACAATTGTTAGTTTTTTACATAAAAAATAGTTTTTAAAAAATTATTTAATCATTTTACTATGAAATTAAGTCTATTTAAATTCGAAAGTAGCTATGCTCTAATGCCTGATGCTCATTTTTAAATTTACTATTTATAATTTTTGATATTTTATTTAATCAAAATTTTGGTAAACTATTAATTAAAAATTTTAATTTATTTAATTTAAGGATAAAATAACATATTTACGAATAGTTCACACTAAATAATTCTTGGCATTCTTTATATTCAGTATTTTAAGGTAAAATAATTGAGAAATTTAAAAATTAGCAAGTATAATCCAGTTTATTTTTTTATTCAGTTAAAGAACATTAAAAGAAATACACTGACTTATATTTATCACTAATGACTTTAATTTATGATGTAAGGCAGATATTTCAAAGCTCGAATTACTTAATTAAAAAATTAGGATTGAAAAATATGATTAAAACTGATCTAAAAAGCAATAAATTCAATATTAATTTAATTTACAATAAATGCATGAATCAATTAAATCAAAAAATTAAGCCTGAAACAATCAGCCTATTACTGGTAAACAAAGTGAAATAACTGAAAATAAAAAATTTAAACTTCACAAAATAAAATAAAACATTAAAAGATTTTATTTGTCAATTGAGATTAGCCTATTTAAGTAGTTATTCAGATAGAAAATATTTATTGAAATAAATACTTAATAATAAAATATTAGTTGGCTATGAGATTAGCTTTTGTCTATTTTTAAACAAATAAGATAATCAATTATTAAATATAGACTTTGATTTCTAAATATTTGATACACTTTTTATTTTTATATATTTAATAATTTACAAAAGCAAAAGATAAAAGATTGATAGATTGATCAATCGATTAATTGATCTTGCTTACACTTTAAAAATGAATATATTATTAAAGAATGTTTTACATTATTAAATAATATGATTAACAGCAATTGAATATACAATTTCAAGATATCAAATTTTTTGTTAATTCCCCAAATATTTTTTTTAAAGAGTAAATAAAAGGAAAAGAACCAAACAAACATATTAAAAAAATTAATTGAAGTTAGCGAACCTAATTTTTATGTAAAATTTAATAAAAAATTTTTGAAATGCAGGATCTTTTTTTATTTTTGTCCTTAAAGATAAAAACAAAACCATATAAATAAATGCATAATTTAGATACCCTTAAATATAACAGTAATCTAAAGTAAAAAAGTTTTCATAAACTATAATTATGATATTATGATTACTTAATCACTGTATGAATTTTTCAAACAAAAATATTTTAGAAATAAAATATTAATTAATAAGTTGAAAGACAGATACTATTCTTATGATGCTTTGTTTTGCTATTATAAGATTGCATATTATATTTATATCATTAGTAAAATTTTAAACTTGAAAAAAAGATAAAAAGAGTTGATTGATTGATTTATTTATTTATTTAGTCCTGCCTTATTAAAAATATTTGATTGCTATCACTGATTTATACCTTCATTAAAAAATATCTAAATAACGATTACTTAGAATACTGATTAACTACTACTTGATAAAAATAATCAAGAAATATTAATCATGCGTACATTCGTAGATACATCCATCCATAAATGCATAAATGATACTTTAATTTTTTGTTTGATAGCTTATAAAGTTTTTGTAAAATTTTTTGATAAAAAGTGAAAAAAACAAGTAAAAAAAGAAGATAAGTAATTAATTAAAAAGGTTTGTTTAGTTGAATATCAAAAGAAGAAAGTAAACAAGAGTAATTGAAAAGGATAAGATACAGCAAAATCATATTTTTAAGCAAGGGTTAAGCCCAGAATTCATATTTTGAGCAAGATTCAAATATCGCTGTAGGCTCAACTACTTATATTTTCTATTCTTTCTTTTTCTTACTCTTTCAAGCAAATCAATCCCTACTTTAAAGAGGAACTTATTGGATAATTTAGTTATTTATTACTTCATGGATGCCACTGGTTGCGAAAATAATTAAACACAGTAAAATAAAAATGATCACAATAATGAACTTTAAAACTTCAAAAAAAAAGAGAAAGATAAATTAAATTACATGCATTGGTTTACACTGAAGATAAAGGATTAATAAATGGAATAAAGATTCTAAAATTAGTCTCAATACTTTGAAAACAACATTTTGTATGTTTTGCTATTTTTTATAGGATTACTCTACTTAGAGGAGTATATTGAAAATCCTTCTCTCTTTTATATAATAGTAGGCAGTGTTATTTTGGCATTCTTTTTACTAGTGATATGCTTTGTTCCTAATAGGCCAATTATAATCTTTCTACTAAGATCTCTCTATTTAATTGTTTTAGCTATATATTTATATAACTAGTACTCGTTCTCAAGTGATGAAAACTTTGATGGTCACCATAAATCTAAAGAAGATAAGGAGAGCCATAATAGCAATCGGTTTCAAAAGATTTATAACTTTTAGTTTTTGATTTTAATGAGCAGCATAATGTTTTACAACAACTGGTATATCTCAGCTGCTATAATTTACATTTCTAACATCTCTGTATATATTTACTTCTTCAATAAATTCTTTTCTATTACTTAAATTATAGCGTTTCTCTATCCTTTGTTATTCTACTTTATTCTCAGACGCGAAAAAAAATTCTATGCTACCACATATATTGAATTAATTAATCTGATTGAATAGATCATCCCAATGGGATTGATAATCATCAAAAAGACAAACCCTCCAAACAAAGAATCCTCTATATTCTGTTAAGTATTAAGCTTATTTAGATCATAAGAATAATCTACTTAAGAAAATTAGTCCTCAACATAAATACAAAACAACTCAATATTCAAGAAATGCTCTTAAAATTTGTGCTCAATCTTATGCTATCCTTTTCGCTGTCTAAAATATTTTAAAAAAACAGATAAAAACACCTAATAATTATTTCAAACCAACTAAATAATTTCTTCTCCACCACCTTCAAACTCTTAAACTAAAACAAACTGTACAAAAAATTAAAAAAATGGTACTCTTCATGAAGAAACTCTTCTTAAAAATTTAAGAAAATAGCCTCAATCATCATCTAATTCAACCTATTCTTCTTCCATGCCTTCTCTCTTAAATTCACACGATTTCAAAGTATCCTATTGCAATCAATTCTTTCTTGATAATTTTGCTGTTTCAAATGCTTCTCCACATTCACCCGAACATAGAATTTCTCACAGCTAAAGAAATATCTAAGCGTAAAGCTAAAACACTAAAAAAACTATAAATAAATATATGACAAACACCAGCACGATTAGCAAGAACGAAATTTTTTAGAATGAACAATAATTGTATCATATTATATCGAAATCACTTAAGCGCATGAATCTCATAAAAGATCCTATTTTTGCTCAATCTCCAAAAGGTAATAAAAATTACAATTATACAAATAACCATCAGACAAATATCCAAAATTCTTAGCAACAAGCGATTAACTTGAACAAAGATGATAAATAGTTCACATCAATATTAAAAATTCCTTCTTAGTCTCAACAAGACACACCTAAAATTAGTAAATTACATCTTACTAACCAGATAGTCTTTTCTAATCATAATATGAATCAAACTACATCCTAGAATTAAAATAGTCCATTGAAGGAAGAAAATCACTAGAATTTATTATTTTCTAACTTAAATTTACACAGGAAGCCGTTGCTAAGCTAAACAGATAACAAGATATTTTAGAATAGTAACCACACAGTTTAGTTATCTTCTAAAAATATCCTATCGCCAGAAGATCCTGACTCGAATAGACCATTATACTCCTTTTAACATATCCTGACTTAAAATAAATAATTATTAAATATAAATAACAAAAGCAGTTCATTTAATTTTTCAAGTGCTAATAACAATATTGTAAAGAGTAAATTTATCAATATAAACCCACCATAAACAAGTAATGATGGATAAAATGATGAGTTTTCTAACCCTACAACTAATAGACATATTCTTGCATAGACAGAATAAATTTAAACAAATGATTTAGAAAAATAAAATCAATAAATATAAAAGAATCCTTCCATAGTAGCGCTAGACGAAACATATAAATTAGAAGAAAAAAATAGAAATAGTATTTAAACTATTTTTGATTATGTTAAACAAAGACTTTGCTTTCCTCAAAAACATACATAAAAAAATAATCAAGATATTGATGAAGAAAATGAAGACTGTAGAGAAACGGTTAATTGCTATTAAATAGATGATAGAAGTGATATGAAAAAGAGAATTTATGTTTAATTTGTAGATGGAGTATGGTAAGGAGACAATGTTGTATTCCTGCTTATTAATAAGAACTCTCATAGCGAAAAAATACTTGAAGATAAATTATAAGAAGTTGAAACATTTAAGTATTCGCTACTCAAAACGGTCTCTCATGATTTAAAAACACCTTTAAATGGAATGACAATTATTTTAGAGGATATGATACAATATTTCAAAACAAAACAGAAATCGCTCCATCTAAAATTATTAAAATAGAACAATCAAAATATTAATAACATTCATCAATCACTAGCTTTAATATAATTAAGTCCTCAAGAACATCAACTGATAAGTTATGGTTCGAGCTAAAATATACCTCCAGTAAATGGAATACAGCATTTAGTTCCTCCATATAAAAGTGGAGTATCAGAATTGTTTGGCTAAAATAGTTTGATGATTAACAATTATTAGAATTTTAATAGCAATAACAATAGCAGTGTAAAACACAATTACAAAGAAAAAAAGTAGTAAGTAATAAGACACATAGAGAATTTAAATTAGATACTTTTTAGTACAAAAATCCTTACAAGTGTTATTGATGATATTTTAGATTATTCGGCCATCAAAATTAATAATTTTAGATTAAATTCTGATTACTTCGATCTAAGATAGTTGCTCCTTGAGATTAAAGAGGTATTTCAAAAGACATTTGAGTAGAAGAAGCTCTAATTTTAACTTGATTTTTCTCAATTCTAAGATCAAAGTTCTATATCCATTTATAATGATTAAAAGCGCATTAAGTAAGTGCTCATAAATATGATTTGTAACTCACTTAAATATACTCCTAAGGGATATTGCAAGGTAGTTATTCAAAAAAGTGAAGTAAATTAGGATGTTCTTGTTGTTTCTGTGAAAGACTCTGGGGAAGGAATGGATGAAAACACTAAGCATAAACTTTTCTAGCTATACGAAAACACAGACAGCGATATTCATGGTAAATTTTAAGATTACATCAATCTAAAGAAAGAATGAATAATTAATTATTGATGGAAAGAGTCCTTTCTCTTTTTAATAATTTTACAAACAACCTTCTATTTTACCAAAATATAATTTATTCCCACTGCTTATTTATATTGATTAATCTTAGATAAATTAAAATTTTCCAAATAAATGTATTGCCTCCAACAATCACCATAAGATTTAATACTTATTTCTATGATTATCTTAAGATTCACTTCTTATCAATTTTAATCAAAAATATCAGACATTAGTACTGAAGTGATCATTAAATTTTCCTAATAAATTAGGACGATATTTTATTTTGCCTTATTTGATAAAAATACAATATTTCTTTAATTATCCCAATTTTCAAACATTTTAGCAGCTTAAACCAAAAATAAAAAATACATTATTTTTCAGTTTTTATCAAAGCATAGATTAATGTATTTTGATCTCGTAAATAAATCCTATTTTTTCAAGAAATTATATTAAATTTAATGAAATTCCAAATACATATTTTCAATGAAAAAAATTGTTAAAATTATTACCAGAGTTTTTGAGCTGTGCCTAAATAGAGTAAATTGTACCAGCTGTAATCTGAATCTAATAGATTGTATTTATTTTACATTTTAATAATTACAAGAAAGAGAAAAATTAAATTAAAAAAAATTTCAATGATATCACTTTTATCATGCATCCAAACAAGCATGAAATTTAATAAATTAGATTCTTAAATAATTGCCACTAAATAATATTACGAATTTTAAAAAATTATGATACACTTCTTTTTTTGTTATTTATTTCATAAAAAAGGGAGTAACATTTGAATCTATTTTGCATATCTACTCATTTTTTCAAATCCATGAATTATTTTTTTAAAAACAGGCAAATATTTACACTCTTTATTCATGAATGAAATATTAATTAATGCCATTTATAATTAATTAAATAATAAAAATCCATTTATTCAGATAAAATCCAAAAATTAATTTTCTTCTTTGCTATTTTTGTTTTTTTTAGACTTTGACGCGTCAATGATATTTTTTATTTTTTTGAAATGAAAATTTTATAAGTTTTGAATCTAATAATATATTTTTTTAAATAATAGGTGTTGGATTAGGACTTGTAATTTGTAGAAATATAATAGGATTTTTAGGGCCATCGGAGAATATAGAAGTAGAAAGCTAACTTGGTAAAGGATCTACATTTAGTTTTCAAATTTATATAAAAAATCAATTTGAACTAAATAGTAAAATTAAAAACGAAAATTATTTTTCTGATGCTTAATCTGCGCGCGATATATAATAATAAAAAAATAATATGCAAGTGTCTGGGATTAATTTATTATATAATAAAATAAAAGAAAGCAGTCATAGCTTAGCTGGTTAAAATTCCTAGCCATTTAATGCCAATAAATCATTGTTTCTATAATCTCCGACATTTAAAAAGCATAAAAAAGCTAACCTCCGCAATTCTATTCAGAGCTTTGACTAATTGCCTAAAAGGATTTTCATACAAAATAATTTATAAGTTAAAAATATAAAAAACGATGAATAATCTTAAAAAGATAACATTTTGGTTTAAAATAAAATTAATCAGAATGATTCTCCTTTATAAATTATTGATGATATTCCTAATACTAATCGAGAACATGTTTGTAGCATCGTTTTGAATGAAGAAAAACCCACACAAAATAACTTTTCTAACAACTTAAAATTTAATAATAAAAATATCCTCACAATAAGTTAGAATCTTATTTAGGCTCCAAGTGAAAGATCAATAAACACTTATAATCTTGATTTTAACAAAAACTTAGGCAGTAATAATAGCAATAATCAAAAGCACCAAATTTCCCATGACTTCAATGAATTTCATTCTTCAGGAATTTTATAATTATTTTAAGAAAATAACCAGAAGTAACTCTTCTAGTAAATAAGATAACATATAGATAACTAATCCTCATAAATAGACTCCATCAATTATGAGGAAACTCCTTAAAGTAAGTTAGACAAACCAAATCAAAATAATCCATTAAGTGGCTTCTAAGAAGTCATGAATAGAGAAAATCTAGTATTTTCTCCAGAGCCATCAAATGAGTTATAAGGCAATTAAATTAATGGGTTAAATGATTTTAAGTAGCAGGAATGCTCTTAGATTTGTGATAGTAACTCAATTAATATACAAAATTGCAATAACTTTCGTAACAGTGTAAGCAATAACACTAAAAATAATATAACAAATCTAGGAGATTCCCATGCTGAATATATATCTATCGAATAAGAGTAATACGTTATACCTGAGTTTGATCATAATACCAATAATTTAAAAGAGCATTTTATGTAAATTCCTAATAAAAGAATTTTAATTGTAGATGATAATTTTTTCAATTAATGTGTTCTCGAATCATTATTAAAAAACGTCCATGGAATTGAGCTTATTGACAAAGCAGAAAATGGTTAAATAGCTATTTAAAAAATATAAGATTTACATTTATAATATGGATTTACATACGATTTAATTTTAATGGATTGGTAAATGCCTGTCCTTGATGGCTTATAAGCTACTGTCATGATAAGATAATTAGAATTCTTATAGGAGCATCCTCCATATATAATATTTGTAACAGCATCTTCAGCTTAAGAAAAAAACAAAATTATAATTGCAGGTAAACAATTAATCAAACAAATAAATTTATTTATTTTTTCAATATTATTTTTACAAATTCTCTAAATTTTTTATTAAGTAATTCCATTAACTTTTATCTAACCGATTTTATATTTAAAAAAAGGAGCAAATGCATTCATTGAAAAACCTGTAAATCCTTAAATATTTTATGAAGAATATTAGAAATTTTTAGATTTTGAATACAATAATATGATCAATAGTTCACCAAACTTCCAATGATGATTTTAAATTAAATTTTTAGATTTTGAATACAATAATATGATCAATAGTTCACCAAACTTCCAATGATGATTTTAAATTAAATAAAGAATGACTTCAAATAACAAATTTAAGAATAAAAAATAAAATTTCTTGCATCCATTATTGTTAAAAAAATAATTAATAAAACAAACTACTTTGAATTTCAATTTAGTTAAGGAAATATCTAAAGAGATTCATTCTGAATTTTAATTATATAAAAATTTTAATGAAATAAACCTATTTTGGCCTTTATTCTAAATTAAATAAAATAGGAAAAATATATGAAAATAAATTCTATTTTTTGTATGTAAAAATAAATTTATATAAATATCTAATCAATTAAAAAAATTTTTACAAATAGTTATACTTACCTTGAAAATCGAATTCATCCATCACTTACTAATTATTTTACTTTTACTTTCTAATTAATTGAAGTTACTTAATAACTTTTTTATTTTTTATGACTTTATTTTATATATTAATTATACATAAATGAAAATCAAATTCTTCAACACTACTTTACTTTTGCTTAAATATTATTTTATTTTGTATTACATTATTATATTAATTAATTTAACTTAATATAAATATAAATGTTTTAAAATGAATTCAGTGATCAAAATTTATTATAAGAAGGTTTATTTTTTAATTTCCTAGTCTAATAAATTATATAAAAACATTAGTCTGTTTAAAAATATCTGATCACAGTAAAGAAAATCTAATTGAATATTTGGATTTTCGGAAAAATGAGTCTTTCTTCAGAAATTTTAATAAATCTTTTAAAGAAAAACATGATAATCATTAACCTAATTTACTTTTGTTAAATTTGCACTAAATCCAATAATTACTACAAAAAAATATTTTATGAAAGAATAATTTTTAGAATGTAGAAATATATTATTTATTAAGGTTTGATGAAATAAATTTAACAATCTTTAATCAATTTTAAAATATTTAAATCCAACATAAAATTTATTATTTAATAAATAAATCAATAAAAATTTGAAGCAAATTTAATTTTAGATTTATTTTATTCTAAAAAATTAAATTATTTTTTAATTAGAAATAAATTTGTAAGTTACAAAAATAAAAAATTAAAATATAAATAACTTAGAAAAAAAAATTTGATATATCAGCAGTAACATATTATTTTTAAATTATTCGGTTTTCAATAGTAAAATTGACATTTTACCAATCTTTTCATTTTAAATAAGCTCTTGTTGCATTTAGATTTTCCCATAAAATATTGAACGCTAATTATTCATTTAATTAGTTTAAGATATATATAATTTTTATGAATATTTTTACTTTGTTTTAAGCATAAGTGTGTTAATTCTCTAACATTCTTTGATTTTTAAACACAAAGGTTAATATTTTTGATTAGAAAAAGCTGCTTCACTAAATATAAAACTTTTATATTAACAAAAATACAATTTTAATATATTTTACCTTATATTTATGTGTAAACTGCTCATATTCTTACAATTTTTAATAGCATCAAATAAACTTAAAGCAGAAGCAGAATCCATATCATTATTACTTGTAAATAAATATTCGTTGATCAAATAAGATTAAAAAATAAAATAAAAAATTACTCTAAGTTAATCTAAAGATGCTTTAGGTTTGGGATTTAAGGTAAAAATTGATAGATGACCTATAATCCGTTTTTTTTGATACTATTTGTTCTAAAATGAATAAAGAAAATTAATATAAAAATTAATAAATTATTTATTCTATTGTTGATAATAAAAATTTAAATATTAATTAAGAAAATACTCAAGATCTAAATTTAAACTTGTCAAGTTTTTGCATTCAGTAAGCCCTTAAAATAAATATTAAGTTCCTTTAATTTTAGCATAGTTTTCACTAAAATAAAGGTTTTAGTTTAAAAAGAGATTATTTGATTCAAAATTTTACGCAAGTAGAAGCTAAAGATTATTTATATTATTAGCCTATTTAATACCTTAAATCAAATTATTAAATCCCTCAGCTTCTATCTAATTATCTCTTAATATAATTAGAAAATTAATTTATTTAAATAATTAAATTTTTATTGTTTAAAATACTTAAGCTATAGTTTTAAATCAGTTAGAACTTCACAACTTCCTATCCATTTTCCTATCTCACTACAACCTTTATCTCCAATTCCCTTGAATCTTCAGCATTAATAAATACTACATATTTAAATTCAAGATTAAATTAATAACTTACTTTAACTCAAATCCTATTGATTTTAATTGAGAGCGATCAATTTCATTAATCTTTAAATTAGAAATAAATATTTTTCAAATTTAAATTAATTTAATTTAAATGTAACCTTATTCAAATTATATACTATCATAGTAATTAAATGTTATGCTTTTTTTTTCAATACAATTTTTTTACACCTAGCCTTTTATTTTTGATTATCAAAATTATTTACAATTTTTTAATTATTATATTTTTTAGAAATATATTTAAAAACGAATGTTAATTTAAATAACTTTTCAATCTATTTATTTATTTCTTTCTTTCCCTAATTTCAATAAATCTTTCACCTGAAAGAGGTTTTGTTTTAATCAACTTTTATGGAAGTTTTTAACCTTAGTTATATTTTTAAAAACTAAAGAGAAATAAAGCAAACAATATATAATTTTTAAAATTAGTTATTAAGGATAAAAAGAAAGAAGTAGATTTTATCATGACATATGAGATGGATTTAAATATTTATTGAAATTTATATTTAAACCTATATTAATTTATATCAAATTGTTTTTATAATTTATCAAAATAAATTTTAATATTGCTTTCTGTTTGTTTGTTTGCTTAATTTATGATGTAGCTGCTGGAGCAAATATGCTATCCATAAAAAAATTGAGATAAAACATTGTTTATTATGTAGAAAAAACATTTACAAATAGGATTTTTTTTTTTAATAGAATCATAAAACATATAAAAAGGATTTTAATATTCTTGAGTAATATAACATAATTTATGATTATACTAATATAAGATGTTATTTAATTATAATCTATGCTTCAAATTTCCATAATACTTATTTATATATTATTTGATATTAGCTATTAGTATGCTGTGTAGTAATTTATAAGTTCATTTTTGGCTAGCGTACCTAATCTTAAACTTTAATAGAGCAAAATATGAGTTTTTTGAAAAATGTATTAGGCATGTAATACTTAATATATTAACTAATTAACACAGTAGACTATAAGTATAAAAATAAAATGATATTTAATAAATTTATCAGATAAAAATAATTTAATTTTGAATATTTTTCATTAATTATTTTTTATAATCAATATTTTAACTTTCTTTGTTATTATTTCTTTTCTTTTAAATTTGAAAAAATTTTTAAATAATGAAACAAAAGAAAATCTTCTTTTATTTAATTAAGTGTAAAATGAATGAAATTAAACAGAATTAAAAAAGAAATCAAAATGAAATCTTAAAAAATGGCTTTCAAAATCAAAGTAAATTAATTAATTATGTATATATCATTAAATCATTTATGAATTTCGTTTATTAATTATTTTATTTTGCTTTATTCTTTTAGTTTATTTAATTATTTGTATTTATGTATTTTATATGTTAATTTTAATTGATTGTTTGTGTTTTTTTTGCTCATTAGTTTATTTATTTTATGGATTTGTTTTCTGTTAAGTTTTTTAATTTTTTATTTCTTAATTTTTATTTTTATTTGATGTTATTTGTTTTTTTCTTTCTTTTTTTTGTGCTCTTCTGCAGTGTGAGTCTCACTAAGGCGGTATACCTTTTAATTAAACAATATTTATATATAGGGAAAAAGAGTGGGTCTAGAAACATGAAAAATTTTGCTCAATCGTGGAATATGCGTGAGCTGAATGTACTTTGCACTAGTATAATATGATTTTGCAATACTTGTTTTTTTTTGTTTTAAAAAACTCGTGGGGCTGTCGATTTATTTCACTCTCATGCGTTAAGCCGGTATTAAAAATTAGTATTGCAAATCAGTCATATACAGGAGGCATTTCATTCATCTTACCGTGTCATCTATATTTTATGATGCTGGAAATTAGTTCCATTTTTCTTTAGTCAGAAATATTCTTTTGTAATTTAAAAACTTGACTCGTAAAAAGGAGTTTTAATCTATGATACTAAATTTGTTGCTAGTAAAAATATCACAGAAGTGTACTCCTTTTTTGGTTTATTAAAAACTTGAATATTCCCTCATAAAGAGCATCTATAGAATGTCATAGGGGCTTTAAAAACTTAACCATTCCACAACAAATTCTTCTTATGTTTTACGGTCCCTAATTTAATTACCAACAGTTTCCAACTTTAATTAATTATAAAAAAGATATCTTTCAAAATTTTGAATTTAATCAAAGATTTTCCCTTTTTTTCAAATCCAAATTTCCCACTAAAAAAGCTAATTTGAAAATTGAAATATAATTTTTAAAAAATTCAATTAATTTATTGATAAGCACTGTAAAATTGAACTTTTAAACTAATTTTTCTATTCTTAAAAAATATTTCTCAATATTTTTAATAAATAAGTTGGTTGTATTGATTTAAAATGAACAAATTATATTTTTATTGAATAAATTTAAAATTTATTTTTTGTAAATTTTATTAAAAATAAATTTCAGAGAATACTTAAAAGTAAATTTTTTATTCTAGTATAAATTTTAAAAAGAAAAAAATTAATAATTTACAAAAAAAAACTAGAAAAATTTGAAAATGTATTTTTATAATAGGATAAAAATTATTAAAAGATATTTTATTTATATGTTATCAACCAAAACTTATTTTTAATTTAACTTTAATATATCTAATAAGAGTAATTCAAAAATGATAATTTTAAAAAAATAATCTTCTGGTCTAAGTTGTTCAAAGATGTTAAAATGAAAATTATTCATTCTAATTAATTTAATTTTTGATTAATATTAAAGGAAATATTAAAAAAGTAATTACTTTAGGCATATCAATTATCTTTTAATCAAAATAATACAAAATAAACAAGATTTATTTTGATTTCTTTATTTTTGCTAATTAAGACAATTAAGGCAAAGTGTTTTTTTATTTGGGGAATTAATTTTTTTTGTGTTTGAAAATTTGATTAAAAAGATACTTGATTTATTTATTGATTTTGTAAAAAATTTAAATAAAATTGCTTATAATTATTTAATTAAATACAAATACGAAAAATATAAAAAAAAGAGACTCAAATAAAAAAAACTAATTTCTCAACATGTTTATCATCTTAAAAATTAACAAAAAATAAAAAATCCTCATAATCTATTACAAATTTTTAAAACCACGATATTAATTGGGATCAACATGATTTTCATAGCCCGAAGTTTTTGATACATTAAAGATAATTGAGGATTATTCCAAAATAATTAAAGATATTAGCTAATTAGATTCTTCTAATCTGCTATGGATTTTTCAAAAATAAAAATAAGATGATAAGCGCAGAAATTCTTATTTCCAAATTCACCAAATATATAAAAAGTATTTTTTAAAAGCTAGCTAGAAAACCCAAAAAGAAGCTCTCTCACACACACACATTTGCTTATGCACAAACAGATTCAGCTTTAACATCCTCTCGCCTTAAAAAAAGAAAAAGAATAAAATTATAAAAGAATTAAACAAATATAAATTAAATATAAAAAAGTAAAAATAAATAAAATAAAATAAATAAATAAATAAATAAATAAATAAATAAATGAAATATTAAATAAAATACAAAAAATATGAAATAAGAAATAAAAAAATAAAAATTAAAAACAAAGAAAAATATCAAATCAAGTTCATTTTAATAAAGAATAATCATATATTTAAGACATCAATTATTTAGACTATTTTAAATATAAATATTTTATAAAGGTAATTCATTTCCTTTTAATTCGGTTAATTTAATGTAAAACTATTAAAAATTTACAATGTATTTTAATTTAGAGAAAAAACATATTTTTGAAATTATGTTATTATTATTTTCTAATAAAGTATTTCTTAGATATTTTTGGTTTTAAACATTTTTTATCAAATAAGTAAAAAATTATGTATTTTTATTGAAAACTGATCATTTATCCATCTCTTAAAAAAAATAAAATAAATTACAAAATGCTAATAAAATTTATAAAATATTTAGATAGTTTAATTTATTTTCTAATTTTATAATAGACTTGATAAATATAATTCTAAATAATCTATAAAATATATCTAATTATCAAATCTAAAAGTAGTTCATTAATTAAGTATATCTTTATCCGTAATCTATTTGTTTAATTAATATATTTATCATATCAGATAAATAATCAAAATGACTTGTAAAAATTATTCATTTAATTAATTCTTATTTATTACTTAGCCTTGTTAAATAAATTTGGGATATTTCTTTTGGATATCTCCTGATCTAAATACTTCCATTTAGATTGTTTTTAATTCACTAAACTTATTAATTTAGTTACTCATTTCATATTTTAAATTGATAAGATCTCATTTTTTCGTAAATAGGTTACATTTTATCAATCAAGAGAGATTATGAATTCCGGGGTATTTTTGTGTACACCCTGGGAGGGTAAAATAGGAAATTAGGAATATTTTTTAAAATTTAGATCCATATTTAATTTTTTTAGAAATATTTCATAATTTAATTTTTTTTAAATTTTCCCCCCCAGAGGTGTACACAAAAAGACCGTGGAATTCATAATCTCTATCAAGCTATTACTGTTTGTGCTAAAAATAATCCTTTAATTAACAATTTCTAAAATCTTAAGACGGACAACATTCTTATTAGAATCTTTAAATAAATTTAATATAATTAAATTAATTAAAATAATTTTTTTATGAATTTTTAAAATTTTTTTGTTAAATATTTTTTATACAAAATTATTTAAAATATCAATCAATCATTCAATTATTCATTCATTATTTATAGACAGACCATACAATTAATTACAAGAATTTAATAAAAAATAAAATATTTAATATTAATTTTTTAGATAAGGTTGAGAGAAAAATATTAGATCATAAATAATATTAAAAAATTATTATGAATAATTAAATAACATTTATTCTTTTTGGTTAGAAAGTCCATCATCTTATCAATAAAAATAAATCTAATAGATTGGTAAAAAATGCAAATAGTTACTAAGTAAATATGCAATAATTAGAGCTTTACTGAATTAATTGACGCTGTACTTTCTAGATATTGTCATATGAAATTTTCATAAAATTTAATCAATTTATTTTTCTATTCTAGAGCTGTCTATTGATTTTTCTATTTTAATAATAATTATTTTTATAAAAAAGACAATATGATTACACAAATTGGTTGGTTGAAAATTTTATCTATTATTCTTAAAATTGTTGAAAAGATGAAAGGTTTACTTATAATACAACAGTTGTTTATTTTTAAGCAAAATTCTTGATTTATTAATTTGTATTTTCTAATATTTAGTATTATCCTTAAATTATTTTTTGCAGAGCACTTTTGTATTGCTTTCAGAATGTAGTTTTAATATAGCTTAGCTGATTCAGGTAATTTATCTCTAATTTTTATTTATAAAAATTGAATGAAAATTTTTAGAGTCAAATGAGCAAAACTAAATATAATTTTAATTCTTAAAGTTGAAAATTCTATCATAATTATTAAAACTATGTTTAAAATACCTAACTATATATTTTATTGGTTGTTTAGATTTTTTCTAGAATTATTCCTTACTTAATTTAAATCAATAACCAAATATTAATTAATTTGTACCTCATAAACACAATCAATTAAATAAAAAATTAGTATATCAAAAAAAGTATTAGGAAATTTCTTTTTAATTTATCTATATCTTTCGTATGGATTAATTTGTTAAGCAGGTTGAATAAAAGTTATCACATAGATTCCAAAATAAAATATAAATCTAAACAAAAATAATTAAATCGAAACTCTAATAAAAACCAAATAAAAACTCAAATATTTAATATTTAAATTTGCTTGTAAAGATACAAAATTTTTATTTAAATAAGGTAGTTACTCTCAATATATAGCTAAATTAAAATGGAAAAACTATTTTTAAGGTGCAGTTAAACTCTTTAGTTTTATGAGGAATAGAACTAAAAAAGAATGGCTATAATTTATGCAATAGTCAGCTAATTCTTTTTTACAGCAATGTTTTGCTGTGTATCTATGCTTAAAGGAGAATATTCTTCTTTGTAAATTGTTAATATGAGAATGATAACGGGCTTTGTCTTTAATGCTGCATTTTGCCATATCAATAAAATACCAACATATGCAGAAAAACCCTCTACTTTCAGGCTCCTATCGATTAGAGGAATATTAGGAGGCTTGGCAATGACTTGCGTTTTCACTTGCTTAACTCTTATGAGCGTATCTGATGGAGTAGTTATGGTCAACACTAATCCTATTTGGACTAATTTCTTAGCTTTCTTTTTTTTGGGTGAACATCTTTCCAAAAAGGCTCTAGGATTCTGCCTTATCTCGTTTATTGGCATTGTGCTAGTTAGCAGACCAGCATCTATTTTTGGAGAATCTTCAAATTCTCATAGCGAAGCTTAAAATTAATTATTAGGAACTATATTTGGTCTCGTTGGTAGTCTATTTGTTTCTCTAGTATCGATTGTTGTCAGAAAGCTTTCCCATCAACTAAAATGCAATGGAGCTATGCACATGCAATATAACTACTTTATCAGTGCATTTTTTACAGCTATTTTAATACTTAATGATGCCGAAAGACCATTTATTTTTACCTTTAGATTTTTATACCTAAATGTTCTACTATCATTTTTTGGATTTATTGGTTAATTATTAATATCCAAAGCTTACACTTTAGAAAAAGCTTCAATAATATCTCCCATGTAGTACTTTTAAGTAGTGCTCTCGTTCCTATTAGATATCTTTGTTTTAAAAAACAGCGTTAGTTTCACTAGTATAGCTGGAGCTGCTCTCATAGTATTAGGCAGCGTTGGTATAATTATGTGAAAGAAAAAACAAACTAGATCATTGATTATCATTTATTTATTTATTTGAACACCTACCTCCCTACCTACCTACCTTCCTTTTAATTAAAATTTCAATATCTTTTATTTTATTAACTAATAATTAAAAACAAACATAATTTAGAACTAATAAAGGTTCTACTTATCAAAAATTTAATTAATTAATTAATCAATCAATAATTTGTTATAGTTTTCTATATATTATTCATAACTTTATAAATGTACATATCTATCTTTATACAAATTCATTATTAAATTCTGCCAATATTTTTTATCATTTTCTTTACTAAATAAGTGTTAAAAATATATAGAAATCAAATTTAATTTATCCTTATTAAATATAAATAAAATGATTGCTATTCTTTCTTGAATAATTATTTTTCTTTTAGGAAATATCTATTTAGTAGAATAATAAATATTATCTCTTATAAATTTAAAGAAAATTTAGAATCATAAAAAAAGGTATCTAAATAGGTTTCGAACCTGAATAAACAAAAATAATAATAAATATTTAGTCAAAGATTTAATGAAGTAATCTAATTTTTTATTTATTGTTTACATTTAGTTAAATATCTAATTATAAGTTTCTTTTCTAAATTTAACAATTAATTCAATTATCTCTTTTAATTTTATTTACAAAACCCTTGAATTTATCTATAAAATTACTAAATTACATATTTAAAAAATAAATGGAAATTTCTTGTGCATAAACAATTTTTTTAGAAAATATGCAACAAATCTTATAAATATAACCATTTTATTTTAGACTAGCGAAAATTTTGAGAATGTATAAATATTTTTTGTTAGTAGTACAAAAATATTTCACGCTTGATTAAAATAGATTTAATTAAAGCTTTTTATTTATATAAATTTATTTTTTAAAGTGAATAAATTCAACTTCAAGCAACTATTTAATTACGATCCAATATTTTTATTCTGTCTATTGGGCAATAATTTTTCTTTTTTAACCAGAGATTTATGCAGTTTTTATGGAAAATATGACCGCATTATAATTTATAAACTTCATCTTATGTCTAGTATTACTCTAGGCAAATTGAGCACTCTTATTAATTTTGTTAAGTCTCTACCATTTCAATAGCTTTACAGCTTTAAAATTAATTTTATATTAGAATATCTAAAGCCTCTTCTTATAATGCCTTTATTTATTAACGATTTCCTGACTATATAGATTAGTTTTATTGTAAATTATTGTTTAAATTTTATTAAAATTTTTCTTGACAGTATTTAATAAATTTATAAATAATAAGCAAAAAACTAAAAAAGAAGAGTAAAAAATTATGCCATGATTATTTGGTGTTTAAAACTTCATCTTATTAAATTTTCAGAGCTACTTTTAAATTGATGATATCTTGATCAAAAGAAAAAATAGCTACTACCGTAATATCCCGTTTCCTCGTTCCTCGGATGATGCCAAATCCGAAATCCGAGAAGTGAATTTCAATTTCAAAAATCTATCATTTCTCGGATTTCGTTCGGATTTTTTAAACGAGAACTTACGGTAATATGAGTTTTTCTTATTTTTTCAACATGATATTCCTAATATTTGCTTTATAATTTGATTAATAAATCCCATTACCCATATCTTCCTCAGTAAGAAATGTTTGTTCAAAATAATTTTCATTAAAGACTATAATGCTTTTATTATTATTATAATTTTACTTTTTCTTATAATGAAATTGAATGAAAAATTATGATTGCTCTAAATTGATGTTCACTAATTCATTATTATCTATATTTTCAGAGTTTAATAGTAGCAGCTAATATATGGTCTCTTTTTTAGGATGAATAAATTATTTTAAATTCTAAAAATCTTCCTCTAAATTTTTATTTTGTTAGTCAGAAATAAAGAGAATTTCATTCATTTTTATAAATTTATTCTTAAGTTGAAAATAGCAAAAAAATTCAGCTTGGTATTCATTCTTGCATTTGCATATATTGTTGTTTCCACATGAGCCATTATTGAAGCACTAAAAGGGGCAATAATTTTTATGGTTTATTTTTATCTATTTTAGCTAAAATGATTCTTCTTAGACATCGTCTGTTATACTTAAATATTTATTATCTTTTATTCTTTCAAATACAAGTTTCTCTTTAAAATTGGAGCTTGTATGATTTAAGTAATAGTACTACATGAAGCTTTTAAACTTAAAGAGTTAAATTTTGTCATTATTATCCTTCACTAATAGATAAGCAAAATATGTATGCTAGGAGTCTATGATAAGCTCATAAAAAACATCATTTGGTTGAATGAGTGAATAGATAGATGAAAATTAATTGCTTGAGCTAAATTTGTTAAAAATCTGAGAATAATAAATATTATCTTATATTTCAGATGGACTTAAAGCTATATTCTGAAACTAATTTATGAAAAATGAGTTCTCTAACTAATAAAATCCAAGCTTCAAGCAGCAAACAAAGATAATTATTTTTTTTATTAGATGCATTATTATAATTATTGTTTACTTAGATCAAATAACTATTATTTTTGATTCTTATTTATCAATTAGAAACTATTGATTTATTTAAGATTGTCTTAATCATAAATCAAATTATTTATTAAGTAAATTTAAAAGGTTTACAAAAGATAGATATAAGCCAACCAAATACAAATAAATGTAATTATATTTTTTGTAATTAATTTAGTTCTAGCGGAAGTTTTACTAGATTTAATTAATTAATTTTACTTATAGTCTTTTGGTCTTAGTAGAGAGAGTACAGGGCTTTGAAAGTAATACATTAATCAAGGATATATCTGTAATACTTGTTTTAACATTAATTATAAAAGTTTGGGGAATTAAATCATTTTTTAAAATATTACTATATTTCTTTTCTTTTTTTTATTCAATCTCATTTTTTTGGATATAATTCGCAAAATTCTCTAATTTATCTTATTTTACAATAAATGAAATTTATTTCCAAAAACAAAAAAAAAAGTTTTTTATTTTAGATTACAGAAAATAAATTTTGAGTATGAACACAAAAAAATTAATTTTCATTTGCATCCATTTTATATTATTAATTAATAATCTGGAGTTATAAAAGACTAGACTTTATACATATCAGATCCAATTATTAATGGAATATTCTACTAAAATATAATTTATATACTTATCTATGTAAATTGAGTATTCTTTTTAATTATATGATATTTATTATAATAACTTTAAAAGCTTTTTAATTAATTTTTTTTTAGAATATCTTGAGTCTTATGCCATGACTATTTGATACCTAATACTTATTCTTTTTTTATTGTCATAATTGAGCTTAAATCGTGTATCTGATCTTGATCAAAAGAAAACAAAGTTACTACTTTGAATTTTTCCTATTTCGTGAACTAGAAATTCAAAATATTTATCGTACAATTTAATAAATAAATCCCATTACCCAAATCTTACCTATTAAGATTTATTTTTTGTTAAAGGTAAATTTAATGAAAAATAAGAATACATATTTTTTTTAAGTCACCCACCCTTTAAAATATTTATCTGAAACGTTAAAATTTAGCTAAATAAATTTTCTGAAGTAGGGTAGTCAGCAAAAATACAATCAGGATTCAGGGGAAATTAATTAATTTCTGTAGTATAATTAATTGTTGTGAAAAAAATAAAAGAAAGCATAAAAGAGATGAATTTCTGATATTAATTAATTTACTTTATTATAAAAAATATATTACACTTAAAAATAAAAATGAAAATTTTTAATAAAGTAACATTAGAAAAATATTCAATCAAAAATAAATTAAAAATTAATTAATTTAAGTATTGCAACATTAAACTTTACTTTATTCATATTTTGTAATGGCTTTACTATATTTATTAATAAAAATATAAATTTGATTAAGTAATTTTGTATTAAGCAATCAGTTAAATATAATTTAAATTTAGATTTTAGTTAATTAAATTATGAAATGAAACTCATTTTATTTAACAAATAACATAAAGTTTGTTTTATTAATACACATTTTATAAAATATTGAAAGGGTTAAAGTTTTATAAATAAGAGATAGATTTTTTTAATTTTCTTTAGCTCAATCATCATCTTATTCATCTACTTTTTTATCAGGCTAATCTTAAATAAGAAACCAAGCATCTTTTTTTACATCTTTTATTATTTCATCACTAGCTCTTATAATTTTTTAATCTAGGATATCTGGATCATATTTAAATTTATTACCATTCTGTTCATCTATATCTATAACTTCAAAATTAATACCTAGATCCATTAAAGATTTTTATCTTCTGTAATAGAACTAAGCCTACTCGGTGTTTTTAGAGACAATAGTATAAAAGAAAGCATTATACTCTCCTTTTTGTCCTTCTTTTCTTCTCATAATTCTACCAAGTCTTTAAACTTCTTATTTTTTTGAACCAAATTAAAATCCTATTTATATACACACATTTGCAATAGGTAGATCAAGTGCGGTATCACCAACACGACTCAAAAATAATGTATTAATTTCTCCCTTTCTAAATAAATCCAACCAAACTAGCTTTTCTAGCAATCCTACCTCACCATATATTGCAGGATAACCCATTTTTTAGGAGTAGTATTTGAGTACAGGAATCTAATCACAAAAGACTAAAATCTTATCTTTTCTTGATTCGTGGACTTAATTAAGTAATACAAAAGTTTAAATTTTTCTGGATTTCCAGACTACAAAGAAGGCTTATTTTTAAATTTTCTGTCTTTCATAAAATCCTATTGTAATATAATAAATAAATGTTAAGCAATTAGTTTTTTTTATTATTAGAGAAAATATGATTTGATTATTATTTTATAATGTTTTAATAATAAAAATTGGTGAGCAATAAATGTTTTTTTAAAATTAAGTTTACTTTCTCAACATTCATGCATTTTACAACGAAATACAACACAATATGGCTTAGCTAAATAGCTGTCCTAAATTAGCTCTGATATATTCGCTTCATAAAGTTTCGGACCAATAACGTGGAAAAGATCATATATTTTATTATCTTCTCTGTATGTAGTTGCAGTTAATCCTATCTTCAATTTAAAATTGAATTCCTCGAATATTTTTTTATATGTAGAAGCAGCTGAGTATTGGGTTTCATCAGCTATGTACAAATCCCATTCCTATTAAATTAAATCAATCAAGTTTAAATAATTGAAACTATTTTTGTGAATAAATTAATTAATTACCATTTCTTCTTAAATGTAATAATCCAATTTGGTTTCATATTTGGATGACGTATCCATATCTTATCTCTTTTCTTTTTGAAGTTTATTTGATTTGATAATACTAGAGAGTTGCTTAAATGTAGTAATCAGTATAAAAGGTTTCGTTTGCTTTTCTTGCAAATTCTTAGTTTTACCAGTATAAATTTTAATTCTATCTGGTTTAACTGTTGTCTATCTGATAAATTCATTCTTCCATTGTTTAGTAGCTGTATCTATATCGCATATAACAATAGGATTTCCCTTTATTTTTTCGGTTACTATGATGCCCAACAATGTCATTCCAAAGCCTATTAAAATTAAATAATTTAATATTAAAAAAACAATTTTATTTTTTAATAGTGTATAAAAACCAATTATTTTTAATATCTTCTTAACTTTGTTTTAGAAAAATTTGAGTTTCTACAATGTAAAATTTTTAAATTTATATAAATTATTTTAAACTTAATAATCTATTATATAAATTTATTTAATATTATATTAATCTCTCTATTACAAAAAAAAAAAATCTACAATTAGCAATATTATTTATGTTATTTTTTTCAAAATTTTAAAATATTTTATTTTTAGTGTCCTATCCATATAATCACTATCATCTTAATTTATTGTCATTGATTCATCAATCATTTTGAGTCATAATTATTATTTTGATAACATTCTTCATTTTCAACTAATATAATTTATTTTATTTTAGATTAGCGAAAATTTTGAGAAAGTATAAATACTTTTTGATAGAAGTTTAAAAATAGTTTATGCATATTAAAATAGATTTAAAGCTTATTTACATAAATTTATTTTATAAAGTGAATAAATTCAACTACAAGCAACTATTGAATTATGATGCAATATTTTTATTCTGTCTATTGGGCAATAATTTTTCTTTTTAAACCAGAGATTGATGCAGTTTTTATGGAAAATATGGCCACATTATAATTTATAAACTTCATCTTATGCCTAGTATTGCTCTAGGCAAATTGAGCACTCTTATTAATTTTGTTATGTCTCTACCATTTCAATAGCTTTGCAGCTTTACAACTAATTATATATTAGAGTATCTAGAGCCTCATCTTATAATGATTTTATTTATTAACGATTTCTTGACTACATAGACTAGTTTTATTGTAAATTATTGTTTAAATTTTATTAAAATTTTTCTTGGCAGTATTTAACAAATTTATAAATAATAAGCAAAAAACCAAAAAAGCAGAGTAAGTCAAAAACTTTATCTTATTAAATTTTCAGAGCTACTTTTACATTGATGATATCTTGATCAAAAGAAAAAATGGCTACTAATATGAGTTTTTCTTATTTTCTCAATATGACATTCCAAATATTTACTTTATAATTTGACTAATAAATCCCATTACCCATATCTTCCTCAGTAAGAAATGTTTGTTCAATATATTTTTCATTAAAGACTATAATACTTTTATTATTATTATTATTATTTTATTTTTTCTTATATTGAAATTGAATGAAAAATGATGACTTCTATAAATTGATGTTCTCTAATTAATTTTTATCTATATTTTCAGAGTTTAATAGTAGCAGCTAATATATGGTCTCTTTTTTAGGATGAATAAATTATTTTAAATTCTAAAAATTTTCTTCTAAATTTTTATTTTGTTAGTCAGGAATAAAGAGAATTTTATTCATTTTTATAGATTTATTCATAAGTTGAAAATAGCAAAAAAATTCAGCTTGGTATTCATTCTTGCATTAGCAGATATTGTTGTTTCTGCATGAGCCATTATTGAAGCACTAAAAAGGGCAATAATTTTAATGGTCTATTTTTATCTATCTTAGCTAAAACGATTCTTCTTGAACGTAGTCTGGTTTACTTAAATATTTACTATCTTTTATTATTTCAAATACAAGTTAAATCTCTTTAAAATTGGAGCTTGTATGATTTAAGTAATAGTACTACATGAAGCTTTTAAACTTAAAGAGCTAAACTTTATCATTATAATCCTTTACTAATAGATAAGCAAAATATGTATACTAGGAGTCTATGATAAGCTCATAAAAAACATCATTTGGTTAAAAGAGTGAATAGATAAAAGAGAATTAATTGTTTGAGCTAAATTTATTAAAAATCTGAGCATAGTAAATATTATCTTATAGTTCAGATGGACTTAAAGCTATACTCTGAAACTAATTTGTGAAAGATGAATTCTCTAACTAACAAAATCCAAGCTTCAAGTAGTTCAAAATGCAAATAAAAATACTTATTTTTATAATTTTATGCATTATTATTATTATTAAAATTATCATTTTTTACTTAAATCAAATAATTATTATTTTTTATACATATTTATCAATTACGAATGATTGATTTATTTAACTTTTCTTAATTATAGACTATTACTAACTAAATTTAAATAGCTCACCAATGATGAAAATATAATAATATAATTTTGAAGATGTAATAAACTATTAATTATAAAATTTTGAGGAATTAAATCATTTTTTAATAGTGATTGAGTATCATTGGAATATTTATTAAAATTTTTGATCAATAAAATATAAATTTTTAAAGATATTACTAAATTTAACGCTTTTCTTTTTTTTATTCAATTTCATTTTTTTTTGGTAAAATTCGCAAAATGCTTGAATTTCACTTATTTTATTATGAATAATTATAATTTATTTTTTTATTTAAAAAATTGAGATTTTTTTTGCATAAACGAATTTTATTTTTGAAACAAAAAAATAATGTCATTTTATTTTAGATTTGAGAAAATTTTAAGAAATAAGCACAAAAAAATAAACATTTATTTATTTGCATCCATTTTATATTATTAATAATCTGGAGTTATAAAAGACTAAATTTTAATACATATCAGCTTATTTGTATAAATTTAATATATAAAATTGGTTTAATTCAATTATAAGCAAGATGAATTAGAATTATATCAAATATTTTATTCTATCTATAGGGCAAGAATTTTATTTACCAATGATTAATGCAATTTTTATGGAATATACAACCACAATGTAATTTATAAACTTCATTTTTAAACCTAATATTGTTCTATGTAAATTGAGCATTCATTTTAATTATGTAATATATATTTCAATAATTTTAAAGTAACTAATTTTTTTTTTAGAATATCTTCAGCCTCTTGATTATGTGCTTTTATTTACTAACAATGTAACAACCATTAAGACTGGTTTTCTTAAAAAATATTATTTTAATTTTATTAGAGCCTTATTTGGCAGTATTTACTGAAATAATAAAGGGAAAAAAAAAGTAGATTGAAAATGTAAGCCAGGACTATTTGATACCTAATACTTATTTTTTTTTATTTTCATAATCGTGTGTAAATTTTCTATTTTATCTTGATCAAAAGAAAACAAAGTTACTTCTTTTAAAACGAGAAATTCAAAATTTTTAAAATGTAATTTAATAAATAAATTCCAATACCAAATCTTCCTTATTAAGAAATGCTTTTGTTAAAAGGTAATTTTAATTAAAAGTAAAAATGCTTTTTATATTATTATTTAATTTTTATGATTATGAATTTCAATGTAAAAAGAGTGAAAATATAAGATTATTAATTGTTTGAGCTAAATCTACTAAAAATCTAATCATATATAGTAATTATTATTTTATAGTTCAGAGGGAATTAAAGCTCTTCTCTGAAATTACTTTGTTACAGTACTCAAAAATTAATTCTATGATATAGAAAAAATAATTCAACTATAACATAATGCAAAATTGTAGACTTTCCTACTCAAATCAAATAATTATTATTTTTTAAAATTTAAATTACTCAAATAGAAAAAACAAAGTAATAATTATATATTAGTTTTCTTTTTAATTTTAAATATTAATAATTTTAAGTTTTTCTGTATTAAGCAATCAGTTTAATATAATTTAAATTTTAGTTAATTTAATTTATAAACGAAACTCATTTTATTTAATAAATAACATAAAGTTTGTTTTATTAATACACATTTTATAAAATATTAAAAGGTTAAAGTTTTATAAATAAGAGATAGATTTTTTTTATTTTCTTTCCCTCAATCATCATCTTATTCATCTACTTTTTTATCAGGCTAATCTTAAATAAGAAACCAAGCATCTTTTTTTACATCTTTTATTATTTCATCACTAGCTCTTATAATTTTTTAATCTAGGATATCTGGGTCATATTTAAATTTATTACCATTCTGTTCATCTATATCTATTACTTCAAAATTAATACCTAGATCCATTAAAGATTTTTATCTTCTGTAATAGAACTAAGCCTACTCTGTATTTTTAGAGACAATAGTATAAAAGAAAGCATTATATTCTCCTTTTTGTCCTTCTTTTCTTCTCATAATTCTTCCAAGTCTTTAAACTTCTTATCTTCTTGAACCAAATTAAAATCCTATTTAAATACACACATTTGCAATAGGTAGATCAAGTGCGGTATCACCAACACGACTCAAAAATAATGTATTAATTTCTCCCTTTCTAAATAAATCCAACCAAACTAGCTTTTCTAGCAATCCTACCTCACCATATATTGCAGGATATCCCATTTTTTAAGAGTAGTATTTGAGTACAGGAATCTAATCACAAAAGACTAAAATCTTATCTTTTCTTGATTCGTGGAACTTAATTAAGTAATACAAAAGTTTAAATTTTTCTGGATTTCCAGACTACAAAGAAGGCTTATTTTTAAATTTTCTGTCTTTCATAAAATCCTATTGTAATATAATAAATAAATGTTAAGTAATTAGTTTTTTTTTATTAGTGAAAATAGAATTTGATTATAATTTTATAATTTTTTAATAATAAAAATTGATGAGTAATAAATGTTTTTTTTTTTAAATTAAGTTTACTTCGCAACATTCATGCATTTTACAACGAAATACAACGCAATATGGCTTAGCTAAATAGCTGTCCTAAATTAGCTCTGATATATTCGCTTCATAAAGTTTAGGACCAATAACGTGGAAAAGATCATCTATTTTATTATCTTCTCTGTATGGAGTTGCAGTTAATCCTATCTTCAATTTAAAATTGAATTCCTCGAATATTTTTTTATATGTAGAAGCAGCTGAGTATTGGGTTTCATCAGCTATGCACAAATCCCATTCCTATTAAATTAAATCAATCAAGTTTAAATAATTGAAACCACTTTTGTGAATAAATTAATTACCATTTCTTCTTAAATGTAATGATCCATTTTGGTTTCATATTTGGATGACGTATCCATATCTTATCTCTTTTCTTTTTGAAGTTTATTTGATTTGATAATACTAGAGAGTTGCTTAAATGTAGTAATCAGTATAAAAGGTTTCGTTTGCTTTTCTTGCAAATTCTTAGTTTTACCAGTATAAATTTTAATTCTATCTGGTTTAACTGTTGTCCATCTTATAAATTCATTCTTCCATTGTTTAGTAGCTGTATCTATATCGCATATAACAATAGTATTTCCCTTTATTTTTTCGGTTACTATGATGCCCAACAATGTCTTTCCAGCGCCTGTTAAAATTAGAATAATTTAATATTAAAAAAACAATTTTATTTTTTAAAAGTGTCTAAAAACCAATTATTTTTAATAGTAATTAGACGCTTATATTTTAATGGAAAAATAAAAGTAATAGATAGAGTGATTATTTAATTACCGCATGGAAGAACAATAGTAGCACTTCTAGGTTTTTCACAAACGAATATATTTTTAAGTGCTTTTTGTTGGTATATTCTTGGCTGAGTGATTTACCTAAGCTCAATATCTAACTTTTTATATGGTATTTAGACATTACTACTTAGATCATTTTGACTTTCTTTATCATCATGATATTCGTTAATTAATGAAATTCCTTCTTTTATAATTTTCTCAGTGATTTGGAACAAATTGTGTTTTTATTTGATTCTGTAGAATTTGAAATTCCAAACTCTTGACTCCTCTTAAGTTTAAAGCAATTACTAAGGAGGATTTTATTCCATTTCTATTATACTTTTATAAGGTTCCTCCTATTTTTACAATAATTAATTAATAATTTGGATTAGAATCAGTAATGGAAATAAAAACAAGATGGAATTAAATTGCTTACATCAATACGGATGATTTTTTCAAGAAACTCTTAATGAATTTTGAGATAATAATTCTTTTTAATCATATAAAGATAAGCAGACCCTGCTTTTTTAGTTTTGTTTTCTATAAATTCAATAAAACTTTTAGGAATCACCTCATTTTTAGAGTACTACATCAAGCTTTCGATGATCTTTTCTGCATTTAAATTCAAACTCATTGCAGTATACATAGAAAACAGAGTTATTTTATACACATGGATGAAATTTGGTTTGTTTACAGGCTCAGCTATTTTAATAAGAAATTCATAAACTTCTTTATACTTTTCATGAAATGCTTCTACAAAAATGTATAATGTTTCAGGAAAGAATCCCCTATTTTCTTGAATTTCAAATGAACTACTATAATCCCTATCAGCAGGCTTTAAGTAGAGGCAATATTTTTAATGATTTTTCTTTAGCCTAGCTTCTGGGGTGTTAGAATAATCAGCAATATACTAAACAGGTACAGACATATTTTCAGAATATAAATTTTTAGTTTAAGCTAATATCTTTGCTAAATTACTACTAAATTAGCAGCTTAATATTAATTATTTTGATGATTATTAAATTAATAATAATAATAATATTAACAACTAATTTTATAAATACTAATACTACTTACTTGCTCATTCATTATAAAAAAATTTTATTTAATTTTCCAAAAATAATCTATACTATTTCAATCAATTATTTTATTAAAAACTAAAACACTTTTATTAAAAACAAAAACACTTTTATTTTTTTTTTTCATTATTTAGTCTAGTTTAAACTCCTTTTTTAACAATATATAATAATCATCATAATTTATTTTATTAAAATTTCCATTTATTTTAAAAGAATATTTACATGTATTAATATATATTAATAATAATAATAGTATTTTTGATATTAATAATAATAGTATTGTGGCTATTAATTATTTTCATTTATAATACGCTTTTAAAATAGAAAGCTGATGTAAAAAGATAAAATTGTAGAAAGAAATTCAATTGATTTATTTATAATTTAAATTACAATTTTTACTTTAAATAGATCAATTTCGATATTCGTTAGCCATTTTTTATTTTTGATAAAAATTTATGTTCATTTAGTAAGAATGAAACAAACATGAAAGAATATAAAAAGAATTTATTTATCATAATTTTAGATTTATGAATAATAATCAAATTTAGGATATTTAATTAAATAACATAAAAATTCAATGATAAATTCAATAATCATCTATTTTATTAAAACTTAAATCAATTTAAGCAGCATTTTAAAGATAAAAAAATGTTTATTGAAATAGAATATCTGACAAATAAAATTAATTTTTAAAAATGTTTCATTTAGAGGTAATTTAATTTTTTTTAAATATGTATTTGAATATACTGAAAATAAATTAATATAAAAGTAAAATAATTTTTTTATAAAGCAATATATTTATTAAAATATTATTTCTAGAAAAATGGTTTTTTAAATGTTGATTATCATTTATTTGTTTGTTTATTTTTGGTTAATAAAATTGGTTTGATTAATAATTGATTAATTTAATTTAATTTAGTTTTAGTTTTAATGTAATTGTTATTATGTATGTTTGTTTGTTTTAAACGGTTCTTCAACAAATTATTTCACTTTGGCATAGAGAACCAATTTCATCTAAAGATCCTACATGCTTTTGAACATGTATTTTTAGCTTAGGGATTCTGTAAATGAAAGCAAAGTCAGAGAATTTGTAAATGTAATCCTAAAGATGGTGATAAAGAAAATTGTTTCCATATTTTTATCCATTAGATTAAAGGCATATGGATGCTTAGCAAATGTAATTTTGCATATAATTTTGAATTTCTTCTATTTTGTGATAATACGAAGATATGAGATCGCAATAATTATCAGTATCAAGAGGGATGGAGGTCTATGTATTTTAATTTTCAATACTTTCTACAACGATCACTAAACTGTTGTCTATTCTAAATGTGATATTTTTCTTATATTGTTATAAACTTCTGTAAAAGTTTTTATTTGTTTAGAATAAAATGGTTTCTAAACTATTGAAAATGCTAACAAATTGTTGTATTTAATCTAATTTGAAATCTTTATTGACACCGTTAACACAGCCCATTTATTTAAATATTGTTTTGATGATTTGTTATTTGTTAGATATTTATTTATGTATTTTTTAATTAATTTATTATTATTTGGTTTCTAAATAATTATATGATTAAACCTTTAATGCTTTTCTAATAACTAACTATCTAACTAATTAATATATTGTATTTACGTTAGAATCAATCTATTTTAAATAAAATAGACATATCTAATCAAATCTATTGAACAACAGTTAAATAGTGTTTTACAATATTACTATCAAGTCTTAGTATTAATATACCATTTAATAAGAATTTGAATACTTCTTTTTAAAAACAATCAATCGCGATAATTCTGCTAATAAAATTATTTAAAAGTAATTTTAAAATTTTTTATAACATTTTAAAATCTAATTTTAGATTTTAGTTTCCTGTATTAATTTTTTATAACTAATTTTAAATAATATTTATTAAAGTTTTGCCTGAATTAAAAACAAGAAGATTAAGTATTAATTTTATCATTTTTAAATTGTTGTCTATTTCGTAATTATTTGTAATAAATAGAGTAAAACTCTTGAATAATTTATTGGTTCCTTTTATATAAATTTGTTAAATTTCGAGAGATTATAATAGATTGTAATATTTTTCAAAAAGTGTAAAATATTTCGTTAATGTATCAATAAAAAACTGAATTAATAGAAAAGAAGTAACCTTTGATAGCATATTATCATTTAATTGAGGAAAAAGTAATTTCGATTAAAAGAGTAATTATTAATATTCGCACACGATATAAGGAGAAAAACACAAGAAAAATTAAAAGGTATGTATATGAATTTATTTTTCGCATTTCTAAGATTTTATAAATTTTAAATGGTTCTATTTCTTGATCTATTTTATATAATTATATATTTTTTTATTTATTACTCATTTAATATCTAATAAATAAATAAAAAAGACACATAACCATAATAATTTACAAATAATTTCTACTTAGATTAAATATAAATAAAAATGGAATTTTTTTAAATTAGTATGAATAAAATAGTATTGTCGTAGATAATTTTAAACATTAAATTACTAATCCCAAATATTTTTTAATTTAATCTCAAAAAATATTCAAAAATATACATAAATATCTTTGAATAATTCTTACATCTTTAGTGAATATATTCGTAAAGAACATTAAAAATAGAACGAAATGTATGAAATAAAAATATTAACATTTATTTACTTATTGTCAAAATTATAAATAAAATCAAATACTAAGAAAATTATTATTAAATTCAAAATTGAAAAATATTTTTTAGTTATAAAATAATTCTACTTTCTATCTTATCGATATCTAATTCATTTATAATATCAATTTTTAATATTTTAATCATGTTAATTTATAAATAAGAAAAAGATGATTTTTATAATTTTTATTAATTATTAAAATGGCTGTTCTAATTATTAATAAATTTCTGATTTTTTTCTAAGATTTTAACAAGGTAAATTTGAGAAAAATTTAATTGAAAAAAAATAATTTCTTTTTTTAATTTAGAATTTATGTTCTATAGAGATTTGAGTCTAAATTATATAATATATTTAACTTAAATAAATTGGATTTTCACTTGAATTCTCGTTTCTTAAAATAATTAAAATATATTTTTTATTATTTATATTTTAAATATGAACTGTTTGGTTTAATTAAGTACTGTCTTACCCAAAATAAAACCTTGATTTCATAGTAAAATAATGCTATTTCTTGATATTATCTATTTAGATATTTTATTTGATGTTATATTTATAAAGGCCTAATCTCAACTATCGATTCAAAAACTTAGAGCTTCCAATGTCATTTTTAAAGAAATTGAAAAATAAAATATTTAATAATTTTATCTTAAATATAAATTTTATAATTATTGTTGTGTATTACTTTTTTAAAAAGTAAAAATTTGAGATATTTCAAAAAGGAATTTAAATCTTTTATAGACTTGCTTGATTTGCTTCTTAATTTTTGATGTAGAAATTTTTTAATAATCTTTCGATAATTACTTTCCCCAATAAATTTTGATCTGTATTTTAAATCTATTAAAATAGCCATAAAAAGAAAATCAAAGGATGTTTTAGATATTTCTCTTTTTTTAAAAATCTTTTTGCCAACCATCTTAAATATTAGATTTCATTTAATTTTTATATTATATTTATCATCTCAAAAAAATATATAGTAGTATAGATATCCTCTAAAATGGGTTGTTGCTGTTCTAAATAAAATAAAAATAATAATGAAACTTAAAATACTATAAATAAAACCTCATAAAATTCTAGTGGTAATAAAAATAATGCTGCTACAACTATTAAAAGTTAGTGTCAAAAATACTTATCTGAAAATGAATAATAAAATGTTGAAAAAAATAATTAGATATTAAGTTCTGAAAATATTTCAATTAAGCCAAAGCATTTGAAAAATCAGAACTCAATTTAATCTTTTACTAAAGTGGTAAAGAAATTATAATATGAGTAAAATGGAACTCAATATACACATGAACAAGAAGAAATCTATTAACTTCCAAATGATATTGACCAGTTTATGTCAGATCGTAATATATAAAATGCTTCCTATGAATTAAAAATTAGTGTAATTGGACATAATTCTAATTCAAACTAAACTAAAGCACTTTAATATAAAAATATGATTGTTTTAAATAACTTTAGCAAGAATGAAATACAGAGATTCGTAAATGAGAATATAAATTTTTCAGAATTAGATTTTTAGTAATTAAAATATAGCAAATAATTTAACTAGTTTAGGTAGTATCAATACTTCAAATAAAAAGAATAAAAAAAGCGTTTAGCAATTAAAAGTTAAGAGGCAGAAGAGAGTGAACAAATAGAATCAAGTATGCTAGAAAAAGTTATAGAGAGTCAATATGATTTGTATGAGTGTGCGCAAGAGATAACTCTACTCGCTTTAAAAAATATTTACAATTAGAAAGGAATTAATTTGTTATTTAAAAAATCAAAAGAGAGCAAAGAAAACTAATAAATGAATTAAAGTGTGATAAGCTGTAATAAAAGCTATATGTAGATAGATATTTAAGAAAAAAAAGACGATTATGATGATATCTAAAGACATATAACTTAAACAGGATTTGATTTAGAAACTTACTATCAAATAAGATTAGAAAATGAAGATGAGTGGAACTATTAGCTTGCAGAAAAAAATAAAGAGGTTTTTGCAAAATATTTTAAGTCAGAAATAATAAAGAAATATAATAAATTGAAAGACGATGACATTATAATCCTCAATATTTCAGAAGGTTCTATAATAGTTGACTTTATGTGCCCTGAGCATATTGAAAACATAAAAATAGGAAGTTAAATATTTGATAAAATTCCTGTTAAATATATTGTCTCTGAGCTTCAAATACCAGAAGATTATTTTAATCCTGATTATGATATGTATTGGGAATAAACTGATGAAGAATTTTATAGAGGAAATATAAATGGCTTGGAATAACAATATCACCTACCTGTAGGGTATTATGGACTAGGATTAAAAGTCCTCGACAATGGAATTTATCCTGACGATGGATGGTTAAATTCAGATACAAGTGATGCCACATGGATTGTGCTTTTTCATTCTACATATGCAGAATGTGTTTATAAAATTCTATAAGAAGGGTTCAAACCAGGAAATGGTTAAGCTTATAGAGAGAGTGAATGCCGATTTGGAAGAGGTAAAGTTGGTACTGGTGTTTATTTTTCAGATAAAATAGAGAGATGCGAAGAATATGGTGGTTTAATCTAGGTTGGAGAAAAATATTACTCACTTATATTTTAGTGCAGGGTTAATCCTAAAACTGTAAAAAGCCCACAAGATGAACAAGAATACTATATATGTAATAATCCAAGAGATGCTAGACCTTACAGAATATTAATCAAAGAATAAATTTATAATCATCAGAATCAATAAGAATGATTTATTTTATAAAAATTTAGAACAAACAAACAATAATTATATTAAATTATCACTTAAAAATTATATTTGATTCTACAAAAATGAGTTTATATTTAAAATAATAGTATAAAAATAAATATTAATTTATTAATTATTATCCCATTTTGTTCTATTTGTTTTATTTATTTGAAAATACTTTTTATTTTTTTTAATTTTTCAAAATAAAATTCAAAATAAAAAATTATTTTTGCTTAAAAAATAAAAATAATTATTCTTACTATCTTGTTAATCATTTATTCATTTATAATATTAATTATTAATATTTTAATCATGATAACTTATAAATATTAAAAGTTCATTTTTATAATTTGTATTTATTATTTAAAAACGCTATTCTAATTATGAATAATTTTCTTCTTTTTTTAAGATTTTAACATTGATAAATTTGAAAAAAATAATTTCTTGAAATTATATGTTATTATTGAGATATCAATCTAAATTATTTTATATTTTTAGCTTAAATAAATTGAATTGCCATTTGACTTATCTTTAAATAATTAATATTTATTATTATTATTTGTATTTTAAATATAAATTGGTTTTTAAGCTTTGTCTTTCCCAAAATAATTCTTTGATCTCAAAGTAAAATGATGATATTTCTTGATATATATCAATTTATATATTTTCTTTGAGGTTCTATTTATAAAGGCATGCCTTTTAGAGTTTCCTAGGTATTGCTTGCTTCATTTTTAAAGAAATTGAAAAATAAAATATTTACTAATTTTATCCTAAATAAACATTTTATAATTATTATTGCGTGTAGTAATTAAAAAAAATAAAGTATTTAAAATGTTTCAATAAGGAATTAAAATCTTTTATAAACTTCATTTATTTATTTATTTTAATGTAGAATAAAAGTATTATAGAGGAAATATAAATGGCGTGAATTAATAATATCACACACCTGTGGGATATCATGGGCTAGGATTAAAAGTTCTTGACAATGGAATTTATCCTAACGATGGATGGTTAAATGAAGATACATCTGATGCCACATGGATTGTGCTTTTTCATTCTACATATCCATAATTTGTTAAAAAAATTATATAAGAAGGGTTCAAAGCAGGAAATGGTTAAGCTTATAGAGCTTGCGAATGTCGATTTGGAAGAGGTAAAGTTGGTACTGGCGTTTATTTTTCAAATAAAATAGAGAAATGTTAATAGTTTGGTGATTCTATCTAGGTTGGAGATAAATTTTACAGGCTTATATTTTAGTGCAGAGTTAATCCTAAAACTGTAAAAAGCCCAAAAGATAGAGAAGAATACTATATCTGTAATAATCCAAAAGATGCTAGACCTTACAGAATATTAATCTAAGAATATATTAAGGATAAAGATAAAAAAAATTGATTCATTTTATAAAAATTACCAAAATAATATTAAATAATGATTCTAATATTATTTCTAATTTCACAAAAAAATGATTTTTTATTAAAAATAATTTAATAAACTCCTAAAAATATTTTTTCTAAAGATTTATTGTATGTCAGACCACCATTTTATTTTATATATTTAAAATAGATTATCCTCATGTGTAGCACTTCTGTAGATTTAAAAATGCATAAAATTAATTTTTTAAATGAAGATATTTATTTTACAATTTTTTTCTAATACATTTTTATTAATTAATTTTTGTTTTAATTACTTCATTTCATGTTAATACATAATTAATAAACCTAATAAATCCTTCTTCTTTGATACATAAAATTGATAATCGTATTATATTCTTTTATAAGTATTATCTTTTGAAATCTAATAAAATTTTAAACAAGTCTCTTTTTTGAATTTTAGATTTAATACTTGAAACCTAATGGATGAGGAAAAATATATTAATTCTTTTTTGAGTCGATGATTGCTTGAATTTTCATAAGTCACATTAATAAATTCTTAATTAAATTTCCAAGAAGAAAAATGCAATTTCAAGCAAGCTAAATATGATTTTAAATATGCGATTAAAATAAAACATTAAATTTTTCAAAAATCTCAAATTAATAATGATTTATATCAATGCTAATGAGTTGAAAAAAATGTTTATTTTCGCTAAAATATAATCAAAAATAGCCAAAAAAAGTAAAATTTTATTCAAAAGGTTATTATATAAAGAGTGTTTGGAAAATTATATCTAGAATTCACTATATTAAGCCTTTTTCCTTCATTTTCAATAATAATTATGTTTTTTCCATTATATGAGTAAGCTTTAAAGAAAAATTAATTTCAAATAATCACAACTGAAATCAAATTCTTATCTTTACTAAAAATAGAAGATGTTACAAATTATTTCTAAAACTATCTTCATAATTCATTTAGGGTTTCGTTCTATTGAGAGGTATGAATGAATTTTTATAATTTAAATTTAGATTTATAAGCAACTCGAAAGTGGTATAATATCCTAGGTTTCTAAATATTGAGATATTACGGTACTAGTTTGTTTATTGTATTATTTTGATTAATATGTAGACTTTATGAAATTTTTAGTTCTATTTATCTTTTTGTTCTATATTTTATTTATAAAATTTAAAATTTAAATTATTTTTAATATTATAATAAGTCTACTTTGTTCGTTAATTTTATCTATCTCATATATCTGGAAAAATATGTATTCGATAATTCAGTAATTAGTAAAATAAATTGTTTTGAAATTTTCAATAGATACAGAATTTATTTAATTTTTGAATAAATATTTAAAGATGGGATTTTAATGGTAATAAACATTCTAGTTATCTATAGAACCTTATTAATAAAGAAATTTTGGTTTTCTAAATTAATCATATCAAACCATTTTATGTTATGTACTAGAGCATTTAATGTGAAGAATAAATAAATTCTTTAATGATTAAATTTATTTTCAAAAGCATCTAAAATCAAATCTTTTATTTATAAATTTAATTAAAGAAAAAAAAAGATTGATAAAATGAAAAATCAAAGTAAGTCAACATTTATATTTTTACTGGTTCTCTTCATTCTAAGCGTTCATATAAGAACCCACTAAGAGATTTCCTGCTCTCATGATTAAGATGAGACTATATAAGAGAATTATAGATTAATTAATGAATACTTCTAAAAAAACCCAATCAAGAATTCTAAAGACAACTAAAATAGAAACTTAAGTTCTTAGAAAACTCAGCAAATCAGAATTACTACAGATTATACTCGATTGTCACAATAGCCAGAAGGTCCAGCTATATCTCAGGCTGAAAAGGATTATTTGATATCTTTGTCAAATACAGCTATTACATTTTTTTCTAATTTTATCAAAGTCTAACCCAATACTAAAAATAGTATTTTCAATCCTAGATAAACTAATGGAACTTGTCTTGCTGTTGTACCTTCAGAAAATGATAAAACCATAGGTATTGCTGATTCAGACCTACATTTATATTTCTCATATTTTAGTGACTCAAAATCTTCAGAATTAGCTAATGCTGGGTTTTGTAATATGTAATAAACTTATACTTATATAAGACCAAACTTTGGAAGAGTATAGTTTAACATAGCTAATATTAAAAATGTAGGGAACAAATTTAAATCTTTCTAAAATAACCTAAAGACTGTTATACATGAAATGATTCATGTGCTTGGCTTTACTTTTGGTGCAATTGAGCTATGGAGCAATAGAGAAGCCTATGGTTTGTTAGGAGAAGAAGGAGCTAATAAAATTCTCACTACTTTAAATCTTAGAGGTATTGATACTTATCTTTTAGGATCTTCAAATGTATTAGATACTGCCAAAAAATATTATAACTGCTCTGAATTAGTGGGATAACAATTAGAAAATTAGGTAATTTAATAATTAATCATTTAAAAATATAATTTTAAGCTAAATTTAAAATAATAATTATTTTTATTATGTTTTTAGGGTGAATCTGGCTCCAAAAATTATCATTGGGAAAGAACGATTATCAGAAACGAGCTTATGACAGCTTCTGCAATGCTTGATAATACGAAATTAAGTGTATTTACTGTAGCATTGCTGAAAGACACTGGATATTGGGATGAGGTTAATGAAAATTTGTCTGAACCCATTTACTGGGGAAAAGATAAAGGTTGCGATTTCTTCTCAAATGCTTGTTAAAGCACTACCTAGAGATATGAAGAATATCCTGCAGATAATATTTAGGCTTGTTCCTTTGATTATGACGCACAAGGATATAGCACAAAAGAGGATACGTACGGAGATGATTGTAATTTAATTTAAAGCTACAGGAATCGTTTATGTGATAATATTGATAATTAAAGTCCATCAATTGAAGTAGGATAATATAACATAGATGTATTAAATGATTACTCAAATAATTCAAAATGTTTCATTTCAAATTTAAAGCATCCAAACCCACAATATGATTATGAAGAAAATAATCTAAGATGTCATTAATATTAATGCTCTTCTGATAAAACTGAGATAATTATAACCTTCTCATTACTTCCTGGAGTTTAGTTAGTCTGTGGAATCAATGACCAAGGTGTTTAAAAGGATGTAGTGTTTTCTGGTTTTAATCTAGGTTAATTAACTTGCCCAACTAATATCATGAAATTATGTGATAATTAAAACTGTGTAAACTTTTGTAGTAGTAATGGTATTTGCGTCAAGGGATCATGTTTATGTAATTCTGGTTACGGTGGTATTGACTGTAATACAAAATGCAACGGTTTTATAGATCTAGGCGGTTCATGTGTTATTAAATGTCCAGATAACACATTTGCAAATCCTGATAATGTATTTTTTTTTTATTTTTCAAAATAACATCTTTCTTTTCAGTTTATTTTTATTAATTTTATTTTAAAATTTAAAATCAATTCACAAGCAAACTTATAAAAAATTGTTTAAATACTATTAATTTCAAGTTAAATAAATATATTTTTATAAATAATATATTCCATAAATTTTCATATTTTAACACCTTTCCCAAACTTGTTTGGTTTTTTTAAGGTTTAATATTAAATAAAAAAAATGAAAATGCTTAGTATTGATATAATTTCATCTTAAAATCCAAGAATTTACGGTATATATATTTGATAAAATTATATTTAATAATATTAAAATAGGTTTGTAGGCCAAAATGTCCTAACGGATATTATGCTTAGAAAAGTGGTAATTTATGTAAACTTTGTGATTTCTCTTGCTCTTAATGTATTGGTCCTAATAGTGACTAGTGCTTAGCTTGCTAATTTTTAACTTATCTAGATTCTAATACATGTGTTTAAAAATGCCCTATTGGAAAGTTTGCAGATAATCACTCTAAATCTTGTTAGAGTTGCCCTACTGGATGCATTGATTGTACTAGCTTGTCTAGTTGTAATGTTTGTAGCGACGGATATGAAAAATCTGGAGAAACTTGTATTGAGTCATTATGTACTAGTCCATGTAAGACTTGTAGTTCTAATCCAACATTTTGCCTATCTTGTTATAGTGGACTCTACCTTTCACCCCAAAATACTTGTGTTTCTTCTTGCCCAGAAGGCTATTTTAAAAATAGTTTAAATATGACTTGCACTAAGTGCCCAATAGGATGTAAAAATTGTTCAGATGCTAAAAATTGCACTTAATGTGATAAATTAAATGGGTATAGATAACAAGGAACTGACTGTACCCTTTGCATCTCTCCTTGTGCAACTTGCTCATAAGAAAACCCTAACTCTTGCTATTCATGCGAAAATAATATGTTTATTTAAAATAACTAGTGCGTTTTAGCTTGCTCAAAAGGTTTTTATTTAGGAAAAAATAATGTTTGTCATCAATGTTTAGATGGCTGTGAATCTTGTAGTGATAGTAATTCATGTATATCTTGCAATAAAGATTATTAACTCTTCTCTGATAAAAATGTATAAATTTGTATTAATTCAACATCATGCTTTTCTCCTTGCTCTACTTGTAGCAGTACATTTTAACCTACAACATGCAAAACATGTGAAAGCAATTACTATTTGCAAGGTTAAAAATGTGTAACTTAATGTGATTTAGGCTATTTTAAAATGTAATCTAATTCTACTTGTGTCTAATGCCCTCTTAACTGTAAAAAATGTTCTAGCTTGAATAACTGTGAGACTTGCTATGATAAATATGTAAATTAAATAAAATTATTTTTTAAATATTAAATTTTATTTGATTATATCAATTAAAATTATATTTTTTATACTTATAAAAGGAAATTAAGTAAAATGATAGCACTTAAATATGTACTTAAATACAAATAAAAACATCTGGCTAATTATTGTAATTAAGTATTATGGTTTTACTCTTAACATTATTTTTTTGAATGGTTAGCTCTAAAGAATAAAAAGTTTATATTAAAAATAAAATAAAACTTTAATCAAAAAAGTCTTAAAGTATTTTCATATATGTAATTAATGAATTTATTTGTTTAATTGTAAACATAAATTTTTTTATAAATTTTAAATATAACTTAATTTTTTAATACTCCAAATAAGAAATATTGTAGATATTTATAAAATTAAACTTTAAAAATTTGATAAAAATTAGATGGATAGAGAAATTAAACTAAGGCTCAACTTTAAAAACTAATTTATTTATTTACTAATTAAAAAAATTTTTGTTTTTGGTTTTTATTTATTTTTTTTATTTTAAATAAAATATTATCACAAAAAATGAAAATATTATATATATAACAAAGATTAATAAAAAATAAAAAAAGAATATTTATACCTTAATATAATCAATGTAATTTTTGAAGTTAACAGTTCAGTAATATGGGTAATATCTATCTGTATATATTTATTATAACTATCTTTTATAGGGTTGGACAAAAATAAAAATGACTTCCTGGGTAACTAACTTTGATAAAAACTAAATAAACAAACTTAAAAATATATTTGACTAAAAATACTCTTAAAAAAATATAAATTTAAAATTAGAATACTAATAAACTAAAGTTTTTAAAAAATATAATTGCTTTTATTAGCTTTCATATTTGAAATATCTATTCGAAGATTTCCATATTCTTTAAATCTGACAAATTTTTATTTTATTCTCTTATATTAAAGATAACCTTCTCTTGCTATTAGAAACCCTATTTATCATTATTAACTATAAAGAATATTTCATTCATATCTTAATTATTACTACATTCTATATTGCAATTTTTTTATGTGAATTGGTTGTTTACTTCCCATATTTTCCATTACATATCTCCATTACTAGTTGCAAGGAATTTACTGTCAGCAGAAAAAGCTATTTGTTAAATATTACCTTAGTTATAATTTATTGTATTTATCAACTAAATTTATTTCTGTAATTTCCAAATCTTGCAAGCTTTATTATCACAGCAAATTGCCAAATATTTTCTATCTTAAGAGAGCGCATATGGCTTTTAATTTAAAGATAGATTGTCCAGCATATTGATAAACTGTATTCCTTTTTCAAAATTCCAAATTTTGCAAGTTGAATCCCAAGAACTTGTTATAATATATTTACTGTTTAATGAAAATTAAACAGATGAAATAACATCAAAATGCCCTAAAATAGTATTTATCAGAAGAAACCCCTTATCTATATTCCATATTTTACATGTTTAATCAGCAGAACCAGTAGCTAAATATTTGCTATCTTTTGAGAAATCAATTGAATTAATCTAGTCTTTATGACCTTCAATCAAACTTGTGTATTCAAAACCTTTGTTAACATTCCAAACTCTGCAGGTTTTATCTTTTGAACCTGTTATCAAATAGGAACTATCTGGAGAAAAATTGACAGCTGAAATCTAATCAAAATGGCCTTAAAGTGACTTAAAAAGTTCAAAATCTTTACAAATATTCCAAACTTTACATGTTTAATCAATAGATGCCGTAGCAAGATATCTTTAATCCATTGAAAAAGCAAATTATGAGATAAAATCTGTGTGACCATGAATAGTGTAAAGAACTTAGAAATTGTTATTTACACTCCAAACTTTACAAGTTTTGTCTTCATAGTTTGTTATCAGATATTTACTATCTAAAGAAAATGCTATAGGTGAATTGATATCTAGTAGTCCGCTTATAGTGTATATAAGTTAATAATCGTTATTTATGTTCCAAATTTTGCAAGTTTTATCTGTGGAACTTGTTGCAAAGTACTTTCCATCTCTAGAAAAAGCTACTGATGTGATTTCTTTTGAATGTCCTTTAATTGTTTTAACTAGTTCAAATCCTTTTTCTGAATTCCAAATCCTACAATTTGAGTCTGCACAACCAGTGGCAAATTATTTTCCATCTAATGAGTATACAGATGAAAGAACTGAATCAGTGTGACCTAACGTTGACTCAATTATCTCAAATTCCTTTTCAATATTCCAAATTTTAAATGTTTTATCGTCAAAACTTACTGCTAAAAATTTTTTATCAGCCGAAAAAGCAGCAGAAGACACACTTGTTCTAAAATCTTTTATTACATTTTTTAATTAATATCCCTTTTATACATTCCATAATTTGCAAGATTTATCTGTTGAGCAAGTTACTAGATATTTACTATCGCTAGAGTAAGCTAAAGAGCGAATTTAACTTTGATGCGCTTAGAAAGAATAAATAACTTCCAATTATTTTGTTGTATCCCAGATTTTGCACACTTTATCTCCACAAACTGTTGCAATTTACTAACAATCTCCAGATATTGCTACTAAATTTCCTTAAATCGATGTGATAAACTCAAATGAATTCTAGGCATCCCAAATTTTGCAAATTTAATCTTAAGAACCTGTAACTAAATATTTACTATCTGGAGAAAATTAAATTGAAAAAATAAATTTTTAATGGCCTTCAATTGTGTTTAGTAATTGAAATTTTTTCTCAATACTCCAGATTTTGCATGTTGTATCGCTTGAACCTGTTGCAAAGTATTTCCCATCAAAAGAAAAAGCAACTGAAGAAACATAGCCTGTGTGTCCTTTTAAAGTATGCATTAATTCAAAAGATTTTTCAACATTCCAAATTTTGCTTGTGCTGTCACCAGAACCAGTAGCAATGTACTTTCCATCAAAAGAAAATGCAATTGAGGATATTTAAACTGTATGACCTTATAGTGTATAAGTAAGATCAAATCCTTAGTTGATATCCCAGATTTTGCAAGTTTTATCCCATGAGCTTGTTGCTAGGTATTTGCTATTATTAGAAAATGCAATTTACGAAATTTGAGCTGAGTGTGCTTCAAAAGAATTAATTAGTTGAAATTCGTTTGAAAAATCCCAAACCTTGCAAATGAATTCGCTTGAACTTGTTGCTATAAATCTTCCATCATCTGAAAAAGCCCCTGTAGAGATTGGAGTAGTATGTCCTTCTAAAGTTTTAATAAGTTAAAACCCTCTCTCTAAATTCCATATTTTGCATGTTTTATCCATTGAAGCTGTAGCTAGGTATTTGACATCTGAGGTAAATGCTATAGATAAAATATTATCAGTATGACCTTAGATTTGTTAAACAAGTTTACATTCATTTTCTAAATCCCATACCTTGATATTTATACCTTCCGATATCGTTGCAATATATTTACCATTTTTTGAAATTGCTGAATTGAGTAAAGCATTCTTTTCAAACGGAATAGAAATTATCAATTATAAATTCTATTATAAACTGTACATATTTAATATGTTTTCATTTTAGGTTATTATATAGTCTTTTGTAAGTAAAGAAAATGTACCTTATATTAAATTTTTATCTAAATTAATTAAACCATTTTAGATATTACCATAGAATTTAGTTTGATCTTCAAGGGTAACAACATATTGATCCTGGCATATTGAGATTTTGACTATTTCCTCAGAAAATGTAAAAGTATTCTGTGTTTCAAATGTATTAGGGTTAATTTGAAAAAGTGTTCGTTTAGTAGATGCAAGTAGTGATTAGTTGCTATTTATCATGTAAATGTTTTATAATTATCCACAAGTTATTTGCTTAGATTTTATTAGGTTTATATTTTTGCAATTATTTTATGCATCAAATTTGTTAATAAATCCAGTTTCACTAATTGTAATCAAAATGCTGTTTTTGAAGAAAACAATATCTTTAAACGAAAAAATATTCTGCAAGTCAAACACCTTCTAAAACTAATCTGATATTGCATTCTTTAAATTTGAAGTCTCAAAGCAAGGGAGATTAAACTTATCAATATAAGAATTCTCTAAATTGCACTATTAGAAATTTATATTTATACTTTTGCTAAAAGGAATGTAAGCTCTAGAGAAAGAACATTTCTAAAGATTGAGAAAAGGGAAAGCAAACTTTGATGAAAATAAAATAGATAGCATGTTAGAAGAGCCAATATCTATTTTACTTATTTCCGTACTTTTAGAAATATTTGATCTTTTAATATACTAAATATATCTATTATTCTTGGAGATTTCTTGGTTTATGTAAGTCTCCTAAAAATCATTTGACTATATTAAATGTTTAATGAGCTGCTAGAATTTAAAGATGATTTACTGCTCTGACTACTTAACACCTGGATTCATAATAATCTTTTTGTTGATATTAAACTTTTCCAATTTCAAAATATCAAGAGCATATATATTTTCTTCATGAAAATCAAAATCCCATTTCATAGCTCGAGCAGAAAAATACTCATAAAGATATTTGCTTGTAAACTCAACATATTCTTTTGGATTTGTAGTTTGTTCTCTTTAGTTTTAATGTTCTTTGTTAGTTAATCTTAATATTTGCCCTTGGTCTATTAAATTTTATAGTTTTTATTTAAGTGCTAATTCCAATGCTTAAATCTTCGAAGGATCTTGTAAAGATTGAAAGACATTCTATGAAATAGTAAACCTCATCTGCTGATAATCTAACTTTAAATAGTTATTATACTTTTCTTTCGAAATAAACATTTACATAGCTATATTTTAAAAGAATTCAAAGAATTAGTTTGTAATGCTATAGCTTAGCATAGGATTCTTTACATCCAATATATTTTAGCTCATAAAGTTTTCTGCCTCTTTTTAGAAATATTCTTTGAAAAAAAAATCTACAATTAAAATCTATTCATTTAAATCACTTAACAAAGTATCTATATCCTCTATATTTTTGCTATATATTATCTTCACTAAAAAGTGAATACTTAAAGGTTAGTAAAGTATAGACTCAAGCTAATTATTTTAAAAGCACTTTTGTATTTTTTAAATAAGCTGGCCTTACTTTTCATTAGTTATCTTATCGTTTTAATTATCTGTAACTTAATTTTATGATCTATTTTGCATTGAAACATCCCACAGATTGCAGTAGTAAATTATATCTTTTTATTTTAAATTCTTAAATTCAACTAAACAGTAAGATGATAAGTCTACTCTTCCAAATTCATCCTCTTGACTAAAATAAGTACAAGCATCATCAATTGTGAATCCTTCTAGTCTTGAAGTTATAATAATATAGGTATTGTTCCATTCCTCCAACTCTAACTAAGAATAAATCGTCATGTAATCTCCTTGATATTGATCATATCCATCTAATAAGATTAGCTTTTATTATTTTGTTTCCTTCAAAAGTTTAATTTATTTTTTATCTAAATTCATACTCAGCAGGTAATTGTTGATAGAAGGATTCTTTACACTTAAGTCATTGAATTTAATAAAAATAGGTATAACATAGTTATTCTCATTATTTTTATTAAATTTATTGTCTGTATGGCCATTACACCTTTGTTAATATGGATTCCATTTTTACTTCATTAAATTTGCTTACAATTTTTAGAGTAGAATAGACTTTCCAGAGCCTCCTTATGCTGTGATGCCTAATATTTTGCATTTTTTATTCATGCCAGGATCTTAAGTCAAAAAATTATCTTGAATAATAGAAATAGCACTTTTGGTATTCATTAAATTTTCTTCTTCTTATTTTTATTGCTAACAAAATGATTAGTTTCCAGATAAAAATATGAAGTATTAATCTATATATAACTCATTAATTTCTTTTTCATCTTAACTTGCTATTCTTTCATCAAATTCGTGCTTTGTATCTAAATACCACTTTTCTATTAAGCTAAAATCTAATTTCTCAATCAAATCTTATTAATCTAAGAATTCTTCCTCCAAATCAAATATTTCTTCCTATTATATCTGATTACCCAAAAGATTTTAAATCCTAAATTATTTGTATTAAATTACTTATTAGAGAGCAAAACTCTTCTAATTGTCATCTATTTCTTTTCTAAGATCCTGAATAAAGTTTTAATTTTTGTAAAACAAAATTTTAATAGACTAGTTTTTCTCAGTTGCGTAAGCATATATGAGAGGAACCCATATTTGTTCTTTTTTTATATTTAAGCTATAAAGTTGTAATAGGATTTTATTTGAGAGGAACCTGAAATAAATATCTTAAAAAGAGAACTTGTAATAAAGTAAAAAATTTTCAGAGGGATTTTCTTACAATTAGTAATGCTAAAGCATTTTAATAAAAATATCATAGCTTTAATCTTCATTTAGTATGTAATATCTCTAAGAAATATCTACATCTCTATTTTCGTTTTAATACTTTTCTAATATGTAGCTGATTTGCTGCAATAGATAAATAGATAGTTAGCTAGAAGTTGAATTTTCACTTAGCTAGATAAATTTTTTAGAGTAAAAAGAAAATTCTTCAAAGGGATAGGAGCAAAAATATTATTTTTTCTCAGCAAATAACGCTCCAATTTAACGAACTATTATGTCCTTATTTGTTTATATTTTTTTATCTACTTTATCAATAATCTCCCATATTTTTACTGTTTTATCTTTAGGAGTTGAAAAGGCTGCATAATATAAATACTAAACAAGTTCTTGTTTATTACTTTGTTTTGCTTGTTCCTTAGCTGTTAGAACTTTTTGGAACTAATAGTCACAGTATTAAACTTTTTTTTCAAAAATACTTCCTTCCATATCCAAACTAAAAAATTGAGATATTAGTTGAATTTAATTAAATTTGCTTGTTTTGTTAAAATCCTTTTCGTTAATAGCTTGTAAGAAGGAAAATAAGTAGAACAAATCTAAGCATGGATAAGCAAAAATTGATTGCTTCAAATGATTAATAAATTCTTACAATATTTCATTTATTTAGAATTGATCTTGCGTTGAAATATGATCAACTCCACTTATAAAATGCTAAAAACATAGATTAAATATTTAGATAACATAAACTCTGTAATCGTTTATTTTGTTGGTTAATTGATATTTAATAAGATTCAAATTTTATAACAATATTTTGATTGTTTGTGCTTGTTCTCCATTTTGTATTAATTTTTTCATCTAATTACTATCTAAATTTGCTTAAATAACATGCATATTGAATACCTTCTAAAAATTTTTATCTATTTTAAGGTTAATATCTATTTCTTTATAAATTTATATTTTAGCTTCCATTGGATTTATGCTTATTTGATCTGATTCGTATTATTTGCTACAACAAGCTCCTCCACCTCCAACGATTTTATTTTTTTGCACAGTCCATTCTATTTTTTTCTTCTTTACTAATTTCAATATTTGATCTTGTAACTTGTTAGCGTTATCTTTGATGTATAAATTAAGAAGATTTTATCTTTCAATTTAAGATAATTATAAGCTTTTAGCCTTTTAGGATATAAACGATATATCTACTTCATATTTTTGGAGAGACTTATTAAATACCACATATTAATTTAGCTCCTAACTAATAAGTTATCTTTTTATATTAACTTAATGTTCATTACTTCTACTTAAATTATTAATTTTGCTTTACTTTTAATTAAGCAGTGGGTCAATCTCAAATTTCTTAACTTCTTCTAATCTTGTAAGTGCTTCTAATTTGTTATTTAAAAAATCTTAACTTATAAATTCTGGCTATTATTGAAATTATATTTTTTAAAAATAAGAAGATATTATTTTTTTAAGAATAGGTAGAAAGATTGTTTTTTCTTTTTAACTAAAACAAATTTTGATATTTTAAAAATAAATCTACAACCAATTTAAATTTTGCTTTCAAAGATTGTTTTTAAAATATATTTTTATTTAACTTAAATAGTAATAGCTATTAAAATTTACTTAAACTATGAGAACTTAGTTAATTATATTCAATTGAAGCTGTTTAAATTGATTCCTGCAAATTATTTTGTAGCATAACGAGTTTTTCATTTAAATTCTAAGTCAAATTGCTAAAATTTTAAAAACTCCTTGTATTAAAATAACTAAAATTAGTTGTTTCAACTATTTGCTAATCTTAATCTTGCGAGCTTATTCCTTTATTCATTTTTTAACTACTAATCTTTAAATCACTTTAAATACTACTTTATTTTTAGAAACAGTATTGCAAAAAACAATAATTATGAATAATCTTTTTAAACAGTATAAATTTTTGAAGAAAAAAAATTTAATATTATTATATTTATTTATAAACAAAAACAAAATAATTGATTGTAATTTGAATTTTAATTACAACAATAGCCTTTTATTTTTTACGATAAAAGATTCAATCTAAATTATAGTTTATACTTCTTACTTAATTGAAGAAAATCGTCACATCGAAAGTATACAAAAAGATATTTATTTAATTTTGTTAAAAAAATTAATATTTTTTTTTATTTACCCATAAATACAGTTTTTAAATATGGGCTATTTTGTTTCGAAAAGTGATGGATAAATTCAAATTTACCCAAAACTAAAAAAAATACCGATAAATTTACTATTCTCATCAACAATCATTTATGGATTAAGCTTAATTGAGTGATTTTAATCAAATCTATATTCGCCTTTTTACTTTTTAAATCTACTTTAATGAATCTAAAATAAGTTCTAAGCTCACTTATTTGAATAAAAGTTATGAAATTAATCTAGTAATAATAACAAGTATAATGAAATGTTTATCATCTAGTCGTCAAATAACACTTAATTTATTATAATTTAACTAACAATTTGTTTCGATTTTTAAATATTTGCATTATTATTAATCTATTATACACATTAACAAATAAATTTAGTTACGTTAAAAGGAGTTAAAGATAAAAATTAATTTGATTTATTAATTTTAAGTCGTTATAAAATATTAATCTTGATAATTCCTATTAATGGAAAGAAAAACTAATTATCTTTTTCTTCTTTTTATGTAAGTAATTAAATTAAATCTTAACTGACATATTTTGATAGATATCTAATGAGGATTAATTTGTTTAATTAAAATGTATCTGAAATACTATTAATATTATAAATTAAATTAGCTTAAAATCACTTAATAAATAAAAAAAAGAATTATTAGAAGCTAGTAAATTAAAAGTAAGACTCTTATAACATGAGTATATATAATTTAGATAAAGTATAATAATTCATATAAAATAATTTTTGCTTATATATTATTTATTTTAATTAAAAAGTTTAAATCTCTTAAAAAAGAGCTATGTCAAAAACTAAATCTGATTTTAAGGTTTGGAATTTATTTGTTCTTAAAATTAGAAATCTAATTCGATATTTTTTACAATCAAATTAGTTGGAAAAGAATAGGAGACTTATGTGCATCTGAGTTATAGTCTGGTTTACCAGAATGCGTCAATTTAACTTAGTTAAACCTACAACTAGAGTAATTAAAAAAATAGATTGAGTAAATAAAGTATTTTAACTTTTGAATTTAAATTAGGATGAACGAAATAAGAAATGATGGAATCAGTGAAATTATAAACTCTATTGCTAATTGCTAGAAACTGGAATAAATCAGCATTAATTTAAGGTTATTTTATTTTTATTTATTTATTTATATTAATTTATTTTTAACAAAGTCACAACCTTATTGGAGTTAAAGGTGCTTAAAATCTAGGAATAGGACTTTCTTTGTGTCCAAATGTTTATGATATATCTTTAAACTTAAAGTAAATTAAATTAAAATAAGATAATTTCTAATAAAGAAAAATATTTTTTTAGACTAATAATTAATTAAATTTTAAAAAGCAAGAATTAAATTGTCTAAAATGGAGCTATAGGCATATGTAAAGGGCTTGCATAATGCATTAATCTTTAAAATTTATAGTTAATTTTGAAGTACTATTCACTTATCCTATATAGCTTTAATATAATTTCTATATAAGCAATAATAGTGTTCAAGACGCAGGAATTTATGGTTTAGCTTAAGAATTAGCTAAATGCTAAAATTTAATTAAACTTAATTTATCTTTAAAGTAAAAAATCCTTTAATTTTAAATCATTATTTTATTCAGATTCATTTTACTTACTTATTTTTTAGAAAGTTTCTAAATAATGTCAATCTTTAAACCTTACTCCTTAGTTGTTTGTTTTCTTAATATCTAATATTTTTTAGAAAGTTTCTAAATAAAATCAATCTTTAAACTTTACTCTTAAAGTTGTTTTCTTAATATCTAATATATTTTAGAAATAATTTGAAATTGAATGATTTTTAATTTTTTCTAATCAGGTTATTTTTTAGGTATATTTTTGACTATTAAAGAGGATTAATAAAATAATATTTGTGTTAATAAACATGAAACAAAAAAATTATGAAAATTATTTTTTCAAACTAATTCAAATTATAATTTTATTAATTAATAAAATAAAAAACTATTTAAAAGGTATAATTAAATCAAGAATAAAGGAATTTCTAATTTTGGCGATGAAATAGTAAAGTTCCCTAAATTAATGGATCTTATAATCACACTTGAGTAAATAATTGAATTCAAAGAAAATAGATAATATTAAAAACCTAAAATCAGATAAAATTTGATCTAGGATGAAGGTATTGTCTATATGTCTCAAAAATTAGGAGAACATAAGATTTTAAAGCTTTTAAACCTAGATTTATAGTACAATTAAACTTTATATATGAAATATTTAACAATTCTTTTAATTTAATATAATTAGTGATAATGAATTTGGAGACACAGGAGCTTCTGGTATAGGTGTTGGATTATCTCAAAGTTAGTCATTAAAATAATTAAGCTTAACATTAGGGTAATTATCTAAATTTATTTTATTAAAGCAAATAATCACTCAATTTTTATAATACAGTAAAAACAAGATTACGGATTTAGGGATATCTGATTGTTTCTAAGAACTAGCTATTTGTGAAACAATATCTTCAATAACTTTAATAACATCGTATTAAATTTTAGACGAATTAGTTTATAAGATTTATTAAAAGCCTTATTAATTATCTTACTATAAAAAGTTAACTATAAATAAAAGATAAAGGAATGAAAGGAATAGGAGATGCGTTATCTTAGTATTCTAATCTTTCAACAATCTATTTTAATCTTTAGTAATTTTATTTTAACTGTTAACATAATTTAACTGAAATAAATTTGAAGTAATAATGGAATAACTGATTAAGGACTATCGAAATTTTCATAAGGGTTAGAAATATGCATAAATTTAGTGAATATTTCTATTAATCTAATGTAAGATTTATTAGCAAATTTTTTGTAATTGATATTTATTTTATTTATTAGATAAAATAATATTGGAGATAAAGGAATTGGTTCTCTATCACAGAAGTTACCTCATCTAAGATACCTAACATCTTTACAACTTTTATTAGCGTTGATAAAAATTATTTAAATAATTTATATTTAAATAATTAAATTTAAAGAAAGAATAAGATACAAAAAAAAGGAGCTAGCTCTCTTGGGTTAAGTTTATCTTAATGTGCTAATTTATCTTCATTACAAATTAATTTAGAGTATTAAATAATCTAAAAAAACTTATTTATTTATTTAGAAATTGTTTTTATAAAGTGAAAACTAGCTAGATTAATAAGCTATTACTGACTTAACTAGCAATTTGGCAAACTGCACCAATCTTAAAGCTATTTCTATAGATTTATAGTAATTTTCTTTATTTTTTAGAGGTATAATATAATCGTTTAATCCTATTTCAGCAAATCAGGGGTGTAGGACAAAGGTGTTACAGGATTGGGAATAGGAATTTCTAAAATACAGTCATTAGTTTCATTAGATTTAAATCTAAAGTAAGAAATTTCATTTCATAAATCTTTATTTTTTAAATTTAACAAATATGTATATAGCAGTAATTCCATTAGAGATCAAGGTGTTTAAAGCTTAATTTTTGGAATAGCTAAATGCTAAAATTTATGTAGATTAAACCTTAACCTGAAGTAAATAAAATTTTTTTTTTTATTGAATGCTAAAATAAATTTTAGTATGAATGAGATAGATGATGAAGGAGCTGGAAGCTTGGGATAGGGTTTATCATAATGCTAAAAACTAGCTGATTTAATACTTAATATTAAGTAAAATAATATTTTAAAAATTAAACTAATAAAAGAGAATTGAATAAATTAAGTACAATATTTTTGCTAACTCCTTAAATTAATAATTAATTTTTGATTTACTTTTTTTCAGAATTTTTAGACTTAGACAATACAAAATATTATTAAATAATTTTCTCTTGTTATTTTTATTTTGACTAAAATCTATCTCTAACCTTTAAAATTATATTAAATCTAAGATACAATAAATATAATCCTGAAGGTTAAATTCAGTTTGCAAAAGGTCTAAGAAAGTGTAAACGCTTGAAATTTTTAAATCTAACCATAAGGTAATAAATATTCTTTAACAATAAATATATAATAATTAAGTTAATTAAAGTAATTAGTTGAATTTGAATCCAGTTTTATTCAAGATTCTGAGATTAGTTTTGTATAAAATGAATTGAGCTATTTAGCAGAAATATATATTATTAGATTAACCTACATTTTGTTATTTTTAGTTTACTTTTATATTTAAATAATATTCTTTCATTAATATTTTATTTGGTAGACCCATAAATAAATGATAATAGGGTTTACCTTTTTATTTTTTTATATCAATTAAATCAAAATCTTAACTTTTCCTGTATTTGTATTTGTATTTGAATGAGCAATAATAGTAATAAGATACATACCTTAATTTAATGTATAAAAACTAAAATTAATTAATTAATTTTATTTCATGTTTTTTTGTATACTTGCTTGTCTGAATTGTTTATTTTTTGAGATTTTTTATAATTCACATATCTAAAATCTCCAAAATGATATTTTGACTTAAATTGAAATAACCTTAATTTTTAGCATTTAAAAATTGTTTTCCCTATGTTTTATTTACTTTAAATCGTTTCAAAGATTTTTGATTTGATAAAATTAATTAAATTTATAAAATTGAATAAATATTCTCAAAGAAATACATTAATTTTGATATGTTTTATTGTATTCATTTTTTAAAATTAGAAGCGAGAAATATATAAATAAGGATTGATTTAAAACAAAAATAAAGATTAACATTAAGATGATGATAATAATAACTTTTAAAATAGATATTAGCCATAAAATTTCTAATTCAAGCAGCTTCTTTTTTCATAATAATTATTAGACAAATTAAAATTTAATTTTTTTTATAAGAAATAATACTAAAATTGGGGAATGCTTAATTAAGAGGATTTACAATAAATTTATTTGGGTAGTTTTATAACACTTAAAGACTCTTAACAGTTCTTTTTTCATCCAAAACTTAATTGATAAAATAGAAGAAGTGATTTAAAAATTATGTATGCGAAAACAATAAATCTTAAATAAATATTATTTTATTTAATGAGTTAAAAGTGATAGATTTATTTTATAATATTAAATTAAATATATTCTTTTCAAAGCTAAGCATAGTACTTTTTTACATTTTAATACTTTTTTGCAATATCTTTATATTTAAATATCATCTTTTATTTTTTAAAACAACTCGAAAAGTTAATAAATTCAATTTTGTAAAGTATTGAAATAAACAAAAACGAATAGTAAGGTAAAAAAAAATAAATGACTAGATTGTTTGAATAATTCATCTTATATATAATGAAATTAAGCTGTTATGATGTTTCATCTAACTATTTTTTAATTTATTAGTAAATAATAATGATAATAATTAATAATATTTATGTCAAAAATACATTGATTTGGTAAAATACAACAAACTAAATCTAATAGATAATAAATTATCAAATTTCTTATTAATTTATGTAAGAAAACAATTTTATTCAATTTTAAAATGCTACTTTTTCAAATACATTTTGGCAAAACTCAATAAGGCATTTTAAAAATTCTGAATAGATAGATTTATCTTATTAAATTTTGAATTATTTACTTAATCTAAAAAATTTTATGATTAATTGGTTGCTTGGATTTCTAATTAAAAAAGATGAGGTAAGGATCTAAGGAGCTAATTTAAATAATGAATATTTTTCATTCTTTATGAGTTTCTAAAGTTATGAAAAAATTGTAATAGCTCGGGCTATTGTATATTATTAGAAAGGAAGAAATGAAGAAAAAAGAAATTCTTTCCCCAAAAAAAGCAGAAATTGATAAATATAAGTTTTTCAGATGTTTAATTAGTGGCAAGCAAATATTAAAAATTTAAAGATTATCAAAGAATAACTTTAATTAGTGGTATAAAGCGAATTAGTTAAACAAACATAATTGAAATTTTGTATGCAAGCATGATATTAAAATATTTTTTTAAGAAGTTACATAAATTTTGTTCGTTTAAAATACTATTAAAGCATTTTTAAACTATGTTTTTATTTTATCAACCAAAATATTAAGTTTTTTTTGAAACAAGATTTAATGGTTATTTCATTATTATCACTTAGATTTACATCAGAATTAAAAAGGTTTTTACTTTTAAATATGACGCATTAATTTTATTTCATCTTGTATTTATTATATAACTGAATAATTTAAATTATTGAAAGCATTAATATAAAAATTAGTATTTAATAAAATTGCAAAAAAGGAAAAAAATGATTTTAAGTAAAAAGAGTTATTGAAATGAAAATATGAAAAGGGTTGCAATTTTCTTTTTTGAAAGTCTTTGTATTTTATTAGAAAACTTTTCATATCATATACTCTGAGTTTAAATAATTAATTACTTGATACTTTAATGGAATCCAATTAAAACTGATATAGCAATATTAGTAATATTCTTAATATAATATTTAATAAAATCAAAATATTATTTCTGTAAATATTTTAATATTTCTCAATTCATAAGTGAAAATTAAATTAATTTTAATTTGACAGTACTAATTTAATTTTACAGTTAGAAGAATCAACCATTCATTAAACATACATATAAGATAACCTGAAATTTAAAAAACTAACCCTTATATTTTATTTGTAATTTTTTAGAATAAACACAAAAGAGAGTAAGTAAGTAAACAAACATAAGATGAATCAATAAATTAAATAAATACAATAATCATAAATTTAAAATGATTAATCATTATATTTTATTTGTAATTTTTTTTAATAAAAAGAAAAAAGTGTAAACGTTTAAAGAACCTTCACTTTTTGTGATAAATAAGACTTAGACTCAAATAGCAAATTATGTATAATATTTGTATAAATTCCCATGATTAATTTTTTATTTGTATAATCAAATAATAAATAAGAAATTAATTAAATCATAAATCAAAAATATCTGTTTAAAAATGTAAATATTAAAGAAATAGGACAATTAAGAACAAATAATTTAACAAGATTAAAGTTTTTCTATTAAATTATTTCTTGAAATTGCTTAATTCTACACTTCTAATTAGATAACTCCTTCTGAATAAATATCTCAAAATACTAATAGACTATTTGAAAATACTGAAATACAAGGAATATACGATAATTAATTAGGGTAGTAGATTAAAAATAAAGAAACTATTTTTCATACTAAGAATTCAAATTTAATAAAAAATATTTTAAAATCTTTTCAAAGATTTATTGAAAATGAAAAGGATCAAGAAAATTAAAAGCTTTACTGTAAATTAGCTAATGTTTCTTACAGCTATAATTCGCTAAGTAAATATATAAAATGTAGTCTGAAAGTAAATGGAAAAAGATGGAACCTGAAACTTAAAAATATAATTGAGAAATCTATTCTAAAACCTTTGTTTGAACATTATCTTTTAAATATAGACATCTACTGGCTAAATCATAGCAAAGTTTCTAATCGAGAATCGCATGAAGAAGCTGTTAAAATTATTATAAAATACATATAAAATCCAGAAGAATGTTAAGTAATCAAATATTATCATAAAAAAAAATCTATAATTAAAAAATTAGAGTGAAGCAATGCTTTTATTAGTTTTATTAATAAGCTAAGTGCTTTATTTGTCAAATAATTTTTATATCTTAGTTTATATTTTTAATTTAAATTAAATCTATCTTTATATTGTCTTGTATAATAATTTTTCATAATCTTATCTCTCAAAATACTGATATTTCTTAATTTGCTTGCCTAACCTAAAAGCTTAATATAGGTTAAAATAAGCAAAAAGCTTGGTTTGTTGTCCATGCATTTAATAAAACAAAATATTTTTCAGATGTAACTTCAAAGAATAATAAAAAATATAATTTTTGTGTTTTGTTATTAAAATTTTTAAAATATTTTATCATTTATTAAGTGACTCCCATTTTTATTGGATAATTTTCTTATATTAAGATTAATCGTAAGAATCTTAAATCAAATTTAAATCATAAGTATTAACTAATTTTTTTAATTAAAAAAATTGAAAGAGAATATTGCTTTAAAATATAAAAAATAAAAAAATGTTTATAAATATTTTGATAAATATTGGAAACTATAAATAAATGAATATTTTATGTGATATTTTAATTAAAAATAAACCAATCTACACTAAACTCTTTGTTTAATTTAATTTTTTTATTATAAATTTTAGTAAAACATATAATAAATAACATATGAACTATAAATTAATTTAGTTCTACCAAAAAAAATTTGAAAATTTTAGTATTTTAAGTATTTGAAAAGCATTTTTTATATGTATCCTATTTTAAAAATTTATTTCTATTATTGTTTTACTTTTAAAAATGTTCATTTACATGACCTATGCTTGTTTAACTGTATTAATATTTTTTATCATACTTGAATTTTTAGTTAAACTCTTTAAATTTTGTATTTTAGAAAAACAATAGGTTCATTCATCGCAGAATAATATTATTTTTATCGCTAAGTGAAATCAATTTTATAAAATTTTTGGTTATTTAATCAAGTAAAAAATATTTTTAATAGTTGTTTTACATCAAACGCAATATTAATATTTACTAGATAAATTAAATATTAAATTATTAACAAAATGTTAAGAATTTTTATTAATATGAAGTAAAATTTTCATCATTTCTTTTTTATTTTAAAAGAATTATTTTGTGCATTTATTTATTTATATAATCAATTTATTAATTCCTCATCCATTTATTTAAAATATTTTTAAATTTTTATTTTAAACATTAATAGGCTTTGATTCAATTTTATTTTTAAGTAAGAAGATAATTATTGATCTGATGAAAACTTAATTAATTACGTAATTAAAATAAGATCAAGATGCTTGATTATTTAAATATTTTCAAAGAAGAACGCGTCATCGTTATTAACCATTATACATAATTTAAAAATATCTATTCAAGTTTAACATATTAACTAAACGTATAATTTCATTTTTAGGTGTATTATTATTGCTTGCTTTAAATAAAAAATATCAATTTGAATTTAGTTAACTAAACAAACATAACAATTTATAAAAATTTAGATAACTTTGAAATTAATTTATAAAATTATATTACAATAAAAATAATTTTTAGAAAACAAATTTTAAAATTTGCAAAAAGTAAATTAGTGATTGATTGATGAGTTGATTAATTTTTTTGACTTTATTTGAAGAGTAATTTATTTGGTAACTCTTAATTTTTATCTAATATCATTATTTATCCCCTAATTGAAATATATTTAAATAATTGCAGACTTTTTTAATTATTCATGCACTTTCTCTTAGCCCATATATGGATAAACAAAATAGAGCTTTAAGAATAAAAAATCTTTGTTGTTGTTACAAAAATCGATATATTTAAGATAATAAATGAAATGAAAAAATAGCTAGATATAATTTGGATAAAAATTATTCAAGTAAACTATTTTTAATTATTGAAAAGAAATATGTATATTAAAATTTTTAAGGAGATGATTTAATTATAAAATTTAGAATAATCAATCAATTTATTTTTAAAAGTTTCTTATCAATTACGAATATTTAAATCATTCATAACTTTTAATTTTTACAAACAGATAATTATTTACAATTTCTTTAATTAACAGTATTGAATTTATTAAATAAATAAACTGTTCTTTTTATACAATTAGAAATAATTTAAATATTTTAAAATAATCTATTTTAAATATTTATTTCATATAAAACTTTTACAAAAAAACTTAAATATACTATATAATCTCTCACCGCCATTAAAAATGTTAAAAAATGATTCATTTTTAAAAAAATTATATTCAAAATATGGTTAAATTATTAATAAAAAAAACACGGGTAAGAAACGAAAGGTAGCGCAGTAATTAATAACAAAAATTAATAAATTTATAAATATTTGAGGATATAAACAACTTATCTAATGATTAGAGATCAATATTCTTTTTAAGTTTTTTATCTTGAAAAAAAATTATTGAATTGAATTTGGAATATAAATATTTAAATCAAACCAAAATCAAAATAAACTTTTTACTAAAAAACTAATCTTTCATTTTAAATAAAAATGTAGATGGACTCATATGCTAATTAAATTTAAACAAATAATAATTATGAATTCTCAATCTAAGCATTCCTTGATATTGTGGAAATCTACTTTTCTGAAAAAGAGTTGTAAAACACTAAGAAAAGCAATACTCAAATTTAATAAATAAACAAAGAATCCAAAGAACGTGAGTAGATTTAGATCTCAATTTGCTAAGTGAATTCACAAGGAATATAGTCAGATAGCTATCAGACTATAACTCATTTTCATAGTAAAAATTCAAACATAATGAAAAATATACTAAAATCCTTCTAAAGATACATTGAAAATGAAGAAGACGAAAAACAAAAGCAGTTTTTTTGTTATCTTAGCAAAGTCTCTTATGGTCACTCTTAGTTGTGTAAAATTTTAAAATTTAGTCTGAAAACTGAAGGAAAAAGATGGAATATGAAAGCTAAAAATTTAGTTGAAAAGTCTAAAATAAAACCTCTTTTTGAATACTATTTAACAAACATCAATAAACTCTGGCTTGATAATAGTAAAGTCTCAAATAAAAATGAGCATTAAATTATTATTTAACAACTGCTTAAATAAATACAAAATCCTGAAGATTGTTGCAAAATAAGATATTACAAAAAAAATAAATCAATTATTAAAAGCAATTGAATATAAAATATATGTGGTATTTTGTATTTTAAATAATTCAATATTATAATATAAGTATTAACTAACTAACTAACTAACCTTCTAGAAATTAAATCATCCCTCTAATCTTCTTTACATGATTAACTCATACAATTCAATAAATAAAAAAATCAAAAAAAAAGACAGAGATTAATTACCACAAAAAGTAAATTAGTTTCTAAATATAATTAATATTTGAGTTAAACGATTTGTTTATAGAAAACTATTTAATTTCAAGCTATAATATCTGTATTGTCTATTTTTTTTAATTTTTTTGATTCAATGTAAACAATTACAAATCATAACAAACATTATTATTATTAATTTGTAATTTTTATAATAATCAAAATAGTTTGCTCCTTTATTTTTTTCTCACAACTTTGAATAAATAAATAAAGGAGAAAGAGAGAAAATAAAATTAAAAAATAATATATTTTTTATTATTTAATTATTAATTATACAAAAGCTTTTATTTGTTCTATAGCTTACTTTAATAAACTAATAGGAATTATTTTAAATTCTTTTTATTTTTATCAATTTCAAATATAAAATTAGTTCAATTCAAAAAAATGTACTTCTTAATAATTTTACTATTTTCAAAATTTTATTGTATTTAGAAGAAAAAATGTAATTTCTCATTTTATAAGGCCAAATATGAAAAACTTTTTTATTTAAATTTGATCTCTTTAATATTAGTTGAAATTTTATTCAGTATATACTTGTTATTTCTTAAGGTATGAATATATAAAGTATATTTTATTCTAATTAAAGACGTTTTATCATATCCTAATATATTTATATTTTTTTATCATAGATACAATATTATTTATTACCAAGCGGGATGGGATACTAATAACTTTAGATAAAAAACGTAAAAGAAAAAAAAAAAAAAGCTGAAAACCTTTATTATATCTGAACAAATGTTGAGATTAATACTGAAAAATTAAATTTATTATTAAATCCTCTAAATCTTATAAAAAGATTTATTTGATTTTAATAATTGGATATGTTTGTTGATTTGTATCATTAATATGATATAAAATTTGAGGATATTAAAAGTGACACCAAATATTTCAAAATTAATAATCAAATAAATCAACAAAAAATAATAAAGTTAATCAAATAAGATAATTGTTTTAAAAAGTAGGTATTAATGTTAGCTGGTATCAGAAGGTTAAAATTCTCCACAACAAAAAAGACTCCCATATTCATTAAAAAGGGTACAGTAGTGAACCACGACTGTAAGTTTGATGCTGATGTTTAAGTAGTTGATGGAAAAATTTAAAAGATAGCTCCCACTGGTCGTCTAGAACCATTAGCAGGCTCTAAAATAATAGATGCAACAAACAAATTTGTTATTCCAGGAGGTATCGAGACTCATTCTCATTTACAAATGCCTTTCATGGGAACCGTTTCTTAAGATTGCTTTGATACTGGTACTCGTGCAACCTCTGCTGGTGGTACCACATTTTTATTAGATTTTATAGTTCCTAAACCAGGTGAATCACTACTTAAAGCCTATGAATAGTGGAGGGCTTGGGCTGATCCAAAGGTTCATCACGATTTTGGTTTACATTGCTGCATTACTTGGTGGAGTGAGTAAGTAGAAAAAGAAATGGCTGAACTTGTCAAGCTTGGTGTTGTTAGTTTCAAATTTTTCCTTGCTTATAAAGGTTCATTGATGGTAACAGATGACGAAATGATTAGATGCTTAGAAAGATGTAAAGAATTAGGTGCTCTTTCAATGGTTCATGCAGAAAATGGATATTTGATAGATCATCTCTAGAAAAAAATATTAGCAGCTGGCGTTACAGGACCTGAAGGCCATTATCTTAGCAGAAGCAAGGATGTAGAAGCCGAAGCAACTCATAGAGCAATCGTTTTTGCAAACGAAATAGGTACTCCTCTTTATGTAGTTCATTTAATGGGTACAGAAGCTGCTGAGGAAGTTATTAGAGCTAGATAGAAAGGCTGCTAAGTATTTGGTGAGACTCTCGCTTCAACATTAGGTAACTATATAGATTCAAAAAAAATACTTCGTTTATTATTAGCCAATGTGGTAGAAAGGTGGGTTAATAACAATTTAATAAGATTAGAGAGATCAATTACAAATAATTTAATAAATCCTAAATGCAGACAATTTATTATTGAATTAATATTATACGTTTTTGAAATTAGAAATAAATAGCTTAAATAGGCAAACTAATTAACTAACTAACTTTAAAAACAATCTCACTTTAACATTTTTATTTTTGAATAAGCTATGTTAAAGATGAAATAAAAACTTTGATTTTAAAAATCTGACTTATTTTTAATTTTTTCTCTACAATTTTTGGCTGTAAATTAAAATCTCGTCACCTTCGTCGCAAAATCAAATTTCTGATTAAAAGAAGTATCTTTGATTATATTTATTTTCAGTCAGTCGATCGTAAAAAGTTGTTTGTTATTTTTCTCTAACTTGATTTCAATAAAGATTTCCCCACTCTTTTTAGAAAATTTTCAATTAATTTAATTTTCATAAAAATATCTAATAAACGTGTCAATTTATTTATTTATTTTGATCTTTTACTAAATCAGATAGATTACTTCTTTTAATTTGAAAAAAATCCAGTCATACATACATTCCAAGCCCTAAAAATTTTGATATCTAAAATTTTTTTGATATTTACCTCAATTTTGTTTATTATTAAGATTTAAGTTAAAGAAAATTGATTTTTTTACAAGATTAAATAAAATTAGAAGGCAAACAAGATTTTATTTCCAAACAAATATTTTTAATTAAAAAACAAAATACTTGATATTACAAATATTAAACACTCAATTCTACCTAATAAATATAAATAATCGAAAATCCATCCATTTATATTTACTATTTAAAATACAAATTATATTTGTTGTCAAAAATAATAATAATATATTTTACATATTTATAAGGTATTGATGGCAGACATTATTTAGATAAGAATTGGGATGTAGCTGCTGGTGCTGTTATGTCTCCTGCTTTATCAATGGATCCAGAATGCAAAATTAGAATGATGAAATACCTTGCTATGGGTTCTATTCATACTGTTGGTACTGATAATTGTACTTTCTCTGAAGCCTAAAAGAGGAAGGGTATTAATGATTTCACTAAGATTCCTAATGGATGCAATGGCCTTGAAGATAGAATGTCTATTGTTTGGAATAACGGTGTTAGAAAGGGAATTTTAACTCCTATGGATTTCGTTAGAGTAACTTCCACTCAAGCAGCTTAAATATTCAATGTGTATCCTCAAAAAGGTAGAATTTAAGAAGGTAGTGATGCAGATATTGTAGTTTGGGATCCTGAAAGAACTCATACTATATCTGCTAAAACTCATCACCATGCTCATGACCATAATGTTTTTGAAGGAATGTGTGTAACTGGTAAATCTCATACTACAATTGCTGCAGGTAATGTTGTTTGGGAGAATGATACATTTATTCCTCATAAGGGTTCAGGAAAATACATAGGCAGAACTGCATTTGGTTATCCTTATGAAAGATCTAAGTATCTTGAATAAGAAAGAGACTACTCAACTAAAATAATAGATAGATCAGTTAACTAGGAAACTCCTGAATTCTAAATCCAAAAACTCTAAACTGAATTAAACATTGCTAATTCTACTATTTAATCTTTATAAAATCAATTAAAACACAACAACAATAATAATCATCATCACCATAATCACTCTTCATGCAGCACTTAAGATAGTGAAATTTTCTGCAAAAATACTAAAGAGTTGAACTCAGTTGAATAGGCTTTCGATACTTATATACCTGAGAAGGTGCGTAGTGAAGTCTATAGAATTTTATATGGATAAAACTACAAACCTCTTGATCTTGCTTTAAGAACTCATGAAATGGCCTTAGAACACAACTTTGAAATTAAAGGTTTCAGAGTGTAAGCAAATAAAGAATAAACAAGACCACCAAGATTAGTTCGTATTGGCGCTGTATAAAATATTTACAAAGCTTCTCCAAGTCAACCAATTTAAGAATAAAGATAAGCAATACATGATTATAATAAGAAGGTAGTTGAAGCAGCTTACCATAGTGGAGTTAATGTTATTTGTTTCCAAGAATTATGGACTTGCCCCTTCTTTGTAGCTACTCGTGAAAAATACCCATGGATTGAACTAGCTGAATCTGCTGAGCATGGTCCTACCACATAAATGCTTTAAGAATTAGCTAGAAAATATAATATGGTAATTGTCAACTCTATTTTGGAACGTGACGACGAAAGAGGCACAATTTACAACACTACTGTTGTTATTTCTAGCAAGGGTAAGTTCCTTGGTAAACATAGAAAGAATCATATCCCTCGTGTTGGAGATTTCAATGAATCTACTTACTACATGGAAGGTAACACTGGTCACCCTGTTTTCGAAACTGAATTTGGTAAAATTGGTGTAAACATTTGCTATGATAGACATCATCCTCTTTCTTGGTAATAACTCGGATTGAATGGAGCTGAAATCGTCTTCAACCCATCTGCTACTGTTGGTGGTCTTTCTGAACCTATGTGGCCTATTGAAGCAAGAAACGCTGCTATTGCCAATCACTATTTCTCTGTAGGAATTAACCGTGTTGGAACTGAAATCTTCCCTAATAAATTCACTAGTGGTGATGGTGGTTAAGCTAGAAACGACTTCGGTCACTTCTATGGTTCTTCATATGTTGCTGCTCCTGATGGTAGTAGAACTCCAGGTCTTTCTAGAACTAGAGATGGTCTCCTTGTTGTCGAAGTTGATCTTAACCTTTGCTAATAAATTAAAGATAAGTGGGGTTTCACTATGACAGGTAGACACGAATACTACGCTGAAAAGCTTACTGAGTATGTTAAACCTGGATTCAAATAACATTTAATCAAGGATATTTGATCATCTCAAATCTTAAAAGCTTTTTAAATACTATTTACTAATCAAATTATAATATTTCTTATTTTGTATGATTTTATTAGATAAATAATTTTATTTTATTGTATTTTTTAAAATCTTTTTATTATTTAATTTTTAAAAAAATTATTTATTTTTTTAAACATTTATTTTTTATATTTCAAATAATTAAATAAGAATAAATTTTGATTTATTTTGAAATATTATAGAGAGATAATAATAAAAAATTATTAATTATTTGTAAAATAAATAGCTATAAGAAAGATGAGATATTTCATTTATTTTGTTTTAACGTTCTTTTCAAGTATTAAAAATTTTAGTTTTTAAAATAGCTATTTCTTCTTGATTAATATAAGTAGAAGTAAGTAAGTAATTTCATTCTAAATTATATTTATTATTACATCAATTCATTTCTCAAGTAAAAAAATAAATAATGAAAGAAATCATTAACAGAATAGATTATTAGATAAATAATTATTTAGATATTAGCTAATAGCCTGTTAATTTGGATGAGCTCTAATTAGAATAAACTGCTTCTCAAAGAAGAGCTTCTCCTATGTTACTGAAAGTCCCAAAAGATAATGACTTTGCTTATTAAAGGTGCTCTCAAAATAAAAGGTCTCATTAATTAAAACAAAATTAATCAGGAAGAAGTAAGGAGAATATAAAATATTAAAACAGTCCCAGCATACTTAAAAATAGGTATTTAAATTTTTAAAATTGCAGAATTATAAATATTTTTAACTTAAATTATAGAGATCTCAACTAACATTACTAAGAATAGCAATCGTTTGATAACAGTAACAATAAAAAATATGTTTCTAATAGGTGTAATTCAAGATCACCTAAAAGCAAAGATATATTCAATCATTCTAGTAATCCCCTATTCTCTGTAACACTTTTTATATTTTTAAAAACATTTCATTTAAATTATGTTTCTTAATAGGTTGTAATATCAAGCAATAGTAAACCAAATAACTAGTATAATTAATTTTCTAAATTAGGATTAACGTTAGAGCACATATGCACAAGGTAAAAAATAATAATATTCAATTTATTAACTTTAAAATAATTTTTAAAATATACATAACTAATTAAATAATAATTTTTAAAATATTTTCATCAATTATTTATGTTTCAAATTTTAATCTAATTTTAGAAATAGAAAATGACATTTCAATTAATTAATTTATTTAGAAATGGGTATATACAATTTCAAATTAGTATATTAAAGTTGTTTATATTAATAAGGGAAAGACATTAAAGATCTCCTATTTTATTTCTTTGCACAAAATAGGAATGTAATTGCAGATTAAAAATTGGATGTGCTTATTGTATGCTAGATGATCATGCTGACCATGCAGAATTTAAAATATAGATAGAAGACTTTTTATAAATAATCTAATACAAATATGATAACTATTATCAAAGCATAAGAAACTTTTAGTAGACCTTACTATAATATGAAGAGCCTTAAATACTATAAACAATATCATTCTAAATTAATTAAGTTAAGCAGAGCTTGTGTTAAAAATTAGATCAAATTAATTCAAAAATTTAAGAATAATATAAATAGTTTTTTGTTTAGGATAATATTAAAACTGCTCATTTAGTTTAGGACCAAAAGTTTTTCTCTTCCTAAATTGAAAAAGTAAGTTAATTTTTAAGCTTGGAGTTAAATTATTAATTAAAAAATCATTCATTTTTTTTTATTAAAATTAATTTTATAGTTTTGTTTTTAATGAATATAAATTTATTTTAAAAATATTTTGATATTTTTTTATCTAATTAATTTTAGGTTATGTAAGCTAATATACTAAATATGAATGAAGAACAAAGAGATGTTTTCATGAGGCTTTATAATGATGCAGAAATAGTAAAAATAGAAAAAAGGATAGAAGAAATTGTGAATATAAATGAAAACATTAGCGAATAATTAGAAGCATCGTTTTAAAATTTTCAAAAAAACTTAAAAGATAAGTTAAGTACTTTTTTGTAGAAGCTAGATAACCTTTAATTATATTTAAATATTAACTCTAGCGAAAACACTATTCATTATCTAAGTGAGCAAAAAAAATCACTACAAAATAAGATTCAGAAGGCAAAGAAAATGTAAGACTAAATAAAGTAAATAAATAGAGAAATTTAGATACTTAAAATAGAAAAAATATCTAATCCTTTCCCGTATAAATTATATGGAGGTTTATGTGATCATGTTAATATTTAGTGCAACACTATTTAAATATATGAATGTTGCAATCAAGCATTTCCTTGTCCTGATTGTCACAAAAATACTTGCAAAGATCATAAAATTTTCTTTACATCCCCAAGTCGGAGATACTGTATTGACTGTTTAGCCATCTTTCAAGTTAATCATCCTACAAATACTTTAATAAATTGTTCTTCATGTCTATCAGATTATGAATAAATTAGTAGTGATTGATTTTATAAAGAAATTGTTTATATGTATGTGAAAAGTCATTTTTAAAATAATTCATTCTACTATTAACTACTAAAAATGTTCAAAACACTAAAAATAAATATAAAATTCTATCTATATAACATTTTATTTTTATTTTGGTTTAAATAGTTTAAGAGAAAAAAACAAACAAATAAACAAACAAACCTATTCTTTTAAGTTATCAATATGACATCATATTTATTTTGTCATTATTATTAATTAGTTATAATTTTAAATTTTCTTTTATTAAAAGTGAAGTTAAATCCTTTTTAATAATATAAGGCAATCTCCTGCAAGTATGTATTATATTGATATTTAAATTATTAAAATATAGCACTTTGCTAATTAAAAAAATGGCTATTGCTGGTAAACAGCACATAGTCATTTATTTTTTTTTATTTCTATTATCTCTATTACAGTTGTTTATAATATGTTTTAAAATTAAATTATAAAAAAATAGGGTACAAATAACAGTTTAAAAATTTTTTAAAGGAGGGCAATAAATAATCAAAAAAATGTATTTTTACAATAATTATATTGAATTTATTGTAGATTAGAAAAAGAATTGATTAATAATTTAAAAAATGCCTTATTTCTAAGGATTAGCAGTGAATATTTTTTTTGTTTTATTTACTTTTACAGCTATATATGATAAATAGCATAGTGGGGAATATATTTTTAAATCTTTAAAAAGTTAAATAAACATCAAAAAAGCATGAATCAGTAAAAAATTAATTAAATAATTAAATTGGAAGGTAATGCGTCACAAAATAGATCATTAACATTATATTTCTAGTCTTCTGTGTTATTGATTTTGAATTAATTTCAATAAAACAGGTAATATTATTCCTAAGACTATTGTTGTTTAATTCCAAAAATTGAATGATTTTTAAAAATCAAATTATCAATATAATATCTCTATTATTATTATACACTTCTTATTAAATGTATTGTCTCCAATTTTTAAACTCTATTTATTATGAAAATAAGAAATTTATTCAGCTAAATGTAGATATATTTTTTAATTCACTCTAAAATTAGCTAAAAAAGTCAATTTAATTATTTGATTGGTGATATTAAAATCATTAAATTTTGGAATTAATTTCATATTTTTGTTTTAATTTTTTTTTTAAATCATTTTTTAAGAAAGAAAAATATGAGATTGATAATAAATAAAGTTACAAATTCAAAATAAAAAACTTTGAGTAATTAAAGAAAGAAGTTGTTTTAACTATTAATCAACAGAAGGAGATTTTAGGAGTCCGGTTTGTTTTTTACATAAGTAAATTAAAGAAAGTGATAAAAGATTAAATTTAAAAACTATAAAGAAATTTTAAATCTGATTATTAATCAAAAGATAAAAAAAAAAGAGATGATGGATTAAAGAGCTGATAAAGTTTAACTAAAAAATGAAATGAATTAGACTAATTCTAATTAAAATTCCCTTATCTAAATGTTTCTTGATATTGTTGACATCTAATCTCTTCAATAATAATCTATTGTTGCTGAAAATAATCAATATAAAATAGAGTTTTCTACTAAAAATACATTTATGTGCAAATAGGCTGAAAGTTCTTTAATTAGATCTAATTAGGATGATATTAGCAAGGATAAGCACAAGAGCAAGACATCATATCATTTAAAAAATTCAAATGTTATGAAAAACATACTAAAGTCATTTTAAAGGTGTATCGAGAATGAGCAAGACGAATAATAAAAATAGAATTTTTGCCATCTCAGTAATGTTACTTATGGACACGCCTAGTTGTGCAAATTCTTAAAATTAAGTCTGAAAACTGAAGGAAAGAGGTGGAATATGAAAGCTAAAAACTTGGTAGAAAAATCTAAATTGAAATCGCTTTTTGAATATTATCTAACAAATATTAATAAATTGTGGCTAGACAATAGCAAAGTCTCAAATAAATAAGAGCATGAAGATTTAGTTATTTATTTGCTTAATTAAATTTAAAATCCTAGTGATACTTGCAGGATAAGGTTTTATTAGAAAAGCAAATAAATTATTAAAAGCTGTGTATGATAATAGAAATAAAAATTTTTTAAATCTTATAAAAAGTGATCAGATAATTAAAAATCATATTTTAATATATTGCCTTTTCAATTATATATTATTTGTGTAAAATTATTATTAATATGTATAAAAAGTATCTTATTCATTTATGAAAAAAATATAAAGATATCTATCTCTAAATTATTAAAATTTGAAATCAATTACAACCATTAAATATAAATTATACTTAATTTTTATTTCTAAGTCATTCAATACTTTATATGTATTAATGATATAATTTAATTCGAGATAATTAGGATCTACCCACACCCCTAAATTTTTTACCATTTATAATTCAACTTACATTTTTGTAATGAAAAAATGATTTAAAAGCTAAAAAATGGAATATTTATTAAAATAAAAATGATTGAATAAACAAAATAAAATATAAATAAATCAGTTTACATTTTAAAATTGAATATTAATACGCTCAAGCTTCTACGTATCTTTTAGTAATATAAAATTCTATAAAATTATCAAAATGATAGCTTTTAGGAGTGTATTATAATTGATCTAAAAGGAAGTTATCTCCTTAGGCAGGAAGATTAAGAGGATTAGTTACAGTCCTTTTGAAAGAGTCGGATGAAACAACATTTTGAAAGTAAATTTTGAAATTCTAGATTAGTTCATCCTAATTTTCAATTTAATCAAAGAAGTTGACTTTAAAGAATACTCTATACATAGCATCAAGCATTTTGAAATGAGGACCAATAGCAAAATCAACATAAGTTAATGTTTCTCCTTCGAAATAGCTATTTGGGTTTAATTTAATTCTTTCAGATAGCTTGGAATTTTTTGTAAAGAATCTCAGAACTTCAGCTAATTCGTTAGCAAGCTTCTTAGATCCTTCAGCATCCTTTTTTTTTATAATTCCAAAGATAGCCCACATTCTATCAATAAAATTTGAATTAAAGTAATTTGCCCATATTCTCTATTATGTTTTTCTAATGTTATCTTAAGGGAAGACACCACCAAATTCATTTTCTAGGAATTCAAGAAGGGGGAGACTTTCATAAATAATCTAATTATTTGAGTATATATTTAGTTAGATTGATTAATTGTTCAAGAATTTATAAATACCTAGTTGTTGAAAGATATTGAAGGAACCTTTCCAAAAGGATTGATATCTAAATATGCCTACTCTCTATGTTTAAATTTATATATATCAATTTCTTTGTAGTCATACTTAACTCCAATGTTTTCTAAAGCAAATCTCGCTCTTTATACATAAGGGCAGAGGAGAAAACCGTATAATGTTAATTAAGACATTCTTTTATTTATAACCTTTTTTTAGTGTTTTTCTGTTTTTTGTTTGTTTTTATATGTTTATAATCAAAATAAAAAACAACAACAATTCTTATAATATTTTCTTCTTTTTCTAGATTATTTCTTTATCTAAATTTATTAAATCACATTTATGTAAGCTTTTTGAAATTAATTTGTAATAAATCATAAATATATCTAGTTCTTTTTATTTTAAAGAGAAATCTTTAAACATTTTTCTTTACTTATTCTTTTTAAGATTTATAATATATTTTCTCAATTAAAAATTCTTCATTTATTCTATTAAAAACTTATTTTACTTTTTACATTTTTTATAATAGCAGAATTGTTCTAAAGAAAATAATCTTTTAATTTTTTAAATTGATGTAATATATCATTTTAAATAGAAATATATAGTAATTTAGCAATTTATTTTATGAAAAATACATAAATAAACAAACAGAACATTTCTCTTCCGATTTCATATTATATATATTATTTTATTTCATATCTGTAAAATAAATGAGCTGTTTGTTTGTTGTCTTTATAATTTTTCATAATATTTAATTTTAAATAGTATTTTAAAAATATTAAAACAGTTAAAAATAAATTCCTTTAACATAAAATTGAATCTAGTATGTATTAATATTTAAATAATACTGTAAATGCTCATTAATTAAGGCATTCCCTAAGTATCCTTTTTGCCCAAAAAAAAGTGCCTAAGTTTTTTTTTTTTTTGTTAATATATTTATGTCTTAATTATTTTAATTATTGAGGAATTATAATATTTTTAATATTTTTTAAATAATTTTATAAAGGTAAAAAAATAATAATTATTTATTTATTTGAATCTAAATTAATAGCCTTAATCATATAAAATTATATTTAAAAATAATAAATTAAAGGGGAAATTTACAAAAAGTTAAAAAAAAAGTAAAGTTGGTTTTTTTCATTTAAAATTGAATGATAAATGATTAAATAAGTTTTTAAAGCAAAAGCATGAAGAATAAATATGCTCTAAAATATTTTGAATAATTTTATAGCTTGATTGTTTTAAAATAATTTACTTTTTCAACTTAAATTAGTGCTTTTTAATGTAAACCCACGAAAATTAGAGATATCACACGATATTAATTAGATATATACTTTTTTTGTTTAATACTTTATAAAGATAATCTATTCAATAAGAAAACTAGAAAGAAGAATTAAAAAAATAATTTGATTTAAACGGAAAAATTGATTAGATTATTTATTTGATAAATAATCAAAAGTAAATACTGAATCAATATTTATTTAAACAATGATAAAGAGTTCTCCAAAATATTTAATTAGTTAAATAAATTAATCCAAAGTTTTGTTTAAATAATTACCATAAAAAATATTAATTAAATCATCTGAATCATTAATTTTCCTAATACTTCATAATTTAACCAAATATTTGTTGCTTGAGTTAGATATCTTGGCAATATTTATTTTACCCAAATATTATTTAAGCAAAGCAATTCAATCTAAAAGAAGCCATTTTTTTTATTTTGTTAATTTCAAATAAAAAAGAGAATGCTTTATCAGTAATGGATGCTATAGTATTTAAAATAAGAATTAATTTAATATAAATACTATATAAAAATTGAGTTAAGATTACATTTTTTATTAAATTATAAAATTTTACTTAAAATGTTGAAATTTCTTTTATAAATTCTAAATTTTAGAAGAAAAAATAGTATATTTTGAGTCTGCAAATTATCTTTTCACATAAAAAATTATTCTAATAGATTTTAAAATATTTTTATTAGATAATTAAAATAAAATATATTTAAAAAAAAACATTTGATTTTAATTAATAATTTTAAGTTGTTAATTTATTTGGTTGTTGGAATAAATTTAAGTTGGAGAAATTATAAATTAATATTACAAGCTTTCAAAAATATTTTTTACCATTTTATTTTAAAAAAATAGTTATGAATGATTGTATTTTTTTATCCTTTTAATATTTTTCTTGTTTTTAAATGGGGTAAATTCAAATATTAAAATCTATTTAAAAAATTTTGACTTATAAAAAATATAATTAATACTTCACACAAATGTATTTAAATAATATTGATTTAGTATAATAATTTTAAAAGCTTTTTGGTAAATTAATTGTTATTATTTGACTTCATTATTCTTTATATTATTCAAAATAGAGAGGTATGGCTTCTTAATTAACTTTTTCTTATTCAAATCTCAATTTATTTACACATGAGATTAACTTTTTAACATTTCTATTTAAATTGATCAGCGAAGAAGGTTTTTTATCATATTTGTATAATCTCAGTTTTTTTAAAAATCTTTTGAACTTAGATATTTTTTGCTCTATGAAAGATGTCAGTATAATCCAAATGCTATAAGCGCAAAATAATAAATTTAAAAGTTATGTAATTAAAAAGAAGAGTTAACTAAAGATTTTTTCTGCTGATTAATTTTATTTTATGCTAAATTAATTAAAAATAACTGTTGAACTCAATAATAAAATTGATATTATTACAGATACTTTTTCAAGCTTATTTAAAAAAAGAGAAATGAATGGCTTATAAGCTTGCAAAGCTACTAGGTAAAAAATCAGTAAAAGCTGAGTCAAAACTCCTGTAATTAAGGCATATTACTTTAAAGATATTTTTAGAATAACTAATATTGTTTTAACTACAAATCTTACAAATTCCCAATAATAATACTTACTCTTATATTCATTAAATAAAAAACCATAAGAAAACATCACTTAAACCTTTTATAGTTTATTCTTAGATTATATTAGCCTATAAAATGTAAATAGTGGGAAAATTATTTAGAACAAGCATAGGATAATCAAACTTAATACTCGAATTTTATAAAGTTCATCTGAGACACCGCACTAAAGGCTAAGATCTATCTAAGAATATGACTTATCTTTATCTAATTTCAGACAGAAAAAGCTAGATAGTAAGTTTTCTAAAAGAAGAGAATAAAAAACTGTAATAAATATGTAAATAAAAGAGAGATTTGCCACATATAGTGATTTCTTAAATGATATTTTTTTAATTAATAAAAGCAAACCTAAAAGCATAAGGATTAAGTTGCAGAGAATAATTGGAATTAAAAATGTAAATAAGACATTCAAAAATCCTATTCCTGTTGATTCAGTCTGAAAATGAGCAAGGAAGCAGTTTAACGAAATTTAAGGCGAATTTATTGGGTTATAAATGAGTAGCTAGACAGAAGAAATTGAAGAAATTATATCTACATTGCTAAGATAGTTAGAGATCATGTATATAGAAATATGAAAAATGAATATTTTCACATAAACAGAAGTAAGACTCCTTTTGCTCAGAGTTCTTCCTATAAAGAAAACACCCAATTTAGATAGATAAAAGGCATAAAGTAAGTTTTATTATCTTCTAAATGTAGAAACCATAATTATTACTAAACTGATAATAAGGAAAACTATTAAAACTATTATCTTAGCTGTATTTGATTCAATAGAACTGCATTTAGTACATTAAAATACACCCTAAGAGGCATATTAATCATCCCAGTAAATTCCTTTAATATCGCAATCTAGGCATTAAGCTCCAACATGGCCTTCATGACATAGCTCATTCTATATGCCAACACCTTAATTAATCAATAAAAAAAGTAAATAAAATTTTTGTCTAATAATAATAAAATTTTTGTTTTGTTAATTAAAATGTATTTACCTCCTAGACAACTAGAAGGATTTAAGGAGCAATATTCTATATCAGAAGGATTCACAGAATAGCTCGATCTCCAATATGATTCTCTTAAATTTGAGTAATTAGCATAACATTCTTTAAAGTAGTCTTAGTGACATATTTAGCAAGTAGATGAATAACCAACTTTCATATTATCACAATATTAGCATGAAAATCTATTTTAATACATACTAATAAATATTTTTTCCATACCTTGATCTTTGCATCCATTTTAAATGGAATATTCTTAATTTAAGTAAAAAAATTATAAACTCGAAATAACTGTTTCGAGCTTTAATTAGGTATTTTCATTTCCAAAAAAATCAATATTAGTTGCCTACCACAAAATGTATGGATAATACATTGCTTCTAACCCTGCTTATGTTGACGATAGATAATTTTCAGAAGGTTAAAATAAGAAAGAATATATATTTCCAAAAGAATTATAACTATTAAATTAGTCATATTTTTTATTGTCAATTACTATTGATAGTCTGAAAACATAAGTCAAACCAGGGTATAAATATTTTTAATTAGGAATAAGTTTAAGTGGTTCCTTACCTATTGAAAATACTTCTAAAGCTTCCTCAACTATAAATTTTTAAATCTAATTGCTATAATTATCATTTAATAATAAACCTTTATTATTTTAAAAATCTATTTTATTTAATTCTTGAACATTGACATTGCCATATAAATAGAGTCCTCCACCAATCCTGCTTTCACAATTAAATATGGTAGAATTTTATGCTGAAATCAGTTGTACACCATATACCGCTCCTCCAAGATACTTACTTTAGCAATAACCAAATGTTGTGTTTGAAATATACATTTGGCTACTATCTCCAAATTAAGGAACAACAAACTACATGCATCCTCCAAAAGTAATAGAAGACCCATTTAGAAATATAGAATCTTTAATAATAAAGTATTTAAAGACTTAATGAGATAGAATAAATTATAGATTTTAAGTATTCTCCAAATCAGCAAATAAATTTATAATAGAAAAATAATATTTCTCTGACTAATTTACAGTATTATCAATCTTAAAAATACTTGATTGATTTTAAGAACTTTGAATCTTTTAATAATAATTGCTATTTAAACTGATAATTTGTATATTACTTAATTAAAAAAGTGACTTTTAACTAAATTTTGTATTTAAAATTGTTGTATTATTTAATTCAAATTAGTCTATTTATGTAAGAAATAATAAATATTTATTAAATTATGCTTTTTCAGCTACAATTTTCCCAATTAAAATATGTTAGCAATTAGATAAATTAATCAAATCTGATAAAAATAAACTATATGGTTGCACAATTATTTCTTCTATTTCAAAATGTTTTACACCTCCTAAAAATATCATTCCATCTATTTTTGAATTTTGCAAGAAATAAAGTGATTTCATTTTAAATCTTTCAACTTTAGACAAGTTAATAATGGCATCTTTTTGGTAAAAATTAGTTTTTAAATTATTAATTTCTACTCTGCCTATGTTGCATTCATATATATTAGAGAGTTAAATTTTTAAATAAGATTATAGAGACTATTATTTATAAGATATTTATCCTATATTAACTATTTGTTTTTAACTACTATCGATAGACTACTATGAGTTTTAATCACCATAAAATTTCAATTCTCCAATTAAATAAGAATTTATATGATGAGTTTTAAATATTATTAATCCAATATCTATACTTGCTTTTTAAATTTCCTAATTCGCAATTTTAAAATCAATCAAATATAAGTTCTAACTTTCTAAAGCATCTATCTAAATATTAATCTAATCCACAATAATTTATTATGAAGAAATAAGTTAAAAACCTGAATAGTAAGTTATGTTTAAATATCTTGAGTCGAATAAAGTAATGTTTCCTATTTTCAGTAATTTTTTACCTATTAGTTCTAAACTAAACTCAATAAAATTTTGTAGTTGAATATCTACTATTTCTAATATTTCAGAATTTAATGTTAAGTATGTTGATTCTTTTAGATATTTTATTTGATTACTCAAATGCATTTAATTTATTTCGAAGTTAACAATATCTCTAGTAAATAAAACTAGCTTAAATATATCTGCTTATTTAATATGATTGATATTGAGTTATTAAATTTAGAGCCACTATATTCTTTGAATCTTAATAAAGGTAGACTTATTATTTAATTAAACGCTATTAATAATAATACAATTAATTTTGACATAATTTATGTCTTCAATTCTAATTGAAGAGTTTATAGTCTCATTTTAAATCGTCAAACTAAACTCTACTTAATTTTGATTCTAAATGAAAACATCATTGTTCAAACAATTAAACTATACATTCTATTATGAAAGTTATTAAGTTATACTTTAATCGCAGTCAAAGATAAAGTTTTTATCAAATATTTTACTAGGACTATATTGCTCGCTTCTGTATATTTATATCAATAAAATTATTACAATGATACATGTTTTTAAAAGGAACATAATGTACTTTTTCTGTACTCAGCTATTCTTAATAATTAATTTAATTTGTTATTGTTTTATAAATAATTTCAAAGATATTAATTAGTCTTTAACTTATTTTTCATTTTTTTTAATTAAATGTCATAAATTAATAAAATAAAGGGAAGGAAATTAGTTATTTTGTAAAAGATTTTTAATTTAATATTGTTAAAGAATAAAATTTTTTGATGGCATTTTTGATCAATAAAGTTTTTTCTGATACATAAAAATTGAAAAGCTAAATATTTTTAAAGGTGACATCTATCTCAAATGAGAATCAAATAAAATTTCTTTCTTTATTAAAGTGTTAAATTTTTAATAATAAATTCATCTTTACTAAGAAATTTTTTAATTCAGCATGTTAATTAAGTATTATTCAAAAATATTAATTTGCAAAAAAAGAAAGACACAAAACTAAAAATAAATAATGTCTGCTTTTAGTGTTTTTTATAAATAGTTTTTAAAATTATTATGATAAACTAAAATTTAAAAAAATATTTTTTTATTTACAAACAATAATAATATGATATGAAAACGTTAATTAATTACACATAAATTATTACTTTCAAACTAACTAACGTTCTTGTGATAATAATTTATATTCTTACTTTGTTTCCTTGTAATATTAATTAACAAAATATTTTCAAGTTAAATACTAATTCATTATAAGCCTATTAAATAAATTATCATCAAGCTTTCTTAACAATAGCTTTTCTTTTAAATGAAATATTTGCTTTATTTGAGTTAAATTATATTTAAAAATACTTGTTTAACCAATTTATTAGTATTTTTTTATCTAAAAGTGACTCATTTTAACAAAAATTATTAAGTATTTTGATATATAAAATTTGTATGTTCTTATATAAATCTGATTAAATTATTTTAAATTATTAAAAAATATATAAAATACTATTTAAAAATGTTGGAGAATGAGTTTTTCATTATTCAACTTAATTTATAACATATTGAATTAACTTAAGAATTTTTGAATTTCTTATTGTTTTTTTTAAATTTTTACTGATAATAAATTGATGATCATAATTTTTTTCCTATAATTTAATAGCATTAATTAGTATCAAATCAGGTGGGGAAATTAAATTTTATTATAATGTTTGTAATGCTTGAATCTATAAATATCCAGAATAAATAAATAATTATAAAAATTAAATTCAAATTGCTATTCAGTAGGAGTATATATATGGTGATGGATTTAATTTTTTTATTGAATTTAAATTTATAAACCGATTAAATATTTATTTAGTAATTGCATATTAAAATTTACAATAATCTTAATTATTTGTGCTAATTTCCAAATAAAATAATTTCAAAATTATATTATTATCATCCATCATCTTTCTCTCAATAAACAACTAAGTAATAGTTATAATAATAATAATAATTAACTGTTAAAAAATATGGTTTGTTCATAATATAAAAAAATTAAAAAACCTTTAAGAAAATATTTTTATTGATTAAATTATGATGAATTAATTGATTATCTTGAATAAAATTTCATATATATTTATTTTAGTTGTAAGATCTTAAATATTTCACTATTTTTGAAGGAAAAAATTTATATTTTAAAGTGCATTTTTAATTTAAAATTATAGATAGCTTTTTATTTATTTTTCTTTTCATAATGAATTTATTTGATTCATAAATTGTTTAAAATAAACTGAAAAAAGCATTAATAAATAATATAATAATCATGTTACCTTGCTAAATGATTGGGTTTTGAGAATTTGTGATTGCAAAATAAGATGAAAATGCATTTAATTATTCTTTATTGCATTTTCATAATTTGTAAACTCAATCAAGAAAAGTAAACTAGATTAAATTAGAAGTGAGAAAAAGCTGTTGAATAAAGAAATGAAGAGTTGAATGATTAAAAACAGGAAGGAAGCTAATTATTTAAATAGTGAACAAATCATAAATTACCAATAATTAAAAAATTAAAAAATAAAATAAAAACAAAAAATTCAGAAAATAAAATTTGATTATTATTTTAACTCCAATGCAAATTAGTAATATTTTTAATTAAATCTAATTAGACAACTCTAAAATAGCTGTAAATAGCAATTAATAAGTTTTTACTATTTAATTGTTTCTTGAAGTTGCTGAGAGCTTTGCACCACAAAAAGATTAACAGACTGCTAAAGATATATATTTTTTAAATGAAAAAAATTCTATGAATATATGTTAGAGTGAAGAGCTTCTATATAGTGAAAATAGATAGATGGTGGAAAAAAATGATACAAGCAAATAGAATCTTTAGACGATTTTCAATACTAAAAATTCAAATCTAATGAAAAATATTTTGAAGTCGTTCTAGAGATTTGTTGAAAATGAAAAGGATTCAAAAACTTAATAGTTATTTTGCAGATTAGCAAAAGTCACTTATGGTTATCGTAATCTATGCAAATTTATTAAATTTAGTCTAAAATATTAAGGAAAAAGATGGAATATGAAGGCTAAAAATTTGGTTGAGAAATCAACTTTAAAACCCTTGTTTTAATACTATTTAACGAATATTAACTAATTATGGCTCGATAACAGTAAAGTTGTAAATAAGAAACTGCATGAAGAATTAAGTTAGTTTCTATTAAAATATATAGAGAATCCAAAGCAATGTTAAGAAATTAAGTTTTACCAGAAAAAGAAATCAATTATTAAAACAATATATTGAATGATTCAAATTAATTAATTTAAAAACAAAATAATATAAATTAAACTTAATTTTTTTATGCTCATCAAATCTACTTAGAAATTATTTATTTGCCTTTACTTACAATATAACAATTAAATCAGTTAATTGCTTATGAATTATAATCTTTATAATATATTTTTAAATTTTGTTTTTACAATTGAAGTAATAGATTTTAGATTGATTTTATTTTCTCCACCTCTCTTTCTCTGTTTATAATTTGTTAATTACTGATTTTTTACTTATTTATCCATTTATTTTTAAATATATTCTGTTTCAAGTTGCTATATTAAAGCTATTAAAGAAAGTATGGAAATAAAGGATTTACTAACTCTATTTCATATTTTCTTTCTTATATTTTTTTAATATTTGACTATTTTTACTTCCATAATATTCTATATCAATTGTTATAAATATAGTTAATAAAAATAAGTCTTGCTTGATTGTATGTTACAAATTATACTGATAAAAGATTATTAGCTTACTTATTTTACTAAGGAAAAATACAATTAATTAATTAATTTTTAAATATTTCAATATAAAAATTTTTGTGAAGGTTAGTTATCCAATAATTTATATCACTTTACTTTATATATGATTTGATTATCTTTCTATTCTAAAACTTTTTTTATCAAAA